ATGATGAGGCGTTTGCAGCACGGTTCTGATTCTTATGGCATTACGGAACAGTACTCGTTGATTTCCTAAAATTAATGCGTTTTCCGTTCTAAGCGTAATGCCGCCGTAATTATCAAATTGGCTCAGTATCAAATAATCAAATTCAACTACGTAATTTCTTATCTGAAATTATTAGATTATGAAATTGGTTGCGTGCTCAGTTGACCTTTTGTCTTATGTCCTTAATTCCTTTGGTTGGCAGTTGACGCAACATTTGTTCTGTAAAGTGTAAACACGGCAAGATGATTTACATAATTCTTAGATTTTTGCATTAATGGAGCAAAAAATACATAAACGGTATCCTGCCGATATAATACTGCACCGGTCTGTGCCATAATATTGCAGCGATGCAATATGGCTGTGCTGCGCTGTAGTCGAATAAATTTAAACGAATTAGTAAATGATTTAGTAAAACATGTTTTATTTATTCAGCGCAAAACCTTAATATTTACATATATTTTACTACTCCGGAACCGGAAGGACATTTACTTACTTTGTATTCACAACCGTACTATTTACTAGGCTTTTAATATTAGGCGGACTTTTACTAAATAAATGACCGTTATTTAATTTTATTTATTGTTAGTAGCACAACACTAAATCCCATTACAGCACAAGAATGAGCGCAGCCGGAATAATCCTCGTGCCATGCAAGCCTTCCGGCTTTGTGACTTCCGCTTTCCACACCAGATCACATCGGGGATATTCCACTTTGGCTAGGTATTGTCGGTAAATGTAAATATATGTTACATGAGTGGATGTCAAAGGCTTGCCTAGATGATTTTAATAGCAACTTTTGTAAATACCAGCATCGCTCGCGACAGTACTTCCAAACGAGAAATTTATTCCAGTTAGCACGAGAAAGGACACTCTCGTATCTGTACATAACGTACGTATGTACATAACACGTACATAACACGCTCATAGCATTCCCACGCATAATTTCCCAAATTAAACACTGAAACAAAAACAAGTGGGGTGACTCTCGCCCGTTCAGATAAGGGTTTGTAACCGATCTCATTCAGTAAAACATTAGCAAAATCGCACCAGGTACCAAATGTTTCGCATGCGATAGAAACAAAATAACAACGATCAATAATCGAACTACATTATACATACAGCGGTAAATGTTAGTTTGGCCGCCGCTGTAGCAGACTTTGATCATGGATGCCGCATCAATGTAAGAGCGCTCTCGAGCTGTGGAAAAGAGAACGCACGCCTGGCTGAACTGCCCGAAGTGAACTTTCGAAGCACTAGAAGACATGGATCTACCACTATGTAACGTGTCCACGTTGGTGGAAGTCTTCCGCGACGATGAACTTAACAAAGTTCGCCTTCTTGCTCAGCCAAAACTGGAAGCCGGTATCTGGTATCTGGTAACTGGAAGCCGGTATGCATTGCTCTCCGCTCACATCGGCAACCTCTTGGGCGACGACACTCTAAAAGTCTTAGTGGGCCTGAGACTGGGAGTGGCGATATGCGAACCCCACGAATGCTGGCCACAAATGCTTGGAGTGCCATGAGCACGTCGATAAATACGGACACTACGGCTTGTCCTGTGCATTCTCTACTGGGAGACACGCACGGCATGGCGGACAGAGCAGCATCGGGGGGCCGATCTTTCGTTTCAGCTGGGATTCCGGCGAAGTTAGAGCCTCGCGGCACGTCACATGCGTCCGAACGACGCCCCTGTTGCGCGAGTACAGTATATAGCGCAAGCGTGTTCTGTGGGTCATGAGCAGCTAATCATGAATCATTTATATAATCATAGCCATCCCGAGCGTGCTTACATTTGATACATTTATGGATGCGGTTGGATGCACAATAGCTTGTTGTGGTAAGCAAGCCAGAGGTTGTGGCTTGAACGATAACGGGCAAATGATTGAGCGTGAAGAAAGGAATGAATCATTGTGTAAACCAATAGTGTGTCTTTGTTGTCTGGAATATTTTATCTCTCGTAACATGTATTAAGTGCCTGGCTCAAAAAGTAGTGTGCGATAAAGTTGTCAAATGATTTAGTACATCTCCATTCAGCCTCGGAACAACTTCTCTTGGAATATCTTCCTTTGTCTTTGCATGCCATTTTGTCAGCATTCGAGTGTTGTCTGCTAATCTGCATTAAAGGTCATCGGGTCGGATCAGCCGCTGTTGTTTATCGTTGTCGTTAGCGGTAAAGAAAGGTCATATCCACCGAGTCACAGCTAACCTTTAGTTACGTGACACCCCGATGGCTGCACAATCTTTGCTTGGCAGAGAGTGATGTGTCTAGCATGGGACGTCACGTGTGTGGACACTGTTGCGGCCGTTAAATCCACAGCAGCAAACGCTGGTGCAGCTGCTTTGGAAGCGGAAGAGAACAAGTCGCGGCTATATGCATACGTCAGCGGCAGGTATGTTTTGCTCCTATAGCTTTCGAAGCAACTTGTAACCAGGGACTTTGTATACCTAACCAGGATCCGAAGATGATAAGTAAGATCCCGAAATACAAAAGATTTTGGAAAGATTATCGTCAGAAAGAAGAATACATTCAACTAACCGCGGCGCATACCGCACGGTGCACGGCCTGCAGCAAGAACGGCGCTCCGGAAGGTTCTCCAGCGGGTCGCCACGAAGAACGACAAATCCTCTGGGCTCAAGCTGCTCTCCTTTGCCCCGTCAACACTACGTGTCCCACCGAAGGCCAAGTCTGAGAGAAGCGAGTCGCTGGTGGCAGTGGTTAAAAGAAACCTGGAGTTATACTACAAGGACGCCGAACTTTCCCCTACCACAGCACCTAATGCCGCTAAAAAGCGATCTGGTAGTGAAGACCAGGTTCGCCGAGTTGGTCAAAAGATTGATGACGGCTGCAACTCGGGAGCCATGCGTCTCATCCTGTCGACAAATGGTGTTGCTCCCCATTCTCCTGACGTGTTACAGGAGTTCAGGGAAAAACATCCAGAAAGCTCACCCCCACGTGTATCGCCTCAGCTCGACCCGCTTCTGTAAGCAGCGCCACCTATAACCAGGGCGTAGCGAGGTCCGTGGGATGGGGTAGGCGCAATTTGGCTGCGCCATTTGCGCCCGCTTCGAAGGTCAGTCTGAGCCCACTGCGCCCATAAATTTCGAAGCCTGCGCCCGTATAAACAGGCCGCGCGTTACTACTTTAATTAATATAAAATATAGTTTAATTATTATAGTTCCTGATCGCCGTACCTCAGACCAAGGCACATCGGCCAAAATCCACTGCGCCACGGGCGCATGGCCAGTGGCGCCCGCTGCGCCCTTTGAAAAATCCAGAAATTTTGCGCCCGTGCGCCTGTGCGCCAGTTTCGGGCGCAAATATTAGTCAAAAGTTGGCTGAGGACGGGTAGGAGCGCGCCAGTGCGCCTATACCCTCGCTACGGCCCTGCCTATAACCGCAGCCAAAGTTTTTGCTGCCGTACATTCATTCCCGCGGGGATCGGCGGCAGGGCAAGATTCTTTGCGACCATATACTGCCGCTTCGTTGCCGTCGTCTGGCTGCACGATAAGTTATGGTTAAGGAATGGTTATGTGGTTTCTGCGAAAAGCCTCTTATACATATAGTGCCCACCTCCTCGTGAAACGGGCTTTTTTCATGTCGAAAAAACAGGTTCTGTGGTGTTCGTATTTCGTTCATACAACAGGCAGCGGTGTTATCCGTATCTTTACACGGCTACGTCTGTGACCTTTACGATATCCCGCAACAACGATGATTAGTCGCGTTGATACCGCAAGCTGTATTCTGCACAGATCGGAAAGTGATTTCTTCTTTTCCGCCAGAAGCAGCACACTGACAGAAAATGAGAGCGACAGTACTGAAAGTAACTGCAAGGAAATAGAATTGTAAATTGTTAAAGATAGTAACGAAATAGATTGTTAAAAATCAATTCGCGTGCCAGATGTGGGAAAGATATAACGGAAAACGGGCACCATGGACCAGCCTGGAAAATATGTAAGCGACATCATATTGCGAGGGCTATGCAACGCCGGCATCGAGTTACACCCGGAGCCTGTGGGGTTTGTGCGAGAGAACCGAATGCTAGGCGAGTGTTATGTACGGTGCCTTCTCGTGCTAACTGGGACAGATCTTTCATTCGAAAATACTGGCGTGAGCGATGCTCGTATCTGCAAATATTGCTAATAAAATCATCAATCTCGGCAAGGCTTTGGCATCCACTCATGTGGGATACATTTACGAGTACATACAGATATCGGCAATATCTTGACAAAGTGGAGTATCCCCGATGTGATCTGGTGTGGAAACCGGAAATCTGAAAGCCTTCCGAGAATAATTCCGGATGCGCCCATTAACGTGCTGTAGTGGTATTCTTGAAACCGACAAATTACAACGATCAATAACACCGTTTTGCAGTGTTTACAGGATGGCTGCTGCGTCAACTGCCAACCGAAGAAATCAAGGACAAAAGAGGAAAGGACACCTGAGCACACAAATAATTTGACAATCTGATAATTTGAGATATGAAATTATTTGAATTTGATAATTTGACACTGAGCGAATTTGATAATTACGGCGGCATCACTTTTAACGGGAGGATGCCGTTGATTAATTTTAGGAAATCAATGAAGCACTGCAATGTCATACGAATCAGAACCGCAAGCGCTTTAAATGTTCTACGTTCGTATACGTACATATGTAAGGATTCCGTCGTGTACGCAGTCAGTTTGTTAGGCGGCTGCGAACAGAAACCATCTCGGTATCATGCACAAGAATTTCATTACAGAACGATATTGCCGTGCTACCAATCGATAAATGTGTTGTGGTAGTGGAAGGAAGTGTTTACTTCATTAAATTAATATTTAAAATATAGTTCGTGTGCGTACCGTTGCCGTAACCAAGCAAGTACGCAGCTTCCTGCAGCCTCGTTATATGCTGCAACGTATTCGACCATTTTTCTGAGAGGGAAATTCTGGTTTTCGAAAGGGCGTGTCGTTACCGAACCATGAATCAAGCGGCCAACAACAGCACAATATCTGAAAATGCTACTGACGTATGCGCTGCGGCCTCCACTCTGCTCACTTTTTCACCGATAGGTATCGGGACATTGATCATCAACGTCATGATTGCGGCGGTGAACGGAGCGGTGCTGATGTTCTATTTCGCCAACTTTGCCGTGATCAAGGAATTTCACGTCTATGTTGTAGCGCTGATGAGCACCAATTTCCTGTTTGCCGCTGTCTTTGGACCGCTGGATGTCATGAATCAACACGTCGGAGCGTGGTGCTGGGGCACCCATTGGTGTACGTTTCGTCTGTATTCCGGTACGGTCGCCATCACTCTGCAGTATCTGATCCATACCACCGTCGCCATGTGTCGCTGTTGCGCGGTGATCTTCCCGATACAGTATCGCCATCGGCATAACACCCGCCTTGCCGTAGTTCTCTGCGCTCTGTGCTGCATAGCCGCTCATCTCTTAGTTGTCCCGATTCTCCTTATGGATGCTCTGCTTTACCGACAACCGGAAACCTTGGTTGGCTGCGACTTCAACTACCAGATGCTGCCGGTACAAATCTGGTCGTATATTTATCAAGCTGTCACCTATCTTACACTGTTCCTGGTACTGGCTCAGTATCCGACGGTTTTGTACATTCGCCGCAAACGTAACCGGACCCTACGGCAGGTTGGGCCCGCCGGATCGAAGAAAATCGGTGAGCCTAGTTCTTTAAAGCAATTATTTCATCTCTGGGCTACAATACCTTTCCGAGACAGTCATATAACAGTTTGCAAACGCACAAGCCAGTCTACAAACTGAGCATATAAAGGAACACGTACAAAAAAATCGGCGCATTGGCAGCACTATAATGATAGCCGCGATACTACAGTAGGCGTGTGCCGGGATTTTGTATTTTTCGCTGTTCCAGTGTACTTTCAAGTATGCGAAATCTGTGGTCCGGCTTGTACAAGCCAGTCCGGAAATTTAAGGGAAGTGGCCCGGTACTTGGTACCAAATTCGTGCGCGTGGATGAAAATGTTCACTTTCGCCTCCCACACACTTCTCTTCTGTTTTATGACATTACGAAGAGTCAGACATCTTTCTCTGTTGGCTGGTATACGGCCAGTGCAGCGCACCATGGTGCATAAGCTATGATTCATAGAGATAAGAACGGGTATGTTAAAAAACGGAGCTCTGCAGCGCGGTATCTCGAATACGTGCGGTGTAGTTGTTTTGACCATTCAGAGCGTAGATAAGCTCCGGATCGTGATGACACATGTTACTACTGCGCCTACCAGTCGTTTCTACTGCGCATAATGCACAAAAAACCTACATAGGCGTTGGAAGATACCCGAATGTCTGAATCTGAGCATTTGCTCTGTTTTATGACATTTGCCCGATGATTTGCGTACATAGGCGTAAAAACCGTTTGTCATTATTATTATTATTATTATTATTTATTATTATTCGTGGAGCAGGTAGCCCATTTCCGGCTAGGGTGACATTGTAGCATGGGATTTAAACTCCATCACTGCATGTTTGTCACTTGTCGTACTTCCTGTTTAGCCATCCTGCGAGCTCGCTGCTGTCAACTTGTATTACAGTATTAAAGTCATACTTAATTGCGTACTTCTTTGCATACTACATGCATGCATGACATTCATCTTTACAGGTGATCAAAGACAGCCGGTCGCTGCGTCATCAACACCATCAAACAACCAGAATACAAAACCGGAGAGCAACGCTTTTCTACTGCTAACGTTGCTGACGGGCAGCGTGTTCATCTTCTGGACACCGACGGCCATCGTCACGCCGTTGGTGGCCATGGACGTCGATCAGGTCGCTTTGGGCTGGGTTTTCGAGCTCATGGAAGTGCAGGCCATAGTCGATCCGATCATCTTTGTCTTGTCTCTGCCGGATCTGCGCCAGCTGATATTTCGACGAACTCTCTGACAAACGGGGAACATCGTTCTTGTTTTCGCTGACGCAGTCATCTATATTACGGCAGCACGAATTTCTTCTGCCGTTGCGCGGCGATTACGGTGACCTCGTGCCGCAGTCTCGCTGTGGTATCTTGGTGGCGTTCATGCTTGTGCGAACGCAGAAATTAGGCGATAGTACTTAACAAATGTACAAGTGAGAAATTTTGTTTCTCATTTTTTTAATTTAGTAGTGGACGGATTACATATTTATGACCTTTATTCCGTTTAGCTTTCGTCCTGCGCGCGTACACGGTTTTTTATTACGGGTTTCATTTTGCATGATGAGTAACTAAATTTATCCAAGGCAGTAGGTTGCCGATGCGGTAACTTCCCTGTCGGCTGTCGCGGTCCTGTTAGGTATTTTCGAACATAAGTTTACTCTTAGAGTGTTGCATCATCTCGCACATGGTGTTGTTAGCTACTTTATGTTTACGAAATATGTGACAAAACAAAGTACTTTTGGTTAAAGTGCGCGTAAAAATGTAAAGGTAAGAAAACAACTAAGAAAACGTCTGCTGAACTGCAGTTGTTTACTTTACCGAATTCGCATTCATTTTTTGGGAAATGGCACTTCGGTTATAAGCGAAAAACTGCAAGTGCTCTAAAAGCAGACTGTAACAAGGACTCAAGAAAACCACAGTTGAACAACTAAGCTGAAAACGTTCCTCCCGATTCCAGCCAAATCCTGTTAACAATCATCCGGAGCATCAGCGGCCCGTGCGTTCCAGTAGTCGAGACGAAGGTACGCCTGATCTGCAGCGTTATTATCACTGACGCTCCGCAGCGCCGCCGCTAACCGACCAGCGTCCGTTCGATCCTCCGGCATCCACGTCCAACAGTTACGCACTAAAGCATATCTGTAGAAGTCGTTAAGACAAGCATTACTATTAAGTTAGTGTTCTCCGTAAAAAAACTGTAGCTGATCAGGAACCGCTTACTTAAGGCTGGAACATTCTGTCGGTCTATCCAAATGGAATCCATTTTTCAGCAGTGTCCATAAAGCTGATTTATGAGACTGATCCGTTTCAGCATCGGCGCAGGAACACTACCCAAGCTGAATATTTTTCTATGACCACGCCCACTGACCACACATCCGATTTCAGCGAAAATCGTTCTGACTGATGGATTCTGGGGAAATCCAACGAGCGCACAGTGACCCGGTTCGTTTCAGTAAAAAACTATATGTGCTCGAGACGTTTTCGGGTGTGCGCGGCTCGTAGAGAACACGACGGGGGCACTGTATGTTTACGATAGCGCCCGATAGAGGCACCTTTGCATGTAACCGCCATCCTGGCGATTGTGCCTACGGTCTGTCGCCCACGTTAGCTTTCACCAGAAAGCTCGAAATTTCAACTTTGAAGTTCATCTTCGCATTTCAAGTTTTCAGCTGGTGATCAAACTGGAAGATGTGAAGTTTTTTGGTTGGCTCTCTCGTTTTCGACGTCATCGTCAACCAAATCTGAATTCTAACAGAGAAGAAGCACCTTATAGTTTTCCTGAAGTTTTTGCGATATCGCAGTGAAATGGTTACGAATGGAGTTCTTCGTGCTTGTGCTAGTAAACACTGGAGAAAGCTGCTCTCTGATAGCTTATCTGCTTATGCGAAGAACTACTCTGTGGCAGCGCTTATAGCAGTCCAGAAAGTTTGCCAGCAACATCTGCTCCTCATAAAAAGAAATGTCCTAGCCGCATGAGACGATGTCGTCAGTATCCAGCCAGTATGGTGCGCGAAAGGTTCAACATGGAGAAGGGAGAGAAACTGTTCGTTCCAGATTTCCATTCGCAAAGTAAGTATAAATTCGGCGATGTCACTTAAAGTTCTGTACAACTGCTTTATTTACTTGGTGACGAACAGAATATTAGAAGAATGCGCCGCCTTATTCTATCGTCAAACAGACTGCTTATCTCCACGTATGAAATCTGATTTCTTTGCTTTTTGTTTTAGGATGCAGCAACCCAAAAAACAAGAAGCTGAGCAGGAGATGCCCAGAAAGATCGACTCTGGCCGCCAGATGGCTTTCCCGATATCAGGAAACATGAGCCTTTGGAATCAACTCAACAATGACGAAATCGTCGCAGATACGGAGATTGCCCATGGTAAGTTTGCTTTACCTTTTTTAGCAATATGTGGGTTCTATGCTCTGATAACAACAATAAAAATTCGAACGTGGCTAAGACAATTTTGTCAATTGGAAAATATGTAATGCCCCTCTTTCTAAACATGACTTGTAACTTATAAGTCATGTTCTGAAAGAAGGCTCTTGTTTTGATTCTCGTGCACACGAGAAGCGATTAATTTTTTAAAAGTGCGTTTTTTTCGTAGGATCACTTGACAGCTACTGTTACAACATTTCTGCCGTGATTTCTGGAATACGAATTAAATGACAATATTGTCTGGGCCTCCCGAAGCACTCGAGCTCCTGTCTGGATACTCTCAGAAAATGTTTCTAGGTTTTATTTTCGTAATCAAGTGAATGTATTCTAATTTGTGTCTTCTGTACAGACTCTGTAGTTCAACTATTTTAATTTTAACTAGCGCACTTTTAAATTTTATTTTGTCATTGATAAAAGCCGTGGTGTAACGATATCGTAATAAAACCTGTCCGAACTCATCCTGTTACGGTGGAAAACTGAAAAGGCGGCCGGAAATAATAGGTACAGTAGTTGTAACAGAATCGGCACGCCGTTACAACCCCTGTACTACAGATTGCGCACACGATCCCAATGGGATAGTTACCCGTTTGCGGTCAGTTCGTCACCATATCCGCACGTTCTGCGGTACCACTTCGCGACGTCGCAAGTAACGTCAGGAAAGCGACGATAACTCTACTTAAACTATACACGCACAAGACGGTGACACTGCACGATGAATAGGTTTTGAGCAACGCTCCGCAACGTCTCGAGAATCCCCGGCACACGTTAAAAAAGTGCCTGCTGTCGAACCGGGTGATTGCAACTCACTGACTTGTATAGGCGCGAGGCGCATTCGTGTAGAAACCAAAACACAACCCAAAACAAAAAAGTCCTAGAATGTACTAGCAAATAATGGAAAGTACGAGTAAAGCCGTCACTTTACGTACACATTGCTACTGTCTGCTATACCTATTCCGTCAAGGCACCTTTTGGCCCTGGACGGGGCATTCGGCTCCTTGTCTTGTCATTCCGAAATCCGATATTTTCGCCACGTGATCTTCGCAAATGAAGATGTTTCGAGCCGCTAGTTCGCGGTGGACAATGGACAAGGCGCTGAGATACTGCATTCCCCGACAAATCTGACCGGCAAATTGCAACAACATTCGCGTGGACAGAAATTGCCCTTCGAATTCATCACTGCCAGTTGGCACTGCATTCTGCTTGCTGAGCACTTTGACCTTTTCTGCTTCGTCTTCGTCGTACCGGAGGATCGTTGTCAAACAATTGTTGCTGTATGAAGAGGCGGAGTTTGGAACGCTTTCCAGTTACTTGAAAACGCACCGCGGTGTCTGGTTCTACAACCACGTCGATCCGACCGAAGAACTGTTGTCCTACAACCAAGAAATCGCCGATGAACGGCAGCACGCTGCACTGCGAACTTCTCCGGATTTTGTTCTCGATGGACACGATCGGCTGCTCCTGTCCACCCGCATCCTGCTACGCTTCCCTCAGCACATCACGCAAGGCCTGCAAACCTTCACGCTCGCTCCATCATCCACCGCGATTTGTCGGCAGATAATGTCCTGATTTGCGGCGGACAACTGGCCAAGACTGCGGGATTCGGAATGGCAAAGCATGCGATGGAGTATGCAGCAGGCACACTGTAAGCACAGTAGGCGAGATTTATCGACCGAAGAAAGCAAAGTAGATAATTTCGCACGCCTTACAGCAATTATATGTCAAACAAGAACCGCTGAGCACTCGCGCCATGGCTCCACAATCTATAAGCGATAAGCGATTTTCGCCCAAACCGGATGAGTGGTCAACAGGCGTGGTCCTGTGGGAAATGTTCAGCCTGGGCCGCTCCCCGCACGCCGATGTCGAAGTGGATCCGTCTGATGAATTTGCTTTGTCGGCGTTGCTGAAAAACGGGTTCCGCTTGGAGAGACCAACAGCGTGACCTAGTTTTGTGTAAGTGGTACAGGATTGACTTTATCGCTGGCTTTACTTGTACTTGTACTCTTGTAGTCAGTGTTTTGAATGGCTTCAGATACGCTTTAAAGGGTGACTGTTGGATTTGGATGCCGGATGAACGAACGGACGCTGGTCGGTTAGCTGCGGAGCGTGAATGATAACACTGCCGACCGGGTGTATCTTCGCCTCGACTACTGGAACACACAGGCCGCTGATGATTCGGATGCCTGTTGAACAGGATTTGGCTGGAATCCTGTGACGTTGTATCTACGATTGGGAGTAATGTTTTCTGCTTAGTTGCTCAGATACGTTTCTTTAATACCTTTCAGAGCCCCAGCACTCTTTCGTAAGTTTCACTGATAACAAAATTTGCTATTTGCATAAACTGATTGAGAATTTCGGTAGAACAAGCAACTGCAGTTTTGAAGACATTTTATTCCGGTATTCTAAAGGGCTGCCGTTAAAGATTTTGTTTCTGCGCAGATAGGCACGAATTACGTAATTAGTTCAACCGTCGTTCAGGGATTCAAATACTTATGTTCAGACCATGTTTAGCATTTAGACGTGTCGGAAACTGCTTATCGTGGTTTAATGCATAAAAGTCTTATTTACGGACTCGAATTAAACTGCGTTTGACAAGCTGGGACGGACGTTCTTGTTTATTGTATGCTATGAAGAAACCAACACGATTCTGCTGATGGGAAACGTTTGTAGCCCTCTTACCTGAATGTGCTTCTTTCGGACCAGCTGTAGTCTGTTGACATCCCAAAGTTTATTTCCGTAACAGAACTGGTAGCAGTTTAATACTGCGACAGTTACTGAGTTATACTTTTATTTTGTGCCCCTTCCGTTCTTTATGTTTCAAAACAATTTTAAAATAAAGAAAGGCTACCTGTTCGAAACAATTGCAGACACTTCATTATTCATGATTCAGCCCGTGTTCACTACTAAGTAGTCAGCAGGACTGTAGGAGTGTTGTCCGTGGGCGTGGCAATGTGAGAAATATTTTTTTTTGGGTAGTTCTCCGTACGCCGACGTGCAAGGAGATTACTAGTAACCTAATAAATCTCTTGTCAAATGAGCAATGTGACCTTTCAGGCTTTCACATAGCAGCCGCATTCAGGTGTATATGTTGGTTCGCTGATCATGTTAGTCAGCGACTTAGCGAGTACAAATAAACATCTGTGGCGTGTGGGAGTACGATCACACGCCTGGATGTACGTACGGATGCTGACTGTCCGCCTTCCACCTGCAACATAACGGATAATCTAGTCAATCAATGCTGTGATTTGCTGTTCTCTTTTACTAGCGGTGTATATGATGTCATAACGCGAAGTCTATATAAGTTTTGGTTGTCGCTAATATCGGTATCAGTAGTCTTGGATTACTTCTGAAGACTGCTTTCTAATTATTACGATTTCCTTGTGTTGTGGACTATGTTGAGAATTGGATAAAGAGAAAACAAAACTTGTTCCTTCTGATGTACATGATCGATCCCGGATTATTGCATCGAATACAGGTTTGCTCGCGACACAATTGTCCTGGCTCTTTACTGATCCTCGTAGAAACCGCGACCGGAAGTTGTTGTTGGAGTGTTCCTGCTTAGGGATTCCCGAGTTCCTGTGTTCCTGAGACGTTCGTCCTATTCCTCCATAATTTAGCTGTTACAGTTTGAGATGAGAGTTGCCTACCGACTGACACTTACAGGCGTGGAAGAATAAAGATTGTTCATGGAGCTCTAACCAGCGTGAACGCTTATACACGACATCTGTATTTATTCTGGTGCTCTTTCGCTTCCATCTAATGTGGGCAGCACCGCCACAGCACCCGGACTGTCCACATGCTGACTCTGTTGAGCGAAATACGTACTTTATTCCCCGTCGGAAAAACCTTCCCTGAACCGAAAGCGACGCGTCACACCCAGAACTGCTAACACATAACATACATATCGTTTGTATTATTAACCAGCACAGCTCGATCGAACACCCATATCAACATTTGCCGCCGTTGTCGCCTAAAAGTCATCCGAACTTTTGCACGGCTTGATTGGAAGCGCTTTTATGCAGCATCTTTACCATAACCGTTTTCGCATTTGTAGAATATGAGTGGATAAGAAACAACAAATATGTGCAACCTGCGTTCGTTACGAATTGAGGATGAGCATGTCTGCAGCGAGCTCATAGAGATGTCCATAAACACAACACAACTTTACAACATGAAAGCAATAATTATTCGTCATTATTGCGCGATTTGCACCTTGAACCGATCGATCCGATGCGCCACCCAGAGAATTAGAACAGCGCGAAAACTCAATCGTTATTGCACTGCTTACATTAGTAAATCATGATCGCAGTAACCGTATGACATTTTCTTAATTGAAGAACGAGCTTATTGGAAATATACCGTGCATTGGTTTGAAGTGCGCTCTTTGAAGATTATTCAAAGCGATACAATGTGAAGTAACAAACTACCAACTTTATTTTCGTCAATTACACATTCACTATACTGTATGTATAGAAGTAGTGCTACGGTATGTACCAAACAGAATGCGGGTATCGGAATAATTTTACTGGAAGTATCGCAGCGAATGAAAGTACAAAAACAAGATTGGAAACGTAGCTAGACGAGAAGGAAAAGGAGTTGCAAAGAAGGTTTAGAAAACAGGAAACCAATACAAATCCGGATGACTGAAAATTGTACTGCACATACCGGTAACCACAATATTCTGATGCTTCATAATTATCCATCGCTGCGCAAAGGTGGGCAACGTGCGTTCATTTCATGAGGGCGATCAATAGTGTCCAGAAACCATATTACTGATAACCCTCATGAAATTAACGCATTAGAAGGAATATCTCCCAATGTCGTTAATCCCATCCTGCTATGCGGCATACCGAGTGCGACTGTCCTGGTTCCACTTGAGGTATAACTGACGAATCCATTATGCAGGATGGCCGAACATGATCGTTAAATAGTATGACTTCATTGACTTGCAAAATAAATGTACTTGATGTGAATGAAGTACCAAAATGGCAAGACCATTCATTTTATTATTTTAAGGGTTAACCTTTTCTGTTTTTATTAAGCAACATCCAATTCAATTTTCTTCGTGGTTTTGTAATTGGGATAGATGTGAATGATTTAACTTTATGTTTCCTACGTGTGCGACAACGCTGATTCCGCTACGGTTACAAACTTCAAAAACAACCAAAATCATAATAACTGGGACAGATTTTGTAATCGCGGATCTTCCTAACGGCCGCTGTTTCGTTGCGCAAGTCGGTGCCCCACGTGACCAGTTAGAATGCCGATAATTTAGATTGTCACATGACGCAACAGTGGCCAGTAGTACTAATCCGTCATGAAGTAAATGGTTCATTTTAAATTAAATTCACAAATTAATTTATTACGAATGATATAATTGAATAGTATGACTTACATTCGTGCTTTATCTTGAAAAGACTTTGGTTTTTTAAATTCGCATAATTGATGACTGATTAGATTTACAGCTAGGAATTTTAACCCAAATTGTATCAAGTCACAAACTAGAGTAGGCTTCCTCATTTTTAATTCATGAAATACTTGGATGACTTTCAGGTGGCACTGCTTCTGTTCTTATTCACAAAGAAATTTTTATCCGTATTTATGAGCTCTTGAAATCTGTCTACAATACAGCTAACCTTCCGATCAAAACCTGCTTGACAAATTAAATTATTTTAAATAACATTAAAATACCTATTCGACGAAACTTGACTTGAACTGACTACGTTAAAAAAAACTAGAAATTCCGATAGATTTTCCTTTTATTGCGTTAAATATAAATTTTTTAAATTTTAACTATAATGCTAAGAATACGATAATAATAAAAAAATAGCACACGCACAATAGCAACTAAATGCTCAACTTACGAATTACGATATATCCACCACACCGAAGCAGCTGTTTATTAGGGATCCACGAATTGATCACTATTCCAACCTGATGGGGTGTCCGTGAACGGTTCAGGAAAATCGCCGCCGATTATCGCGCTGATTTTCGGAATGCCGCAAAACAACCATGGCACAACGATGACTAATCTTATGTTTAGCAGGATTATGAATAATTTGTATCACTTAGAACAAATACAAATTACAAGCCGCTTCCAATTCAAAAACTACCATCTGTATCCAGCGCGCGCCTTTAGGAGCCATTGCTTATATAATGCCAAAGCTTACCTTTCCAAACCAACAGGGTTACATAAGTGAGAAAGCTTATAAGAAGTCAGCTTATGTATCAGTCAAAAAAATTTTACATAAGACAGCACGTTCACGTATATTACGTAAGGCGTATTACGTGCTCATGTTCTGTCCGTTACGGAAATACCAGCAGACTTGCAGTTATCGAATAAGCGTTATTTCTGTACAGTGAAACCTGTCTTTTACATACACCGGTAAATACATACACCTGGAAATTGCATACGCGGAAAGTTTAACCGGCGCGTCCCATAGACTGTAATATGGCTCTGTGTAATACAGTACATACACCTGGATAACACATACGGTTTTGCTTTAACCGAAGGTGTATTTAGTAACCAGGTTTCACTGTACATGAGTGTTCCACTGCTAAAGTTCTGCCCATTTAGGGCTTTGCAGCCATGGTGTCATAACTCTGTAGTCGAGTGTGCACACTGCACAGTACTTAAGCAAAGCAACACAAGATTATTGTTATTCACCATGAGTATAGTGGACACCGGACATCGCCACAAAAACACTAGCAACAAAATCAAATAAAAAAGCGCTAGATGCTAAACCTCTGCCCGCTACCGACTTCCACTCATGGTTAATCGTGCGAGTGACATCAAGTCGGGTATTAACTTAATTTCAAGAATAGTTTGTCCTTGTACCTTTTGAACTTTATAGTGAAGAGCACCACCAAACTGAATATTTCTCACATAATAACACCTGGTGACAACTTCGATTTTCGGCAAAAATCGTTTTCAAACGAGAGATCGCATGGTCATGCTACGGGAGCGCGCGGTTTTCTGTTCAACCAGTTGGGTTGTTGTGCTTTACTTTGAAGAACCGTGTGAAAGCCTAGATTTGGCACGGTTTGTTTTCGCACGTAATGCGGTTATTTTTTTCGTAACCGTCACCTCACGAGACTCGACGCAACTTAGCGCAAATGCATCCAACTCAGTGCAGCTCTAAATCACTTGTACAAATGTACTGCCTACTGAGGTTTTCACAAACACGGTCCGAAAAGTATTGCCAATTTGCCAGACAACATATTGCGCGAAGTAATACATAATATATGCCAGACACGCCGCTAACGTGGCGGCTACTATTTGACGTTATCGTATCGTTATCGCTTTCGCTTAATCCCACAGAACCACAATACAGCAACGGCAAATGCCATAAAGGTCACGGGAATGATGCTGTTAAAACTTAAGATCACCCTCGAACCAAGCCCGATAAAAGTGACCATTTTTTTAGGGCGGCCATAGGTTAAAATTGTGTGTTGTTATTAAGTTATTGTTTCACCAACGTGTTTTGTGTATTTTTTTAACTTTTTAAATGTGCATGATTAAAAGGTTTTGTAATCCGTTGAGAAAACGTAAGAAGGTTCTATCGAAAAATATTTTCGTATAACGTTTATATTTGTAATAAAATGTTGTAGCTATTTGAGGAAAATTTATTCGCCAGCTTCGCGCGAAAGTTATATGTATCATGAACGAATTAACACTCCGTCACTGTGGTCATAGCGCGCTAGAGACACCTTGAAAAACTTCGCCACAAATTAAAATACGTACAGTTTGTAAATAACTGTCGTGTTTGAACTACTCTGTATATTTCACAAAACTCTAACTTCCGACAACATGCTTTAACAGCAATGACAGGACCCGGAAATGTACCCTGGTTAGTTTTAATTTACAATCATGTCATTCTTATTAACAGTGACTGTCAGTGAGTATGACATGAAGACTGGACTCATAATTCTGACAGTATCATGAGTAACGTGAAATATCAAAATAATACCAAATTATAATCAGTGAACCATGGCGTATATGACAAGCGGAATCATAAATACTTACTGAGTACATACAATTAAAATTTAAATCTTTTTTATTAGTGTAAACCCGCGCAAGCGTGTTGATCTGTTCACTGGTTGCTGCCGCTTAAAACTTACATACAGTTACAACGTACTGTATAATATACGAGTACATAACGGCGTCATCCTTGTACCCGGCATTCCGGCTCAGCAGTAGCTCACTAGATGTGCTAGCATTTGTGAGCCACAGAACGGGCCACATTGCACTGCATGCAGGAGAAAATTGAATATCGATCCATGTGAAAGCGGTCCATGCGGTGTGATGCAGATGCTGCTTGTGTTCAGGAAACGATCGGTGCCGGTAAGAGGCTGAATGAAGTATATTACTGTATGTGGTGAAATGATGTGATGCGTAATTTTCTTCTAATTTTCTGCTATCCCAAGGGTCAGGTGATTCTATGATTAGCTCAAGAAAGTTTTGTCTTGTGAAACTTTAACTGCCACTCTGAAGTCCGGTTTAGTGATCCCATTTGATCTTGATCCCCTGTCGAATAAATGCAGCTTGTGTACAAATATTGCGGACAAAATATCACAGCATTATGGAAGGCCAAGAACATATTTTTATGAATCGTTTGCGTTTTTCCCTTAATCTATATAAAAGCATGTTGTCTCGTGCCTCAAAGACCGATAATCTGTTAGTATCCCCTTTATCTGCCGAATTGGCTGCTGTTACGGCGTACACTGGAGCTCAAGGAAAAACACGAACTGAAATCGCGGAAGTTCTAGGCTTGATGGCGGATTACACAGTCGAGCGCATTTCTGACTGGTTAGCGCAAATGATCCGCGATGAAACCAAAGAGCTCGCCTTCGACGAAAACCTAGAACGTAAGACGTGCAAAAAATGGCATTACTAGTCGATACCTGTCAGTGGCGAACTAAAACTCGTTTTTTAAGAGGCCAGATGATGACGATTGATGAGATTTCGATTTTTCAGAGTGGTGCCGAAACTTCGAACTATCTTCTTGCGTTGGAATGTTCGTCGATGAAAGTGTTCGTGTGATCGAACGTTACACCGAAAGCGCACAGAATCTCGTCAACGCCGCTTGTTTGCCAGTGCCATTTGCGAGCGACCCGGATGGTGCTTGGGAAAACGTGAGAGCCTTCATAACGACGCCAACCAAAGGAAAAAGGCCGAAAATCCTTGATTCCTCAAAAATTACGCCGCCTACTAATTTAGTGTTGGCGACAACTATCAATTTTCGATCGAACTGGGCGGAGCCTTTCGATGAAAACCAGACCGTTAAAAAATGGTTCACCCTGGCTTCGGGTGCCAAGATTCAGGTGGACACGATGCACGGAACGTTTACTCGTTTATTCCAATATCACAAAAGCTGGAGGTTGCATGGCGCTAAAATCCTTCAACTGCCGTATTTGCGATTATGCTGCAAAGCCTATATCATCCTCCCGAGCAAGAGAACTTGGTACTCTTGTCCACTGCGCAAAGACCGGCTGCGGCATCTCGAAGACCTGTTGACACCCAAACGCCTGCTACAGGAACTGAGCAAAGTAGACTATCCCCATGTTGTATATGCGGAGATACCGAAATTCTGCCTGCAACACACCATGGCGGTGGACAAATGCCTCGCGGAAATGGGCATGACCACCGCGTTCTCCGCCGACGCGGACTTGTCCGGAATATGCACACGGTCCCCTCTGAACATTTCCGCCGTCTCCCAGGCAGCAGTTTTCGGTGAGCTCAGGTCACTGATTTCTTAGGGTTTTCAGACCTTAAGGTTATAAACATAATGTATATGTGTGCCGCATATGAAAATGATATTTTATTGACGCATTGTAAACAATCATAAGCTAAATTGCGTACGCTTCATTTGAAGTTTTGCGTTTCAGGGTTCGACGAAAACGGCAGCGGCTGTGGCCCCGTAAAAGTGGATCAGTACATGTTCATGTCCACGTACCCGCAAAGTCGAGTGAAGTTCATAGCCAATCGGCCGTTCTTGTTTATTGTATGCCATATAGAAACCAACACGATTCTGCTGATGGGACGCGTTTGTAACCCTCTAACCTGAACGGGCTTCTTTTGGACCAGCTGTAAATTATGCTCCATGTTTGGTCATAATTAAACAGCTCGCCTACTTTCCCATCCCCTCATGTCCGAATTCCGATCGCCCCAACGCCTCCGTAAACAAGCTTTATTTCTTTAAACTAACTTACTTTCTTTCAAGAAAGCATTTTCCTGATTACATCACATTGGTTTTCTTTGAATTATTAGGATCTATAACAACTAGGTAGTTGAGCCTTGAGGCAAATTCAGGCAACCACTTATCGCACCCGGACAATTGGGAGTGTGACATTTCGCCGCACTCAAACTCGACGCGCGACTTTTCGCCGCGAAGACATTTCGTCGGCGGACATTCGGACGCTGGGACACTTCGGTTTGGGACTTAATGTTTTGAGACATTTAACCTTTGCGACATTTCGACGCAAGACATCTGGCCGCGGACAATTCGTCTTGGGACTTTTCGAACGATGCGACTGATCACCGCAAAATAATTAGCCGCTCTTAATTTTCACTAGTTTTTTTCAGTTTTTTTAGGTTTGTTCTTAGTTTTCTTTGGTTTTCTAGTCCTTCTTAAGCTTTCTTAGGTCGTCTTATTTTTTCCTAGGTTTTCTTAGGTTTCTTAGGTTTCTTAGGTTTCTTAGGTTTCTTAGGTTTCTTAGGTTTCTTAGGTTTCTTAGGTTTCTTAGGTTTCTTAGGTTTCTTAGGTTTCTTAGGTCGTCTTATTTTTTCCTAGGTTTTCTTAGGTTTCTTAGGTTTCTTAGGTTTCTTAGGTTTCTTAGGTTTCTTAGGTTTCTTAGGTTTCTTAGGTTTCTTAGGTTTCTTAGGTTTCTTAGGTTTCTTAGGTTTCTTAGGTTTCTTAGGTTTCTTAGGTTTAGGTTTCTTAGGTTTCTTAGGTTTCTTAGGTTTCTTAGGTTTCTTAGGTTTCTTAGGTTTCTTAGGTTTCTTAGGTTTCCTAGGTTTCTTAGGTTTCTTAGGTTTCTTAGGTTTCCTAGGTTTCTTAGGTTTCTTAGGTTTCCTAGGTTTCTTAGGTTTCTTAGGTTTCTTAGGTTTCTTAGGTTTCCTAGGTTTCCTAGGTTTCTTAGGTTTCTTAGGTTTCTTAGGTTTCTTAGGTTTCTTAGGTTTCTTAGGTTTCCTAGGTTTCTTAGGTTTCTTAGGTTTCTTAGGTTTCTTAGGTTTCTTAGGTTTCTTAGGTTTCTTAGGTTTCTTAGGCTTCTTAGGTGGTTCATTTGGTTTCTTCGGTTTCTTAGGTTGTTCGTTCGGTTTTGTTTTCCTGTTCACTTTTTCTGTCTCTTTTAGTTAGCTCAGTAAATCATGTATCTGGAATCCGAAATGTCGCTTCGTCGAGATGTCCTTGCGACGAAATTTCCTTGCGTCGAAACGGCTGTGCGTCGGAAAGTCTCGCGGCGCAAAGTCCTACCGACGAAATGTCCTCCGACGAAACGTCGCGCGGCGAGATGGCCTTGCGGTGAAATGTCTGCGACTAAAAGTCCTGCGACTAGTTGTCTGCGGCGAAATGTCGCGGTGCCACCACTTATGGATACGAGCCATTCGGCCGGCTGTGTTCAGTTCGGGCAAGCAAACGCTGGCGCTGCCATTCTCACGGCTATTACAAACCGACCACAATCATAAAAATAATGTTTTCTGTTCTAAATGCAGCGACCTGCAATAATCTGTTGATGATAACTCAGTGCACATAAACCCTATTAACTTACGTACCCAGCTGGTTTAATTCGAGTACGTAAATAAGACAGTCCGCAAAACAAATTCCTTTATTTCCCGGGCGTTGCTGCGCGGGTTAAACAGAGTGAACAGCTTGCTGATAAAGATTAATTAAAGGAAGGTTCGGATTTCGGAACCGGCTGAACGTTTGACTTTAAGTGCAAGGATTCTACCGTAGAACAGCCATCTGTTTTCAGTCTTGGTTGAAGTCTTGGTAGCAGTTGCATCTCCTGGTTGCATCTTCCAAGACTTTTATGCCCTAAACCTCGTTAATCGTAGGTTGCCTATCAGTTTGCGACACGTCTCAATGCTAAATATGGTCACATATTTAAATCCTTGAACCACGATTAAACTAACTAATTCGTGCCTACTGCATAGAAACAAATTCTTTAATGGCAGTCATTTAGCGTACCGGAATAAAATGTGTACTGAACTGCAGTTGCTTATTCTACCAAAATTCTCCATCAGTTTATGGCAAATGGCAGTTTTGTTTTGAACGAAATTTACGAAAGAGTGCCGGTGCTCTAAAAGGTACTAAAGAAGCGTATCTGAGCAACGAAGTAGAAAACGTTATTCCCGAATCGTAGATACAAGGTCACGGGGTTCCCGCCAAATCCTGTTCAACCTGTATCCGAGGCATCAGCGGCCCGTGCGTTCCAGTAGTCGAGACGAAGGTACGCCTGGTCCGCAAAGTTGTCACTGACACTCCGCAGCTCCGCAGACAGACAAGCAGCGTTTGTCCGTTCATCCGGCACCCACATCCAACAGTCACGCATTAAAGCGTACCTGCAGCCAGCCAACAACGCATAGGCAGCTTATTGCAAATAGTGCAGCAAAACAGGTAATCGTGCACCACTAACATAAAACCAGGACAACCTGCCGGTCTATCCAAACGCAATCCATTTTTCAGGAATGCCCACAAAGCGGACTCGTCAGGCTGAACTGCTTCCACATCGCCGTACGGGAGCCTACTCAGGCTAAATATTTCCCACATGACCACGCCCACTGACCACACATCCGAGTTTGCCGAATACCGCCCCTCACTAATCGATTCTGGAGCCATCCAACGAGTGCGCAGCGCTTCCTGTTCGGTAAATTCATTTACGCCGCCAGTTATTCTCGTTTGGTGAAAGAGAACAGTACCTGCGCATTAAGTGCAACATACTCCGTCGCATGCTTTGCCATTCCGAATCCGGCAATTTTCGCCACTTGTCCGTTGCAAATCAAGATATTATCTGCCGATAAATCGCGGTGGATGATGGAGCGAGCGTGGAGATATTCCAGGCCTTGCGCGATATGCTGAGCGAAGCGTAGCAGAATGCGCGTGGACAGGAGCAGCCGATCGAATCCCTCCTGACCTTCTCCCGGTGGAATGCGGAGTGCAGCCTGCTGCCGTTCGTCAGCCGTTTCTTGGTTAAAGGGTAACAGTTCCCCGGTCAGATCGACGTGGTTGTAGAACCAGACACCGTGATGATCTTTCAGGTAACTGGAAAGCGTCCCCAATTCAGCGAATTCATACAACAACAGCAGATCGCCTAAACAGGTACTACCAACTGCAGATAGACATAACGCTAATTGCTAAATCCTAAATTGTAAGCGCACCTTTGCGGACAACTCCTAAAAGAGGAATTATATTCATGTGTTGGCCGGTGACTGTCATAATCTCCGCTTCTTCATCCAGTTGCCGACGTTGGCTTGATTTAGGAGCGGCTTTTGAACTTTTTGCCGCCACAGCCGTCAGACTGCGCTCCCCGTTCAGGTCTTGGACAAACCCCTTTCGCACAACGCAAATCACGCTCTCATTTAGAATTCTATCTGTATCTGCAAAAGGCGCAGCGAACACTTGATATTATGAGGTTGATACGTTCCCATAAAACGGGCCACGGTTGCACGAACGTTCATGAAATTAAATTCAAATGCCAGCCACATAGGTCATTTTTCAATTTCACCTAATTGCACTCTGGCCAAGGGAATTTCCAAACATCCAGTGCGCTGCGCCGAGTTCAACTGCACAGTATTTGCATGTGTATCAGAAAGCGGAGGACTGGCTAATCCGCTGAGCATCATGTGCAAGCCATTGGCCAGATTGACCTTCTCCATGTTCCCGTGCTTCGCTCGCTTTCGCTTCCCAAGAAACCACACGAAAGCAACAGCTAACGCGATAAAGGTCACGGGAATGATGCTGCATAAAAGCACTTTTGCAGCAAAACCTGTCAATGCACCGATGACCTTTAGTGGTAAGGCGAACATCACGAGACAATTTGGCTACCGGTGTCTGATCGAGTGGCGTTGGTGTATTGTAGGACCGACACGTAGTCCACCAGTAATTCTTGGTAGGGCGCCTCGCTTTCCTTATAAGGAAAATCCGGCTGGGAATACTGCGCTTCGTTCATCAGTGCGATCACTATGAACAGCCGCGGCCACATGGACAGTCCGGGCACGGTGTCATTGGAGACCATCGTGTCGTCGACGAACCAGCCCAGGAAATCGCGCGTCCACACCAGCTTGAAGAGATGGTAACCAGTGGACAGATCCGCATCACTACAATCAGGCAGTTCACTCTTAGCTTTTGGATCATTTAACCGTGCGGTGCCAAGTAAAAGCCTGTCCCGTAATTTCCACCGCATTACCACTGCGATAAATACCGATTCACGGGTACGCCAAACTCTGTCTGAGTACTTACGTAAAGAAATGATGCTCAGTGCGGGTCTCGTTACCGGCGGCATCCGGATACAAGACGACGCTCTTGAGGTGATGAGTGGCCGTGGACGTGCTGTCTAATTCAGCTACAGGCAGCAGTTCTTCATCGGTGCAGTTGTGCTGTGGAGTGTCTTTGCACGGGGCCAACAAGATCCAGACTTTAGCATTGCGATTGCTGGGAACCGGATATTTGGCTCGTAGGATCAGTTCTCCGTAGGTGAAGTTGAACTTTCCTCCCGTGCTGATCCGCGTCCCCGTCGGTCGGATTATCGAACCGTTGTGCAGGCTGCCCGTGCCCAGCACCAGTTGACCGTTTCGCAGCCGCAGATTGTCCGGCTCTAAATAATCTCCTCCAACCTCTCCGGGCGGGTACTTGTGCCACCAGGCATCGTTCAGAACGTCGCTGTTGAAATCGTCTCGAAAAATCTCAACCATGTCACAACTGACCCAGTAAAAAGTGGCAAAGAAACACACGATGGTACAACTCCTGCTCATTTTTCCCCTACTACAGTTGTTATTTTGTCACAAAAATTGTGCCGTGTTTAGTGCTTAGTAGTGGTAGAATTCCACGCCTAAATGTGTTCCGATTGTCGCGCAGCGGATATCAAGCGTCCTAATGGCTGCGGGGCGTTTACAAAAAAAAACAACGTTATCGACGTCTGTCACAGCCGGGTTTGGAAAATAATCTGTACGACAGCCGCCGCAGTGCCACGTCGTATCAGCAGCACAATACTGTCTACGACTTGCCAGACTAGCATAGAAAAAGCGTATCGAGTAGCGTACCTGAAATTAGAAATCGGTTAGTATTCTGCTTGCCGTGCTGCCGTAGCAGCTGCCATGTTTTCTAGTCTCCCGGTGTGTCGCGAAACGCGAGTGCTTCGCTGTGCTACACGATCTGAGCATCTAACGATTGCCGGTGCACGAACCACCAGGCCGATAACGAGGTAGTGAGTCACGGGAGTGTTGCTTTACCGTTAGAACTATGCTCTGCTCCATTCCAAAGCCAATATTGGAGGCAGATCAGTAAACCATTGAAACCGGTTTATACGCTTAAGACGCATGCTATTCAGTCACGTAAAGATTTAACGTATGTTTCACTGTATCTGAACGAACTGGTTTTACGGATTTTCACAGCCCTGCAGCTCCTTGCTGTTTAGCTTGATGGTTGTTTTAAGCTTTCCTAAAAAAACTATTTGGTATTTATGCCGGCCGTGCATTCTACCAGTTTTCGGTCTAGTTGCAATTTACTGTAACCGTAGAAGTAGTGAAGTACAGATAATGCAAGTATGAATTTCAATATTTAGTTACTTTACTGCGAGCCTGCAGCCTCGATGCACCAGTGCCAATAACGACGATGACATCTCGCCGAACAGCCTCTTGGCTCTCAACCGTTGTATGGATCCAGCTGTTTTCATACTTTCTCGTCGCACAAGCCGGTAGCGATGATGACGTGGCGGAAATTTTTCGGGATGATTTCCAGACACTGGATTACGGAAAATGGTACCTTATACACGGTCCGGCTGATAATCTGACGGTTCTCGATGCCAGGAATGTGCGCGTGCAGAACGGTGTATTACAGCTGAGAAGCAACTTAAGATGCGTCAACGGATCACTGCATCGCAATTACAGCTCCATCTCCTGAAGGACCTTTACCTTCAAATACGGCGAAATACTGATCCGCTTAAAGTATCCCAACGCCTCCGTATGGGACACTATATATGGCACGTTTCGTACCAGAGCAAAAAATTAGAACGCCTATTTTCTTCGCCTATTCGTGAGCCACGGTAGTTACCTTTAGTGGCTTCAGCCACCGCGACATTTCGCCGAGGACAAGTAGTGGGCAGGCAATTTGGTCGCAGTCAGTTCGCCGCGGAACTTTGCGCCGCGACTCGCCAGATAGTTTGTCGCGAGGCCGTTTCGATGCCGCGACACATGAAATAAGATGACATAAGGAAACCTAAGAAACTCAAGAACGCCAAGCAAGCGAAGAAAAATTAAGGAAAAACAGAAAGTGAGAGACCTGGAAAACCTAAGAAACCCCGAGTGAAAACCAAGTGCGACGATTTGTCGCAAGGTGACAAAGTTTGAAAGCATTTTGTCGCACAGTGAAATGTCCCAGCGTCCGTATGTTCCGCGGCGAAATGTCAAGCTTTTGATTGTCCGGGTTCACCAGCTTTAAATAAGGCGATGCAGTCTACAGGTTTACAGGAAAAAAGATGACAGGTTTACGAATGAGCCTCAGATGGCCACCGCGACTACAGTGTAAAACGGAAGTATACAAGATGTGACCACCGTGACTGCATGAAAGAAAACAAGGTTCTATTTTTTCCCGCTCTGACACGAAGCGTGCCACCACAGGTGCGGACTCATATGCCGGTTCGTGGTGGGGGTTAGAAGGCTACGACATCGCCTCTACGCCCCAGGTCACTATATCAACTTTAACCTCGTTTCCCTCGATCCTTCATTTATCTGTGAACTACACAGCTTCTTCTGGAAAGATAATCGATCACAGTCAAGCTTATATCAGGTACGATTATGGCTAATTTGATCGTATGTAGACGTCATTGCTGACAACCAGTGTGTCACAGCGACAAAGATTTGTCCCTTGATTATCACGTTCAGCGACTGATCTGGATGAAAGAACGCATGGAACTCCATATGGACGGTCAACTCATTCTCAACCTCACCGTTCCAGGACAAGACACTTGGCCCGCACGGGGCATATCCATGAGTACAATCATGCTTCCGGGGACCCTGTACCCGACCGACACCGATGCCTGCCGAAACCCGTCGTTTGAGCGGTGGAAGGAATTCCTGATTGACTACGTCATTGTGCGGCAGTACACCAACCCAGGGCACACAGGTACTGCGGCGTTTCGGCGTAGGGTTTGGGGAAGTTGGAGCGGGCAAACCACATATCCGTACAGTTACCCATTATAATCGTATGATTTTTGTTTCATAAATTCGGGTACATTTCGTGTGAAAAGTAAATTGTTATAACAAGAAAAGTTCATTTAACGCCGCCGCTCCTTTCATTGTTCCGAGTACGGAAGCGGCACTGCCTCGTTGAAGTTCCAGGGATGCGCGTTGTCGAAGAAACTCGTGAGAGCGCGGTTCACCCGTATGAAGTTCGAGCCTATTGGCGATTTCTTTTACTGTGGTAGTGGCAGGCGTTCCCCAAGGTCCATCTGCCTGCTAGATACGAAGAAAATCGCAGTCTCTTATCCTCAGCTTGCGTAGCAGCGGATCCCGCGGTGACGGACGCGGATTTCCGGTGTGAGATAGCGAGGGTATCGACCCAAGTCACATCCCATGCTAAACACAAACCACGTTTCCAGGAAAAGGTGGTGCATCCGTCTGGTCGACGTTCGGACGTGTGGGATGATTGATTGATTAATACTGATTAGTACATCCCGATATAATTGGTTGACAAAATATGCCGACCTTCCGCTTTACAGATAAAGTTATCCAGATCTCACTGGGCGTGGCTCTTCCGCTGGCTGCCGGGGCATCAGGAATTCTTTGGCTTATTCTGCTGCGGCTCGCCAGACAGCGCCGTCTCAAACGCACCATGTCGAAATGCACACTCACCACGTGTACGCAAAGTATACCTACTGTGTCGGCGTTCGAACACGCTGCGGAAGCCGCCGATGTATTGACGAACGAATCGGTGCAGGCCATGGAAATCCCTCTGGCAAACTTGCAAACCAGTGCGCTAGTTACAACATTGATAGGAACCTCAGCTGGTGCAACTGTTCATGGCTGCGTTTCTTTTGCAGCCGAAATAGTTCTGGGCCGAGGCGCAACGAGTGTTGTAAGGAAAGGAGTGGTTCATGAACTCGCTGGCCGGTCAGGCCCATTTGCCGTCGCAGTGAAGAGTGTGCGGAACCGCAGCGACGCGATGGAAAATGGGCAACTAGTGCAGGAACTGAAGATCATGACAAAGGTCAAGTGGCATCCGAACATTGTCCGCCTCGTCGGCGTCGTACTGGGAGGTGAAGGTTCGCGCAGAGTTGTACTGCTTCAGCGCAGCATTTCGCTATACTAGCTCTTGGTTTCAGGGAACTTCTCTTGGTTTTCGAATACGCGAAATTTGGTTGTCTGCGGTATTTGCTCAAATCTCTCGGCGTCGAATGCTTTTACAGCCATGTCAGTTTCGATGGGGTGATCCTTCCATATGATGAGGACGAAGCGGAAAAGGTCAGACTCCTCAGGAAACAGACGGCACCACCAACTACCAGCGATGAATTCGACGGGCAAATCCTGTCAACGCGAATGTTGTTGCAATTTGCCGGTCAAATCAGTCAAGGAATGCAGTATCTCAGCGCGTTTTCCATTGTCCACCGCGATTTGGCAGTTCGTAATATTCTTATTTGCGACGGCTACGTGGCGAAAATATCGGATTTCGGAATGGCAAGACAAGGAACTGATTGCCCTGACCAAGACCAAAAGGTATGTCAGCGCGATTTTGAGTAAACTTAAATAGTGATAAATAGACTGCGCAAGCGGACCAGATTTGGCTATAAGGTAGCTTGAGTATGAGAGAAATCAGTTCTTGAACTGATTTGAACCTATTAAGCTTCCAAATTCCTTGTTTTGCAGGAAGCGCTGCCGGTGCGCTGGATGCCGCCGGAAGCTATAACGGAGTCGCTATATTCGGAGTCCGACGTGTGGTCCTTCGGCGTGCTTCTGTGGGAAATGTTCAGTCTGGGCGCGCTGCCTTACGCCGGCATTAACGTGTTGCCCGGACACAACATTTCCGATTTTTTAGCATCGCTGCAGTCAGGAATGCGTCTGCATAAACCCACCTTATGTCCAAGCGCGATGTAAGTAGCACTTTATTCTGCGTTGCGTTGCGCTGGTTATGTTAATTAACCGTTTAATAGTTACGATTTGATGTGCGAGTGCTGGGAGCTCTCACCCGAGGACCGCACGGATTTCACTCGGCTAACACATACCTTGCAGACTATTCTCGATGTTGCCTGCGTACCGGTGCATCGCGTCTGAGTTCGCACATGCGGGCATTCTCAGATGAAAACTGTCTTTTATAACCTTGTGTCCCGATGGAACTTGTAATAACAGGAATCCTTGGCGAGAAAATCAATAAGAGTCATGAGAGCTGCCTAAACGTTCATCAATCCATCAAATGCCATCAAACGTTTGCTAAGCCAACTGCGCAGGTTCCGTGATGATTTGACATTCGTGCACTCAACAGCAGTTCCTGTCAGAACCGCAGACGTGGGTACCTGCACCAACCAAAATTTCATTTTTTTCTTTCGCAATTTGTCACGACTCACGTATCCCGTAATATTTTCGTTTCTTTTGAATTTATTGAGTCAGTAAACGACTCACTGTGATTGTCCGACTTTCAACTAGTAAACGTTAAACGATGTCGAAGCGAAAACGTCTGACAACGATCGCCTTGCTAATGATTATCTCTCTGTGGGGTCGCTGCGCAGACTGCGCGAACAGCAGTCGACGGGGACGTTCTGCAGTTAATCGCAGGTTGCCTATCAGTTTGCGACACGTCTAAAGGTCATATATTGAAATCCTTGAACGACGATTGGACTCATTAATTCGTGCCTATCTGCGTAGAAACAAAACCTGTAATGGCAGCCATTTGGCGCACCGTAATCAAATCTCTACTGAACTGCAGTTGCTTATTCTACCAAAAATCTCCATCAGTTTATGGCAAATGACAGTTTTGTTGTGAGCGAAACTCACGAAAGGAGTGCCGATGCTCTAATAGTGCTTATTAAAGAAACGTGTCTGAGCAACTAATTAGAAAACGTTAGTCCCGAATTGTAGATACAAGGTCACGGGGTTACAGCCGAATCTTGTTGACATGCATCCGAAGCATCAGCGTTCCAGTAGTCGAGACGAAGGTACGCCTGGTCGGCAGTGTTATCATTGACGCTCCGCAGCGCCGCCGCTAACCGACCAGCGTCCGTTCGTTCCTCTGGCGTCCACATCCAACAGTCACGCATTAAAGAGTGCCTGAAGCCATTCAAAAACACTAACTAAAAGGCTATAGTTAAAAGCGCCAGAGCTATAGTTAATCCTGCAGCACTCACACAAAACTAGGACACGCTGCCGGTCTCTCCAAACGCAACCCGTTTTTCAGCAACGCCCACAAAGCAAATTCATCAGACAGATCCACTTCAGCATCGGCGTACGGAGAGCTGCCCACGCTGAATAATTCCCACAGGACCACGCCCACTGACCACACATCCGAATTCGGTGAAAATCGCTTTTCCTTAATCGATTCTGGAGCCAACCAGCGAGTGTTAAGCGTTTCCTACTCGACCCGTTTTCGATTTATTTCCGCCAGCAAAGCCGAAAGCTAACCTAGTCAGTAAAGCTAGCCTACTGTGTCTACAACGTACCTGAGTATTAAGTGCGATATACTCCGTTGCACGCTTTGCCATTCCGAATCCCCCAATTTTGGCCACTTGTCCGCCGCAAATCAAGACATTGTCTGCCGATAAATCGCGGTGGATGATGGAGCGAGTGTGGAGGTATTCCAGGCCTTGCGCGATGTGCTGAGCGAAGCGTAGCAGAATGCGCGTGGACAGAAGCAGCCGATCGTGTCCATTGAGACCAAATTCCGGTGGAGTTCGGAGTGCAGCGCTCTGCCGTTCGTCGGCTATTTCCTGGTTGAATGGCAACAGCTCTCCGGTCAGATCGATGTGATTGTAGAACCAGACGTCGCGATGTGTTTTCAAGTAATTGGAAAGCGTTCCAAACTCCGCCCATTCGTACAGCAACAGCGGTTTGCCTAAATATATGCGCTTGCAGCAATGTGCACGGATAAATCGTAACACACTGCGAACCTTTTAGGATAACTCCCAGCAGAGCAATAATGTTCATGTGTTGACCAATAGCTGCCATAATTTCCGCTTCCTCGCGCAGTTGCCGCAGCTGGCTGCTGGGGGCTGCCGAACGTTTAACCGCCGCAGCCGTTAGACTGCATTCCCCGTACAAGCCTTCCACAAATCCTTTTTGCACGATACAGCTTGCGCTTTCGCTGAGAGTTCCGTGTACTTAAAAGTAGCAACGTAATTTTTTGAAAATGAATCGGAACAGAGCAAATTAAATTATGTCGGCGTAAACAAATTCGAACTTAGTTGACAAGTTCTCCGGAGAGTGTTGAGGTTGTGTAAAGAATACGCTTTACTGCAGTACCTTCAGATAATGCTTGCATCTCACCTAATTGCACTCTGGCTAAAGGAATCTCCAGACACTGAACGCATTGCGCAGATTCCGCTTGGAAAGTGGATGTCTGTGCGTGAAAAGGCGAGTACGCACTTAAGCTGGATAACACACTGCTCGCCATTTGCAGGACGTTGGCCACACTAGCAGTTTTCTTCATGTTTCCGTGCTTCGCTCGCTTCCGTTTGACAAGGATCCACAGGAGGGCCAAGGCCAATACGACAAAGATCACCGGTACGATGCTGCTTAAAACCATCCCTGAAGCAATCCCTGTAAAAGTGACTTTTGGTCTCGGCGCCACTGCTGCGTCAAAGAAGGAAATAGAGTTTTAATACCAGTATTCGACCGAGTTGTGTTGGAGAACTGAAGGACCGAGATGTAATCTATTAGCAGTTCTTGGTAGGGCGCCGCGTTTTCTTGGTAGGGGAAGTTCTCTGGCGCGGAATACAGTATCTCGTTCATCAGTCCGACCACGATGAACAACCTGGGCCACGTGGACAGCCCGGGCACGGTGGCATTGATAACTAGCTGGTCGTCGACGAACCAGCCCAGGAATTCGCGCGTCCACACCAGCTTAAAAAGATGGTAATCCGCGGAAAGATCCGCATCACTGCAACCATTCCTTTCTTTAGGTCTTCCTCCTTGTCATGTATTCGTTTAATACAGCTTTACTGATACTGTGCCGGCAGTCAGCTGCCTGCTAAACAGTGACCTACGGGTATGTACGTAAAACATTGGGGCAACCATACCGTTGTCAACCGCAAGGTCATAGTACATCACACTCCTTAAAACTTTCGTAGCCGGATTTCGGGCGTGGTGAAATCTTATAAAATAATGCGCTTACATGTGCACATGGTCGCTGGTGAGGTTCCTGTTACCGGCGGCATCCTTATGTATGGTCCTACTGGTAAGAAAATGCGTAGCAACGGATATGCCCTCTAACCCGGGTATGGGTACCAATTCGTCGTCGGTGCAGTTATGCTGTGGAGTGTCCTTACATGGATGCAGCAAGATCATCGATGTGGCTAGATGATTGCTGGGAACGGGCAGTTTGGCGCGTAGGGTCATTTCCCCGTAGGTGAAGTTGAACTTGCTCCCCGTGCTGATCCGCGTCCCCGTCAGTCTGAACGCAGATCCGTTGTGTCGGCTGCCCGTGCCCAGCACCAGTTGACCGTTTCGCAGATGCAGATTGTCCGGTTCATACAGATTCCCCTGAATTTCTATGGGTGGTGGTTTAATCCACAGGGCATCGTTCAGAACGTCGTCGTTGAAGTCATCTCGAAATATTTCAATCAAGTCACCACGGACGAGGCGAACAGCGACAAAGACACAGAGCATCGCAAACCGCTTATGCATTCTTCGCATTCCTTTACACTAAGCTTTTTGTTGTTTACCAAAAAATGGTTCAGTAATGTTAAAATTTTCACATAGACGTGTATTGCGGCTGTCGCATCCAGCGTTATATAGCTGCTAGGCATTTACAGCAAACAAATACAGCTACTGCTGTTTTTTGTAGCTTTATGCCTTGATATACAAAGTCAACGGTTGACTTGTGAGAAGGATCCCTATACCACAGAAACCGGTTAATGCGCTTGACAGTTCGACAAACGTGCTTGTCGATCACGTTTCGATGAAGCGTACGAGTATGATGCGATAATAATACTGTAAGCGCATCAAAAATAATAAGCGTAATAAGCGTATCAGAAATGATAAGCGTAATAAGCGTAAAGAAGGCTTACTACGGATTTCTGCTGCCCTGCAGCTGCCGGCTGATTGATGATTTTTTTCGGCTGTTGAAAAGAAACTACATGTCGACTATTTATCTAAGCAGTTTGTCTAGCTGTGATCTGCAGCAAATTAGTAAGCTACCGAAACCGGTTTATGGGCTTCACCAACGTCTTTTCGATCACGTGCCCATTCAACGTACGTGGGTATCTGAACGCACTAATTTTTTTTACCGATTTCCACAGCCCTGCAGCTGTCAGCTACTTGATTATTGTTTTCGTTAGTTTTTGAACTTTTTAATGAGAGTACATGTCGACTGTTTAAAGTAGTTTTTGTCCGACTAGTTGCGATTTACATCGCGCGACAAACATGTACGGTTCTTAACGGTTCTAGTGCGAATAAAGAAGGATGGCCTTCAAGCAGTCTGCTGCTTTACTGACCGCAGCGGGATGGATCGGGCTGTACTTATACTTCCTCGCCGCACCGGTCGGTGCCGAGGAAGATATGACGGAGATTTTCGGGGACGATTTCGAAACACTGGATCGCGAACAATGGGATATTCTACAAGCGTCTGGCACATTCGGATTTTTTGATGCGCGAAACGTCCGCGTGCAGGATGGGGTAATGGCGCTGAGAAGCAGTATGCAGTGCATCAACGGTTCACTGTACCGCAACGTCACCCTCCTCCGAACAAGGAGCTTCACGTTCAGATACGGCGAGATGCTGATCCGCTCCAGGTCCCCAAACACCTCCAGAGCGAAGGCATACCCCTCCCCGATGTGATGGTTGAAGCGTTTCAACCTTACTGTTTTACCTTCAGTATCTTTGAGCTCATACCCAATGCAACTTGGCGCACACGTGAATTACATACCACCGTCCGGCAAGGTAACCAATTATGGTCGAATGTACCACAGGTATGTCCACGTCCAGCAGATATAATAGCAATAATCGATGTGATATCTGTTTTATCCTTCAGTGGTTGAAACGTTAGGTGTTATTGGCAGGGCTGCCGGTTTTAACCGAATTGTTGCATTGGCGTACTTTTATTGGTCAAATGAAAAACGCGATACACAGATACAAAAGACACGCAAAACTATAACAGAAAAATTTCGTTACGCATATCTAGCCCTTCCATCGTGCCCAGCACTGATGCCGCATTTCCCCGTTGAATTTCTATGGACAAACGCTGCCGAATGAATTCATGCGAGCGTGCTTCTCTGGTGTGCTGCTGCAGTCTTTTTCTCAGATCTTTGATGATTACGATCGCCGACGGTCCCCACGGGCCAAGCGTTTCGAAAGCGATCGGAACGAAGAGGTAGCGGCCAGCAAGATATAAGTATAGTCTTGATTTCTTATCCTCCGTCTGCACGGCGGCCGCTCCCGGCGTGGTGGAAGTGGCTTTAACGTGTGACAGCGCAACTGTGTCTACACAGGTCACATCGGTCACATCCCATGCGAGACACAATCCGCGTTTCCAGGAAAATGTTTTGCAGCCGTCCGGGCGACATTCAGATGTGTGAGAAGTGCCGCGTGGCTCCAGTTTCGCAGGCACACCAGCGGATACAAACCCCCTACAAAGGATGCTATTTAAACCGCCGTGACGCGGATGCCGTCCGACGGGAAAAGCACATGACAGCCCATGGTGTCCGTAACCATCTACAGCTTTATTGCATTTGGTGCAGTCGTGGGGGTCACAGATGGTGGCACCGAGGCGGAGACAAGTGCTGATCTTCAGCTCGTCGTCGCCCAATAGGTTAGCAATGTGAGCGGACGGTAAGGCATTCAACTAGAAGCTGGCTTCTGGTCTTCACCGGGCAAGCAGGCGAGCTGTGTGAAACACCTCCAGCGGTGCCGCAAGAGTTGCATAATGTCCCAGGACTTTTGGAACTTCCGAAACGCATTTTTATTGAAGATCCGGTTGACGAGCTTTTAGTTTCCATGATTACGACGCACCAGTAACGTCAACAGCGGCGTGGTTAGGCAGTAGTACATACAGCAAGCCGGACACGGAATGAATCGAAGCCAAGTAGGCTGGAAGGGATAATTCTTCCGACCGGAGGATGCCGATTCCACCTCAGCTAACAGGAAGAGTTGTTTGACGCCAAGGCGGGTAGTCATGGTGGTTCGACAGATTTCGTCCTAACGTTCGACAGATTCTGGAAGCAAGAGCGCATCGCTTCATCCAGCTGGTACAGTAATGCGGGGTATTTCCACGCATTACAGCACCGCAGCATATAGATAACTTTCGGGGCGCCGAGACAGTTTTTCAGGAGAAACAGTGCTTGATGGCTAGGTAGTAGTTGAAGTCGCTCACACATCAACCTCAAGGTGCTGGCCTTTCGTTGAGCAGAGGTGCTGGCCTTTTCGTTGCTTCATCCAGTACAGGTGCACGCAATTTGCTTACCGACAATTTGCTTTCCTTCAGTTGTCTGCCTTTCTGCCCGAATTTTTTGCTGAAAGTACTTCAGTGACCGACAGTTTGCTTACCGGATTTTCTAGCGTTCTTAGTGTTTTTTTTTAGTTTCTTTGGTTTCTTAAGGTTTTCCCATGTTTTTAGAATTCTCGGGTTCATTTGTGTTTCTATGGTCTGTTTACGGTATTAAGTTTGGTCTATTTCGGGTAATATTCCTAAGATTTCTTGTTCGGTTTCTTAGAATTTTGTAAGCTGTGGACTTCGGGAAGCTCGTATGTACAGATAGGTCATCAAAATGTAAGTGTTCAGCAAACCGTCGCTCAACAACCTGCCGATCACCGAGTTATCGTTTCAGCAACTTGTCGGGTAAACATTTTGTCGGCCGGCAAATCGCCGGAGTGCCGACAACCGGACTGGGGACCTCACTGACTATCACTACAATGCAGCAATCGAGACCTGTCACGTGACTACCATATTCAGCGCCTGATCTGGACGAAGGAACGTATGGAACTGCACATGGACGGCATCCACATCCTCAACCTCACCGTTCCGGGTCTGGACAGCTGGCCCGCACTGGGCATAATGCTGGATACATCCATAGACCCAGGGACTCTTGTCGCACCGGTCGCCGACGCTGACGCGTGCGTAAGTCCGGCGTTGGAATGGTCGCACGAATGGCTGATAGATTACATCATTGTGCGGCAGTACAGGAGCAACGTGCACCAAGGTAATATCGCTGGCAACAGCGACCAGGATCGTCGCTGCCCTTCTTCAAAGTTTCTGTGCTTCCAGAGGGTGGCGTTCAGATCACGTTGGGCGTGGCAATTCCGTTAGCAGCCGCAGCGTTGGGAATTATTCTGTGTCTCATCCTGCTGCGCCGCGCCCGACGTCGCCGTATCGAGCGAACCATGTCCAAACTGACGATCGTCGCTTCCAGGGCAAGCAACCCGTACCTGACAGCATTCGAGTTCACGGCCGAAGCTGCGGATTTGCTCACCAATGAATGGGTGCGAGCCATGGAAATCCCTCTGGCAAATGTGCAAACGGGTACGTACTTACGTTATTGTCTCACGTTTGCCTGAAATATTGGCTCGTACAGACATCACAAGTGAAGCGTTTTCTTGCAGCCGAAATAGTTTTGGGGCGAGGCGCGACGAGCGTTGTAAGTAAAGGCGTGGTCGATGGGCTTGCCGGTCAGCCACGCCTACTCGACGTCGCAGTGAAAAGTGTTCGAGACCACAGCGAAACGGTGGAAAGACGACAATTGGTTCAAGAATTGAAAGTTATGGCAAAGCTCAACTGTCATCCGAACATTGTCCGCCTCATCGGCGTCGCATTGAGAGGTGACGAATCGCATTAAACTGCAGCATTCGAAGCTGACCACGGACTGGTTTTAGGCGAACTTCTCTTGGTTGTCGAGTAGACAAAATTTGGTTGTCACCGGTATTTGTTCAAATCACTCAGCGTGAAACGCTTTTACAGCCATGTCAGTCCCGATGGAACCATCCTGCCGTACGACGAAGACGAAGCGGAAAAATCAGACTCTTAAGCAAACAGACGGCAGCACCACTGAAGTTAGATCGCTAACAGTGTGTCAGTCGTCGTACTTCACTAAAGTATTAAAAATAGTAGTAGAATACACGAAAAAAATATACTCGTATACAGTAAAATTAACAGATTGTTGAGAAACATTGGAGCATGGACGTAGATCGAACATGCCGAAAGCGGTATCAACTCCGTTTGGTCGCACAGGGACCTGGTCATGCGGCGCAGTGAACCCGGGTGTGTGTGTCTGGATGGGAAGCTGTACGTTCTCGGGGGGTACGCCGACGAGGACGGAGACGACTGTCTGGACAGCATCGAGGTGTACGATGAAGCGGCAGACAGCTGGGCGCTGCATGCATGCCGGTTGCCGCGGGCCCGGTCTGGATGCGGCTGTGCAGTGATGAAACTGAGAACACCACTCGCCACTTTAATGCCGACCGCGGTGGATTTAGGATGAATGTGTCCGCCGTCCGTTTGAGACGGTGCACTGCGCCATTATGCCGACGTTTCATTTAGTTCTTATGCCAGATTTGCTCTCTTTTTATCGGATTCATTTCAGTACGGAATTCCCACAGCCTCTTGAATTCGCCGTTTCCCAGTTTGTGTTCATAGTAAGATAGTGATTTGTGTTAACAGTAAAAAAAAGATAAGATGAATGTTCGTGCTTTTCTTGTTTGTTTTATAAAAACGACACAAGAAATGGTACTTAATTTCTGAAACAGCGGATAAGTATTGCTGCTTTTGTACAGGAGACGTTTTGCATTGATAGCAGACTGTTTGAAGCCTGTTTGAAGCGGCCTTGTGTAGTATAAATCTGTAAATCTGTCAGTCTGACAGTCAAAGGAATCGCAAATACCGAAGAGCAACAGGCACCTGCAAAAAAGCTTGATACAATAAGGGTCCATGCCTCCTTGATTAACTGGGTGTAACTTCCGTGTAAGTTCGGCACCGCGACATTTCGCCGCCGACAACTCGTCGCAAGACTTTTGGTCGCAGACATTTCGCGGCAAAGTTATCTCGCCTGGCGACGCTTCGTCGCCGGACATTTAGCCGGCAGGACATTACGCCGCGAGACATTTCATCGTCCGGCCGTTTCGACGCCGAAACATTTCGCCGCTGGGCTGTTTTGACGAACGAACAGAAAACCTAAGAAACCTAAGAAACCTAAGAAACCTATAAGAAACCTAAGAATGACATAAGAAACCTAAGGATAACCTACGAATAACCTAAGAAACCTAAGAATAGCCTAAGATTAACCTAAGGCTAATCTAAGAATAGCCTTAGAACAACTTAAGAAGCCCAAAGACCTAAGAAAACCTCCCAAGAAACCCGGAAAACCTGCAAAAATTAAGCTTGTCGAATGCTTTTGCGGCGAGTGTCCGCGACCAGACGTCTTGCGTCAAAATGCCGCAAAGTCAAAATGTCTCAATGCTAACTGTCCCTAACCGAAGTGTCCCAGCGTCAAAATGTCTCACGGCGAAATTTCTTCGCGGCGAAAAGTCGTGCGTCAAAAATTTAATTGGGACGAAATGTCACACTGCCGAATGTCCGGGTGCGGAAAGTTCAGTGGCGGCGATAGTGCATGACCTTTACATTGCCACTCATACAGCTGCGCCTATAAGATCCTGTAAACATTCAGTATAGAACGTGCCGCGACGAATAAATATATTACTGTTGTAGCGCCGTGTACACTAGCCGGTTACACTACTCTGCTGCTTCTGTATAGAATGTACGGTATTTCTACGTAGAAGCGAATGTTAACTAACCAGTTGCCTTGGAATGAGTTGTCAGACTTTTATTAAATCTGATTTTGATGTTATTTTGATGAAGAAAAGTGGAAAAAGTGACTTAGCTTTCGTTCGTTTCGTATTATTCTAATAAGAAATATAATTATCATCATAATTATGAACCCCATGTATAAGGGATTAGTGTAGTCCCGGGGCAAACCACTACACTGTACTCTTCATATTACGTGACAATGGATTTGTCGAAAACGCGAGCCATTTCCAGTACATCCAGTTCTGGAACAAAGTGGACAAAATAAATAAATCCGGCAAATCCTCGTTTACAGTTTGTGTCCTAGCAAATAATCCAGAAATGGGGCTGCTGTTTATTACTTAACTCCAAGGTCCCCGCCGCTGTGACATAGATGGGTGACATGGATATCAGTCCGTCGGCTTGGACGAGTTGGCAGCACCCAAACAGTGTACTAAATAAAGGTTGCTCTATCTATTTAGTAGATTTGGTTTCTTATACGGTGAGCCGTGAGGCGTTATGAACTTATTTCTCGTTTAACCACCCTTATTTATACGAGTCTACGTGGTGGACGCCACTGGACGGGCAAGCCGACACCGAAAGTGAATTGACTGGAACTTCTGCTAAAACTGTCGAATTTAACTGGCTGATTTAAACCAAATGCGAAGTCAACGAACGATTTGATTGGTTAGAGCTGCCCAGTCAATATGCTGGTGAAATCAATCTGTTTAATGTAAAGGGCCACGAACACTCACGAACGTAGGTAAAAGTGTAAAACCATGAAGGGCATCGAATTTCAGTTGTTCTTCTTTCCCGATTTGTACAAACACGGATCTCGAAATATATTATTTCAATTTCTTGTGGACAGTTGTGGTTGCATTCCGTCGTTAAACGGCTCATTCGTCAACTGTAAACGTCCAACGAAACGTCCTCGTAAACGTCCAACGATGTCGAAGCGAAAACGCTCTGACAACGGTCCTCGTGCTAATGATTATCTTCCTGTGGGGTTACTGCGCGGACTGCGCGAACAGCAGTCGACGGGGACGTTCTGCGATGTCGTTCTGAAAGGCAGCGAGGAATCCGCGCTGGGCATTCCCTGCCATCGCGCTCTCCTCAGCGCGCACAGCGCGTATTTTCGGGCCGCCTTCTCAGAGAACTGGAAGGACTCGAAGCAGCACGTATTTCAACTGTACAATATCGACAGCCGCACCTTAAACGAGTGAGTGGCTCTCTATTAAACACTAACACTTATTGTAATTGGTGCTGGCATTTAAAGCTTTGGTGCAGCTGGAGGATGGCATAAGTAAAAGCCTTACTCTTTGTGTGTTTTTCAGGTTGGTGAAGTATTTCTATACCTTGGACATCAACCTGAACAATGACAACGTGGAAGAGATCTTGATTGCGGCGCAGTTCCTGCAGCTGGATTCCCTGGCCAAACGCTGCTGGCGCTACGTGGTAGAGCACATGTGCCTGTCGGACTCCCTGGCAGTCCACGCTCTGGCCTCGCAACACCATAATTGTGTTCTGGCTGAGAAGGCTCTTGGTTATATCCGACGGCGCTTTCCTCAGTTCGCGCAGAGCCAAGACTTCCTGCAGATGGACGCACAACAGGTACTAACTGTGGCAGACTTTTGTATTGTGATACACATTTTTGAATCTCATGGCATCTGTGCTTTCCCAAGCGGAAGTTGTGTGCACCCACGGTTTAGCATTCAATGGTTTATACAAACCATTTCGCTTACATTTTTACACAATGTTTTAAAATGATGCAAAATAGCGTTTGGAAACGCGCAGAAGTGGCAGGCACCAGTTTCCATGAAGTTTAACTTGTTTGCAGCTGATTGAACTGCTTGTCTCGGATGAGGTGGACGTGGGCAGTGAGGACCAGGTGTTGCAGGCTGTGCTGCGCTGGCTGGATCACGACCGTCCCGGCCGAGTGGCGCACGCGAGCACGATCCTACAGGGCGTCCGCGCTGCCTTTCTGAGCGAGCAGTGTCGACAGGAGTACACGCTGGCTCGGGATAGCGTGCCAGCTGTAGCGTCTGCGTGCCAGTCTGCACTGACCAGCGCATTGTCCGATGCGACGACGAAGCCCACACCGCGATATTCGTACGGTAAGGTTAACGCGTTAACCTTACGTATTAGAAACTGAAGACATAGAAACTCTGCAAATTATTGTTAGATGCGCGCGACGTGATCCTGTGCGTGGGTGGATGCGGTCGGGAGGACGCGGCCTGCGTCCGAGCGACGGTGGACGTCTTCTGTCCCTCACTAGCGGCCGTCTGGCGCCTACAGCCGCTGCCCACGAATGTGGGTTGCTGCGGCGCAATGATGCTCAGCGCCGGCGCGCTGCTGATCACCCGATTTGACCACACGGTGACGGTGCAGCGCGACAGCCACTACACGGACCTGCAGTACAAGTGGTCCCGGGGAGCCGGCATGCAGACACTGCGCCGGTCGGAAGGTCTGGCGGCGCTGCAGGGTCGCCTGTACGCGGCCGGCGGTTATGGTTTGGGCGGTCGCGCCATCCAGCCACTGTTGTCCGTGGAGTCCTACGATCCCCCTAGCGATGCCTGGAGCGCCGTGGCCGCGCTGCCCGTTGGTCTGGCGCAGCCGGCGATGGTGGAGTGCAACGGTCGGTTGTACGCCTTCGGAGGCGAACGCGAAGGCCGAAACCCCTGCAGTTCGGCATTCGTGTATGATCCCGCAGCGAATGTCTGGAGCCGACTGGCCGATATGCCCACGGCACGCCGGCGTTGCGTGGATTGTGTGGCTCCCAGTGGACTGATTTACGTTATCGGTACGCGCAGTAAGGGAAGCAACATAAGATGGTCTGAATAACAGTTTAAGATTTCGCTGTATTGTAGTGCGTCTAAATAATTTCTTGTTTTGCCTGTGGTACAGCGTAATTTTATAATTACTGCAAGGCGCAAGCATCACCAATTTTAACAACATCAGAATTTCATTAAACTTTTGTGCTCCTTCCATCGTTCCCGTAACCGATGCCGCGTTACCGCGCTGTATCTCCGGTGACAATCTGCGGCGTAAACACTCATGAGAACGGGTTGCGCCTGTGTGTTTCTCGAATCTAAATAATTGCTTATTTCACCTACAGTTGCCATCATAAATGAATTTCTCGGCGCCAAGTCTGTTTAAAAATCGATGGTGGTATGAGGTTATATGAAACAGGGAGGAACCTTTGAACTGACTCTTGTGCATTGCTTAGGTGGCGAATTTGGTGATGCACGAGACACGGGACGCTGTGTGGAAGCGTACAACCCCGTCACCAATCAGTGGTTCACAAAACGTAAGTGTACTGCTATTACCGATGTAGATTGAACACAACGGTGTACCGACTCGCTTGGTAACCGCAGGAGACCTGATCATGGGGCGCAGTAATCCCGGCTGTGTGTGCCTGGACGGGAAGCTGTACGTTCTCGGAGGGTACGCCGACGAGGACGGGGATGACTGCCTGGACAGCATCGAGGTGTACGATGAAGCGACGGACCGCTGGGCGCTGCACGAGTGCCGCTTGCCGCAGGGCAAATTCGGTTTCGGCTGTGTGGTGATGAAACTGCGACGAGCTTGAAGGGTGCGCCGGTCACAACGCGCCCCTTTCCTGCCGCCTTTCGACGGATTTGCAGCGAGTAGATGCGCCATGAGTGTGGAATGAACCGTTCGCAACGGGATAGGTGCAGCACGCTGTCGTTTTATTGAGTTATTTTTGCCGGGTGACGGTGTTGTTCATCTTTCACTGGTTTCGTTGCATTAAGGGATTCCAACGACCTCTCCAACTCCCGTTCTCCGAATCTGTGTTAATACTTTTTAGTAATGATGATGTTTCTCGTTTTCTTTTGTTTATTTTATTGCAAGGAGCAGGAAACAATTAGTTTCTGAAACAGTGGATAAATATTGCACGGATAGTCTACCAAGACGTACTGGTTTGCACCGAGCGCGAAGCGCGAGGTGCTGCAATAAGTCCGGTTCATGCCGTCTGATTTCCTACACGGGCATTCTCAGACAACAGCTGTTTTCAGCACCCTTGTGTCAACATGGATCACGTAATCACCGTGTGAGGAGAGAAGCGGCTCACGTACAGCGACAAAATCTTTCAAATGATTCCAACGTATTGCGCCGTGGTGCAGTGGGACTGCCTACGCGGATCTAACGATGTAGCCGGGGTTCGATTCCCCCATCGGCGCCTTTTTCAGCCGTCTCTCGGTTTCCCTCGGATTGCGCCCTGCTTAGAACCGGAAGCCAGGGGCTCGGGGCAAGCATGGTTATATTATAGATTTCTCTGGTAATTGTACAACTGCGCACCGAACAGGTAGTGTACCTTTCTGTTGAAGGCCGACTTGTGGCTTAATTCAACGGTGCTGTAATCTGCAGCTGGCTGGAGGAGCTAGCCAAATTTCCCAATAATGTTTTTCTGAAGTTTCTGTACATGTTAGACAACCCCGCATATCGCCAATGCCAGGTAAGCCTGGTAAGGCACGAGTGCCGCGGCGCTTCAAACCAAGTTGCATGGAGAAGAAGCTCGGAGGTTTGACTTCTGTCACTTTCACCTAACGTCATGTGCCAAATCGGTTACCTTTGTAATCTTCTTCCTTGACTTACACAATTACGTTACTTCTGTACGTGCATAACGAGAAAATTAATAAGAGTCATAAAATCTGCCAAATTGTTCATCTGAATGCAGAACATGAGCATAACTTCACGCCCCCTTTGGCTGGCAGTTACGAACATTCCACCACCGCAAACGTGTTTGAAAACGCGAGCACCGCAAACGTGGGTATTTCAACCATCCAAACTTCATGTTTTCTAGCGCGATTTGTCCCGACTCACGTATCCCATATTGATTTGTTCCTTTGGAATTTATTTAGTCAGTAAACGGCTCACTGTCCTTCTCCGACTTTCCTCCCGTAAACGTCCCGTGATGTCGAAGCGAAAACGTTGTGACAACGATCGTCCTGCGAATGATTATCTCCCCGTGGGGTTGCTGCGCGGACTGCGAGAACAGCAGTCGATGGGGACGTTCTGCGATGTCGTTCTGAAAGGCAGCGAAGAGTCCGCGGTGGGCATTCCCTGCCATCGCGCTCTGCTCAGCGCGCACAGCGAGTATTTTCAGGCCGCCTTCACGGAGAACTGGAAGGACTCCAAACAGCCAGCATTCCAACTGCACAACATCGACAGCCGCACTTTGAACGAGTAAGTAGAACTTGTGTTGAACATATTGTAAATGGCGCTGGTAATTCGGGTCTTCGGTGAAGGCCTTGAGGTTGGAGCTTTGTATAAGTATAAAGCCTATTCTTAGTGTACTGTTTAGGTTGGTGAAGTATTTCTACACCATGGAAATCAGCTTGGAGGATGACAACGTGGAGCACGTCTTGATTGCGGCGCAGTTCCTGCAGCTGGATCCCCTCTCTAAACGGTGCTGGAAATACGTGGAAGAGCACATGCAGCTGTCGGATACCCTGGTGGTCCATGCTCTGGCCTGCCAGCACCATAATCCCCATATGGCCGAAAAGGCCCTCGGCTACATCCGGCGCCGCTTTTCGCAGTTCGCACAGAGTCAAGATTTTCTGCAGATGGACGCGCAACAGGTGCTGACTCGGGCAGTACTGCAGTTACCCATTATGTTTAGAAATTTAAAACGAATTTCTTAGGTTTGAACAATTCAGTTTTAAATGTGAAAAAAATTCTGGAAGTCAGGCTCCGCGCCGCGCGAACATCTTAGCTTATGGGCGCTTTTGTACAGAATTTGATAGGTCTATGAGACTTCTAGTACAACTGTTCGTTTTTAATGCTATAAGATATTATTTCCTCAACAACTGTCCAACCGGATGTTAGATTTTCTAACGTCAGCATATACAAATCATGCGACTACACAACGTCATCCGATAACTGCAAAACAGTGTTTGAAAACGCCCGAAAACGGAAAGATCCGGCCCATTGACACGCATTTGGCCGGTCAGACTTCTCTGACGTTAAATTTCCTTGCAGCTAATTGAACTGATTGCCTCGGATGAAGTGGACGTGGTCAGTGAGGATCAGGTGTTTCGGGCGGTGCTGCGCTGGCTGGATCACGGCCACCCCGGACGACTGGCGCACGCGAAGGCTGTTTTACAGGGCGTCCGCGCTGTCTTTCTGAGCGACCAATGTCGACAGGAGTATACACGGTGACCCTCGCCAGTGCACCGGCAGCCGTGCCGTCCTGCCAGTCCGCATTGGTTAGCCAAGTAACGGACGGAACGACGGAGAAGCCCGCCCCGCGACATTCGTACGGTAAGGTGAACACGCGTTCGGCACTGTTGGTAGTGTTTGGTTGGTATGGGCGCGTGCATCAGCAGCAGACCGCGCGTTGGGGGCGGCCCCCCGGTGGCGCGAGCCGCCAGGGTGGCGCTTTAAAATTCGAAGTTTTTTTAAATGTTTTTAACAACGTTCTGCGTTTTTTTTGAAGTTTTCTTAGGTTTTTTTTTCATGTTTTCAAGCTTTTTATGATTCTTTGTATTATTTTTCGCTTTTTCAAAGCTTTTTGCTTATTTTTAATAAAATTTTTGTAAAATTAGTCGGCCCCCCGATTTCCACAAAATTTCAAAAATTCGCTGCATGCCGGCGGATTTTCAGCTTTGCGCCCCCTCCCCCTCACCGCCGCTTCCTCCGGGGGACGGTGTAGAGGTATCCAAAAAACCCCAGCGCGTGCCTGCCTGCCTAGCGGCTCTAATCCCTAGCGGCTCTAACAATGTCAGAATACACGGTTATGGTGTATACTGTTATATTCGTATACGGTTTTCCAATCTGGTACTCGATTTGATGTTGCAGCGAAAGCTCCCTGGACCGCCCGCACCAGGCGTCGGTGTGAAGGTAGCCGGCAGTTGTTGGACGGTCCTGGGGTTTTCTCTGTCTCATAATATCGTGTACACAATAAACATTGCAAAATAAATAAACTCTCCAGCTGTTGTTAGATGCACGCGAAGTGATCCTGTGCGTGGGCGGACGCCGCTTGGACGGCACGGTGGACGTGTTCAGTCCGTCGATCCCGGCCGTGTGGCGTCTGCAGCAGCCTGAAGCCCGCTTTGTGGATCCCTGCGGCGTCATGGTGCGGGACGGCAGTTCGCTGCTGATCGCCCGATCGTACGACGTGGTGACCATGCAACGGGACAGCCGCTACGTCGGCCTGGAGGAGCAGTGGCGCCGGGGAGCCCGGATGAAGATCGACCGGCATGCGCCCGGTCTGGCCGCGCTGAATGGGCGCATGTTCGCGGCCGGCGGTTTCGGTTCGGGTACGGGTAGGGGTCCACTGGCGTCCGTGGAGGTCTACGACCCCAGCAGCGATGCCTGGAGCGCGGTGGCCGCGTTACCCGTTGGTCTGGCCCGTTTGGCGATGGTCGGGTGCGGCGGTCGGTTGTACGCCTTCGGAGGCGAACGCAACGACGACCGGGACGCCAGCAAGTTGGCTTTGGCGTACGATCCCGCCGCCAATGCTTGGAGCCGACTGGCCGACATGCCCACCGCACGCGGCTGTTGCGTGGCCTGTGTTGGTCCCAGCGGGCTGATTTATGTCATTGGTACGCGCAGTAAGGGAATTGTAGGATGTTCAAAATATTTCTCATTAGTCAACTACAGTTGTCAACACCTTCCAACTGAATTTGAGGTTAGGTTAAATTGGGCATAAGGCTCCAAACGACGCATTTAGCTGGTTAAAACGGCATTTTCCAATTTACCTTGCTTTGATTTCTTATGTTTTCTTCTGTTTTCCTATGTTTTCTCATGTTTTCTTATGGTGTATCTTATGTTGGAGATGTTTAATTTCGGATACCGAATTTGAAAGAATTTGTAGAAATGACTGAACTGGTTCTTGTGGTGAATCGCTTAGGTGGCTCTTCCTGGACCGGCTATGCACAACGGATAATACGTAATCGTCGGGACGGGACGGGGCGCTGCGTGGAAGCATACGATCCCGTTAGCAATCAGTGGCTGCTGAAAGGTAAGGCACATCTCCGTTGTCTGCGTACGGATGTCGGTTGGACTTAGCTCGGTGTGGTCGCCACAGGGGACCTGGTCATGCGGCGCAGTGAGCCCGGCTGTGTCTGCCTGGACGGGAAGTTGTACGTGCTCGGGGGATACGTCGATGAGAACGGAAGGGACTGTCTGGACAGCATCGAGGTGTACGACGAAGAGGCGGACCGCTGGGAGCTGCACGAGTGCCGCTTGCCGCAGGCCCGGTCGGCCTTTGGCTGCGCGGTGATGAAGCTGCGACGAGAATGACGGGAGCGCCGCTGACGTTGCGCCATCGTTGTGCCGACTTTTGCGGATTATAGGATGAAGGCGTCCGTCTTGAGTTTGTAACGTGTAGTGTAGTGGCTACGCGCCATATTAGCGCGTAGCAACCCGCATGGCTGTGTTGACCTGTAGAGGACGCATTTTATGTGGTACTACGAGTATTTCATTATTCAGTATCTATCCGGCCAGAGTGGCACAATAAACATCTGTGCCAAGACGTGACATAACGGTACATTGGGAATGAGATAAGTGCAGTGATGCACACGTTTTCGGTTCTTTTGCGAGGTATATTTTGCTCATGCTTCCATTGCATTTATGTCATTTCATTTTCATTGATCTGCAGAGTGCACGTGAAAAATAATGACTAATAACGAAGCAAAGACGCTTGGTAACATAGAAGGGTCTACGGTCCACTGATTTATAAGACGCATGTTGAGAAGTGTGTTTTATGTGTGTCAGCCTTTATTGTCATTTGTCATAGTGGTTGGTACAGTTCAAGATCCTCGATGCAAGTAGTTCACAGTTTCACGAAAATGATCAAACAAATGGTCACGTAATTGGCAATAAGGCAACACTTTGGCGCCGCAGAAACAGGGCAAGCCGGCTTGCATATAATATTTATGAATCAACGTTAAAAGTTTAAATGCCTCGAAAATTTTGACGTTGTGAGAGAGCAAAATGAAAGAACTACCGAGCCGACCTAAAGAAGATCGTTACGTTTACCCACCAGAGAAGCAGAAAAGGAAGGAAAGACACCAACAGCCAAAGCTGCTCTTGTCGTTAAATAGGCCAAAAAATGTAGCGGTAAATAGTGACATGCTCAGATGCCTGCCCTAAGCTTTCCGTCTCCTGCAACTCCTTAAAAGTGGTTTTATCCCGGCATCAAGCACGGGATAGTCTTTGCGAACGAGTTAAGCGTGGATGAAGAAGCATGGGTTCACGCTCGGAACGCTTCGCTTATCCCGTGTATGGCCAGTTTGCTCCACGTGCTTACGTCTACACACCGCAAATCGACATTCTCCCATGCTCTTGGTCTTCCGTCCGCGTGGAATCCGCTGAATCTGCAACACATCACGCGGCATATAACTAATATTGGACGTTGTAGATCCGCTCTCAAATAAATTGCTAAGCAGTTGCTTTGTCGGTTTTCGAGGATAGAAGGATCGTACACGATACAGGCCTTCGCCCTCACCGTTAGTTGCTACCTTTACAAAACCCGTTTAAGTATTTTGGAAGACCTCGCCTTCATGCGATACCGATGCACAAAACTCCTACCGATGATCATATTTTCTTCAGTAATCTTTGAGACATGACTGTCACGAGTCCCATCTACTTTACTGTACCGCATTAGTATTTATTCGAACTTACAGTTGTAGGTAATAGCGAATATGCTGCCAGTCATCGGGATAGGTCAGGCTCCGCAGCCAGCGTGCATGGATCGCCGTGACCTTTGCCAGCATGTCCTCCGTGATTGGCGGGAAGTCATCGTTCAGGGCACACATCAAGCGACTAGTCATGCCCATCTTGCCGTCGCTGCAGCGCAGAAGCAGATTCGGAAGGGTGATCTGCAGCTTATCAATGGACAGTTCGTTCGACTCCTCCGTGAGTTGCACCATCCACTCCCGCTCGTGGGCCGGCAGGGCAGGAAGGGTCATGCCGAAATGTGGTGCGTGGTGGATAGGCTGCTGGAAGACTTGCCACATATGGCGACCGAAGAGGCCGGCAACGGTCCACTTGTGCAGCAGGACGAAGCTGCACACGTGCTTATACAGCGCGATATTCCACGCTGCCCCGTGTTTGACGCGCGACTGGTGCTGCTCATATCCTCCTAGCCTGACGTTATTATGGCCTTTCAGCACCAGCCAGTGCAGTTTTATTTCCTTGGTCTCCAAGATCGTAAGTAAAAATGCAGCGTAGCGTAATGGGAAGGAATTCAAAAGGGTGAGGCTGATTGTCGTGCTGTTGACGGAGCGGCTGAGCAGCGAAGCTACCTTAAAGCAGTTGTCGGAGTCGGCTCTCCGGGCGCCGTTGGCTTCGAGCGGACAACAGCTTTCGAAAGAGAAGATGACGTGCTCCCCCATCCGCGAGCTTCTCAGCAACAACTGCCATAAGAAGCACACTCTATAATAAGAAACACACACAGTATTAATACCGCTAGCGGTGTTAGATACTTATATGTATCAGTGCACCGAGCGAGCGCCAGTACCACTGGAAAATGATATCGGTCATTTGATATGACATTGTGACATTGGAATAGCGTAACCCGACGCCAACATTTCGTTGATGCTAACACCGACATTCTGACCGAAACACGGTAGGAGAACTGCAAACGTGACGCAGCTGTCGGTCAGCGAAATGGTTTTGGCAAGAAGTCGCGCAGCGAAACTGTAAGAAAGCAAATTTTTGCTGACCGACAGCTGCATCACGTTTGCAGTTCTCCTTAGTGACAGAGAGATCAGTACGATAGGAACAGTTACCGTAATAAACTACCCTACCGATCTTACTCAACGACAGAGTATGAGCTGATATCTCAATGTGGCATAGCTAACCCTAAAAATCTACGCGAAGGGAGAACTGCATCTCCCACGATAAATTTAATTGATAAACCCCGACGCTGCCAAAACTCAGAATGAGAAAAGTGAATGGCGGATGATGCCAAAGTACTGCCACTTATGGACTTCTATAGGCGCAAACCATATCCGTATAGAAAACCAAACTAAACCCAAAACAACGGAGAATATGACATGTGTCAACACGGGACATAACATAACAACGTCAACCTCTGCCGTTGTTGGCGATGACCTCTGGTGATGACCTTTGTTTTGAAGTTCAAAAATGCGCAAACCGCAAAGATATCCCGTACCGTTTGGCTCTCATGCGTGATTGCAGGTCCAAATGTGAGAAGATGTCGATCAGTAGCATCGGCGTTAAATCCCGAAGACAGGCAGTCAACACTAAGACATCAGCGTCGACATCTAAGAAAACAAAACCGTAGCTTAAACCAATTTTAAGCGCCACCAGATAGAGATCATGAAGCTGCTTACCGTTTTCGCGAGGGAAATCGTCATTTGCACGGAGTGCTCGATTATCGACGGCCGGTTGATGAACGCGACTGACCGGTTGCATTTCCAGGATCTCAGTCAGGATTTCCGTCATCCTGTGCGTCGCCTGCTTGTCTGGGGCGAGACTGACGATGACAAACATACAGCCACTGGGTTCGATGCGCAGATGAAACCGGCAGCAGTCAATCAGATATTCCCGTTGGCGTTGTATTGCGGTATCTAATTCCTTATGAACAGCCTCACAAACATGTTTAACGATGCGAAATTTATCGAGCGGCTCGCTGAGAACGGCGCTGGCATGGCCAAGCGGAATGAAGTACTTGGTGTACAGCACACCGCTGCGGCGGCCCAGCAGTGGCGGACCAGGAGGTGGCAATGCAGTAGCCACTTGGCGCCGGTGGACCAGCTCATAACGAGCCGGGGCGGTTTGGGAAGCGACAGTTCTGATACAAAACATCACATTCTGCGGGTGACAGCCCCACAGTGCGTCCAGCATAACAGCTGGTCGGAAACGAAACGGTTCGTTATCGTCATCGCGGAGTGCCGCAAATATTGGAACGTTGTCGTAGTCGTAACTGGTACGCTCGCTGTCCCAGTATAACGGTAGTGGCCAGACGTCTTGCATATGGATCCAACGCGCTTTGGCTGTTGTGGAGTTGAAGTGGATGAACGCGTAATCGGCATCAATGTCCTGAAGGTGTCCCAGCCACCAGGTGTCGTCTGCATTGCGAACGGCAACAGTATTGTGATAGCTGCTTTGATTGGCTTCCACCAATATCGGCTGATAGAGCGGCATCGCTTCCAGCTCAGACAGGAGTCTTAAAGAAAACTTGGTAGAACCTTTAATAAGTATCGACCACAGGATACAAACTTAGTACCAAAAACAAAATAACTATTATAACAGAAACACTTCCTCTATGCTATCTTGATAGGGAACCGTACCCGTTACACAAATCGCGTTTAACCGTTGTATTTGGATAGATAACCGCTGCTTAAAAATATTGCAACGTTCCCTATGGGATTACTATTTCGAAACCCATGGGAATGCGAAGTCTAACAAATGACAAATGACGATAGTCCCTACCGCTACGCGTCATACGGCGCTGTGTTATATATTGCGAGCATAACCAGCTGCCATAAAATTTGGATCGGATGCTCGGTCAGTAGCATGCTTCGCCACTGTTTTCTGCTTGAACGATGAACTGCGCGGCTGCGCCTGATTGGTCTGTTTCATAAATAAACTCTTTTTTGTTAACGCGAAATGGAGCTACTCCCCAAGAACAGCCAGAATGGCTGAATCGTCATTTCTAACGGGTTCAGCGTGGATGCAGTTGAATGGCTTCACATTCGGAATACCTCCATGTGGATGCATCCGGACACCACAGATCGACATCGTTCCATGTTCTTCCATCGAGTGAAACTTGCGGACCTGTTAAACACACAATCACACGCTACTCTGTGAGCTGCAAAATTAACAAGCGACTTCGAAAGCACAGCATTGACAGAGTGAGTTACGGTAATACTTGCCAGTGCCTATTAGCAATCGTCCCGACTACATAGTACGTTAAGAGAAAGCCGCCGAAACGGTGCATGGACAGCCGTGACCTTTGCCAGAATGGTAAACGTGACCGAAAAGTTGTCGTTCAGGCCGCACCTAGAACGACTGGTCATGTGCAGCTTGCCGTCGCCGCACGGAAGCATGCAGCTCCGCAATGCTAATCTACAGTCTGTCGATGACTCGATGGTCAGTTTGTGTGGCGACCAGGTGAATCTTCCCCACAGTTCGGAGATCTTCTCAACCAACAGCCTCCTAAAAAAAATCTAACACCAGAGTTATAGTGTTGTGCTGCTAAATAAAATTAAATAACGGCCATTTACTTGTTAGTAAAAGTCGGCCTAATATTAAAAGTGTAGTAAATAGTAAGGTTGGAGAGCCAAAGTAAGTAAAAGCAAGTATATGTCAGGCTGCAAGTGGCAATAGTAAGTAAATAGTAAACTAGTTTAAAACGTGAAGAAACTTCTAAAAACTTTCTTTGTACATAACGTACTAACAACCACATTATCGGGCGATCTCATTGCCGACCTACCGATGCACGAAAACGCACGCATGCAGCTATAGGGGCCTGATCCATATTTTTTTCCATATTTTTTTTTAATTTTTGAATGTTTAAATAATATATAAATTTATTTTAGAATTTGAAAAGAATGGTTGAACTCTTAGTTGTGACTGTGAATTGTCAGTCAGCACCTGTTGCGCGTCCATCTGCAAAAAGTCTTGACACTGCGCAAACGTAGGAAAGTGTCGCCAGACATCCTCCAGGGTTTTTTCAGCCAGATCGGGATTATCGTGTTGAGAGGCCAGAATGTAGACCGCTAGGGAGTCCGACCGCTGCATGTGCTTGTCCACGTGCTCCCAACACAGTTCGGCGAGGGGCGTCATCTGCAGGAACTGCGCCGCAATCAAAATCGACTCCACGTTGTCGTTGTTTAGCTTAATATCCAACGTATAGAAATACTTCACCAACCTGAAAAGCGCAACAAGACTGATGCTTTTTATAGTTCTCCAGCAATGGTTGCGGTTGAGAACCAGACTCAACCAGTGAAAACATCAGTCCATCAAGAATTCAAGACCGCCAGTTACCAGTTCACCTGAACGAAGTTACTTACTGCAACCGTGCAACTGACAGTCAGACATCCGTTTACTACAGAAAACTCTGTACACTGCTACTGTGCTACCCACTCGTTCAACGTGCGACTGTCGATGTTGTGCAGTTGGAATACCGGCTGTGTCGAATCCTTCCAGTTCTCTGTGAAAGCGGCCCGAAAGTACACGCTGTGCGCGCTGAGGACAGCGCGATGGCAGGGAATGCCCACCGCGGATTTCTCGCTGCCTTTCAGAACGACATCACAGAACATTCCCGTCGACTGCAAATCCCGCAGTTGGCGCACCAACTCTGCAGCGAGATAACCATGTACAGGATGGTTTGCAGACCGTTTTCGCTTCGACATTACTTAGTTGGTTGAGTAGAAAAGCGGTTAATGAATGGAGTCTTTAAAATCAACAAGTAAAATCAAGGCATTACACTTGTTGCTCCTGCGCCGTGATAAATAAAAAACTTTCACGATCACACGCGAGTTGGTGGTGATCTGTTCATGACTGATTTGCAGTTTGCAGCAGTTGAGAATTTGAGATTGAACGGTGGACACTGTAACCGCCGGCCTTGGGAGTTCTGACAATCCAAAAATCATGCGTACTGGCTACGATACAAAGCATCACCACTTCTGTTTTTTTTAGCATGGAATGGAGGATAATTTAAGGAATGAAGATAATGTTAGATAATATATGAAAACGTTTTTCTCTGATTATCGGTTCATACTTCATACATACTGGCTACTCGTGGCGAGAAGCGCTTTCAAGAATGAATCCCCGCAAATTACAACAAAAATGTGGGTGAGGACTGCGCATCGCACTGTATAGACTGCAAACCGGCGACGCCACGAACTTGGAATTTATTCTACAACCTGTGGGTCCGCTGACGGAAATTTCCGTAATTTTACATTATTACTGTATTTTGTCCCGAAACTGCTGACATGTCGCTGTCTACAGAAATCAACTGCACACGACTATTTAAATAAATCGAATATTTAAATACTTTCATTTAGGTGCGAGAATTAACCCGGGAATGCCCGAGGTATCAAGGAATTTTTTGTCGAAGTTGAAATTCATACCATAGAATAATAATAATATAATGAACTTATACTATTGTTTTCAAAATTTTTGCTGCAGTAGTTTAAAATTTGAAGGGTAGGTGGAAATTCCACCGCTTGGGCATCAAGGATATACAATACGCACGGTGTGGGTAAGGTGGTTGCCGGTGCGACACCACACAAATTCCGTTGTACACAACATTGTGGCTACTTGATCTACTCGAATCAACCTGGTTGTGGTAGCTGTTTACAATAGTTAGCTTGTGCAATTTAATTCATCATGAAAAGATTCACGGTTGAATTTATAATCCAAAAAATGTGTGATTTCCGGTCAGTATGCAACAGGGTCATGCTGGGCTGCGCCAGTTTACATGCGCACAACACTGATCACAGCCAGCCATATTTATGACTGGCTGCTTCGATCTCAACGTCGTTTTACTATTCTTTTTCCTATTGCAATCGAAAAAAATATTGCGATATGATAAGAAAAATGTTTTATTACTATTTATGCTATTATAAAGGCACTCAGAGGTCCTTATATGTTTACATTTTGATCAGTTAGCTGACACTGTTATGGTTTGGCTACTCTGTTAGTGTGCAACGGCTGAATCATATGAAGTGTGCGGCTCTGGTCACTGTGCCTGTTCAGGCAGCATGCTACTGTCCTACGCCAATGCCCAAGCGGTGGAATTTCCACCAGCTGTTTTTGAAAATTCACAGTTTTTTACAGAAGAGCTGCAGACTTTTGTTTAATACTGAAATTGTGAGATACTCACATGAAGTTATCACTAATTTAATTCCAAATTTTTACCATAACAGCCGATTTAGATACACTTCGTAGAACTTGACGTTATTTTTTCAGTGTTTTTCAAGCATTGTAGGTTTTTTATGGTGTGTTTGATCAAAAAATTAAAATTCACTGTGCTAAGATTTATCTTTGCTCTATCTAATATATATGTAACCCAGGCAATGACAATAGTCCTGGAGTTGTAAAAATTGGCGAACTTTACTGGTGGTTTTTCCACCTAGCAGACGTTGCCGGGTTAAATTATTCGAAGCTTTGGTTTTATCAGTGATCGATTATTGTGCCTCCTGCGTTCACCCAGTGTTAAAAACGTCCAGCGATACGGTAGACGTTTTACAAAAGCCTTGCAGCTAGGAAAAGACCCGGCAAACTACGAAGAACGTCTGAAAGAGCTGCAGTGGGACAGTTTAAAATTACGTCGCATTAAGAAAGCGGTGATTTTTATTTAAAGTTTGGCAAGGTGCCTTTAGGTGACCTTTGCATTATTCCTTTTGTTAGTTCGGTTGCTGCCCTTGAATCTACTGCAGGTAACACTCGGCATCACGCTCGGTTGACTCAGCATCCATTTCCGATAGCACCGGCTCCAACGTCTATTTGCGGTACAACGGTGACCGCCGTCCATGGATCACACCTAAACGAACTGACTACCTTGTGGAACGAACTCTCTTTTCCTGTGGATCCTATCAGTCAGCATCCACGTTCAAGGCTGAACTGGATCGGGTTCCGTGGGACGACCTTGCATGGATCAAGAAACATCCTTTGTTTGTTAAAAATACTTAAATTTTTAGCTTTTGCCACATAACTCGTTTAAATTTCAAATCGAACGAATACGTAGTTTCGATGCTTGTACGTTTCTTTTCCGTAATTATTGCACCACAAACTTTAAATTCGCATCCTGGGTTGCTGTCATGATGTCACGCTTTTTTGTTTTCCCTTCTTATTTAGAATTTTCTGTCTTAGCTTAAAAGGAGACGAAGCCTCGTAGCAAAGGGCAATAAACCAGATAATATTATTACGACATATCGTGAAATACTTCATGTTTCATAAAAAACCATGTAGATGACCGTAAAAAGGCTTTACTGCAACTAGGAAATTTCGCAGTTTATTTCCTAATTTCTAAAAATCTCAACTTGGGAAATTCTCAGACTTAAGAAATTCTTAACAAAAAACGTCCAAGAAACGAAAGCACAATTTCTTATAATCAGCAACAAAAGTGCATAAATCTGTTCATCACGGTATGTATCCCATCCCCACCCGACCGCTTCAGATTTAACAGGGACAAATCCGGTCTTATGGGTGCAAATCTTAGGGGCTCATCCACCTTGCGCCTTACAGCCGGCTAGCCGTTGCCCGCGGCCGCTTTAGTTTCATCACGACACAGCCAAAGCCAAATTTAGGCTGCAGCAAACGGCACTTATGGAGCGCCCAACTATCCGTCTCCTCATCGTACACTTCGATGCTGTCGTGGTACACGCCTTCGGTAAAGATTCCCCCGATCGCATACAGCCTCCCACCCACGCAGACGCACTCGTGCTCCGAACGCTCCACCACCAGATCGCCTGTAGTCAGAGAGCGTTGCTGGCGTTAGACACCACGACCACCATGAGAGTACAGGAAATTAATGGCAGCTGTCGCACTGACAGCGCGACAATAGTCCTACACGGTTGTACCCACCTTTCCTGTGCCATTGATTGGTAACGCGGTCGTACGCTTCCACATGCACACGACGTGCCATAGTCCCTGTTTCTCCACCTACACCACGTACCGTGAATCAGTTACGACAGCGGCAGAAACTGTTAAGCGAAGTGTAGTGACTGGAATAGCCCAGCTCGCTATTTTAATATTCGATCACGCTCAGTAAATATACATAGGAAGGTAGGTATTTCACAGTGCCTGTTTACGGGCAATTATTTTTGTAGGTGTACTGGCTACCGCTGAATAAAACAAATCAACCATGCTGGCCTTACTACACCGTTCACGTACCGGTAACATAGATCAGCCCGTTGGGAGCCACACAGCCTCGGCAACCGCTGCGCGCGGTCGGCATATCCGCCAGTCTTGTCCAGGTATTCGCTGCGGGATCGTAGGCGAATACAGCATTCGAAACGTCCTCCGTGTCTTCGCCGCCGAAGACGTACAACCGCCCCTTACAAGCCACCATCGCCAAACCCATCAATCCAATGGGCAGCGCGGCGACGGCGCTCCAGGAATCGCTCCTGGGATCGTACGCATCCACGGATGCCAGTGCCTTTACTCCTCCGTAGGCAAACGGATCAAAACCGCCGGCCGCGTAGACACGCCCATTCAGTGAGGCCAGCGCTCCCGCTTGGCGCAGTGGCGATTCTCGGAGCGGCTCCCGATGCTCCGGCAGGATGCCCTCGATAGCCCGCCATTCGTCGCGCAGGCCGGTGTAGCGGCTGTTGCGCTGTACGGTCCCGATGCAGTTCATGCTGTTGATCATGATGCAGCCGGGGTCCAGCAGCACCGCCGAGCAGCACTCGACGAGGTCGGGAAGATCCTTAAGGCGCCACACGGCCGGGATCGACGGACAGAAGACGTCCACTCTGGCTTCCTCCTCGACAAACGGCTCCTCACAGGTGCCTCCCAAGCACAGAATCACTTCCTGCGCTCCTAACACCCTCAAACGCAACAATTAATTAACTTAAGATTTTAACAGTAACGTAGTGTGCCTGCGCTTGCACTCCTTGTTACTTTGACGGCTATTGCCTATTAAAGTGTTATTAACTAGAGAAACCAGATCGTACTGTACTGCAACAGGACGCATTATCCTTACCGACTGAATGCCGTGGCTTGGCGATCTGCGTCGTACCGCCGACCAATTCCACCGTGGACTGCGGCATTCCCGCCGGCACGCTGCGGAGGATCAGCGCGTATTCCTGCCGACACGGCTCGCTCAGGCAGGCAACACGCACCATCGGCAGAAGCGTCGGCACGTGCGTCAAGCGTGCCGGACAATCGTGATCCAGCCAGCGCAGCACCGCCTCCCACACCTCATCCTCGCTGACCACGTCCACGCTATCCGATGTGAGCACTGCAATGAGCTACAAACAAGCCAGCTGAATTAGGGTTGGAACTTAAAAACTAACAAAACGTTAAATTTCGTGATAAAATGCAGCTTGAACTTTGAGATATACCCTTTCCATCACTTATGATCGCTGGATGAATCACGACGTAATACAATTTTTTTTCGACAAAGCGTTTTTGTATGAGTCTGTTCTTTGCCTACAAATAAAGAGAGTACCTGTTGCGCGTCCACCTGCAGAAATTCGTGGCTCTTGGCCACCTGCAGGAAGTAGAGATAGATAAAACCCAGGACGGTGTCGGCCAGACCGGGGTTGTGGTAGTTAGAGGCTAGGGCGTGGACGGCCAAGCAGTTAGACAGGTCGACGTGCTTCTCCACGTAGTCCCAGCACAGGCGGGCCGCGGCGGTCATTTGCAGGAACTGCGCGGCAATCAGTATGGATTCCACATTGTCGTCGTTCAAGTTCAGTTCCAGGGTGTATGCGTAGTTTACCAACCTACCCAGTATACCAAGGATGATCGTAATCAAAACTTTTTAACGATTATATCATTGTACTAAGTACCATTTTGCTGTATAGTACTCACTCGTTCAGTGTGCTGCTGTCGATGTTGTGCAGCGGGAATATTCGCTGCGATGAGTCTTTCCAGTCCTGTGTGAAGACGGCCCGAAAGTAATCGCTGTGCACGCTGAGGACATTGCGATGGCAAGGAATGCCCACTGCGGACTCTTCGCAGCCTTTCAGTACCACATCGCACAGGGTTCCTGTCGATTGCTGTTCACGCAGTCCGCGCAGAAACTCAGCCAGACAACGATGAGGAGGATGATCGGAACTGCCAGGCTTCGACATGATTTACATGATCATCATCCAGCAACAGTGGATAGAAAGTTTCGATGGACAAATCAGAAATTAAATCGTTATCAAACTATAGGGAGTTAGAGACTAATTAATAAAGTCAAAAAAGCTCAAAACCGAAAACTTAAAAAGCCCCACTCACAGTCAAGTCAGTACGGCATCTGTTTGCATCGACAGACTTGTCGTGACTCGTAGTGACACAGTCAAATAAAACACCGTAACTTCCAGCGAGGGGGTTTGGTTCGGAACGCTGCTGCAGTTTCTGAAATCACTAAAACTAGATATTTTACATTTTGTTGACCTCTCCTTTTTGCAGGGAAAAGTACCCCCACCATAGTTCACGGGCAACAACTCACAAGTCGCTTGCAGGATTTTTCCTCAATCACAAACTGCGTGGTCAGTTGGATTTGTTACGGTCTGTCCTGAGACACTTCTGATCACCGTCGACAGTCGACAGTAGCAGCCGACGTTACCAGCAACCGCTGCTGTTGCCAGGATTCTTAGACCAACATTATCAGATGCTGCCATAAACACGGCTGTCCGTGGGTATCTCAGCGAAGGGAGGGCGGCCAGATGAAGTCCGAAAGAATTTCCTGTTGAGGAAATTCTGAAAAATGGCGACGGAGCGGAATCGAACCGCTGGCTACCGAGTGTGATCCACGAAGCACAGCCACTGTGCCATCGCCGTTGTTGGCTGAGATCAAGATATTTGTGCTTGAGCTTGAGACAACCAGGTAGACGGCGGATGGGGCGGCTGTCCTGAGTACCGAGCCTTCTGCTCTGACAACATGAAGACTCGTTCTCTTGGAGGACTGCCAGAATCTGGAATGACCTCGGTTTGGACCAATCATCCTATCGCTCACTACATGTATGTATTCCAGGCAGCGCTTGTAAACTTCTCATGGAAAGGCGTCGCATTTGTTGCACTGTTGTTTCTTAGTTGTTTGACTAATCTATAGATCTCGATGAGGAGTGATTCTTTGTATCTGTAGACATTAAGCATTTAAAACCTAAACCGAGCAGTTGACTGGCAGCGATGTCACGGAAGTCCCGCCCCGCTTCAGCCGGCCGTTCTCATAAATAACGAGGCCTTCCAGCCGCCAACAGTCAGTCCGTTCTTCAGCAGCAGTCTAGCTTTTGAGTAGTTGTAGAAGTCTAGCTTTTGAGTAGTTTAGGCTGCTTGCCTAAATCGGCCGAAGCAAAAGAAAATGGAAGCCGATCGTTGATCACCGAACTGAATTCCGCATCGCTTTTTTTCTGTTAGTTTTAGTTGAGTGGGTTTTAGATGAGGATGATTGAAACTGTAAATCAAATCAGCCGCCACTTCGTCTGCTGTACAAAGCATTAGTATTAACAAAGAAACTCAAAACGAATTCGCTTCATGAACTGGGTTTCTAACACCAGACCGGCCTGCACTTAGCGCAGCCGAATGCTGGCTGCAAAAACGCTATCATACAGCATCCGCCAAAACTGCAGCACATCAACCGTCTAAAAGCCAGAGCAGGGCCGGAATCATGAGCTATGGCGTATGAGTAGACCGCTCTGATTTGCCCCAGGCTGCTGTAATGCTATACACTGTAATGGTCAACTTCCTCCAAATGGATTAGTTTGTGGGAACGCATGCGACCGAATTTCCGGATGGTATCGCTGCATATGTGGCGCTGCAAGATGGAAAATACAACTGTTTCAGCCTTAACGGATTCTGCATTTGCAGATGAATCGCAGGGGCTATAAATTATCGTTTTCATGGTAATGAGCGACTCACGAAGGGCGAAAAAGTGCATAGCTTACCTATAAGATCCGGCGAAGCCAGTCTGTACTGGTTGGCCTGCAGTGCCGCTTTACACAGCCGACACACCAGTTGACACTTCACTTGCCCGTTAAGCAGCGGGTCATCGGCGTCCTCCACTCCTTGGTCGAACTTGTCGCGCAGAAACTGCAGATTCTTGCCGTAGCAATACCGGCTCTGCTGGAGATGCTGCTTGAAATGCGCGGCATAAGGCGTCCCCGGGCGTCGTGTCGGTAGCGTTTCCAGGCAGAAGACACAGAAGAAATCATATCCAGAGAAGAGGGACCAATCGCACAGCGTGCTGGATGCGGTCTGGTTGGCGGATGTCGTTGTGGAACCGAGAGAAGAGGTCGCAGGAATAATGGGCGTTGTCGTTGTTTGCCGTGATGGGTGCGCCGCATTACGTTCCGGCAAGAGGCCCATGTGGTCTCCTTTTGACAACGTCGAACGGTGCTTCAGTGCTGACTTTTTAGGGGGAATCGCGGATGAATTGCTGGCAGGGCGACGTTTGGAAGACTTGACAGGAACGTCATAGTTAGGTCCAGTATCAGTGATGTTTTTTCCACGGTGTATTTTCTGCTCACTTTTAACAGGAGCCGAATTTTGCTGGCTCATGCACCACCAATTTCGCTTTGCGGCGTTCTGTGGTACTAAAGGATAACATTGAAGGACCTGTAGGTGTATGGACCGCCTATGGATTCCGTACGGCGAGGACGGACGGGGAAGCAGTTTCTTACGCACGGTGCCATTCGGCTTTGCTTTCAGCGTTAATGCCATTGCAAGCGGAGAAGCGGGTTGGTGCGGCATGATGGGATTGTTTTGCATGGTGCACCGCTGCAACACAAAATTCGTTTTTGACCTGTGGGGTTTAGAAGGCAGGCATGCACTAAAGGGAAAGGTTAAACCGATAGCATGGCATATACTGATTTCGTTTTGGCCCAGATCACTGCATTACCCAGTACCCACTTGATGTTTCATATTGCATTTTCGTCTTTTTTTTTCTTTTTTCATATTGCATTTTCATATTGCTTGATAAGGTCTCGTTTTCTCTTAAAGCAATAATGGGTGCCACAGAGGTTTCTTCATGATTTTACATTACAGTACTATGGTATAGACCGTACAGTACAGACTACAGATATCGAAGGGAGACACGATTTACACGAGATAGCTACTTACTATTCATCGAACAGGGCGTAGCAAAAGTGGGCAAATTCTCTTGTTGACTATCGCGATGCTAACCTTCTCTTGTAGCATGCAGATGCGGTTTGGCTCTATCCGGTTTTTGCTAAAAAAAAATGCTCCGTTGGTACTTATGGGTCCAAATATAAGGAGTAATGCACCGTTTTAGGACTATGGCCATGGACATAGGAATAGGCGTTTGCATGCACCGACTGACACTGGCAACTTTATAAACGAAAGTCCGCACTTTTGCACCTGATAGCAGGAATTTTCATTAAAAAATGCATGTCATGCAACAAAACACTCGACAAATACGAGTGCTCTGAGAAAATGCGAGTGCTATACGCTGAAATATACTTTGTTATTTGACGAGTAAGCACTAAGCAGTGGTTACTACGAGCACTCATGTAGGCGTATGTGCTATTCAGTATTCACAAGTACAGTTAGATGTGTATGCAGTACCAGTTAGGCTGGAACAGCCGAGCTGTGTACTCGATATATTACTGCGTGTTAACGGGGATTTAGAAACCTGTGAACTCAAGTCTCTGTCAAAAAATTCTCGAATACGTTGCGCTTTTAATCAGAGGTACGTAACGTCCAGAGGGACCACCGCTCTTCCGTTACTAACGGAATAGTATTTCATGGAAAATGAACGACTTTAACGTGTACTGATTTATTTCTCAATATGTACAAAGGCGAGCTTCGCTCAACAAATATGATCAAATGAAGAACTTGTCCCAATTAACATGGGAAGGGACTGTGCAGGGACGACTTTAACTGTCATATCTGCGTAGTCGTACTGCATTTCGCTCGCTTACGACTGCTTGCTGTACACTACTTACTTTGATCATTGGCTCATAATGATTTTTTTCTGCCTAGAATGTACGTAACAGTCTAGTGGCTTGCGTAAATCAGTTACACTTGATATTAGAAAAATTTCCTTTCCTACAGAAAACTAAAGAACATATAAGTACCTTAAAGAGGGTTAATTCGCACTCGGAAAGTTGTAACCGTGGGGAAACTCTAACAAAATGCGTCCACTAAGTAAAAGAAGAATTATCTTTGACCAGCCACACGAGAGACCTCGTGCTTACTAATACCAACACCGCACGTGTACAGTACCATTCCAAACTAAACCCGAACAAACCAGCTCCTCATCAGCCAGAGCTTCATGCACATCACGCTTTAACTGGCGAGCCGCCGTTCCACGTCCGCTTCACTCCCGTTTGAGTTTCATCACCACGCAGCCAAACATCGACTTGGCCTGCGGCAAACGGCATTCGTGCAGCGCCCAGCTATCCGTCGCTTCATCGTACACCTCGATGCTGTCCTGGTACATCCCTGCAGCAACGAACCCTCCCATGACGTACAGCCTCCCACCCACGCAGACACATTCGTGATCCGTGCGTTCCTCCAGCATATCTCCTGCGATAAGAGGACGATATAGCACTATGTATGAATTTATTGGTTTGCTTATCGTTCAGAAGTTTCAACATCAACATCATAAAACAAAGTAAACAGCGTTAAAACCATCAGAACGCGGTACGGTTGAAGTCACGGACAGCGCATTACACCGCTGTTTTTCAATGCTAATTCGCTGTAGCAGAAACTCGTAAGAGCGTCGTTCTCCCGTAGCATCCTTTAACCGCCTGCCCAATTCTCGCAAAAACTTAATACATGAAGGGCCAGCGACGCCAAAAGTTTCAAAAGCCAATGCAACAAAATAGTACTCAGGTGATAAATATTCATATTTCCGCCGCTTTTCGTCTTCTATTTCGCTTTTCGTCTCAGCACTATTACCAGCCGGTAAGTCTAGCTGATGTCCGACGCACCTTTCTTGTGCCACCGATCGGTAACACGATCGTACGCTTCCACGTGCACACGCAGTGCCGCATCCCCCGTTTCGCCACCTGAAGCATGTATGTGCAACGACAATTATGTAGTGGGGCCATGGGAACAAAGTGCTGAGCGAAATCTGGTAAGTTGAATAGTCCAGCATTTCTAAGTTCTTCAGTAGGTTTCTTAGCGTAAGTATATGTTACTTCACGAGTAAGTATGTGTTACACACTCTGATCACGTACCGGTAACATAAATCAAACCGCTGGGCGCCACACAGGCACGACAACCACTGCGTCCAGTGGGCATGTCGGCCAGTCGGCTCCAGGCATTCGCTGCGGGATCGTAGGAGAACACAGCGTTGGACACCCCCGCCGCGTTGTACCCGCCGAAAGCGTACAGTCGACCCTCACAGGCCACCATCGCCAAGTCGCTCAATCCAACGGGCAGCGCGGCGACGGCGCTCCAGGAGTCGCTCACGGGATCGTACGTCTCCACGGAGGACAGGGCTGCTTCCGATCCTTCCACACCATACGGATCAAAACCGCCGGCCGCGTAGACGCGCCCATTCAGGGACGCCAGCGCTCCGGCCTGGCGTAGTGTCGAGACTTGGGCCGTCTCGCGCCATTCGTGGCGCAAGCCCGTGTAGCGGCTGTTGCGCCGCACGCGGCCGACGCAGTGCATGCTGTTGATCAGGATGCAACCGGGATCCAGCAGCGCCGCCGAGCAGCACTCCACGAGTATTCGCAGATCCATCACGCGCCACACGGCCGGGATCGACGGGCAGAAGACGTCCACGGACGCTTCCTCGCTGCCGACCGGATCCTGACAGGTGCCGCCCAGGCACAGGATCACTTCCCGCGCTCCTGACACCGAACACAACCATCGTTCAGGAAACTTCATGGTATATCGCGAATTACAGCGCACAGCGACAAAACGATCGATCCTTACCGTAAGAAGCCCGGGGGCTGGTATTCGGCGTCGTCTCACCGGTTGTCTGACTCGGGCAGGGTGGCGAAACCTTCAGTGCGCTGGTGAGGATCATCGAGTAATCCTGTCGACACTGCTCGCTCAGGAAGGCCACACGGATCGTCTGCAAGATGGCGGCTGCGTCATCCAAGCGTTCCGAACGGTCGTGATCTAACCAGCGCAGCACCGCTTGCAACACCTGATCTTCACTGAAGACGTCCACGTTATCCGATGCGAGCAGTGCAATCAGCTGCCAACAAGTTAAGTAAAAGCACATATCAACTGAATAGTTCAGAACATTCTTTCCGTCAAATTTTATTTTTATGTCACCTGTTGCGCGTCCAGCTCTAAAAAATCTTGGCTCTCTGCCACCGGCAGGAAGTGGAGAAGGGTTAATTCCAGCGCTGCCGCGGCCAGACGAGGATGGTGGTGGTTGGAGGCTAGAGTGTGAACGGCCAGGTAGTTGGACACGCGCATGTGTTGCTCGACGTAGTCCCAGCACAGCAACTCTAGCGAACCCATCTGCAGGAACTGCGCGGCAATCACGATGCGCTCCACGTTGTTGTCGTTCAGGTCCACAATCAAGGTGTAGGCGTATTTGACCAACCTAACCGTCGAAATGACAATACTTCATCATTAACACGGTAAAAAAAGGCAAGCTGCGGAGTACTCACTGGTTCAACGTGCGACTATCGATGTTGCGCAGCTGGAACACAGGCTCAGATGAGTCTTTCCAGTCCTGCGTGAAGACGGTCCGAAAGTAGGCGCTGTGCACGCTGAGGACGTTGCGGTGGCAGGGAATGCCCAGCGCGGATTCTTCGCAGCCCTTCACGACCACATCGCACAAGGTCCCCATTGACTGCTGTTCGCGCAGTCCGCGCAGAAGCTCAACCAGACAACGGTGAGGAGGATGATCTGCGGAGCTGCTGGGATTCGACATCATGCAGAATGTCACGGTAGACAGTCAGAGATAAAGAACGATTAAATCGCAGTCAACTTTTCTATCACTAGGAACTGCGAAGTATGCAGTACAGAGTCTCCAGTTCTGAACTGTAACAGAAGAAAACCGAGAAAACTCAAAATACTGTTTTCTGTCGTGGAAACCACTACTGAAAATGCAGAAAAAGTGAAAGTGTGGACTTCAAGCCTGCCGTGAAAAGTAGCAAGGAATAATCGCAACTGCCAGCTGGAGGGGGCGATCAAGCACAGGCAACAGTGAACGAACTAACGGAACCTGAACCTCTCCAGCCGGCAGTTACGTAGTCAAGCGGGCGAGCGAAGCGAGCCCGCGTTTCTAATTCAAGACATGTTGAGGGTTCGATGTAACGGAAGTGACAGTGACCTTTGGTTCGCCGAGTGACCTTTGGGTCGCCACCGATTTTCATCGTGATTCCTATACAGTTTGATGTGCTGAGTCGAAATGAAGTACTCTCGGGGACCTCGAACCCGGGTCTCCGAGGTCGCCACCACGATATGTATTACAAATGTACAGTTTGACCTGCTGAGTCGAACTGAAGTACTCGGGGACCTCGAACCCGGGTCCCCGAGGTCGCCACAACGATATGTACCATATATGAACAGTTTGACGTGCTGAGTCGAACTGAAGTACTCGGGGACCTCGAACCCGGGTCCCCGAGGTCGCCACCACGATATGTACTACAAATGCACAGTTTGACCTGCCGAGTCGAACTGAAGTACTCGGGGACCTCGAACCTGGGTTCCCGAGATCGCCAAAGCGATATGTACTACAAATGCACAGTTTGACCTGCCGAGTCGAACTGAAGTACTCGGAGACCTCGAACCTGGGTTCCCGAGGTCGCCAAAACGATATGTACTACAAATGCACAGTTTGACCTGCCGAGTCGAACTGAAGTACTCAGAGACCTCGAACCCGGGTCCCTGAGGTCGCCATAACGATACGTACTATATCTGTACAGTTTGATGTGCTGAGTCGAACTAAAATGTTTGGGCAGTGACAAAAAATGAATGTACTTTTAAATAATTCTAAATAATTCTAAATAATTCTAAATAATTCTAAATAATTCTAAATAATTCTAAATAATTCTAAATAATTCTAAATAATTCTAAATAATTCTAAATAATTCTAAATAATTCTAAATAATTCTAAATAATTCTAAATAATTCTAAATAATTCTAAATAATTCTAAATAATTCTAAATAATTCTAAATAATTCTAAATAATTCTAAATAATTCTAAATAATTCTAAATAATTCTAAATAATTCTAAATAATTCTAAATAATTCTAAATAATTCTAAATAATTCTAAATAATTCTAAATAATTCTAAATAATTCTAAATAATTCTAAATAATTCTAAATAATTCTAAATAATTCTAAATAATTCTAAATAATTCTAAATAATTCTAAATAATTCTAAATAATTCTAAATAATTCTAAATAATTCTAGATAATTCTCTGAAAAACTAAACAACCAACAGTAAAAATACCTGTGCGCTTCAGTGATTATACGAGACCCCATTCGACCTCGAAAGTTTTTAGAGTAAATCTGGACAACTTTTCTCGCGTTTTTTTGATATGGAAACCATTTTTCAAAATTTTTTTTAAAGAAAAAATTTCTGACAGCCGGGGTACCTCACGAACTTCAATCACAGTGGGCGATTGCAGTAGCGCCACTAACAAAACTTTTGTTTTTGCATTTTAAACACTTTTTATAGGTGAACCAATGTTGCTGATTCTGAATAATAATATTTTGTCAGAAATAGTTTTGTGGCAAGAAAAAATTTTTTTTTGATAAAAGCAAAATTTTGCAAATCTATATTCTAAGAATTTTAAATCATGAAATCCTTCCTTCCGATAACTAATACAATTTTCTGACAAAATTTTCAGAATCCACGACATCGATTCACCTAGAAAAAGTGTTTATAACGCAAAACGAAATGTTTTTTAGTGGCGTATTTGCAACCGCCCAAAAGGTTTGAGGGCGTATTGGGGCCCGGCAGTCAGCAATTTTCTCTTCAAACAATTTTTGAAAACGGTTTCTCTACATCATAAAAATGCGATAAAAATTATTCCGACGTAAGATTTGCTCTAAAAACAAAGTTTCCAGGTGGAGGGGGTTTTGTATATTCACCGATTCACCTGAACTCTAAATACTCACTTTCAAAAATGTAAATAACTACAAGTCTGCAAGCTGTCCATTTTAAAACATTTATATTGGTTAAATAAATTAAAAACTTAAAGAGCAAAATAACAAAATAGCCGGAAAAAGGGATGATGAGAAACTTCAGCAGCTAGGTACGGAAATTTTTAAATACTTCATTTGCTCAACTTTCAGGTCTCTGATTGAGAGAATATCGAATGTTAGAAACTTAGAATACCTTAGATAAATGTATATGTAAAAAATTATCTTCGAAGAAACTGATAGTTGCCGTTGAAACCAATTCAGAAACCCTGGTTTCCCACATTTCGTGTGCTGCTCTAAAATGCAAGATTAAAATGTAACAAAAGTAATGCAAACTAACATTCAAGGAATTTCAAGAAATTCTGAAATTATGAATGAACGTTTCTAACTCAAAATTCATAATTAAATAATATTTCAATAAATTTGAATTGGAAACCGAATTATTGCTCTCAATGTTTAAATTATTCCCGAATTTAGCTTTGAATCGCTTTTACTTACAAGCGAATTCCAAAGTATTACTATATAAAACATTAAACTTCAGCGCAAAGCTTTTTTAAATTTAAATTTTTAATCCAGTAAGTTACTTTTTGAAATTTGTTTCTGCTGATTCGTTAAGTATACAGTCAACTTTTAATCAAAATCTGATTTCTATATTATTTTTTTGGATTTCGTGTCTGAATTCTTATCAGTTTTTATAATTCGCAGCAAATTTCCGAGGCATCGTTTTTGTTCAGGTATGATTCCAAACCGAATAAGTTCTAACTTATCAAATTACTTTTCCTAACGTTGCAATAGCAGTCAATCTGAACGTAACTGTCGATTAATTTTTTAACGGTTACCGCAAGTCTTAGCTCCTCAAAAATGCATATTATATTTTGACTTATTTTTTAACATTGTATCATTTGCTTTCTGGGAATGCAGCGGAAAAACAAACTTTTGCAAAAACAATTAGATATTTTAATTTCCCTTAAATCTATTCGACAGTTATTTTCTGATCTGCAGATGACACAAAAGCATGAACATCTTTTGGGCTGAAAAACTTACCCCAGCATTCGATTAAGGAGATTTTACACGGAAGTAAAAGAAACATAGTGTCGCTAATTCTTTCAGGTTTTTAAATAATTTTTATATTTCCTGGGAACTATTCTAAAATTGAAAAGTAACTGCGCCGTTGTGCGGTGTGAACCGGTGTGGATATCCATGCGCATCTACTTACATGAAATTTTTGAACAAGATAGTTTGCATTCTATAATGAGACCCTTGATATACCGATTTACTTTAGGTTATTGAAATTTCTCCATTTCTATAATTCTCCAAATGTATGGTGCGACCCCCAACAGCTTTCTTGTGGGTATATGCAATTCGACAAAATGTCTTGAGAGAATGTGAAAAAGTACGTGTGATTACGCGAAAGCGAAAGTTTTCTCGAAGTAAAACGTATTAATAGTATCATGTACCCTGCGCTTCCGTTAAACTTATACAGAATTTATTAATTTCCAGGATTAATTCTGCAGCTTCAGCGCTTACGTGTTTATAAGACTGTACTTCATACATTCGCTGCCTTATACAATAAAAATTAAACACCGCCGCCCGCTTGCCCTAAGGGCGTATGAGACCTTATACTAGTACTAATAACTTACAGTACGGCAGTTTTCGATTTTACGCTAATATCGCTCCTACTTCTACTTCGTTCCTACTTCCAGTTTAGACTTGTTGATTGGTTCCGACTTAAGCAATTCTTTAGTAGACGACAAATCTGTTTCTTTTTGACTACAAGCTTTACCATTCTAAACGATGTCGAAGCGACCGAGTTCTGCCGATCATGCTTCTCACGATTGTCGGGCTGAAGAGTTCCTCCGCGGACTGCGTGAACTGCAGTCGACGGGGACGTTCTGCGATGTTGTTCTGAAGGGCTGCGAGGACTTTGCGGTGGGCATTCCCTGCCACCGCAACGTCCTCAGCGTGCACAGCGCCTACTTTCGGACCGTCTTCACGCAGGACTGGAAAGACTCATCTGAGCCGGTCTTCCAGCTGCACAACATCGACAGCAACACGTTGAACGAGTGAGTAGAGAAAGCACACAGCTGGAGCGCGGATAGTTTTAATTCTTAGCTATGGTCCACTGGGTAGGTTGGTCAAGTACGCATACACGCTGGACCTGAGCCTCCGTGGTGACAACGTGCAAACCATCTTGGTCGCGGCGGAATTCCTGCAGATGGATTCCGCAGCCGCCCTGTGCTGGGAATTCGTTAAGGAACACATGCAGCTGGCCGACCTGGCCATCCACGCTCTGGCCTCTACCTTACCACAATCCCCATATGGTCGAAGCAGCTCTGGGCCTTATTCGTCGAAAATTTCTGCCGTACACTCAGTGTCCAGAGTTTCTCCAAATGAACGCGCAACAAGTACTGACGGCGGGCGATATGGTACTGTGTAACTGGGCTTTGTAGCAGATTTGTTTTACAGCTGATCGCGTTGATCAGATCGGACAATGTGGACGTGTGCAGCGAGGATCAGGTGCTGGAAGCGGTGCTGCGCTGGGTGGATCACGACCGTCCAGGACGATTGGTGCACCTGCACGCCGTCCTGCAGGTGGTGCGTGTTCCCTTCCTGAGTGACAAGTGCCGACAGGACTACGCGCTGGCTCTTGGGAGTGCATCGGCCGGGAATCCGCAGGGTCCTCCAAAAAGCGCCGCTTAATGACCGCGGCGTCGGCGTCGCCAGCGACGGCACAATTCAAGCCGCGGCATTCCTTTGGTAAGGGTCATGGAGGGTGTCGTATTATTAATGGTGCTCCACCATTTTGCCGACGGAAAATTTCGGGGCGCGTGCGCTAAGCATCTTCGGTAGCGATTACGAATCCGATTAAGACATTTTCTCCAGAAAATTTCTTAATCGCTCGGGTTTTCAATCGGTTTATTCCGACCCTCGACGAAATCAAGCTAGCGTTATGCCACACTGTCTTTGTTTCCTTATGTTTTCTTGGGTTTTGTGATATTTTTTTGGGCTGCGTATATTTTCGTAAGGATTTCTTTCATTTTCTAGGTTTCTTGCGTGCGGGTTTCTTAACAGTGCGTTTCTTAACAGTGCGTTGTAAAACGACTCGTACTGTTTGGTCTAACGCAGTTGTTTTTACAATTGCGTTAATTCTGCTCCCTGGAAAAATTTTGGAAAATCATGTTTTTGGTCAGGTGCGCAGGAAGGAATCTTGTGCGCGGCTGGTTTCGGCGAGGAAGGCCAGTACGGTGTAGATAAATCCTTGGACGTGTTCTGCCCATCGATCCCGGCAGTGTGGCGGCTGGGAGATTTGCCCGTGGCGGTGGAGCAATGCAGCGTAGCGATGCTGGACGCTAGTACCATGATGGTCTGCAGTCGGCGCACTAACCTGACTGGACATCGCGACAGCCGGTACACGGGCCTGGACGGGTGGCGGGAGGCGGCCCGCATGCAGACGCGTGTACGCAATCGGTAGCTATCCCTGGATTTGTAGCGGAACCGAATTCTCAACGTCGGTGGAAGTCTACGATCCCGACAGTCGCTCCTGGAGCGCCGTGGCCGCGCTGCCCGTTACTCTGGCTTACGTGGCGCTGGTGGCGTGTGACGGTCGCTTGTACGCCTTTGGAGGCCAGCGCGGCGCGCTAGGCGTGAGCGCTTGCAGTTCGTTCTCGTAGGATCCCGCTGCGGATGCCTGGAGCAGGCTGGCCGATATGCCGACGGCGCGCCGCGGGGCCGCTGCCTGCGTGGCGCCCAGCGGGCTGATTTACGTTGTCGGTACGCGCTGTATCCGTTAACTGTATCGTAAAGGTTCGAAGATATAGGTTTAGACTTCGTTAACCGTTACTGTGTTTGTGCCAAGGAGTGCTGGACCGTTCAGCTGATTACGATCCAGTAGACTTGTTATTCTTGCGACGAGTTGTTTAGGTGGAAATGACCAGCGTCATGTGGAAGCGTACGACCGTGCTACCAATCAGTGGATTAAAAAAGGTAGGTGGAGCGCGTACTTCACGCGGGTAGCTACGGAAGTGCACCATCTTTGCAAGAAAAAGTCCTACTGTGGAACTGTGGACTCGTAAGTGATCCTGCAGAAGGTGTCAATGCTTTCGGTGCTCAAAACATGAACAATACCGATTTGAACTCAAAATGTGCGCAGTGACCAGCTGCTACGCTAGTATCAGAAAAAGTTTAAAAGGTAAATAAGTGACCCAGCTCCCTTCCGATCCGATTCTTGATGAAATGGTTGCTGTATTTACACAAGTTTAAGAGCCACCAAAATGGCGGAACCCGTAAACAATAGCGCGCGGCTTCTTTGAAGTTCAAAAAAGCCGTCGGTTATTCTGCGCGCACCCGGACAATCGGAGTAAGCGTCGGGTTATTTGAACGATAGATTACTGTTTGCATCGAGCGCAGCGAGATTCTACTATTAAGCCTTCGTCAAGAGCGTAAAATTTGTCTGACGCAGTGACGCTACGAAGAGCGTACGTCACGCTTTTCCGATTCCACAAATCCAATACCATTCTCCAGTGGTATGGCGCTCGCTCGCTGCACTGCACTGCACTAATGCAACCACAAAAACTTATAATTCCCGAGTTATTATTGTAACTCGGGAATTATGAGTTTTGTGATTGCGGTGTCATTATCATTTGGTTATCGCAGGAGATACGCTCATGCAGCGCTGTCAACTGGGATGTGCCAGTGTGAATGGGAAGATGTACGCTGTCGGTGGGACTGGGAGCATTGGTTCGAATTCGGACTGTCATAAAAGCATCGAAGTGTACGACGAAGACGCGGACCGCTGGGCGCTGCACGAATGCCGCTTGCTGCAGGCCCGATCGGCTTTTGGTTGTGCGGTGATGAAGGTGAAGGCCTACGAGGACTCGTACTGATCGTAAAATCCTGATGTGCGGAGCCGAGCTGTTCCGGGAAATAGCATAGCTGTCATACAGGAAATAAATAGATAACCGTATTGCACTAATAAAATGCCTGCTACATAGTTGTAAGGTTTTAATTATTCTATTTACTTAGTATGTTAGCTCCATTTTTAGCGATGTCTAAGGATATAGCAACGGTAACGTCTTTTACGTTTATTCTGATACACGATTTTCACTCAAGCGTGCTTCAATGATTCTTGCACTCACCTGTGAGGAGAGAAGCGGCTCACGTACAGCGACAAAATCTTTCAAAGGATTTCAACGTATTGCGCCTTGGTGCAATGGTGCCTACGACTAACGACGTGGCCGGGGCCCGATTCGGCCCGCGCTCAAGCTCTGACTCTGACTCAGACTCTGACCGCTCAAACTCTGACTCTGACTACTCAAAGTCTGACTCTGACTGTCCAAACTCTGACTCTGACTGAATAACCTAAGAATAACTTAAGAAATCTAAGAAACCCTAAGAAACCTAAGAAACCTAAGAAACCTAAGAAACCTAAGAAACCTAAGAAACCTAAGAATAACCTAAGAAACCTAAGAAACCTAAGAATAACCTAAGAAACCTAAGAAACCTAAGAAACCTATTAAGAAACCTAAGAAACCTTCAGAGTCAGAGTCAGACTTTGAGCGGTCAGAGTCAGACTTTGAGCAGGCGCAGGATTGCTCAACAGAGCGGAATGGGCCAAAGTGCGGAAAACGGTGGACAGGACCTGTGACCTTTACGAGTCAGAAATGGAGGATCCTAGTCTACATTTGATTAATACTTTTGTTGATCTGTTACTGTTGATCTGTTCCTAATGATTTAATAGTATTTTTATAATTGGATCTCTTTATTTCACATCGTATTAAATGGAATTGTGCCTTTACGGAATTGATGTGATAAAATGGATTAAGAGAATTTGATGTTTTTGAGCACGCACAGACACTGGCGACCGTCGTCTTCTCGTGGATTCGGGAGTGTGTCCAGCCTCACAGGGGCTCGGCATCCCCCCAGAGACATGTGAGACCAGGATCACTAGCGTTCACGTCAGTGGCGCTACGCCTGTGGCGCTACGCCTTAGAATTACGTGTCTGTGTTGTGTCTCTTCTGATTGGTTTGCGTTTTGATAGTGGGCGCGGCATAGCACGTGCTGCACAGCGTTGCACGCTGTTGAATTGGCTCTACGTTTTACGATCGAGCTGCGCCGATCACTTGTTGATTTCTGTTGTACAGACTTTCAATATTATTAAAAGTCAGCGATTTACGGTGCGACGTTTGTGTTTCCGCATAGCTCGCGATCCATATCGTATCGCTCGCTTCCACGGGATCTATTCCGTTTAGGTCTCCGTATCTGGATCACCGCTGGATCTAGCATTAGAGGCAAAAGGCTATCAATTTAGTAGTATCAACATAACAAAATATGCATTCGCGTAATACTACGTGAAATGATTCAAATTTAAACGTTAAAGAAACAACCAAAATCGTTAGCGCCGTCTGGCCGTTTAGGCCGCATACAGTATTCATAGCGCCCAAAACAGCAGCAGCATTTCCTTTAACGACTGCCAGACTAAATCTCTGCTATAAAAATGCAGTAGAGCGGGGTTCTCCTGTCATGTCGCGAATCTTGTAGGGAAGCCCGCGCTGAGTTGCCCGGGCTGTTGTAATGCATGGTCATGACGTCCTCCGCCAGATGGACTTATTTGTAAGAACGCATGCGGCCGAATTTCCGCATGGTACCGTTGCATATGTTGCGCTGCAAGATGGGAAATGCACCTGTTTCAGCCTTAACAGATTTCGCATTTGCAGATGAATCGCGCAGGCTAATCAGGGAAGTGGCCCATACATGGTGTCAAATTCGTGTGCATACACAAAAACTTTCACTTTCGCGCACTCCCAAACACTTCTTTGCTTTGCTAGTTTGTTGGATGACATTCTGTAGCCAAATGATTTGCATGCACAGTGTGAAAACCGTTTGTCCGCACATCATCCGGTTCGGGAGTTATGGATGTAAGAAAGTTCCAAAAGCGTTTAAATGCATTCAGGTGTACCGTATACCAAAAGTGTTTTCGTGTATGTACACGAATTTGGTACTCGTACTACGTACCGGGACACTTTCTTTAAATTACAATTATCATGTTAATTTATGATCCATCAATGTCAGTGTAAAGAATGTAATGTAAAGAAAAAGAAAAGAGCATGAGGGAGTGCATAGCTCATCTATAACATCCCCTGATGCCAGCCGGTACCGGTTCGCCTGCAGCGCCGCTTTACACAGCCGACACACCAGTTGACACTTCACTTGCCCGTTGAGCAGCGGGTCATCGGCGTCCTCCATTCCTCGGTCAAACTTGTCGCGCAGAAACTGCAGATTCTTGCCATAGCAATACCGGCTTTGCTGGAGATGCTGCTTGAAGTGCGCTGCATAAGGCGTTCCCGCGCGCCGTGTCGGTAGGGTTTCCAGGCAGAAGACACAGAAGAAATCGTGCAATGCAAAAAGACTTTTGACTTTGTCATCCACATAGTGCATTTCGCTTATGACTGCTTGCTGTACACTACTCCGATCATTAGTTGCCATTCGGTACTCTCATTTATACTTTTCCTTCATTTTTACTTTCATATTTATTTTTCCTTCTACGGTACCTAACGAACTTTCTGCTACGGAGATGACCTCCGGCCCGTAATTATTTTGCTCTGCCGGGTATTTACACAAGCAACACTTACAGAAGCAGAGACAAACCGGAATTAATTACTCTCGATATCCGAAATATTTCTTTTCTCCAGAAAGCTAAGAATCGATACCATAAAATAGTTAACTCGAACACTGCGAATCGCAACCTTGGGGAATCCCAACAGAAGTAAAACAGGGATTTTTTATAACTGGCAAGGGGAATGCACCATCGCACGTTTACCATTCCGACTTGACCCGAAACAAACAGAAATCCGCTCCACAGCAGTCACAGGTAGGAGCTGCATGCACATTACGCTTTTAACTGGCCAGCCGCTTCATTCTCGCTTCAGCTTCATCACCACGCAGCCAAAATGGGATTTGCCTTGCGGTAAGCGGCATGCATGCAGCGCCCAGCTGTCCGTCTCTTCGTCGTACACTTCGATGCTGTCCTGGTAAACGCCCTCGGCGAAGAACCCGCCGATGACGTACAGCTTCCCACCCACGCAGATACACTCGTGATGCGAACGCTCCTCCACCAGATCGCCTGTGGTCAGAAAGGACGATGCATCACACACCAATACCAACCCGGTAAATGCATCTACCTTTCTTGTGCCACTGATCGGTAACACGGTCGTACGCTTCCACATGCACACGCAGGGACGCATCATACGTTTCTCCACCTAAACCATGTCCCACGGTAATTACGTTGTTGGACTACGGAAACAAATTGCCTAGCGAAGTGTTGACTTGACTAGTCTAGCCTATTTGATGTTATTCAAAAACGTTACGAGCGAGAATCGGAAAAGCAATCAATCACACTGGTGCGCATACCGGTGACATAAATCAATCCATTGGGCGCCACACAAGCACGGCAGCCGGTGCGCGCGGTGGGCATATCAGCCAGCCTTGTCCAGGCCTTCGTTGCAGGATCGTAGGAGAACGTCGCATTCGGCACGCCCTCCGTGTCGTCTCCGCCGAAGACGTACAACCGCCCCTCACAGGCCACCATCGCCAAGCCGCTCAATCCATCGGGCAGCGCGGCGACGGCGCTCCAGGAACCGCTCACGGGATCGAACATCTCCACGGAGGACAGGCCTACCATCCCGTCGCCATACGGATCACAACCGCCGACCGCGTAGACGCACCCATTGAGGGCGGCCAGCGCTCCGGCCAGGCGCAGTGTCGAGACGCGAGACGTCTCCCGCCATTCGTGGCGCAGGCCGGTGTACAGACTGTTGCGGCGTACGGTCCCGACGCAGTGCATGCTGTTGATCAGCATCCAGCCGGGATCCAGCAGCGCCGCGGAGCAGCATTCGACGAGCTCCGGCAGATCGCGCAGGCGCCAAACCGCCGGGATCGACGGACAGAAGACGTCGACAGAAGCTTCCTCGCTGCCAACTAGATCCTGACAGGTGCCGCCCAAGCACAGGATCATTTCCCGCGCTCCTGATACGAAAGACAGCAGTTATACAAGAAACCCCCATGGCATATCCCAAAGCAGAGCGACAAAGCGAACGATCCTTACCGTATGAAGGCCGTGGGTTGCTGTTCTGTATCGTCTGGCTAGTTTGACTCGGGCACGGGGGCGTAACCTTCAGTGCGCTGGTGAGGATGATCGAGTATTCCAAGTGACACTGCTCGCTCAGGAAGGCCACACGGACCATCTGAAGGACGGCGGCGGCGTGTTCCAAGCGTTCAGGACGGTCGTGATCCAGCCAGCGCCGCACCGCCTCGAAAACCTGATCTTCGCTGAACACGTCCACGTTATCCGATGCCAACAGTGCAATCAGCTGCAATCAAGTTCAATTAAAACGCATGCCAACTATCCCCCGATCCGTCATTTATACAGGGCATTCATTATGTTCGAATGGTAAGAGCACCTGTTGCGCATCCAGCTCCAAAAAGTCCTGACTCTGCGCCACTTGTAGGAAGTGGAGATGGATCAATTCAAGCGCTGCCGTGGCCAGACGGGGATGGTGGTGATTGGAGGCTGGAGTGTGGACGGCCAGGTAGTTGGACACGCGCATGTGCTGCTCCACGTAATCCCAGCTCATCAACTCCAACTCACCCATCTGCAGGAACTGCGCGGCAATTACGATGCGCTCCACGTTGTCGTCGTTCAGGTCCACATCCAGGGTGTACGCGTACTGGACCAATCTAGTCGTCAAAGTTACACTACTTCATCATTAACGACGGAAAAAAACAAGCTGCGGAGTGCTCACTCGTTTAGCGTGTGACTGTCGATGTTGCGCAGCTGGAAGACAGGCTCAGCTGAGTCTTTCCAGTCATGCGTGAAGACGGCCCGAAAGTAGGCGCTGTGCACGCTGAGGACGTTGCGGTGGCAGGGAATGCCCAGCGCGGACTCTTCGCAGCCCTTCAGTACCACATCGCACAGGGTGCCCGTTAACTGCTGTTCACGCAGTCCGCGCAGGAACTCAACCAGACAATGGTGAGGAGGATGATCTGCGGAGCTGCTGGGATTGGACATCATTAAGTATGGCACAGCAAACAATCAGAGATACAGAACGTTTAAATCGCAATCAAGTTTTCTATCACTAGGAACATGCAGTACAGACTACGGAATATGCAGTTCTGCGAAATCAGAAAACTGAGAAAACTCAAAATACTGTACTCAGTGTACCGTTCTTCAAATGATTGTGTGGACTTCAAGCTTGTCCTGACGTCAGTAGTAGGGTACAATCGCAACTGCCAGCTGGAGGGGGCAGTCAAGTCCAGACAGTCGTCGCGGAACTAACGTATATCGTTGAACCTTTTAAGTTTTAGTTGACGATAGCCGTTAGTTCCGTGATGCATGGGGAAAAGTACTCATAATCTCGTTTTGCCGGGAGCATTTGAAAATTTTATTGTCCCGGATTCTTATTGACCTGCCAGTGTTGTGTGGTGGCTAGGCGCAACAAATACCAAATGTTGCGCGTAGCAACATCACCTATCAGCGATTGGGTATTCGGATTTCTCACATATCCGACCGATGGTGTAAGAGCGATGCGGTGTGGATGTTTAAGATCTGGAACAAAGATTAATCCTACTTCCGGCGTACCTCCGGCATATGATCCAAGTAAAAGATAGCAGCACGCGCTGCCACTTGCGGAAGCCGGCCGGATCGGCGTAAAGAAAGTTATCGCGTACACTCGGCTATGGAAATGCGCCTAATACGTCATCTCGATAAAATTCTTGCTGTTAAGCCTAAAATTCTGATTTTAATGGGCAAAGTCCATAAATGTAACAAAAAGCGCATTCGCGTAATACTACTTAAAATTAAAAATCAAACATTAAAAAAGCAACCAAAATCGTTATCGCCGTCGAAAATCCTAGGACGGATATTCAAAGTGCCCAAAACAGCAGCAGCATTTTCTTTCACTACAGATAGACTAAATCTCTGCTTCAAAAATGCAGTAGAACGAGGGTCCCCTGTCACGTCGCGCATTTTTCTGCCAGCGAAACGAATGAGCTCCATAAAATCCCAACCGAATCTGCTAAAAGTTTCGATTGCCAGGGCGGAAAACCGGTGACCCTTCCTTTCCATGTAAGCGTATTACGGCGTTTACTGTCTTAGGCCATTTGTGCAACACTACCGGATGCACTCGCACTTGCCCGGACATGCGATGCGGCTACCGTGTCCCAGCATGTAGCGTGACTAGCGTCCCATACCAGCGCCTTACCATCCCGTGCCGGCAAGAGGGTCATGCCGTCTTGCCGCGTGTTATCATTGCCTGACAGTCCGAGTGGCTCGCTTTGACATGGATACCCAGCATGTTCCACGTAAATGCGCATGACCGCCGCGTACACCTGTTGATCTGCTATTGTATAACTAACTTTCATCTGTCATGGGAAGTGTATCGAGTCTTGGGTGGCCTGCTGGAAAGTGTTGGCTACAACTTGCTACTAACTCTTTGAAAGGCTACTTACTGTATGAATATGCAATCGAACGGCAGTCTCAATCGTACTCGTATTTGTTCGGAAATTGCAAATCGGAAAGTCGGAAGTGAGTAAAGCTTCTTGCGGCAAGTAGCTGAGCTGATAATCTCAATGTGGCGTAACTAAATAATATGCATAAGCTACAATCTATGCGAAGCGAGAATCGACTGCATTCCGACGATATATTTTGATCATAAACTCCGACACTGAAAAACTCAGAATGCGAACGAACTGATGCAGAAAATGCTGCAACTCTCGGACTTATATAGCGCGAAGCGCATCCGGTTCAGAAAGCCACAAGTAAATCCGAAAACAAAAGAGAAAATGCTAGAAAACCCAAAGTACGAGTAGAAAAGTAAAAGTACACTCACGACCGCGATCTTGAGCGATTGGCAACCAAAATCAGGTTTTGGATCAAGAAAAGGCTATACCGCCCTCGTACGGCTGCCATATTCCGTCACCGGAATTACGACCGTCGCGTTATCGGATATTTTACGAGTACAGTACAGTGTGTATTTATAAGCTGGAAAAACACAAAATGGAGCTAAAACGAGTGCCAGAACCATTCGTACTTCGTTACACACGCAGGAAACCGGTGCACCGTCCAGTTGTCCATGGAAAGCATAAGACACTCTAAAGAATCGCTAAAAAGCCGGCAAGGCGGATTCTGATTAAGGGATCCGCGTTTTGTTATTAGAAAGCAATCTGAACACTACGAATACGGTTCCGAATACGAATCCCGCCTATTTTGTGACGTCATAGCCCTATTCGTTTCGTAAACCTTCCGTAAAGCACGAAATTTAAGCTTTGAATCGTAACGTGTCTCCGGATAGCTGTCGATTCTGCCTGTGTTGATGGAATTCCGTTTGCTTTGGATTTTAAGTAGAGAAAACATTCCTCTATTTTATGAGCCTAAGAAGTTTTTGAAAACCCTTTTCACAAGTTAAAAACAAATTTTTGACTGACATGAGGTATCACAACTGAAATTACGTTAAAAAATTAAACTTGTACGAGTCGTACAGGCAAACGCATCGAGCTCAGCCGACCAATAGGAAAATTCTAAAAGCAGTTGGATCGAGTGGAGCTAGTTAACTTGCAGTCGCCGACTTGGGCGGTTGAGCGCTTCCGGTCTGAGGCAGTTTTGCTTAACCACTTCGGCCGCGCTACGTTTCGGCCACATGTTGTCACTTCGGCAACATACAGGTCGCCTTACTCACTTCGGTCCGCACTCTGTTCGGCCACCGTTACATGACATTTCGGCTTTTATTTTTCTTGTGTCAAGTTGTTACTTAATATTTGTTGTTGTTAGCACTTTCGTTTTTTTAAAAGAGAAACTATTTTTTTGTCAGTTTTTTTAGGTTTCTTTGGTATCTTTGGTTTTTTGGAATTTATTATACGTTTTGGTATTCTCCTGTGACGAGAATTTTTGAATTATGAGAGGCTGATGGTGAACTGAAACTGCAAGTGAACGTGGGGTAATCTGCGTTCTGTTCCAACAAAATAGTTTGCTTCTTTTTCTGTGTATCAAGTGATCTGTTCATTCTGTTGTCAAGTAACAGAAAACTTATGTTACACACATTATTGTTGTACGTCATTACGCAACCATAAACATGCATGGGTTATCGATATTAGCTGTATCTGTTGGCTTTTTTCCTAATAAAAGTAAGTATTAATGAAATTTCATAAACAGATAAAAGTTGGCAACAGTGCATCGACGCATTCCTGTAACTTCTTACTAGACTGCAAGTTTGCAAATTTTTCAGTTATCAGTAATTTACATTGGTGGACTACAGCCTGAATGTAATGTGGTCGAATGTCGAATGTGGGTGGTGGCCGAAATTAGCGTAACCGAAGTGTAAATGGACGAAATCATCGGTACCAACCGTGTCGGCATTTGCTTCGGTCCGAATGCATAGTCAGATCTCGGATGCGCTTACGAAAACGATTTCAATCCGTGTTCGTATTCGGTTCCGTATTCGTAGTGTTCAGATTGCTTTCTATTAGCTGCTTTAAGTCTGCTTACAAATCGGAAGACTGTCTGTGCAGAATGCCAAGACAGAATCTGATACGCAGCCGCCGAAACGGAGGTGGCGCATTGCTCTCAAGCCGGCAGTTACGTTGTTTCATTCAACTTTTGTCAAACTGCCGACTTGACGCTTACAACTTTGCAACGAAACACGTTCAGAGTTCAGTCATGCTATTTTGGTTTTATAAGTCACAGTTCCAACTTCGCACTCTTGCTGGACAGAGTAAAAGGTTTAAGGAGTTATTTGATTCCAGATTAATTTATTTTTCTTTGACAACTGTTTTCACTTAACTGTCAGCTGCACCCTTTGAAACGATGTCGAAGCCACGCAGTTCTGCCTATCACGCTCCTCATGACTGTCGGGCTGAAGAGTTTCTGCGCGGACTGCGTGAACAGCAGTCGACGGGGACGTTCTGCGATGTTGTTCTGAAGGGCTGCGAGGACTTTGCGGTGGGCATTCCCTGCCACCGCAGTGTCCTCAGCGTGCACAGCGCCTACTTTCGGACCGTCTTCACGCAGGACTGGAAAGACTCGTCGCAGCCGGTCTTCCAGCTGCACAACATCGGCAGTCACACGTTGAACCAGTGAGTGACGAGTCCTCACCATCAGTAGTACTTCAATTCAACGAATAATATGCATTAGCAGCCCAATGCGCCCAGCCAGAAACGCTTGTACTGCGGTGGGAAATACTTCTGTAAGTAGAAACTGCCTCTTAATTGTGATCGTTCTGAATTCATTGTGCAGGTTGGTGAGGTACGCCTACACGCTGATCCTGAACATCGATGCTGACAACGCGCAGTCCATCCTGGAAGCGGCGGAATTCCTGCAGATGACTGCCGTGGCTGGTCTGTGCTGGGAGTACGTGGAAGACCACATACAGCTGTCCGACTGCTTGGCCGTCCACGCTCTGGCCTCCAACCACCACAACACCCATATGGCCGAGGCTGCACTGGGCCTTATCCGTCGACACTTTCTGCACTTCATTGAGAGTCCGGGCTTCCTTCAAATGGACGCGCAACAGGTACTAACCGTTTTCGATATGTCGCTACGTCAGCCAGTTTGAAGATTTTTTCTCTTTTTTTGTCTCTATCGCCACAGCTGATTGCGCTGATGGCATCGGATGACGTGGACGTGACGAGTGAAGACCAAGTGCTGCGGGCGGTGCTGCACTGGTTGGATCACGACCGTCCCGGACGATTGGCGCACCTGCACGCCGTCCTGCAGGTGGTGCGTGTTCCCTTCCTGAGTGACAGATGCCGACAGGATTATGCGCTGGCTCTTAGTCTTGGCAGATCATCATCCGCGGTGCCACGGAGTCGGTCCGCGCCGGGCCGTGGACTGGCCGACGGGACCCAGACGACGAAAAAGGCCAAACCCCGGCATTCTTTGGGTAAGGGTATGTAGTGTATGTAAGTACTCGTACAACGGTTGTACGAGTTTCTCGTGAAATGGATAATGGCCTATGACTAATGTGCCGCAGCAGCGGTGTTGTTGTTGTCCGTTATTGTTGCCATGTCTAGTGTTTAGTTGGTTGTTCGCTGCTGTCCCTAGCGGACATACGAGATTATGCCGTTTCGTTAAAGGGTACGTGTAGGGCGCAGTGAGGGAATTAAATCGTGACCCGGTATAGGGTGTCCAGTTCGTGTATTTGTACGAATCCTTTCGCTTTGGCGTACTCCGCAGCACTTGGCATCGCCTTATGGCGTCCTATAGTCAAACGATTTGTATAGCGGGTGCGAAGTTGACTTCGAACCCGTTTGCGCGTCTGCACGCATCATTTAATTGATGAATTATGAGTAAGATAAAATTTCAGTAATTGTAATCACAATACGCTCTACAAAAATCCCATTTAGGACCGATCTTCTTCGAATTTTGCAAAAGAGTGAACTAAGCGTACAGATTGTTTTGACGCGAAACCACAATTTTGGTAAGTTTTTCGAATTTAAATTAAAGTAAAAGTTTCGCAATTCATTTTAAAAATCTGAAGGCTTGATGGAAGTCAAAATAATCTCCCTGCTTATTTGGGACCAGTTATGTGCAAAATCTTAAGAACATCTATTCTTAATGAGCTTCCTCATCAAAATAATCTTCTTGCTTGGTATTTACGCCCATTTAAATGCAGAATCTTAAATCTTTATTTGATTTTTTGAAATTCATTTTAAAATTTCAAAAACCTGCTGGAAAGCTGGTTCGGTGTAAAAACGATCTTCGTGGTAATTAGCGTTTTCCTGCAGAATTTGAATAGGATCGGTTTATACATAATGAGACTTTTGGTGCACCTTAACTTTTGGAATATTATTTCACCGATAAATTCCCAACCGGATGTTGCGCGCACAAACGGTTCTCACGCCAATGTATACAAAAATCACTTGGCTATAGAATGTCTTAAGAGGAGAATCCTCTGTACACACAGCAGCCGCCCATCCGCCGCCTACCTGGTTGGCTCAAGCTCAAGCACATTAAATTTTAATATCTTGATCTTCGCCAACAGCGGCGATGGCACAGTGGCTGTGCTACGTGGATCACACTCGGTAGCCAGCGGTTCGATTCCGCTCCATCGCCATTTTCGGAATTTCCTCAACAGACAGGATCTTCATCTGACCGCCCTCCCTCGCTGAGATCACCACGGACAGCCGACTTATGGCTGCCTCTGTTACAAAACAATGCAAAAAAGTGTGCGGGAGTGCGCGAAAGCGAAAGTTTCAGCGCATGTACCCAGATCTGGTACCATGTACCGGCCCACTTCCCTTAAAATGGTGAAATCATCTTCTAAACTCTTTTAAGTTGTGTAAGATAACAACACGTCTATTGTATAAAAACGACGTGATAATTTTGTGACAGGAGCACAGGAAGTAATCTTGTGCGTGGGCGGATGCAACATGGGTAACATGGATCAGCTGTACGATTTGGCCGTTTCGGTTGACGTCTTCAGTCCATCGATACCGGCAGTCTGGCGCCTGAAAGAGTTGCCAGTAGACGTTGAAAAATGCCGCGCAGTGATGCCGGACGCTAGTGCGATGATGATCTGCAGTTCGGGCGACATCGTCACGGTGCACCGCAACCGCCGCTACACGGACCTACAGGGCGCGTGGTGGAAGGAGATCCACATGCACACGCCGCGCGATTCCGCCGGTCTTGCCGCGCTGGATGGCCGCGTTTACGCCGCCGGCGGCTATGATGCGCGCAAGGTGCTACTGTCGTCTGTGGAAGTTTACGATCCCGACAGTCGTGCCTGGAGCGCCGTGGCCGCGCTGCCCGTTGCTCTGGCTTCCGTGGCGCTGGTGGCGTGTGACGGTCGATTGTACGCCTTTGGTGGCGCCGGTGAAGACCGCTGCGGTTGCAGTTTGGCGTTCTCGTATGATCCCGCAACGGATGCCTGGAGTAGACTGGCCGATATGCCGACGGCGCGCAGCGGAGCCGCTGCCTGTGTGGCGCCCAGCGGGCTGATTTACGTTGTTGGTAAGCGATAGGTTGGTCGCGCCGTAGTTAAAAAGAATCTTGAGACGAAATAAGAATGCAGTCGGTGTGGTTCGGTGCTTAAATGAACGGCTTTCGAGTCCAGTCATCGACGGGATTTTTCTTTCATCAGTATTGTGTTCAGTATCTCAGATTTTTAACAGTACTTACTGTCAGAGAGTCATCCTCTCCTTACAGATTGGTGATGGGTCAGCTGGCTGTAAGCCACTACGGTTTGCTCGAATGGCCAGTCTTAATCTTGCGCTGAATTATTTAGGTGGAAATGAACACCGTCATGTGGAAGCGTACGATCGTGCATCCAATCGGTGGCTTAAGAAAGGTAGGTGTACTTGTTCTGGTTACTGAAAAATAGCATGTTCAACGTTGTGGATGTACCGGGTAGTCGTGATGCTGACATCAGTGTCGCTGTGTGATCACAGGCGATACGCTTATGACGCGCTATGAACTGGGATGTGCCAGTGTGAATGGGAAGCTGTACGCTCTCGGGGGGTGCGGTGGTGGGTGTCACGACAGCATCGAAGTGTACGACGAGGACGCGGACCGCTGGGCGCTGCACGAGTGCCGCTTGCCGCAGCCCAAGTCGCACTTTGGCTGCGCGGTGATGAAGCTGAAGCGCGGACCGCAGCGCGCCCATTGAATGCCGTTGACTCGCTACTGCTGGTAAAACGATGCAGTACGAATGTGGTCTCGTTACATCTGTGCGAAGGCAAAGAAACGATCGTCTCTCGGAATGGATACAGCCGATGAATGAAGATGTGTCGAGTGACTTTTTTTATTTCAGTATGTTGAGGAGAAAGCAGCGCCGTGCCTTGCTGTCACGTATTACCAATACGTATATATTTATTCAGCGAGCCAGCCAGAGAACTAACTAATCTGTAGACTGTATGTCAGGAATGAAAATATTCATAAAGGTTAACGTTGCTAAGCACTTGCAGTCATATACTAAGTACATGCCGTCACACCTTCCCCAGTGTGTTCGAAGTTAACACACTCAATTATTACACAGTTAAGAACCAAATTTAGGATCCGCTATCAATCGATCCGGTTTCACTATGGTTCGCTCCGTTCTTCGTAAATCTTCAACGGGCTGCGGCGGCTTGACCTTTTTCGGTTTGGTTGGCTGTTGAGATGCCGCTGGCTCATTTTTCGCTGTTGTTGCTTCTTTGACGTTATCTGGCGGAGATTTCACAGTTTCAATAGCAGGGCGCGCCTCCTGTTTTGGTGTTTCATCCGCCATTCGTGCTGCAGTATTGTTCTGTGCGTCGACAACTGGCTTTTCTGGCAATGTACTGCCCAGTTTCGTTTCATATGGTTCCAGCCAGTATCGTGGTCGAATTTGATTATAGTGGCGGCGCCAGACTGTTCCGTTGACGGAAACCTCCCAGATTCGGGTGCCATCCCGTTTGATCAGTTTTCCACTAACCCAGTCAACGTCGCGACTGGGGCGGAAATCTCGAACGAGAACCAGCTGACCAGGCAGAAAGTTTTTTTGCACAGTCCGCTTGTCGAAATTCCTGCGGTAGCGTTCGCGGTTACGCTCAGCAGTAGTCATCATGACGGGGATCAGCAGGTCCAACGTTGAGCGCATTTTGCGGCCCATGAACAGCTCGGCCGGCGACTTGCCCGTTGTGGCGTGTGGAACACTGCGATACCGCCAAAGGAACTGACGCAGGGCAACCGGAAGTGTTTTACCATCTTCCATCAGCTTCGCGATTCCCTCTTTCACGGTCTGCACGTAACGCTCTGCTTGCCCGTTGGACTGCGGGTGACCCGGTGGCGTTCGGATGTGCTTAATTCCGAACTGGGTACAAAAATCCGCAAACTGCTGTGAAGTAAATTGCGTACCGTTGTCGGAAACGGCTTCTGCAAATGCTCCGTAGCGACTGAACATCGTGAGCAGAGCATCAATGACAGTCTCGGTCGTGGCGTGCTTCATGGAAATGACTTCCGGCCACTTTGACATGGCGTCCACTACCACGAACAGCATCGTTCCATGGTACGGACCTGCAAAGTCCATATGTACGCGTTTCCACGGCGCGTCAGGAACTTCCCACTGGGCCAAGGGAACCTTCGCGGTGTCATGTGCTCGCTCTGCGCAGGTGCGGCAGTCTTTGGTGACTTGCTCGATATCGCGGTCCATCTGCGGCCACCAACAGTAGCCTCGGGCTTCGGCCTTCATCTTGCCAGCCCCCATGTGGGCTTCGTGCAAGTATGCTAGCACCTGCTGGCGAAACTTCTCGGGGATCACAGTCCGGTGACCCCAGCAGACACAGCCATTCACCCTGACCAGTTCGTGCTCCAGCCGTTTGTACGGTCGGAGGGTATCTGCAACGGTACTAGGCCAGCCGTTCTGGATGTAACGGCTTACTTCTCGGAGTTCCGGGTCAACCAGTGTCTCCTCCGCGATCGCTGTGACTGACAGCGGCAGGTGGTTGGCGTTGTCGCTATGCACGGCACTCACGACGTTGTCCATGCCGAGACCGGATATGCCTTCCAGCTGCGTAGAGTGCAGTGGCAGGCGGCTCAACCCGTCTGCTTGGCCGAAATCCTCCGTCCTGCGATACTCGATGGAGAAACTGTACCCCATGAGCAGCAACGCCCATCGCTGTAGGCGGTTGGCGGTCACGACGGGAACGCCCTTCCGGCTGCCGAATACGCTGAGAAGCGGCTTATGGTCTGTCAGCAGCGTAAACTCCCTCCCAGCGATGTACTGGTGGAATTTCTTGCAACCAAACACCAGCGCCAAAGCTTCTTTCTCTATTTGACCATAATTCTTTTCGGCCGCACTGAGACTCTTGGACGCGTGGGCAATTGGTCGCTCTGTCCCGTCAGGGAACCGGTGGCACAGAACAGCACCCAGGCCATACTGGGAGGCGTCGGCAGCCAGCACCAGTGGCATTTCCGGGTTGAAGTGCACCAAGAATGTCGCCCGGACGATGTCCTCTTTCAGTTCTCGGAACTGACGCGCACATTCCTTTGACCAGTCCCATGTCGCTCCGGTCTTCAGGAGATTGTGGTAGACATTACACTTTGTCGATACATCGGGAAGGAACTTCCCGTAGTGATTCACCATGCCAAGGAAGGCGCGTAGCTCGCTGACGTTCCTTGGTTCGTCCATATCCAGCAGTGCTTTGGCGCGGTCGCGCGATATGTGTCGGCCGCGGCTGTCCACCACAAAGCCAAGGTACTCCACCGATTCTTGCATGAACCGGCACTTGGTCTGCTTAAGCGTCAGGCCGTGTTCTTCGAGCCGCTGCAGGACTTTTTCGAGGTTGCGGAGGTGTTCTTCTTCCGTCGCACCGGTGACAATAATGTCATCTAGGTAGACAGCGACACCTTCACAGCCCTGCAGGATCCGCTCGATGATCTGTTGAAAGATGCTTGGACCACTGGCCACGCCAAATGGGAGACGGTTGTAGCGAAACAGGCCTTTGTGTGTGTTGACTACAACCAGCTGTTTGCTCTCCTCGTCCAGCTCGATTTGGGCGTATGCTTCGGCCAGGTCGAGTGTACTGAATTTGCTGCCACCATTGAGTTTCGCAAACAACTCGTCTGGTGTCGGGAGCGGGTACTTCTGGACATCCAGGGAGTCGTTCAAGCCTGTGCTAAGGTCCGCACATGTCCGAATATCACCACCCCGCTTCTGAGTACCGACGATCGGAGCTGCCCACTCGGCATGATCGACTGGTGTCAGGATACCGCGTTCCACCAGTCTGTCCAGGTCCTTCTCTACCGCTTCGCGGAACGCGAAAGGCACAGTTCTGGCTCTACAGAACACCGGCTTCGCGTTCGGCTTCAGGTACAAATGTGCTTTGTACTGTTTGCAGTGCCCTAATTCGTCGCGAAAAACGGCCCGGTGGCGGTTGAGGACTTCTTCAAGCTTGAGGTCACCAGCGACCAGCCGGATGGATGACGCCTGGAGATCCTTGAGGCTTAGTCTGCTTAGATCCAGTGCCTGGATCCAGTCGCGTCCAAGGACGTTGCCACCTTGCGCAGCCACCACTATCGGCAGCGATTTCCGGGTCTGCGCGTGTGTGACCTTTACCGTGGCCGTTCCCATCACACGTAAGGTATGGCCGGTGAAGCTGCGCAGTGGATGCGTGTATGGGGCCAGTTTGGGTGAACCAATCTGTCTCCATGTCTCCACCGTGATTATGGTGACACCGGAGCCTGTATCGAGCACCGTCGACACTGGGGTGCCGTTCAACTGCACTGGCACGTAAATGGATTGCCCAATCGCGGCGTCAACCGACATGACGTCGAACTCTTCTTCGACCATCATGGTTCGCCGTCCGTCTCGGCCTCGCTGTGGCGGTTGCTTGCTGCTGCGGCATACTTTGACGATGTGCCCTTTCTTCCCGCAATTCCGGCACACAGCGTCCTTTGCCCAACACTCTGTGCGCGCGTGGTTAGCTCCGCATCCGGCGCACGGTGTGTCACCTCCGGGTCCGCTTCGAACTGGCGCGTTGCCTCTGCCGCGTCCAGCTCCTTGTCTGTTTCCCCGCGCACGGTTGCCTCCGCCTCTTCTCGGCGCGCCTTCGATCCTGGCTACTTCAGCGGCGGGCTGACCGCGCTTCGTGCTCTTCGCAAGCTCGTATTGTTGAGCCAATTCCAGCGCTTTCTCCAAGGTCGTAAAATCCTTGGTCATAAGGTGCTGTCGAGTTGCGTCATTAGTGACCCCGTTTAGAAATGTCGATGACATGTTTTTTCGAGGACATCAGCAGGGAAATTGCAGTTTATCGCTTTGCGGCGGAGTTTGTTGGAGAAATCAAGGAGAGTTTCTCCAGCGTCCTGCTGCAGTCGGAAGTAATTCGCCCATTCGACGGTGGCATTAGTCTTCCTGACGTATGCCTGCTCGAGTTTGTCTACGATTTGTGCATTTGTATAATCATCAGGATCGCGAGGCAAACACATCGAATGTAACATTTCCATCGCTTCAACCCCAAGAGCGTCAAGCAGAATGGCCTTTTGTTCGTCGGTGTCCGTGACCTTTCGCAATTTGATGTAATTGCGATAACGAAACTGCCAGCTGCGCCAGGTCATGGTCGCTGGCTCAAAACGGAGAAGACCAGATCCGCTATCATCTTTGGAGGGTGTAGAAGCAGGTGCAGAGGTAGTACTGTTTGGCATGGCTGCGCGTATGAGTTAGAAAACAATCCTTCACGCCAGAATGTCACGTATTACCAATACGTATATATTTATTCAGCGAGCCAGCCAGAGAACTAACTAATCTGTAGACTGTATGTCAGGAATGTAAATATTCATAAAGGTTAACGTTGCTAAGCACTTGCAGTCATATACTAAGTACATGCCGTCACAATACATGCCGTTCCCTTGGCCCAGTGGGAAGTTCCTGACGCGCCGTGGAAACGCGTACATATGGACTTTGCAGGTCCGTACCATGGAACGATGCTGTTCGTGGTAGTGGACGCCATGTCAAAGTGGCCGGAAGTCATTTCCATGAAGCACGCCACGACCGAGACTGTCATTGATGCTCTGCTCGATGTTCAGTCGCTACGGAGCATTTGCAGAAGCCGTTTCCGACAACGGTACGCAAACTGCTGTGAAGTAAATTGCGTACCGTTGTCGGAAACGGCTTCTGCAAATGCCTTGCATTGTCTGATTGAAAACCCATTGCATAGTTAACATGAGACGGAACAGTTGATCTGTTATGGGGTAAAGATGGTTTTTTATGTTGGTAGCATGTTGCTCCGGTTGTACTGGCTGTGCTACGTTGAGGATGATCAAGGCCGCACTCGCTAAGTCCCTTTATTATAATAATGCCTTTAATTTTTCTGTAGAGAATTTAATCGACCGAAGCGTAGCGAAGGTCATCTATGTTCAGCGTTCATGAAAAATGTGGTGTCTGTCGGTCACCGCCATCTAATGCACATATGCACATATGCGCGGTCTGCTCCTTCCATTGCCAGGGAGTAGTAGGGACACCAAATCGGATACGGAGTGAATCGAAGCCAAAAATGCGGGAAGTGCTAATTCCTCCGACCGACGAATGCTGATATTTAAGAGATCTATTTCTCTGATAATTTAGAGTTAGAATTTTGCATTTCTATCTTTACACCATACGTAAGCGACAAATATCTGTGTATACGAAGCCAGGAAGTGGGGAAACAGTCACAGCAGCTCGGTTTGGCAAGCGCCATACCGGCATGCATGGACAAGCTGGTTTCTGGTCTGACAGTAGGTAACGAATTTTGTAAGGATAGAGTAATCAACCGTAAAAGTATTTGTAGAACCGTATTAAACAATCAGCTCGTACGAAAACATTTCGGTGTTTCGCCGGGAAAGTTACCGCCATCTACTCGAACGGTGAGGCTGGTTTATTTTACTCAGTCACCATTGGTGACTGAGTAAAACAAAACAGACTTCGCGTTACCCGATTCGTCAGCGATGAAATTTGAAACAATATTACATATATATTGTCTAGAAACACGTCTAGAGCCGGTGAAACCATGCATCCGCCGGCTCAGAAGTTTCGCCGGCCCAGAAGGACGTCCACCGTAACTGTGACCTTAAATGTTTCAGAAGAAAACGGACCTTATATAAACACAAAATGGCGACGGCTTACGTCATAAACTGGAGTTGGGAGCTGGACTTTCTAGTTACAATTCCCGGTTGCACTTTATAACTACAGCTCCCAACTCCCACACATGAGTCATCACAACTGTACACTGTATATATTTCATACGTGTATGAAACACGCTACATATGCAATACTAACATCCGCACACAATTCGATGATATTATCATTAGACAAAATTTTAATTTTTGATTGTATTATATAATCGGTTGTCTGGATTGTGTTTTCACTTTAAAGTAAGTATTAAAGGCACGAAATCATAATAAATCACCATACATAAGCAAGAAAATATACTATCAAAATGGCACGCCTAGTGTGTAAAAAGAACTTTTGCGAAGCAGTTATGGGAACATGCATTGTTCTAATGTTAATTTTAATAATATTGCTCGAGGCCTTTTTCGGAGTAAGTCATAATATGAAAACCAGTATCAACAACTGTTCAGCACTGACAGTTGAAGATTTAATCAACGGAAACGTCACCCCATGGTCGAGTGTTAAATTCCGTGTCGACAATTCGACGCTTTGAATATGTAAGTCGAAACCGTTTATTTATTTCTTTTGCGGAAACCTCCAATTTACGCTTATTCCGCGTAATGTTAAACGGATAGTTCACGGTTACATCATTTGGCTGGTCTTGCGGTGCCAGGCTTTCTAATAGCATTTCCTTCAGGCTTTCGAGGTTCAACTGTTTCCTGGCTTTCCTTGTTAAGGTAAAGCCCTTGACCTTTATCGTTTCACTGCCAGTGTTGGTGCGGTACGCGTAGCTTTTAGGCCCTGAAAAGAATGAAGTATAAATACTTATAAGCTGCACCGTAAAACAGCTTAACGTAGATCCGAATGTACCGAGTGCAACAAATTCGTTGATGTGCTCATTAGGCTCCAAGGACGATGACAAATCTCCTAAACATGTCCCCACTGGCGGATCAGGCAAGTCATCAGTGTGAATATAAAAGATACTGTCTGCAAAGTGCACAGATAGAATTACAATACGAAAGACAGTTTCTTGAAATTCAGTACTTGCCAGTATCATGATATAACAAGCGGTCTCCAACCATTTCCATAAACTTCAGCAAGTGCAACCGCGCATATGCTGTTGTGAATGCCGCAATGACAACATTTGTCTTTTGCTTGTTGGGATGTAATCTTTTTAGAACGGTATTGAACAGCCATAACTTCATCAGTCACCAAGTCGAATCCGGCAACTTCGTATTTATTGGAAAACAAATAATCATGGAAAATCTCTTTCTTTTCAACAAATGCGGTGTTGGATCTGTCCTCCTGCTGGCCGAACTTACCCCTGTAAAAAGACTCAGAATTAAAACTGCATGTTGCCAATCGAATTAATACTCTTTACCAAAAACTATTCAGCATAAGTTTGGACAACGCTCTTAGCCCATCGTTTTCGCAATGTTGTTTTTATCCAATAAAATATTTTCTTTACTAAGAAACTCTTCAATATATCTGTCTTTGTCTTCCTCTGTTCGACAGTTCGGTGGATAGCCTGATGCCTCTGTTTTAAGCTTCAAAATAGATCTATGTATTCTCTGAATAAATATTGCATCTGCTCTGGATAATGCCAAACAGAGTAAATCTTTTCAATGCGGTAGCCAGCTTCTATCGCGCGGTGAATTTCTGGTGTACACCACGTTCCTTCCAAAGCCCTGTCATCATCTTCATGGCAGCACGGTGTGTTCACGCGCTCCTGTACGCATTTGGCACATAACGGAAATGTAAGCTTGTCGGTTCTGTACGGCAGTACAGGGAGAAATAATGACGGTGGTGGAATGATACGGCATTTCATCACTCCGAATATGCTTTCCACAGGCGGGAAGTCCTTTGTGATGATGACAGGAGCTCCCACTGGATAAGGCAGATTTTTATTGATGTAGGGGTACTCACTAATAACGTCGAGGGAATAGATTTTTCGCCTGGCGCACATTTGTGGTACAGTTTGATAGCGTTTGTTCGGCCCCCGGTGAATGCATCTCGTGGGTGCATAGGCTCTTCAATGTTTGCTAACTCGATGACTTGTTTGAATTCCATGTCTGCTGCTAGGCGCGCATCGTATTCGTGCTCCCAGATTGAAACAAGAGCGTAACCCATAGCTTTTATTGCGTCAAGGCGTGAGTCAGTTGCTTTGTTGATTTCTTCCATGGGGCGATTAAGAAATGGATGCAGTGTACTTTTTGTCGTGCAGTCGCTGCAACCGTGCCACATACACCCTTAAAAGAACAAACACAATTATATCAAAACTTTCTGTATTTGCTAAAATTCGTTGTTCATCTAATTTACCTAGAAACTCATAAACGGTTTTATTCCTTGGGTCAAAACCATCTACTGTCCAAGGGCCGATTCGAACCTCGCGCTGGAGTTGTATATCGTTGTCCATTTCAATCCATCGGAGCCAACGATCTCCTTTGGCAGAAGATTTTTTACCTTGTCCAGGGGGACCAATCAGCGCAATTTGGTTTTTCTTTAACATCCGCGCTCTCCAAAAATAATTACACATTCCAGGGGTGGTAAGGCCTGAAGCAAATGGACACAATCCATTCGTCACTTGTTGGAAGAGCGTTCGAAACTTCTCACATGCTTGTTGGAGAACAAGAACATCTTGCGAGCAATATCTATAACAGAGCTAAATAAATACGGCGGCCAGAGTAAATGACATATTTTACCTACCCAATAAAGTGAGCATTAAAGTCAAATTGATTGTTGTGACGGCGTCGCTCTTTACGGAACCACTTTATAAAACGTTTACGCTCTTTCTTTTCATGAGCTGGTAACCGTAATCGTGTCGATCTGGCCATGGAAGAATTTTGTTCCAATTTTCTGGCTGATTAAGTTTGTGAGGAAAGTCTCCTTTGGTTTCTTGCAAACCGAATGCTTTGGCAAAATTTTTGAGCGATGACGGCACATAATTCATAGAGTCACGGAATTTTATTTTAAGTTTTGAAATATCCATCTGCACAACCTTGCTCCCGTTAAAGATCAATGGGTGTGGAATGATTCCGTTCTTAATTAGATAGTTTAGCAGAAAATACCCGTCAAATCCCTAAAAAGTAAGTTTTTGTCAACAAAAGCTTATGATTGCTTATGAAGTTTTGACATTGTTTACCTTCAAGTTGTGTGCAATAAAGGTGTACCCACGAAAGCGTTCGCTAAAGATGAATTCCCCCAAAGCACTTGAAATATCACCGCTAATATTTCCATCTTCCGGAAGGACAAATTTCTCGTCTTTTGTTGCTATGACCGCTAAATTCACTTTGAAATCACCTGCCTCATCTTGAAACGTTTCAAGATCAAAGTACGCTAGCTTATCGTTTAGGTGTTTAGCCTTTTCTTTGTCTGTGAGCTCAATGGGTTGCATGTAGCAGACATGATTATCTTCGGGCATGAAGAACAATGAGCACGTTGGGCAAAAGACTTCACCACACCGATGTTGTTGGTCATCTATATCCAGTTCAATATCATCGTTTTCATTGTCGCTATCCTTGTCGCCGTCATCGTAAAGCGGATAATTTTGTGGCAAGTCGTAATTGGTCTTCATTCGACGATTCACCATGGAAACAAACGACTTACATAATTCACAAATAAAGAACTTTGCGCAGATTGGACTGCTTCCGGACTTATGCGTGTAAAAGCACTCTTGCCCATGGAAATCGCGATTACAGTCAGGACAGTGGATGTTCTGAAGCTTGTCCATAGGGCAGGTTACAGATAAACACTGATGACACTTGAACTCACATCTGTGGTTCTGCCTTTTGTTGTAGCCCTTCATACAGCGGTAGCAATAATACTGTTGTTCAAAATACGCGGGCAGGGATGTTAGCACGTCAAAATGATGATCATGATGCAGCAGCATGATCCGTTTTTCACAGTACGCGCCGCAGTACACAATTGAGTTTCCATGGTCCACCGAGACTACAATAAATTGATAATTTGGTAAAACGATTTCAAATCGAGGAATATCCTCCACACTGAATTCTCTATCTGGCAATTCCGCAGCCTGCAGCAACTCCTTGGTCTTTTCGGTCTGCAACTTCTTCGTTCGGTAAAGCTTTGTATACATTGTTTTATCGCCATCTGCATGCGCCTTAGCGACCACAATAGCTCGCGCCATACACAAGCAGTCCGTGTTGCGGATTTGTGTAATGCATCGTTTCTTGTCCAGTATTTGCCGTAACAGCTTTGAAACGTTTTTTCTGCACGACCCAGTTGGAATATCCGTATGCTGCACAGACAATTCAAAAGATTCATCCAATAAAAACGCCTGATTTGAATTCAAGATTCTCCGGATCGTTGTCATCCATCTTTCAACACTCAGCTGATCACGTTGGATAGGTGGCATCCAAATTGGGTATTGCAGTGCGTTTTGATACAAGCGAATTCTAACCAAATTGTGGGCTGGAATTGCCGAAAGCACGGTGTCCAGAATGTCTTTCAATAAAAGAGTTATGGTTTTAATCGCGTATTTAAATGACAAATTATCCAGACCGTGTATCACACATTTATAGGTTTCAAACGACACTGAAAATTTTTGTGAATATTTAGCCCCCGTTTTTTCCAACTCATAATAATCTTTAATATCATACAAATCCGGATCAAGTTCTTCTAGGTTCTGTACTGGCACATCGATCGGAGCCGGAGGTATAAAATAATTGTGATCGAGAAGCGCATAATTATGATTGAAAAGAGCAATATCAGCAAAGTTAGTTTCAGCACTGGTGCCGGGGTCAAACAATTCTGCGGATAAGTCAGGGTTTGCGCCATGATGAAAGCAAAATATGGCCAAAAAAAGTTGCTAGCGACAAAGATGCCACTTTATATAACTGATTTGGACGAGAACAAAATTCCAGTACAGCATTTTGTAACGGGTACGGTTAGTTAGGCAGGTTACACTGACTCATGCACTAGAAATTCTTGGCATGCTAATATCCGCGTGAGTACTTTCTTCACTGCAATCGGTATCGGTGGGAAATACAGCACCACAGCGGATGCAACGTCTGTTACCTCGGTCATCTGCAATAACATAGAGCTTGTTAAAATTTTTTTTTAAAAGCGCGGAAACATTTCATTGCATACCCCAGTAAGCATTCTGATCTGATCTTGAGTTGCGGCAGCGTCGTTGCCGTCGAACGTGAACTTTTACTTCTGGAATCGGCATACGGCAAAGCAGGCATTTCGTACGACTTTTTAAATGGTGATCCAGCATCCAGTTAGAGTAAGCTTGAGCTTTATTAGGACTGTAACACTTGTCCTTGCTTAGATCGGCAAAACGCGGACAGCCCAGTGTATCAAGATTAATGACATCAGATTTAATCAGTTTTTGAAGAATAAGACACTTTTGCCCCCCTTTTGCATAGAAAACGACATCGGCAGGATCGTCAACGTAGCGAAGATAATTTTTAAACGCTCGTTCGATTTGGTGTTCTAACTCTGAGATAGCTTTATCGAACACAGCATCAATATCCGAAGAACAAACGCCATATTTATTCACAATGTAATTGCTTGGCGCTAACGCAAATGTGGTATAATAAAGGCAATAAAATTCGACCGAGCTTATTGCAAGTGACGTAATAATTGGCTTCCCGTTAAGCGCATACCACTTAATGTCTACAACAATATGGTAAACCATTTTTGGACCTAATGCTTTAGAAATCGTTAATTTCCGCTGGCGTAATGAGATGAAAAAGCTGTTGCATCTGAAAATTGTCCACTGACTGGGGTATTTTATGTGCATCAAAACGGATGCAGCGCAACGTCACGCTGGACCGCAAAATATTTTGGTGCACAACAAATTATTTTTAATCACATACAAACAGAACGTGAAAAATCTGGCGTTGATGACGTGACTTTATTGCGTTATCTGGCGGAAAACAGACTGAATAAGCAAAGAATTATCACGGACAACAGTTTTTAAATTAAAATAATAATTAACATAAGCACAAACCATTCGATCATTCGAAGCTTTGCTATTGGTAAATAAATGAATAAGAGAAGTAAATGACTCGCCGGAGCATCGTTTTAGAATAAAAAAGCAGCAATACTGTCCGCATACGGTACTCCACTCCATTTGTAAACGATGCGCTTGTGAAATAACCATGCCCGCGTTCTTGCAAAAAAGTTTCAATGTAGTGGCCGTAATAATGCGGTTCATGACCGTAAGAGTCAAAATATTCCAGCTGTCCTGGTATAGCCTGGTAGAACGCCAGCCAATGCGAGCCAGGTTTCGCAGCTTCGTCAGTATTGACAACGCATGCCCATGGTAGCTTGGCTGGCAGCGACGATGGTAGCATATCCGCAGCGAATACACCAATAAAAGCGTCTCTCGTCACGGTATTTGAACGTAGCACGTGATCAATCTCAGCAGTGTCCATTGTAGTGCCGATCTGCATTCAAAATAAAATTTGAATTTTCTTTTTAAAGCTTTGTCCTGTAAACAACGGGCGACCGAGAGCGCGAAGCGCTCCGGTCGCCCATTGTTTACCACATCCGTCACGATTCTCTTCAGCGTCAAAAGGGGCCGACGGCGCGCCAACCCCCCACTTGCGACCCTGAAGCTTACCGCTCAGGCAACAACACGACAATGTTTTAGGCTGTCAAACGCTTACGTTACGTTTTTAAGCCGTAAAATCCGCAATGAGCTGGCGATGTGAGTTGACTTCAATTATATTATCCCACACCATCATCGTAATGGCCATAATTGGTTCAGTTAATTGGGCGGCGAACTGCAGGCGGATTGATAGATTTCCTTGGCGTACGGTGCTCATCGGTCCCCGGCCTGTCCGTGAAGGTGTCAGATCGAATCCCCAAATAGCAAATCCTTCCGCAAATGCTTTACGGTCGAAAGGCAGCGCCCCGTCCGGTGCGTGCAAGCGGCCAAGCGTCTCCAAAAGACCGTCATATGATTGCAAATAATCACCCGTGGCGAAATTTGGTCGGTAGGCTTGTGCGGGATACGACTGTCCGTCGACTTCGACACTTATATAGTTGAGATTGAAATGTTCAAAGTTAAACGGATTACCTCGGCGCAGCCCGTGAAAACTCGAGCTTTTTACAAATCCCACAAAAACACATTTGGGTACTGCTCCAATATTTAAATTAGCCAGCACTGTGCTCTGAATCATACCAATATCATTAACACGCATACACACTCTCTCAATAGGGTATTTCACAGTCTTTGTCGATAATTGGGCAGTAAGCGCAGACAAATATGCCGGATTAGGCACAAAGCGTTTGACGTACAGCCGCGGATTGCGAATGTATGCTTTAAAAGTATCCACTGGAAGATTGGCGTATGAACGCAGGTAGAATTCCGGCTTATTCAAAATGAGGCGCACATGTAGCGGTACACCGGTGATCAAATTTTTTCCCTGCTGGAAAATGTCCGTACATAATTTGGCGCTGAATGGGACGTACTCGTTGGTCACAAACATGGCTTTCCGCGTTACTTCTCCAGCGTTATTGGCATGATCTTCTAGGTACCCGGGAGTGTCTATATAAAATCCAGCACTTGTTGCCTGGCTTTTTAGGGCAGCCGGTGTGTACCCCAACAAATTTTCCAAATACGCTCGGTAGGCATATAATGGGGTGGAATTAGTTATCAGGCGGTTGGCCATTGTTACCTCTACCGAGCTGAATATAGAATGCGCTATTAGGTTCACTGGTGCAACCAGATCCGTGTTTTCAATATGCGTAGCCGCACCAAGTCCTGCAATTTGCTTTTTGATTGCAATATCCATTTCTAGCGTAATTTCCGGTAGCACTAGCAGCGCCGACGTTGAAGGGGGAATGTAAAAGGAAATTTCTCCAGAACTAATTTCTTCTGTTTGCCCTGATGTTGGTAGAATGCGTTCTTCTTCTGTCCGCACAAAATCCGCTAGAGTGGCCGGAACGGAGAATAAATCCGACTCGACCTGCATAGCTGGCACGCTTCCTTCCAAAATAAAAGCCATTTTAAAATGCGTCCTCAAATTCTCTTGGGGGAATCCGTTTAAGCCGTTTAAGTCGGAAGGAAGGTTTCTTTATCTTTTTTGTCCTCTTGTGCTGCTGCTTGAGCCGTTTGATGCCTCCTTGCTGTTGAGGTTGCGCAGTTAACGCTTCCGAAATTTTCTCTCCTACCTTCTTGGATGTTTCACTAAGAACTGTTGTCGCTGCGTCGCGTAAGTGGGGCTTTGCTGCTTCCATTGCTGCTCTGGCATGTGGTGCCGCTGCTTTAATAACCGGGGCAGCAAAATGCGCTAATTTACTAAACATTGCGCGCAGAAAATTAGGTAGCATAAATCCGCTGCCATTTTGCATTAAACTCCCGCGATAGCGTGTCATGACGGCTCCATAGCCGTGCTGGCTACTAGCGCCCGTGGCGGCCCCCGCAAATAAATCCAGATAGAACGATGGTGACGGCTCAAAGAGGATTACGGGCATTTTTTAGCGATAGTAATACTGAATGGGGCGGAAATGCAGCTTTACCATTGACTTTCCAGTCTGAAAAATTGCCGCTTCTCCGAGATCAGTTGCAATGTTGATATCAATAGTGTCCAGTCGATCGTATAAAACAGGTAAATAATGTGGATCCTCAAACCTTTCCGAAACAATTTCGAAGCGAGGAACACTTGCTTTAATGGGGAAAGCGCGCAAAAGCTGCATAGTTTCATCGCCCACAATATTGTAGTCGCACTTGTTGCAGTAGACAAAAATTGATTGGTTCCCAATGTGCATATTCACGGGCTTATCTGCTGTCATTGTTATAGACGTCTCCAACAACTGCAACTCTGCCAAGGCTTTCAGCTGGTCGGACAGTGTTGTAGCTGCGGAAGCAAAATTCGTTTTTTCCATCAAAAAATTTTCATATTGTTCAGACTGTGCAGCAGAAAATCGTCGTTCTTTAAATCCAAGCATACGGGATAGATGCAAAGATGAGGGAGGAAAATCCAGAAAAACACGTACGCTGGGAAATTTCACTTTGAGCTTGGGCTCGGTTGCTACTAATTCTAGTTGAAAAGCCTGTTCTTCCGCTGTAGAATCGCGAAATGGCTTTAACCGTGGTACTTTATTGTTGATAAAATTAATGATGTCACTTTTCTCATAGATCCCTGCAGGTACCGTAATTGTGTCCCGGTCCATAGCGAAAACACCGTTGCTATCCATAGAAGTAATTTGGTCAACGTGCAACGTTTGGGAACTGGGTAAATTGTACATTGAATTAGGATACTGTATTTCCACCAATGCCATTTCCCATTGTCCCGGTAGGGATATCACGCTCTTTAACTTTGTGGTCCATTCAGCTGCATTATTTTTTGGGAACTGTTGCATACAGGCATCAGATGGAAGCGTGACATAAAAGCTATTATGAGCCATTTCTGACACGACTGAGTTCGGCTTCGTAATATTTCCCGCGAATTAAATCCCCGTCTTCATCCAGTAAAACGTAGAGGGGCTCGGGCTGTTGTGGTAATACTTGTTGTATCTTGTAAATTTCCTCCTTAAATGTTGACTCATATTCTTTTTCAAAAAGTGTTTTGTCGATGGCTACTCGTACTGTGTCACCTACTCTGTACTTTGGCTTTTTCTGCTTTCCCAATAATAATTCTGCATATAGTCGATTGAATATTTGCAGAGAATTGGACTGGCTAACCTCATTAGGCGTGACTTTATGCGAAGAATGAATTGCGTTGTTGTAACTGTTTACCAAATCTCCCAGAACGTCCCAGTACACTTTAGACTGTCGGTGTCGAAATAATTTCCATATTCGTTTCTTGAGATTGCGTATGCCATTTTCAGCTAAGGATGCTTTGATTGCTTTATTTTCAGAAGAGAACAAAAAAACCTTTTGGGCTGTCAAAAAACTCTTAACATTCTTATTGTAAAATTCAAGACCTTTGTCCGTTTGCAATTTAATGGGAGCTCCGAGTTCTGCAAACACCTTTTCCAACCCAAGTTTTACTTCTAGACCGCTTTTATTCTTTAGTAGTTGACAGCTCACTTTCTTGCTGAAGACGTCGATCACAAACAATATCCAACGGTATCCTTTGTTCTGCTTCGCATATTTTGACATGTCTGCCAGATCGGCTTGATATTGCTCCGCTAGGTTTGAGACAACTACGGGGTTTCTTTTGAACCTTTTGCGTCGAGATTTGTGGACTGTATATGGATCCAGATGCTCCAGCTGTTCCCGCGTTTGTTGATAGTTTGGTGCTTGTGGAAAGTGGCTGCGAAACTTTTGAATCCCTGTTAAGCTGCCCGGGTGCTGAGGGTTCAGATACGCTTGTCGTAGCAGTAGATTGGCCATCGTATTCGTCGTCGCTACTGCTTGATCCATCGCAACAGCTAGATGTGCAGTTCCATGTCATACCTTCACCCAAAGACAAAGAAAAGGGAACGCATCCACCACCACTCATTTGTTATTAATAGTCATCCAGTTGAACTGGGATTTGGTTCTTGAACCGATGGGACCTTCGATTTGTAAAGTGTTTTCATCAAATACTTCTCGCTTTGCACGCTTGCGTTTTGCCGGGGGTGCAAGTGGAATAGGAGGGAAAGCATCTAACATACGATCAGGTATATTAGGGGGTACCCACGGCTTCTTTAATAGTTGTGCTGGAATGGGGGGCACAGATGCTGGAGGCGGAATAACCATTTGGTCAGGGCCAAACGCCGACTCTTTCAGCGCCAAAAAGCGAGCCAAGTTTCTTGATAACAGTTCCGCTTTCTCCCATTCGCTTAGCGTATTCCGTGAAATTATATCTCTCATCAAATCGTCCAGTTTTACAATATCCACAACTTCAGTAGGCTGCTGTTGTAATTGGACATCCGTTACAATACGACCAACCGTGTCACTTGCAAGTCTTTTCATTTCGCTCGCGGGAACAATATAATGCACTTCCGGTTTCATTTCAGTAAGGCAGTTCCTAAAACAGCTGCCAATACAGGTAGAACCGCAGGTAAGAATCCTCCGCGCTGTAATAAAATTTCCCTCTTGCTTCGTAAAGGATATTTTTTGAGGGCAATCAGCTTTAATGGTCGACGCCAACGCTGACACACCTTTAGCTGATCGGTGGTAAGAGGCACTGAATTCTTTACCAAATTCAAACAAATTTCTTCAAAACAGCGAAGTTGTCGTTTCGAAATATTTTCCAAAAGAAAACGACGCTGCTTAGGTTTCAGCGATCGCAGGGTAAGGAGAAACGGTGCAAAGTCTTTTAAAATCTGATCACACATTCTTGGGCAAGTTTGTCGTTTGTGGATTGATGTAAATTTTGTCAACTCTCCCGGTAATACTGCTGAACGAATCCTTAAATAGGCAGGTGTGTCCGGTTTCATATCCAAAATGAGAGGTTGAAATGGTTCCTGGCCGATTTCCTCGTAAGCTCCACTGAGATGTTTTAAACCAGTCTGCCTTTCTAGAATCTTGATTTGGTTCACATCACGATTATTTTTGAACAGAATAAGATATTGTGCATTAAGATGCACGTCTCGCATAGCAGACCCTTGTTTGTATAGGTTATTGAATAATAAAAATACACAAAGCCGTTTATGGTGTACTTTTTGAGTGAAGAGTTTAGATAAATGCTCATTTTTCACCAAACCACTTGCCACGTCATCCAGTATCAACAAAATATTTTGTTTACCATCAAAATAATTTTCATCCTCCACAATTTGTTGAATATTTTTGTCAGTTCAATCCCAGGGACTTTGCGCTGAAGCATTTCGTAGGCTGGCTGCATTTCTCCGTACACCAAAATAATTCTTCCAAATGGTTGGTCAAATAATTTATCGCGCTCCATAATTAATTTTGACACATACGTCGTTTTCCCCGAAGTCGTTGGCCCCACAACAAGGACTGAAGCGGGTAGTCGGAATCTCAAATCAGCTGTCGTGCGCGGATACCTATTTAAGGAATCCATTTCCAAAGGGCGGAGCTATTGCTAGCGTACCGATAACAGAATGGAGATTTCAAAGCGGAGGGTTGTCTTGGATATTGATTGGTTTATCGCTGGCTCCCAACGGCTTATAAAACAGCTGGCATTTTGTGATTGCCCAACTGGTGTTAGCAGGTGCTACACAATTTATTAGGTGCAAAAGATGCTATTACTCTTCAAACTGCTGAAAACGAATTGCGCTTGTTATTAGGAAACTAAATGCAGCAATAAATAAAATTACAAAAAACCTATCGCTGCATATTTCTATTACCTGGCATTAAAAAGCAGTAGTGCTTAAGTTAGTAAGAAATGTAAAGAACGTTTATCCTTAAAAGTACATGGTACATACTACATAAACGGTGCAATACTGTACAGTATTGCACTGTACAGTATATACAGTGCAATACTGTACAGTGCATTAATCGTTAATTATGATAAATAGGGTTCATTACGAAATGTATTTTTTGTTATAAAAGCATTGAGCTAATATACAAGCATATAATAATAATTTCTGTAATGTAAAAACTGCGAAATCAGCAAATTACGCCATACCGTTGACAAGGTGGAAAAATTCTTTGAGAGGTTCAGGCCAACTTTTTCCACTCGAGCCCTCGTTGCTTGTAGCACCCCTGAAACTATGTACACATAAAACATATACCATGTGTTACAACACAATATGAACTAAAAACATTTGCTTCACTTACTTCGGGTACAAGAAATTCATAAATTCTGCAATTAGCGGAGTAATCGTTAACAGAAATGTGGCTTTGGCTCCAGTGGAAAAAAATTTGCAGCGACCCTGGCGGACTTTTTCCAGTTGATCTGCACGCACGCATAAGCATGCACGCAGTAGACCATCAGACTGCAAATAACTGTCAAAATTGATTACACAGTACAGTCATAGTGTACAGTAATAAAAAAAATAATATGTCATCGTACCTGTTAGTTTTCATGATTATATATGTATAAATAAATTGAGAATAGAGCAGCTAGTAATATCCGCTGAAAAGCAATTATATTTCACTTACTGTACGTTGAAAGGCTTTAACGAGCCAGATGCGTTGAAGTGCTCCTCCATAGTGTAAAAGAATGTAAACAACTTGTTGAATCAAGCAGCGAAAGTGAACCAGTATAAATGTGCAGTGTACAGTAGTATCTATACAGTACATTGGGCTCATGTCGAGTTTCACAATCATGTCCAAGCCGTGCACAATCCAGACAAGCAATTAAACTACACGGTAAGTTGACAAATAATTATGTTTATTATAAATACACATCATTACTACAAGTGTTTTAAATAATAAGAGACGCGCATAGTGTGTATCACCATCGCTGACGAGCCAGCTGCGCTAATGTGCTAGTGCCGCTCCATGCGGTAAAAGAATGTAAACAACTTGTGTGTGTGTGTGTGAATATCAGTAAGTGAGTAAATTAGGTAGTGTACTTCTATACAGTATACATATGCAGTAATCATATGCTGCAGTTGTGCTGAATCATATGCTGCAGTTGGGAGCTGCAAGTACAAAGTACAACCGGGAATTGTAACTAGAAAGTCCAGCTCCCAACTCCAGTTTTTGACGTAACCGACGCCATCTTGTGTTTATATAAGGTCCGTTTTCTTCTTGTTTCTTTTCAAGTAGGTTTTGCAGAATAATTTTCGATATGGCTGGCAATTTTTGCCATGTTCCGAGAACAGCGGAATGTTTATCTGTCTAGGAGACCTCACTGGTTGCATAATTTTACTCTTTACACTTCATAATCATAACATTCATACTACAAATTTTTGCTACTATTTAAAAATGTATTTACTTCCACGCTTCGGTCATGCAGTGCCCGCCAGAAGCGAGTGCACTTTCCTAGTAAATTTGGTTTTGTGCACAATTCGAGGCGAAATACATGTAGATATTTGAGATCTCGGATGGTCCACAGTACAGGATGAAATTGAATAAACTGTATTTGTTACGAATTAGACACTCTGAATCGTACTTCTGTGGTATAACCAACGGCGCTGTATTCTTTCTTAACCTCAATAACCTGCTCGCTAAGGAGCCAAGTTCAGCCAACCCTACGAGTCAGTCGTTATTAACGACTCGTTAATCGGTTATTTACATAGAAGTATAGATTGGTGAAACCGAAAACTACGCAGCTAGAATCACTTCAGTAAGTAATACACTTCGTTCAACCTTTTTCCGATACAGAACGTTTCGTGTACACAGTGCCTCGCATTCAGGCAATACTGATTTTCTGCTTCAAAAACTGAGTGGACCGCTTTCCTTGTGTCCGCTCAAAAACAGTTTATCGAGTGAAGTCATCTTACATTTGGATTTCTTACCCATCCACCCATTGTTTCAAAAACCGGAGCAGAAAAAATAAAATTTTCGCATAAAAATCCGTGCTCTGGTTCTTCTTTGCCTCGGCCATGGTGGCGGCAGTACCTGCTTCTTCGGACGTCTTTGCGATATAGATGATTGCCATGGTATCCGGGCAAGTGACATCCCAAACCCAAGACTAAATGTTTCTAATCAACAAACCGCTCACCGTGACCTTTTGGAAGCCTAGTGGATCAACGAGAATGCGGGATAACTAATAGCCTAACACTACTGGAAATGCTCCCGGCGAAAGCAGTTGCGATCACTTTTCGCCAGGCATCATGGACATATCACTTGATAAGGTTCACCGTTTCCACAAGGTAGGAGGGCTCTTTTGAAGAAACAATCAAAATTTTCAAATGCTCCCGGCAAAACGAGATTGTGAGTACTTTTCCCCATGCATCACGGAACTAACGGCTATCGTCAACTAAAACTTAAAAGGTTCAACGATATACGTTAGTTCCGCGACGACTGTCTGGACTTGACTGCCCCCTCCAGCTGGCAGTTGCGATTGTACCCTACTACTGACGTCAGGACAAGCTTGAAGTCCACACAATCATTTGAAGAACGGTACACTGAGTACAGTATTTTGAGTTTTCTCAGTTTTCTGATTTCGCAGAACTGCATATTCCGTAGTCTGTACTGCATGTTCCTAGTGATAGAAAACTTGATTGCGATTTAAACGTTCTGAATCTCTGACTGTTTGCTGTGCCATTTGTAACGATGTCGAATCCAAACAGTTTCCGCAGATCATCCTCCTCACCGCTGTCTGGCTGAGTTACTGCGCGGACTGCGAGAACAGCAATCAACAGGAATCCTGTCGTCGTGAAGGGCTGCGAAGAGTCCGCGGTGGGCATTCCTTGCCATCGCAACGTCCTCAGCGTGCACAGCGCCTACTTTGGGGCCGTCTTCACGCAGGACTGGAAAGACTCATCGCAGCCTGTCTACCAGCTGCAGAACATTGACAGCTACACGATGAACGAGTGAGTACGCAGTAGCTGGTCGTTTTTCCAGTGTTGATGACGAAATGTGTGATTTCGACGGCTAGGTTGGTCCAATACGCCTATACCTTGGATGTTGAGCTGAACGACGACAACGTGGAGCGCATCGTGGTTGCCGCGCAGTTCCTGCAGATGGGTCCGCTGGAGTTGCTGTGCTGGGACTACGTGGAGCAGCACATGTGCGTGTCCAACTTCCTGGCTGTATATTCACTAGCCTCCAACCACCCCCATCCCCGTCTGGCCGCGGCAGCGCTGGAACTCATCCATCTCCACTTCCTACAGGTGGCGCAGAGCCAAGAGCTTTTGAAGATGGACCCGCAGCAGGTCACATAGGAATTAAATGTGACGGAAAGACTATTCTGAACTATCCAGTTGGCATGCGCTCTCTTTTAACTTGTTTCCAGGTCACTGCACTGTTGGCATCGGCTAACGTGGACGTGTTCAGCGAAGATCAGGTTTTCGAGGCGGTGCAGCGCTGGTTGGATCACGACCGTCCGGAGCGCTTGGAAGACGCCGCCGCCATCCTGCAGGTGATCCGTGTGGCCTTCCTGAGCGAGCAGTGCCACCAGGAGTACTCGATAATCCTCACCAGCGCACTTACGGTTACGCCACCGTGTCCGAGTCAAACGGTCGGCGGGTCGACGCCGAACCCCAACCCACGGCCTTCATACGGTAAGGATCCTTCGTTTTATCGCTGTGATTTTGTGATTTGTGGTAAACCATAGACGTTTCTTGTACACTTGTTGTGTTCGGTGTCAGGAGCGCTGGACGTGATTCTGTGTTTGGGCGGTACCGGTGCGGATCAGTTCGGCAGCGAGGAAGGCAGCGTGGATGTCTTCTGCCCGTCGATCCCGGCCGTGTGGCGTCTGCAGGATCTGCTAATACTCGTCGAGTGCTGCTCCGCGGCGCTGTTGGACCCCGGCTGCATCCTGATCAGCAGCATGCACTGCGTCGGGACCGTACGGCGCAACAGTCACTACACCGGGTTGCTGGATGAATGGCCAGAGACCGCTCCCGTCCCGACGACCACGCGCCAAGCGGGCGCTCTGGCCTGCCTTAATGGTCGCATCTACGCGGCCGGCGGTTTTGATCCGTATGGCATAGAAGGATCTAAAGTGGCCCTGTCCTCCGTGGAGGCGTACGATCCCCTGAGCGATTCCTGGAGCGCCGTCGCCGCGCTGCCCGTCGGATTGATCGGTTTGGCGATGGTGGCCCGTGAGGGGCGGTTGTACGTCTTCGGCGGAGACGACACGGAGGGCGTGCCGAATGCGACGTTCTCCTACGATCCTGCAACGAAGGCCTGGACAAGGCTGGCTGATATGCCCACCGCGCGCACCGGCTGCCGTGCTTGTGTGGCGCCCAATGGATTGATTTATGTTACCGGTATGCTGGATTCAGTGGATTGCTCTTTTTTATTGATTGATTGAAGAACATCACATATGCTAAGACTAGTCAAGCCACCACGCAGGCCACTACGTAATTTGTTCCCATGAGCCAGTTACATAATATGCTTGCTTTTATTAAGCAGCGTTAGTTTGGCTGTTATTAAGGGAAATGCTACTGCTGTGTTAAGTACGTTGCCTTTTAACCCGCGGGTGGATGGAGATTTTGGTTGTTTTTGTAATGTTTAAATTACAACTGTGTACCGTGTGCTCGCGCTTGCATTATTTTATTACATAATTATCGTACGGGGTTTAGGTTGAGAAACGGGGGATGCGGCACTGCGTGTGCACGTGGAAGCGTACGACCGTGTTGCCAATCAGTGGCACAGAAAAGGCAGGTGTGCTAAGTTCTATCGCCGGTTGTCGCAGCTTGTCGGAACCCTGACAGCTGTCGATGATTGACCGGGTTCGATATGTCGTGCTCTCTGATCACAGGCGATCTGGTGGAGGAGCGTTCGGATCACGAGTGCGTCTGCGTGGGTGGAAGGCTGTACGTCATCGGCGGGTTCTTCGTCAACGGCGTGTACCACGACAGCATCGAGGTGTACGATGAGGAGACGGACAGTTGGGCACTGCATGAGTGCCGGCTGCTGCAGGCCAAGTCGCTTTTTGGCTGCGTGGTGATGAAACTGAAGCGCGAATGAAGCGGACAGCAACTCGCCAGTACAAGCGTAATGATGCACGGAGCTCTAGCTGTGACTGATGAGGGGCGGATTTCGGTTGGTTTCGGGTTACGTCGGGAATGGTACACGTGCGGTGGTGCATTCCTGTGGCATCCCTGTTGTACGTTTGTTTGGGACTGCCCAAGGCAGCGATTTGCGGAAGTTCCAGCTATTTGTTTTATGATACATGTTCTTGCTACTTAATTTTCTGGGGGAAAGGAAAGTGAACAAACTTTTATTAAATTTGAAGCTTCATACATTCACGGCAGGGCAACAACTACTGTACACACTCCTGTATTAAGACTGAAAAACGCAATTAAATTCTCCGCTCAGAGTGCCCAAAACTGATGCGGCATTTCCTTTCATAATAACCAAACTAATCCGCTGTTTAAGAAATGCCGTGGATCTGCTTTCGCCGGTCTTTTCCCTAATCAGACGTCCAGAGGAGTTAACTATTTAGCAATTAATTTCGGGTTCTCTGTCTTTCTGTTAATGTTGCCTAAATACTGGGCAGAGCCAAATAATTACGGGCCAGAGGTCATCTCCCTAGCCGTAACTTCGATAGGTACAGTATAATATGTATTACGTAGTACAGTACCCAGTTACTGTACCCTAGAAGGAAAAGCATGGAAGTACAGAAGCATGGCAGCTGATAATCGAAGATCGAACTAATGCAAAGCAAGCAGTCACAAGGGAAATGACAAAATTACAAACAAGTCCTCTTGCCGGAACAAAATGTGTAAAGCGGCACTGCAGGCCAACCAGTAGATTGGCATCAACGAATCTTATAGGTCACTGTCTCGCGCTCATTGATGGGTCATCAATTGACATTTGACACGATAATTATAGTCTGTAGCCTGTGCGATTCATCTGCAACTACGACTGAAACAGGTTGTATTTCTATCTTGCAGCGCAACATATGCAACGGTACCATGCGGAAATTCTGTCGCATGCGTTCTCACAAATAAATCCATCTGGCGGAGGACGTCATGACCATATTGCATTACAGCAGCCCGGGGCAAGTCAGAGCGGGCTTCCCTGCCGTTCATGATTCGGCCTCTCTGATGCTTTAACTGTTTATGTGTTAATGCTTTGACCCATGCTGCATGATGGCGTTTTTGCTGCCTGTATTCAGCTGCGCAGGATGCAGGCCAGTCTGGTGCCAGTTCTTAAAACAAATTTCTTTTGAGTGTTTTTTGTTAATAATATTCTGTATAGCAGAAGTGGCGGCCGATTTGGCTGCAATAGTCACCGCGAGCAGCGCCGTTGGACCAGACCGGATCCGGCAGCAAAGACTTCATCTGATAATTTTTTGCCGTTTGATAAGCAAGCAGCAGCTATAATTAAACGATGCTCTTAAAGCATCTCAACTCGACTGTACACATACAGGCTGGAAAAAGATGCAAGGTCACGAATCACTGTGCCAACGGGTGAACAGGGGAACGATTCCGAAGCGGTCCATCAACAATTTCACTGGCGTCGTCGGATAGTTTGCGATTGCCCGAATCGCATTGCGCTGTGCAACGCTTAACTTCTCTCGCAGGGACGCAGACGCTCTGCTCCACACAGTGGAACAATAGTCCAGATGAGACTGGACAAACGCGTAGAAATGTCCCACACGCTGAGAATCGCACAGGCCGTCTTTCGCACGATTTATGAGAGCAATTCCATGACTCACACTTTTTTGGACTTTATTAAAATGTTCAGTCCGTTTTAAGTGCTGGTCAATTATCACCCCCAAGTGCTTAACGGATGTTTCTGGTTCTAGTCGATGACCATTCAACACAACTGTAGGTTAGCTATCATTTTTATTGGTTAAATCATACTTTGGGGCAAAGTAAAGAAAGAAACATGCAAACTACAGCAAGAAAATCTCATTTAATTTATCCAGCCCTTCCATCGTGCCAAGCACTGACGCCGCGTTACCCCGCTGAATCTCTATCGACAAGCGCTGTCTTAAAAATTCATGCGAGCGTGCTTCGCCAGTTTGCTGCTGAAGTCTCTTCCCAGTTCTTTGATAAATGCGATTGCTGACGGTCCCCATGGGCCCATGGTTTCAAAGGCTATTGGAACGAATAGGTAACGGCCAGCTAGGTAAATATAGAGTCTGGATTTCTTATCCTCAGCTTGCACGGCGGCCGCTCCCACTGTGGTCGAAGTTGCTTTGACATGTGACGGCGCAACCGTGTCTACACATGTCACGTCCCATGCGAGACACAGCCCGCGTTTCCATGCAAATGTCGTGCAACCGTCCGGGCGGCGTTCCGTAGTGTGAGAGGTTCCACGCGGCTCCAGTTTTGCGGGCACACCGGCGGACACACATCCTCGGCAGATGATGCTGTTAAGCCCGCCGTGGCGCGGGTGCCTTCCGGCGGAGAAAACACATGACAGCCCGTGGTGACCGTAACCATCCACGGGTTTGAGACATTTGACGCAGTCGTGAGGTTCACAGATCGTGGCGCCGAGGCGGAGACCAACGCTGATCTTCAATTCGTCGTCGCCCAGCAGGTTACCAATGTGAGCGGATGGCAGGGCGTTCAACCAGATCCCGGCTTCAGGTCTGGACTGAGCAAGCAGGCGCGCTGTATTTATCTCGTCACCCTGAAACACCTCGAGCAGGGAGAAGAGGGAAACGTTGCATAATGGCAAGTCCCAAGCCTTTTGGGACTTCCGGTATGCTAACTCGGGAATCTCAGGCTGGCGGGCTTTCAGTTTCCATGACTCCACTGCACCAGAAACATCGACAACACCGTGGTCAGGCAGTAATGAAGAGAGCAAGCCGGATACGGAATGAATCGAAGCCAAGAAGGCTGGTAAAGATAATTCTTCCGACCGACGAATGCCAATTCCACCTCTGCTAACCGGCAGGGTTGCCTGACGCCAAGGCGGGTAGTCGTTGTGGTTTGTTCGTACGTTTGACAAATTCTGGAAACAATCGCGCATCGTTTCATCCAGCTGATATAGCAGGGCGGGATATTTCCATGCATTACAGCACCGCAACATATAAATGATTTTCGGGGCGCCGAGACAGTTCTTCAGTAGGAACAGTGCTTGGTGGCTGGGAAGCAGCTGGAGCCGTTCGCACACCACCTTCAAGGTGCTGGCTTTCTCGATGAGTAGCGGGCCAATTGCTTCATCTAGAACAGGCGCGCCAAGCAGGGACAGGGTAGACGCCGACAAAATGCGCAATCGCGGGAAACGGTCAATGAATTCCGCTGTGACATTTCGCTGCGAATCGAGTGTTCCACCAAAAACAAGTAGTTCACATTTGGCTTCATTGACCTGCAGTCCGATAGCACGAGCGCGTTCAGTTATCCGGCTGAAACAATCCGCCACTGTCGCCGGAGCTCCGCCCATGGTCCCGTCGTCCAAGAACCATGCGTTGAGTTCGGTGTTCAACGAGGATACCAGTGGGTGCAGTGCGAGGCTGAACAGCAGCGGGCCTAGTGGGTCGCCCTGTTGGACACCGGATTCCGACGATAATGTCAGGTCGTCCACGTAGAGGGTTGAGTAGGCGGCGGTGAGAAAATCGCTATACTCTGGAAAGCGCTCTTTCGCTGCGGTCAAAACGGCTTCACGAGACAAGGTGTTGAAGGCGTTTTTGAAATCCACCTTGAGAACAACCTTGGTCGTGTCGCCAGTGGATTCGAGAAATTTCCTGGTCGCGTGAACAATCGCTTCTGCTACGCCGCGCACGTTCACTCCCAATTGTTGCGGAGACAAAATGGCTGCTGAACGGTCTTTTAGTCGGGCGCAAATTATCTTAGCTGTCAACCGCCGGAGGGTCATCCCAATCGCGATGGGGCGCAACCCGCCTTCCTTCTTTCTTAAGGCGATCAGTTTGCCACCAAAAAATGTAGGGCGTATTTCAGCGGGAATGTTTCCGTCGACGGCGATGTTCATGACGGTCGCCAGAGCGTCGCACAGGGGGGCGGAGTGGGCGTCCAGCTTGGCTCCGACCATATCTGCAAGGTGCTGCGGTCTTAACCCATCCGGCCCCGCGGCAGATCCCTTTGGGAAGCTGTGAACGGCAGCGAAGACTTCTTCCCGAGTAATGCGGGCGGCCGCTTGAGGGGGCGGATCGGAGCGAACTACAAGGGGTGGGTCGCTCTCGGGGTGCTTTTCACGGAGTTCTGCAAGAACGTCAGGAGTCGGTCGGAGGACAGCGTCAGTCGACATGACGATTCTCATTGCCCCAGAAATTGAGCCGTCGTCAATTTTTTGCCCAACCTTGCGCACAAGATCGTCCTGGTCTGTACGCTTCTGTCTGTCCTGGTCCTGGCGGGCGGCGAAGGTGTAGGAGGGACTGCGGCGCCACTATCAAAAATCCCGATGTTCTGCTTGACCGTGGACGCTAGGGACGCTGAATGTCCGGACTTGCTCTTTACGGGCTGGCGGAGAGCCGTGGGCGCGAAGGACAGCAACTTCGACCAAGAGTTGCTGTCATTATTGGTGGCGACCTGCTGGAGAGCTTTCAACAGCGACGCCCTGGCGGCAGGCCTTGCTCCATGTGGGATTCGCCGCATGATTCGTTCCTTCGATGGGCGAAAGGGTTCTGCTGGGGGCGTGGGTGCAGGTACGGAGGAATTGTCGGTCGTGGAAAGTGTGACGGGGATTTTCTCCATAGTCGTGGACAGCGTTTTTGGGCAAGCGTTCTTGTGGTTTCCCCATCCTCGTAGCTGCTTGCCACAACCAGAGCAAGAAAACAACTGCGACGGCATGTGAACGCTACAAAATTGAAGCACACAGGCAGAACAAGAGCTCTAGGGAACATAAGAACGAGACCGTTCAACGAGGAAACGACGTACCCACATTACTTGGGGTTCATATAAATTCCCCCCAAGTAACATTGTCGAAGGCCCAATTTGTATCACATGGCGATTCACATAAAACCGAACATTCACTTCACAATCGAACCCTGTAGGTTCGTTCTCTTCACGATTACGAGCAGAGGACACAAACATTAATTTAGATTTTTTTTTCATTAATTGCAAGGTGGTTGGCCTTAAACCACTCTGTGATAGTCGGTAGTGCACTTTCTAGCTTAGCCGCTGCAGCCGTCTTGGTGTCCGCCGTGACATACCCGATGGTATCGTCGGCAAAGCTTTCTAGCCGCACATCTCCGACAACAGCTTTATGAAAATCATTAAGGTAAACAGAAAACAAATTTGGGGCGAAGATCGATCCTTGCGGAACACCAGTGTTGACTTCTGTCCATCGTGACAAACGCGTCCCGCACTCGCTGCATTCTGTCAGTCAGGTACGATTGGAACCACGACAGCGCTGATGATTTTGCTCCGATATCTCGGAGCTTTTTCAACAGCGTATTGTGGCACACCGAGGGAAATGCGGCCTTCTGGTCAAGACGACGTAAAACTGCAACGACTTTTCTTTTGTCTACTGCTGTCTTCCACTCCTCCGTTACTTTCAACAGTAACGTTTCGCATGAATGAATGCCCATTTCGGAAACCAGATTTGTTAGCCGATAACACATTCCGATCTTTTAACAATTTTACCAGCTGCATTTGGGCGGCTTTCTCAAAAACTTTGGATAGATTACACAAAAGAGAAATCGGCCTCAATTCATTCGGCGAAGTCGGATTGGTGCACTTTGACAATGCGATGACATCAGCCATTTTAAAAATTGTGGGAAACGTATGCTTAACAAAGCACTGATTTATTACAAAGTAAGTTGGTTATCGGCACAATTAACAACGGATAAATCTTCTGCCACAGCTTTTGTGGAATTCCATTCGGGCCAGGGCATTTTTTTTGCTCAGTTTTTTTAGAAAAATGTCAAACACGGTTTCCGGCGTAACCGATTCAAACTCAAAGGCAGCTGACGCGTTTTCATCCGGCACACAGGCTGGCGGATGTTGTACACCATGCTCCCCCATGCTAGCAAACGTTTCATTTAACTGGTCCATATCAAACGGAAGATCATTATTCTGCTTGCTTTGTTTAGCAGTTTATTTATTTCACGCCAGATAATTGCAGAATTTTTACGATTTTCGAGAAAATAACGCTGTTTTGCACTTTTGATCGCGAGATACAGCTCTCGTTTTAGCCGCTTAAAATGTTGATTATTACCCTGGTAGTCCACGGTATTTTTCGAAATTTTTTTCCGCTTATAAGCAGCATTTTTTTCTCTCGCTAAGTGCCTAATTTTTTCGTCAATCCAAGGAGCATCTCTTTGAGAAATTCGTTTAGATTTTATAGGAAAACATTTATCAACTATCGCAAACAGAACACTGACAAAACGACCAAGTTGAGTGTGTGAGTGAGCTGTGAGCCGACAGTCGCCTTTCAACGATAGCCGTTAGTTCCGTGAACTTCCGTCATCCACGGGGAAAAGTACTTGTAATCTCGTTTTGTCCCGGTTTCTTAGTGATCTGCCAGAGTGGTGTATGGTGACTACGCGCTAGCAACATTATATCGGCAGTCGGGTATTCATCACATATTCGTCTAATTTATCCACAGCAAAACCAAGGCTATAGTTAAATTAAGGTAGCAAAACTCCAGCCCTCATGGCTTTGACAATTTCTCCACATAACGCATCTGACAGATCGAGAGCAACGTGTTACCAGTTAAGATACAACTCATCAAATGACAAACCAAAGGCTCCGTCATGCCTAACTCGAATGGATTTATTATTCAGATTATGCCAATGCGATGTACGACGCGGTCATTGTTTTAAACATCCTGAATACTGTATAGGCATTCATTCATCGGCGGTACCCATTCCGAGAGCCGATGCTTTCCCCTGCACAGATGTAGCGCGACCACTTTCCTTCAGAATCGTAAGACCAGCAATAGCGCGTCAACGGTCATTTAATGGGCGCGCTGCGCGGTCCGCGCTTCAGCTTCATCACCGCACAGCCAAAGTGCGACTTGGCCTGCGGCAAGCGGGACTCGTGCAGCGCCCAGCGATCCGCGTCTTCATCGTACACTTCAATGCTGTCATGACAGCTCGGACCACCGTATCCACCGAGAGCGTACAGCTTCCCACTGGCAATAGCGCATCCGAATTCGTAGCGCGCCCTGACCGTCTCTCCTGTCATCACATACAGCCATTTAATATCAAGACTACCAAATAAATCCACACCTACAGTTGGCGGCAAATGTGCAAGTTAGGTTCGAAGCTTACCCACCTTTCTTAAGCCACTGATTGGTGGCACGATCGTACGCCTCCACATGGCGCTCTGAGTTTCCACCTACAAGATTAACCGCAAAGTAAAATGCTTCGTGTAAGCACGCACTGCTCCAAGTTACGAAATGCAATCGACTGGTCCACCGAAAGAGCATACAAAGTTTACTCAAAGAGTTTGTACAGAGCTGCCGCTCTGACAGTAGCGTACTGATGAAAATGAAAACCCCGTCGACGACTGGACTCGAAAGCCGGTTATCTGAACCACCGAACCACACCGACTGCATTACTATTTCACCTTCAAGATTCTAACGCACGGTGCGACCAGGTTATCACGAACCGTTGATGCGCTTACCAACAGCGTAAATCAGCCCACTGGGCGCCACACAGGCAGCGGCCCCGCTGCGTGCCGTCGGCATATCGGCCAGTCTGCTCCAGGCATCCGTTGCGGGATCATACGAGAATGCCAAACTGCAACCGCAGCGGTCTTCACCGTTGCCACCAAAAGCGTACAGCCGCCCGTCACACGCCACCAGCGCCACGGAAGCCAGAGCAACGGGCAGCGCGGCGACGGCGCTCCAGGAATGACTGTCGAGATCGTACGCCTCCACCGACGACAACAGTATCGAGCGGCCAGCAATCTTGTCCCGTGTGTCATACCCGCCGACCGCATAAACCCGGCCGTTCAGCGCGGCGAAACCGGCGGCACTGCGCGGCGTCCGCAGGCGGGGCTCATCCCACCACTGATCATCCAGGTCCGTGTAGCGCCGGTCGCGGTGGACGGTCATGATGGCGCGCGAGCCGCAGATCATCATTGAGCTAGCGTCCAGCGCCACGACACCGCATTGCTCGACCTGCACGGGCAAATCATCCAGCCGCCACACGGCCGGGATCGCCGGGCAGAAGACGTCCACGGACGCTTCCGCTGCGCCGTCGTAGGCCATGCCGCATCCACCCACGCACAGGATCGCATCCTGCGCACCTGACACCCATCGTGCTTATTGGACGCAGTGGTGAACGACAGATTTCCGTCGAGAAAATAGCAGATCGCTATCAAGATTACTGCAACTTCGATGATCCTTACCGCACGAATGCCGCGGATTAGTTGTTCTCGTCGTTTCGGTCCCCTTGGTCAGTTCACTGCCCAATTCGGAGGAACGCTCTGGCAGCCCAGCCGGTGCACTGGCTAGTGTCAGCTCGTATTCTTGTCGCCCCTGTTCGCTCAGAAACGGAACACGAACCACCTGCAGGACGGCATGGAGGTGCGCCAATCGTTCGGGGCGATCGTGATCTAACCAGCGCTGCACCGCCTGCAACACCTGATCCTCGCTGGTCACGTCCACATCATCCGCTGCGATCAGCGCAATCAGCTGCGAAGAGAAAAAAAGCTGCAAATTGGCTTACGTAGCGGCATATCCACGACAGGAGTTGGTACTTGTTGCGCATCCATTTGGAGAAAGTCGGGGCGCTGAGTGAAGTGGAGAAAGTGTCGACGGATCAGACCCAGAGATGCCTCGATCATATGGGAGTTGTGGTGGTTGGAGGCCAGAGCGTGGATGTCCAGGCAGTCGGACAGCTGGAGGTGGTCCTCCACATACTCCCAGCACAGACTAGCCACGGCAGCCATCTGCAGGAATTCCGCCGCTTCCAGGATGCACTGCACGTTGTCACCATCCAGGCTCAAGTCCAGCGTGTACGCGTACTTGACCAATCTGCACAGTGAATCCAGAACGATCACAGTAAGAATAATTACCAGCGTAATATAAGCGTTTCTGACTGGTCTCAGTTGGCTGCCTATGGTATGCTCATTGAATTGAATTGCTGCTCAGTACTCACTCGTTTAAGGTGTGACTGTCGATGTTGCGCAGCTGGAAGGCAGGCTCGGCTGAGTCTTTCCAGTCCTGGGTGAACACGGCCCGAAAGTAGGCGCTGTGCACGCCGAGGACATTGCGATGGCAGGGAATGCCCGCCGCGGACTCTTCGCTGCCTTTCAACACAACATCGCAGAACGTCCCGGTCGACTGCTGTTCGCGCAGTCCGCGCAGAAACTCCTCAGCCCGACAATCATGAGGATGATCGCCAGAACTGCGTGGCTTCGACATCGTTGAGAACGGTACAGTTGGCAGTCAAGTAAGAACGGTTATTGAGGAAGAGTCAATTAAATCGGAATCAAACAACTCCCTATCAGACGATTCGGACCAGAGTATGGCGTTTGAACAGGGATTTGTGAGTGCAAACTTGAAACAAAAAAAACTGAATAACATGAGTTACATGACTGAACAGATTTCATTTGCAGCACCAAGCGAAAGTGTAATAAAACAGCGTAACTTACGTGTGACAGGCCTAGACTCCAACTCTGACTCTGATTCTGATTCTGACCACTCAAACTCTGACTCTGACTACTCAAAGTCTGACTCTGACCGCTCAAAGTCTGACTCTGACTCTGAAGGTTTCTTAGGTTTCTTAGGTTTCTTAGTTTACTCAGGTTTCTTAGGTTTTCTTAGGTTATTCTTAGGTCAGAGTCAGACTTTGAGTAGTCAGAGTCAGAGTTTGAGCGGTCAGAGTCTGAGTCAGAGCTTGAGCGCGGGCCTCAGGGGAGGGGATCTCAGTTTTGTTAGCATTGGTGACAAAGGGGGAGGGGAGTATTCAAAACCGTGAATTTTGGCGTTACGTAATTTATGGATGGCCCCTAATCAGCTAAGGATCCCTTGATCAGAGATCGCCTTGCAGGGTTTTTCTCGATCTTTTAGACTGTCTAATGCTTTCCTTGGACGACCGACTTGTGGTCTTGTGAGCGGTGCGCCGGTGGCTCCATGTGTACAAGTACGAATGGGTCTGGTCCTGGTTTAGCGCCATTTTATGCTTCTCCTAATTACATATAAATAGGAGTATATAATAAGCGATAACGTGCCGCTTTGTAATCAGCGCGCCCTGCGGCGATCATTTGTTTGCGTTTCGACAAGACAGCCCTCCTACCTTGTTAAAACGGTGGACTTTATGAAGCGATATGCCTGGCGAGAAGTGCTCACAGTTGCTTTGACCCGGAGCATTTTCATGCACTCTGCCGCATTCTTGTCGATCCGGCAGAGTGCATGACATGCTGAAGGGAAGCTCTGGCCACTTCCTTCAGTTGCAAACCACTCTTCAGTATGACGGTTCATACAAACTGTACGTCAGCCAGTTGTACCCGTGACACTATACTTTCAAAAGGTCACGGTGAGCGGTCATTGACCAGAAACACTTGGTTAAGAAAAATTCCTCCTGCGAATACTTCAAAAAATACACCGCCGTCTAGAAAATTATCACACCGACGCATGTGCTGTGTTATTTGTCAAAATTTCGTTATATTAATGTCGCAGCGTAGGAGCACGATTCACGGTTTAGAACCCTGCACGGCTCCGCGAAAGTGGCGTCTTTAGCAACCTGATATCCTGCTGATCGTGACTGAAACCTGAAATGAACCTGAAATTGGTTCACTTTCGATTTTGTGGCCATACGTCTTTCACAGCAAAGTTTCACGAAGATCGGGTAATAACTAGAGTTATGGTACACAACAATGCATATAATCTTTTCGCTCATTTTAGTTGGCCCTATCACCGCAACCGAATGTTGCGCGCGCAAACGGTTTTCAGAACAATGTATACAAAACATTTAGCTTTAGAATGACATGAAATATTGCAAAAAGTGAGAAAGAGTGCGCGATAGCGATAGTTTTAGTGTATGTATCCCTTTTTCGACGCTATGTACCGGGCCATTTTCCTTAAACTTTTGCTACCGATATTATGGCGATATAGATGTACGCACTAACCGTAAGTACAAGTCCGCTTACAATCACAATTCGCAAAAACCCATTGGAAGATAATATCACTGACCTTGTCCCATGTTCGTAACAAATGCACTTTAGTTGATCCTGTACAGTAGAACTATCCCCAATCGGAACCTGCTGCTTTCACCTCGGAGTTTCGAACGGTGAACAAAACCAAAGTATTTCTCAAATTCGCCATAGAAAAAATTAAAGGCATTATTATAATAAAAGGTCAGCATCATACCTCAACGTAACACATTCAGGGCAACCGCAGCAACATGTTACCAACATAAGAAACCATCTTTTATCCAATAGCAAATCAACTGTTACGTCTCATGTTAACAGGAAAGGATTTTTCATTCACGGCGCTGCTTTTTATTCAAAATTATGAATAAAATAACTTGACACACCTTTATTCATCGGCTGTATTCATTCCGAGAGCCGATCGTTCCCGGTTCGCAAATTTAACGCGACCTCATTCGTTCTTTATCGTAGCGCCAGCAGTAGCGCGTCAACGGCAGTTATTGGGCCCGCGGCTGCCCACGTTCCCTTTGATCGCGTTTCAGCTGCATCATGGCACAGCCGAAGTGCGACTTGCCTTGCGGCAAGCGGCACGCGTGCAGCTCCCAGCGGTCGGCGGCTTCGTCGTACACTTCGATGCTGTCATGACACTCTGGACCACCGGTACCGTATCCACCGAGAGCGTACAGCTTCCCATTCACACTGGCACATCCGAATTGGTTGCGCGGCATAAGCGTATCTCCTGTGATCACACAGCGATAATGAAGTCAGCGTCACGACCGTCCGTTAAATCCATAACGAACACACTCACATAACCAGTATTGTACACCTACCTTTCGTAAGCCACTGATTGGATACACGATCGTACACTTCCACGTGACACTGTTCATTTCCCCCTAAAAGATTCCGTGTAAGAATAAGACTGGCCATTTATGCAAACCATTAAAACAGTCAGCTGATCGAACTAGCGTCCAGCATCACTGCGCCGCATTGTTCGACGTCTACTGGCAACTCTTTCAGGCGCCAGACTGCCGGTATCGAGGGGCTGAAGACGTCCACCGAAACGCCCAGCTCGTACATTTGTTCCATGCTGCATCCACCAACGCACAAGATTACTTCCGGTGCACCTGTAAAAAGATTAATAAAGTATTTGGCTTTTTTCAAGAACATAAAGGAGTTCAAAAGATGATTTCACCATTTATTTTGACGTTAAACCAAACAATCGTACCACTAACGGCTCATCGACACAACGTCAACAAAGTACAAATACAGTGCCAACCGTCATGAGGGCGGAGAAAATCTACGAAATTTGGCACCATGTACCGCGTCCTTTGATTGACATCCTTCACTGCACCCTGCACGACCCTTACCCACTGAATGCCGCGGGTTCGTCTGTTTCGTTGTGGCAGTCCCCTCGGTCAATTCACGGCCCAACGCGGATGGCCCCTCCGGCATCACGGCCGGTGCACAGGAAAGAGCCAGCGCGTATTCCTGCCGACCCTGGTCGCTCAAAAACGGAACACGAACCACCTGCAGAACGGCCAGCAGATGCACCGATCGTCCGGGACGGTCGTGATCCACCCAACGGATCACCGCCTCCAACACTTGGTCGTCACTGGGCACGTCCACGTCGTCCGATGCGATCAGCGCAATCAGCTGTAAAGAAAGCCAATACAAGCACGATTACGCATTAATGTTAAATCGCCAACTGTCAGTACCTGCTGCGCGTCCATTTGGAGAAAGTCTGGCCGCTGAGTGAACAGGAGAAAGTGTCGACGGATCAGGCCCAGAGCGGCCTCGACCATATGGGTGGTATGGTGTTGAGATGCCAGAGCATGGATGTCCACTGTCCAGGCAGTCGGCCAGCTGCATGTTTTCTTCCACGTGGTTCCAACACAGTCCGGCCACGGCAGCCATCTGCAGGAATTCTGCCGCTTCCAGGATGGACTGCACGTTGTCAGCGTCAAGGCTCAGGTCTAGCGTGTACGCATACTTGACCACCCTGCACAGTGGATTCATAACGATCGCAAGTAAGTCCTGAGCCCAGTGAATATACCAAACTAACGCCACCTGCGAAAAGCTGGTGTGAAGGGAACATGCGGACTAACTTATGGACCTGCCGACAGGCCGGTTTTTTTTAGCAAATTTGAGGGGGTAATTTTAGCTTAAAGAAGAAGAAATAATTTCCAGGGTTTCTGGCTGGGCTCAGTCGGCTATCTATGGTATGCTCAATAAATTGAATTACTACTACTGGATTACTAGTCAATTCAATAAATTGTATTGACTACTTAGGTACCCACTCGTTCAAGGTGTAACTGTCGATGTTGCGCAGCTGGAAGACAGGCTGCGATGAGTCTTTCCAGTCCTGCGTGAAGACGGCCCGAAAATAGGCGCTGTGCACGCCGAGGACGCTCCGATGGCAGGGAATGCCGGGCGCGGACTTTTCGCAGCCCTTCAGAACGACATCGCAGAACGTCCCCCGTCGACTGCTGTTCACGCAGTCCGCGCAGGAACTCTTCAGCGCGACAGTCATGAGGAGCGTGATCGGCATAACTGCGTGGCTTCAACATCGTGGAGAATGGAAAAGCTGGCAATCAAGTAAAAACGGTTATCGATGAAGAATTACTTAAGTTAACCAAAATCAAACAAAAGACCAGAGTGTGGCGTTTGAACAGTGATTTGTGAAAAAAGTTCAAAAAACTCAAAAATTAATAAGACTGGAGGAATGTTTCACTTGCAGGCTGAGTTGCAGCTGACAAAGTATGAATAAACAACGTAACTGCCAGTCCGAGAGGCTCACAGAGCATACAGGAAACTACTCAAGCCTGCGTATTACAGTAAGTAATGGTTTTATTGAAGTTTCTGACTTTCTGAAATAAAGTTAATAAACCAATCGGGATGACGGATTCCTATCCGCCAAAGGTAACCGCTGATGCTGGATGTAACCAGTTGGTGCACGGTCGCAGAATCGCATGGCACCGGCAGCTCGAAGAAATCTGGACACGTGGTTCAGCTTGCAGAAAGTTCTAAACGACGGACATATTCGTTTTTGGGACATGGATACTTTTTTTACCCTTTAGTGATTGAGACATTGGGAGTATAATTTAGCCCCGCTCTGAGTGAACTGTTACATTGGAGCATATCTAAAAATGCATGCGCAATTGACGATTCTCGCCCGGATGGCGCCTTGGGGTGGTTGGGAGCCGTGCGACTCAGGTGCGACGGGAAGTCATCGTAGGCCCATAGAAACAAGTGCTTATCCCGGCACTTTTTAAACAGCGCGCGTTCGCAAACTGTACTGTTTGTTAACTAGGCAGTTACAGGCAAATTCAGAAAAAACCATCCTCTGCAAATCAGGAAAAAATGTGCGATAAAAATGCTTACTGCCTTCTTAAATTAAGTGGCAGCTCTATGGTCACGTTATTACTCTACCGCCTTAAATTTTAGCACACGACCAGAAACAGAGCGCATGCGTAGTTCTCCTGTTGGCGCACTGTAAAATCCCTGTTTGTTAGTGACGTCAAAATGACACACTGCCAGTCTGCAGTCCAGGCGAGAATCACGAATGCGCCACCTCCGCAGCGGCGGCTGCTTACCAGGGCCCTCATTCTAGCAGCATTTCATGCTTTTCCAAATCATATTATGTAAAGACTCGTATCTGTATGATAACCGATAACGTCGGGTGGGTTTTGAATCCGCGTGCCATGCAGCGCCCATTCAATTGCGCATCAACATCACAACCTTAGTTTCACTTTCAACCTTGTCGAAACGGTGACCCTAATCAAGCGATATGTCCATGATGCCTGGTGATAAGTGCTCGGAAGGTGCTTTCGTCGGGAGCACTTCCAGTAGTTGTCCCGTTTCTAGTTGATCCGGCAGAGCGTAGGACGTGCTGAAGGGAAGCGGCACAATTGTCACAATTCGTCAAGGAGATGTACGCAGAAACACTATATCATACCACGGTATAAAAGAGATAAATCTCTGGTAGCGAATGATGCTGAACGTAGCATGTACAAAAATTCAGTACTTTTCGGCATGTTTTCGTCAAAGGCATCAAGTTGTAATTAAGGGCGTAAACGTGTGGCACGGCCACACGTTTTCAACTTCGGCCATTGTATTTCTTTTGTCTTTCAAGAAAGGTTAATGAGGTGTGACGGCAAAAAAAGTACTGAATTTTCCTACAATGTCTTGCGCTACCAGTGAATTCCTTTATACCGTGATCATACTATACTTTCAGTAGATCATTGTGAGCGGTTGTTGATCAGATACATATAGTTAAGAAATTCTCTCGTGTGAATATTACAAAAAATATACCGCCGTCTTGAAAACCATCTTCCCGGCGCAGTAGCTGTTTTGCTTGTAAGGATTTCGAAAATTAACTGTACTGTGTAGTGAACTGTGTCCTGTGAACAAGATGTCTTTGAGAACAAAATTAATGTGCTCGTTTTCTGCTGTACTGTACCATAGCAGGAATGAAGGTTTTAATATGCGCCTTCATTCCTGCTATGATTGTACGAACAGCGCAGCATAGATGCCAGCGTTTAACAACGTTCGCGAAAGTGACGCGCAACCGATTAAAAAAAAATCGAAGAAAAGTGTGTATATTCCAGAGCAGAAACGGAAAGTAACGGAAATGATATTGGTTTAAATGCGGTTTCTATGCTAATGTGCGTTTGAGTACAACCCTTCATAGATATTCTCTAACACAATTAGAAAACGAATGACACTCAGATCATAAACTTCTAGAAAACCAAAAACAGTTCATCAAGATTGCGACCGCACTCAACTGTACCAAGAACACAGGCAGCATTGCCCCGTTGTATTTCTAAACTGCAACGCTGCATCAGAAACAGTTTCGCACGGCTTACTCCAGTCTGCTCCCGAATACGTTTGGCCAGATCCGAGATAAACCCACTGGTGCTTATAATTAAATTAAACACTCCTATAAACATGCATCCTGAGAATCAGCGGACCGTAGACCCTTCTTTGTTGTCCAGCGGTTTTACTTCGTTAAACGTAGTTATTTCTCAGGTGCAAGATGAAATGACATAAACCCAGTGAAAGGATGAGCCAAATGTACCCGGTAAAAGAATTAAAAACATGTGCATCACTGCACTTTATTTCATTCCCCAATGCAACATTTCAAACTTAAGACCGACACCTTCGTCCTATAATCCGTATAAGCCGGCACAACGATGGCGCAATGTAAGCGGCGTTCCCTTCAGCCGCGTCGCAGCTTCATCACGGCGCAGCCGAAGGCCGATCGGGCCTGCGGCAAGCGGCACTCGTGCAGCTCCCAGCGGTCCGCCTCCTCATCGTACACTTCGATGCTGTCGAGACACCCATTCCCGTTCTCATCGTCCGACCCCCCGAGCACGTACAGCTTCCCGTCCAGGCTGACAGATGCAGGTTCACTGCGCGGCATGACCAGGTCCCCTGTGGCACAATGGTACAAAGGTACAATTGACATCCGGACAAGGGAATTACGCCCTACCTTTCCGCAGCCACTGATTGCTAACGGGGTCGTACGCTTCCACGCGGCGTCCCATTCCACGGTTACCTATCATCTGTTGTGCAAGGCCGGTCCAGCGATAGCCACCTATGCCATTCGCCACAAAAACCAGTTCAGTCGTCTTATCATTTATATCATCTTATGTCATTTATTTTATCAGTCATTCTTTACAATTATCCGATATTACTCATCTCCTACATCAGATACAGCATAAGAAAAATAAGGAATAAAAAGAGGAGATGCAAAAGGACTTACATAACAAGAAGCAAGGTAAACTGCAAGATACCACTATACTTTGCTACATGGCATGTAGTACATGCGTCGTTGGGAACCTTATGCCAGTTTCACCTAATCTCAACTGGAAGGAGTTGGAGACTGTCGTTGCGTGATCAGAAATATCTTGAACATGCTACAATTCCCTTACTGCGCGTACCAATAACGTAAATCAACCCGCCGGGACCAACACAGGCCACGCAACGGCTGCGAGCCGTGGGCATGTCGGCCAGTCGGCTCCAGGCGTTCGCGGCGGGATCGTAAGCCAAAGCCCAGTTGCTGGCGTCCCGGGCGTTATTGCGTTCGCCTCCGAAGGCGTACAACCGCCCGCCACACGCTACCAGCGCCAAGCGGGCCAGCCCAACCGGCAGCGCGGCGACGGCGCTCCAGGCATCGCTGCCGGGGTCGTACATCTCCACGGACGCCAATGGGCTGTCACCCGCACCATAGCCGCCGGCCGCGTACATGCGCCCATTCAGCGCGGCCAGACCGGCCGCAAGGCGGCTGATCTGCGCTTCGGCTCGCCGGCCCCACTGACCCTCCAGACCGACGTAGCGGCTGTCCCGTTGCATCGTCACCACGTCGTACGATCGGGCGATCAGCAGCGAACTGCCGTCCCGCACCATGACGCCGCAGGGATCCACAATACGGGGTCCAGGCGGCTGCAGGCGCCACACGGCCGGGATGGACGGACTGAACACGTCCACCGTACCGTCACAGCGGCGTCCACCCACGCACAGGATCACTTCGTGTGCACCTAGCAACAGTTTGGAAGTGTATTTAACTGTTCATGAAGAACGTAGCGCATGTTAACCTTACCGTATGAATGTCGCGGCTTCTCCGTCCTTCCATCCGTTACTTCGCTCACCATTGCGGACTGGCAGGACGGCACGGCTGCCGCTGCACTGGCGACGGTCACCGTGTATTCCTGCCGACATTGGTCGCTCAGAAAGGCAGCGCGGACGCCCTGTAAAACAGCCTTCGCGTGCGCCGCTCGTCCGCCACGGTCGTGATCCAGCCAGCACAGCACCGCCTGCCACACCTGATCCTCACTCTCCACGTCCACCTCATCCGAGGCAATCAGCTCATTTAGCTGCAAAAAAAAAACAAGTATTATTCAAAATCGTGTAAACGCACGGGATCTTCAGTTTTCGCACACTCCCAAGCAATTTTTTTGCATCACTTTATGATATTGTGTGAGCAGTGATTTGTATACACTGGCGTGAACAACTGTTTGTACATGTGCGTAACTTCCGTTAGGGATTTATGGGTGCAATAAGATCCCAAAACGTTTAAGGACAAACAGGTACCACAAAGTCTCCATTATAGATCACATTTGATGATTTGAAAAGAACGGTGGAACTCTCTTTCACATCTCTAGATCTAATGTAACTGTACATTGCCAATTGCCATACCTGCTGCGCATCCATCTGCAGAAAGTCTTGGCTGTGCGCAAACTGCGGAAAGCGTCGCCGGATATATCCGAGGGCCGTTTCGGCCAGAACAGGATTGTAGTGCTGGGAGGCCAGAGCATGGACCACCAGGGAGTCCGACAGGCGCATGTGCTCTTCCACGTAGCGCCAGCAGCGTTTGGCAAGGGAATCCAGCTGCAGGAACTGCGCCGCAGTCAAGATGGCTTCCACGTTGTCGTCGTTCACGCTGATTTCCATAGTATAGAAATATTTCACCAATCTAAATTCAGCGCACAAATAATGAGGCTTCGTAAAAATCGTTCTTAAAAATCATCATCATCATAAAAATCGATTAGTGATATTTTTACCAAATAAAATCTCCAGCTTCTTGAAAGGCTCGAATTACCAACATGTTGCAATATGTTTAATACAGTCTTATTGTTACAGGAAAAGTGCTACTAACTCGTTTAACGTGCGACTGTCGATGTTGTGCAGTTGGAATGCTGGCTGTTTGGAGTCCTTCCAGTTCTCCGTGAAGGCGGCCCGAAAGTAGGCGCTGTGCGCGCTGAGGAGATTGCGATGACAGGGAATCCCAGCTGCGGACTCCTCGCTGCCTTTCAGAACGACATCGCAGAACGTCCCCGTCGACTGCAGTTCCCGCAGTTCGCGCAGCAGCGCCACAGGGAGATAATCATTAACAGAACGATCGTTGTCAGAACGTTTTCGCTTCGACATTGCTTAACGTTCGTCGTTCACGAGTGGAACGTCGGAGTGGAACGTCGGAGCCTTACGAAATTCGAAATAAGTACAGTACTGTACATCTTTTCGCGGCTTTCAAGCTTTGGATATTCCACGAGCGTTTTGGGCAGTGGTTGCATGCGAACGGCGCACCGCCGCGCGGGCGGCTGCTGACGTCTCTCTACATTCTGCACTCAGCCGTGTGCACTGTTCAGCTGCACGGGAACACGAACAGACGTGTTTGTGACAGTTTGTCATTTGCCATTTTCTGATTTTTCAGACTGTCTCCGATTTTTAATCAGGCTAATAAATCGCGTATGGCGTATCCATGATCAGATTGCGCCTTGCAGGCTTTTTAGCGATCTTTTAGACTCTGTGCACGAGATCCTCCGTTTTCTTGGTTGACAGTGTCTGACAACGCAGAAAGTTCCGAGATTGTCGTTGATGCCGCGTTATTTAACAGCACAGCTTCAAAGGAATTCTTAATCTGTCCATTTTTAGCCGTGCTCTTGTCGTCCACTGCAGATGGGACATTGGGAATGAGGGTGTTGTGTGCCGTGTGCATGTGAGGAGCGATGGCGTGCGGTCTGGAGTTCCGTCAGCCGACGGCGGAGTTGCGACGACTGTGGCACGAACTGCGCTTGCTGAACGACACCCTGGGCACCTGCGTCAAGGCCGCCGAAGGTACGGCTAGTGTTTCTCATTTTTATCACAGGCTGCTTCGACTTTTCTCAATAATTTGACTTGCACCATGTATTTCGGATAATTCATTAACTTCATCAGCCACGGTTTCCAGTTTCCTGAAGGTACAGAAATTTCTACAATTTTTTGTTTCGTTTAATTTGGAAAAAGTCGTTGCTGCGGTTGTTTTTCAACGAAATAGTTGTTGATGTACTTACAGCGTGCATTTGACATTTTGCATTACAGTTGAGATTCAAACCGCTGTGGGCCGTTTTTCAATGTCACCGTATTTGAAAATAGTAAATTTGGATTATTTTACATTTATTTTTCGCATAATTTGGCTGTAGTAATCGCAGAAAATTAAATGAAATATTAATATTTATTGATGTAACGTCATTTCCCGAAGTTTCTTTTCAAGGGGAAAAATTGGCAAAAAAATGCCGATTGAGTGAAATGCAAATACAGTAATCTCCACCTAAATCTATTTAAACGATAATTGATAAAACTAATTAAACGGGAATTTAAAATTATTTACGACGGTAATTTCTCCTTGCTGTACACTGTACAGTGGGAAGTCATGTATGCGATTGTCACATTGTGTGTTGTGTAATGACAGAGTACCTGCGGGATTTGGACGGGAAAGTGAGCGCCACGAAGGTCTACTTCGCCGACATCAAGTCCCGCATCGCCGGCATCCCGCGCGGCCAGGTCCGCGTCGGCCCCGACCTGCAGCACGTGCTGGCCATGCCCGCCGCCGCCGCCGCGAAGCACTTCCAAAGCATGCGCGACGACGCCGCTGACAGTCAGTAGAACGCCGTAAACTGCAGTAAATTTTTACTTTTTAAGACTCGGCAGACCAGCCATTAATTAGATGCCGAAAATTGCGTGAAATGTATATTTTCGTTTGTTAAATTGAAAGCACCAAGGAACGGCTAGGCTGCTGTGAAATGTACAAAATACAGACATAATTCTACGTGTAGAAAATACTACGAAAAATATATATTTAATGGAAATTTGAGTACATAACCAGCAGATAGGTAGAATTGTTGGTAATTTGTTATTGTGACAAAAATTATTATTTGTATAGTAACAAATATGGCGACTTATGTGTGGTTGGGAAATGGTGTAGATTTCGCGCGGGTCTCGGAGGAGCGCCGGAAATGGATGGCGGAGGCCGGCCAGCTGATGCGCCGGCAGATGATCATTCTGAACCGGCTGGACGGCATGACGCTGCAGTTGGCGGAGACGCGGGGACTGCGCGGTCGTCTGGTCTCCACCTACCGTGACATCACCTCCGTCGAAGGTACATAACTCAAAGGAATCATAAGAAAGCCAAAGAAAACATAAGAATAACCTAAGAAAACCTAAGAAACATAAGAAAACCTAACAAAATCCAATAAAACCTAAGAATAACGTTAGGATAAGTGTAGGATATAAGAAGATATGAAAAAACATGCAAAATATAGTAATAACGTAAGAAAATAATTATAGGAAAATATATAAAAAATATTGAAAAATATAAGAAAATGTGAGAAATTATAAGAAAGCATAAGAAGACATAAGAAACGTCATCCTGCCAAGATGGCGGAGCGCCCTATTGTTCCGCGCAACCGAGGCAGCTCGATAAAATCCGGGCCGGCTGTTCGGCGACGCGTGTGGGCGTCCGCACGTGCGACTCTTTATTAAATTGTGCCGGTTGCGGCAGACGGGACAGGAGGGTCCCGGTGTCGCGCAGAAAGGCGCTAGTGTGAAGATGATCGTGTTTCTGCTTTGCAGAGGAGGTGAAATCTCTGCAAAAGGTCCTGTTCGACTGCGAAATGGGCAGAGCCGACCTGGAGGAGGATTATGTGACACTGGTGAGTGAAAGGTGACACTTTGTCCGTTGTGTGCGGCACCCCCTGGGGGGGTGACCTTCCTTTGTCAGGGTGGAGGGCTCAGTTTACGCTTGACATATTTTCCCGTTTGGTTGTGGGTGTTTTCGCGAAATGACGGGATATAAATGGGGTGGTGTATTTTTGGTGCCATTTTTCAACGTTAACCAGAAATTACCGGCGTGTCGAGTTAAAAACGGAACTGTAGTATTTTTTCAAAGTTAATCCGTATAAACTGAACATAAGAAGAAATAAATTTAAATTTCTGAACGTTGTATTATCGAGTTTAGCAGGTGTGTATCTAATAGTAAATGCAGGTTTTTTAGTAAAAGAATAAAATTTATTTACAAATTAAATTTGCTTGTGTGACTTTAACATCGACAACACGCATGGGTATTTTAGTTTTATTTTATTTTTGCGTATTTAAAATTTGAAATGCTCTTTTATGAACGTTTAAACATTCTGGATGATTATGTAGTTAAACAAAACATTTACTTATTTAAAATACCGAATCCCAGTTTTATGTATTAAATTTTTGAAGCAATAATTGCATGCGCTGTCGCAGTACTTGATAAATAATTTATGTATCGTGAAAACTTCAAAGTTGAACATTTGCAGTCGAAGAAAAGTCAGGGACTTCCGGTGCTTAAAACAGGTGCCACTACTCGTTCTGGCAGCCTAACGCGAATTTTATCCTGCCAGTTTTCGAAAACAAAACCGTTCTTTTCCTTTGATTTTCATCCCAGAAAAAACGCTATCTATTTTACAAAAATTCAGAATAAATTATCAGCAACTATTCAGCGTGTTTGAGCCAGATTCGTTAGAAGCCAACCGATTTTTCTTTTACCTCATGTAGAAAAATGCGACGTAGATCGAATGTGAAATACCTCGAGCGTTCAAAATTTTACTTAATCTGTGGATTATTTTTTCTGTATAAATTTGATTTTATTAATTAAACATATTTTCGTTAATTTTCTTAATAATTAAAATTAATTATATTGCAGATCCGAACGTTCCAGCAGCTGAGTGCAGGACGCCAGGCGGATGCCGGTGCAGCGTTTGGCGACGCCGCGTTGTAGCGGTGCATGACAAATTCAGTTAATCATGGCGCTTTCTCGTCTTTCCCATTGTGTTCAACTGGTCCCGCGAATCAAAGACTACACACTAACCAATCACTTGCCCTTCAATCTCACGGGTCATAATCGTTTTTTTAACTGTATCTCGCTTGTCGCCGGTAGATTGATGAGGGCGTTGTGTAAATAATCCATTTTAATCATTTTCCTAATAATTGTTTCTGATTTTACTGTACAGTGTGCGCAATGCAATAACGGTCGGTGTTTTTATTTTTAACCAGCAATTTAATGGCTGTTTTTTTCGCTTGAATTCCCCGGTGCTTTTTCTGCTGCCGTCATACGCATCGGCGATAAAAGCATTGTGGAGATTTTATAACGTTCATAAAAGCGGATAAAAATTATATGGGTGTAGAGAAATACGGTCCGCGTGATTTGCGCCGAAAGCGGGGTTAAACAACCGCAATGGCAACATTTTAAGCACCGGTGTGTGGTGTGATTGTGATGGGCCGCCGCGGGCGGATTGCACGGCATCCCCGCCGCGGGACAAACAAACGCGGGATGATTAACCGTGCAGCCGATTTACAACACCATACTGGATGGAAATTTGCCGGCTTCGCGAAGTTTTACTGGAACTAAAAAAGCAGAAATCGGCCAGTCGGTTCGCGGTTGAATAATTGATTTAAAATCAACAAACAACGTGCAACAGGAACGCAATTCGCATCCGATGCGCAATGCGCATAAATCGCCGGCACTTTTTTATTCTGTAAATCAGTTGGCTATTTAGCAGGCTAAAGTTTCGTCCGTTATCGGAATTAACCAGACTACAATTTTGGAATAACAATCGCGGAAATCGACTGGTCGCTTCGCAGTTCAAAAATTGAATAATAAAAGAAAAAAGTAGTGCAACAGGAACACATCGGATGCGCATAAATCGCCGGCACTTTTTTACTCTGTAAATCAGTTGGCTATTTAGCAGGCTAGAGTTTCGTCCGTTATCGAATTTAACCAGACTACAATTTCGGAATAAAAAAGCGGGAATCGATCAGTCGGTTCGTGGTTTAAAAATTGAATAATTAAAATAAACAAGCAGTGTGCAACAGGAACACATCGGATGCGCATGAATCGCCGGCATTTTTTTTCTGTAAATCAGTTGGCTGTTTAGCAGGCTAGAGTTTCGTCCGTTATCGGAATTAACCAGACTACAGTTTCGGAATGAAAACGTGGCAATCGGTGAGCCGGTCCGCGGTTGAAAAATTGAATAATAAAATCAACAAACATCATGCAACAAGAACACTTCCAATGCGCATAAATCGCCGGCACAGAATTCGAACAGAGAAGCGCCGGTTTGCGCAGTATCACACGTTAAAACGTAACATCAACGTTTTTTAGTAAAGGCAGCAGAAAATTCGGAAAATATTTGAAGTGGTCTCTTTGACCGAAAAAGCAAGAAAATGCGAGCAACCGGTGTGAGGAGCGTCTCCGGTTTCCGGTCAAGCAGCGGCGACCGGCGCACGTGAGCGGGCAGTGCGCGTGCCCGCCGCTGAATCAACGCGACCCAGCCGCTGCGCACTCGAACAACGCAAGGTTGTTTTACGGGCCCATACGTTGAAAACGCTGGCTGCGCTCATAAAACTTGCCCTAACATGTCACCGCTTGACACCGACGTGCCGCGGGCAGCGTTCAGCAATTTCACTTGCTATCGGTGCGCAAATATCCACTTATTCGGACGATACAATATATTTTCCGCTGATCCAGTCTCGCGGCAGTTATGCGTGTTAATCGTCCGCTGCACTCACTCCCCGGGACGCGGTGGTGTTCCCGTTTTGATCATCCTGTTTTTAAGCGGCCGCTAGTAACCATTTGTTGAGCGGCCGCTCCATCATGGCGATGAACGCCGCACTGGAAGCCGGCGCGGCGTCGGGCGTGGCCGGCAGTATCCAGGATCTCAGCGGGGTCGGGCGGACATCCCGGAGCTCGGTGTCCGGGCCGCCGCCCGGCCGGCGGAATAGTTCCTTCGTGCGGAATACGTCGTTTGTGCGCAACGGCTCCTTTGGGCGGTTCGACACGGAGGATGTGTTTGAGCGGTCAGCGCGGATTACGCTGAATATCGCCGGGGTGCGCTTCGATGTGCCGTTGGCGGTGCTGACCAAGTATCCCGAGACGCTGCTGGGGAATCCGCTGCGGTTCCGCCGGCATTATGACGCCACGAAGGACGAGTACTATTTCAACCGGGATCGCGCGTGTTTTGAGGCGATCCTCCAGTATTATCAGAGCGGTGCGTTATATATAATTTTGATTAATCTGTCTACCTGATTATTGAGAAAACACATAGAACACCAGGGATCGCAATGCTTTGTTTTAATTAGACAGCCGGAATCTCACTGACTCGCCGCATAAGTTTTTGTTTAATATAAAACCGTCTTTTCAAACAGTAAAACTTCTTTTCAACTTTATAAGTGAGAATAATTCATTAAAAAAGTAAAAAGCGTTGTATTCTTGAATTGCATTTTTAATCGTAATTAATTTATCGTGCGACAATTTCTTATTGGTAAAATTTTTATCACCAAATGAAATTATTATACCAAATTACGACGAAGCCAAATACGGGAAGCATTGCTTTTTATTGGAAAATTAAATGTTAAGTAAATGGTTTACTGACAAGTTTTCGGAACTAATAATACAGTATTACTTAATCAATTTTATCGCACCGGTGTTTTACCGATGTACTGTATATTTTTCCTCGTTATGTTATATGCGTAAGCGTCAGGCGGTAACGGCTATTTCCTGGAATACTTGCAAATTGCGCAAATAAGTAAATATTTGTGGTAATGCTGCAGCAGTATTTGTCAAGTATATGTACCTGCATTTTTATGTCCCATGCTCCGTTTTCGACGGTTTATTTAGGAGAAACCATGCATGTAACGCGGCAAGCGAATACCTGAGTATTTCGGTTGTTGGCCCGCGGCAATTTGCGATTAGAAAATCGTTAATCTTATCCTAGAATTTTATGACATGTTTAATGACTTGTACCGTGTTTTAAATAAATAATATTTCGCAGCATAATTAATTTTAAACACTGATTTTAAAACATAGCGAAGAGATTCAGTGTATAAAAATTGTTTAAAAACATTTTAGCGCCGCGAGGCTACTTTTGAGAACGTTGTAATGGAAAGATAATTCTTGTATCTTTTGCGCAGATTGTAAAGTTTCTTTGAAATTATGTGTAGGCCGAATATTTTCGTCAATTTTGTCGATCTGGAAGTTTAACGGAAACGATGGGCCTAACCTCGTAAATCATATGGTAAATCTACTGTACATGAATCCGTATATGACGACGAAAATAAAATCGTTTCTCCACGCTTGAGCAAAGCCTTCCGCGAAAAACTACCTTTTACAATCATTTAACTATCTTTTACGATTGTGTCATATTTCGGCCCAGTGCAACATGCAGCGAGCGCTCGCGGCATGACAACAACCGATCGACGTGCGGCAGCGTGCTTTGCTAGGGTGGTGTGCATTATGTAAAGGTCATGCCATTTTAATTACGTAATTAATTCAGTTTTTTCATATAAGAATCCAGTATTATTGAGGTTTTAATTATTATTAACATTAACTAATTTTTAATTATATAAAATAAATTAATTTAAATAATATTATTATTTAGTATTATTATTAAATTAAATACATACATAATTTATAGCATTAGTTAACAATAGTATAATTAATGGGGATGCGTTGTGAAGTGCAGGTCAGCTGCGGCGACCGGCCAGCGCCCGTCTGGACACCTTCGTGCAGGAGGTGCGCTTCTTCGACCTGGGCCACGAGGCCCTGGTGGCCTTCTGCCAGGACCTTCTGCCAGGACGAGGGCTTCTTCATCGAGAAGCCGGTGCCCCTACCTCGACACCCGCTGCAGCGCCGCGTCTGGCAGATCGTCGAAGTCCCCCACAGCTCCGTGTGGGCCAAGTGCTTCGCCATCACCTCCATGCTCTTCATCGTCCTCTCCATCTTCGTCTTCTGCATCGACACCCTCCCGCAGTTCCGCGACCACGCCCACCACCACCCGCCGCGGGCGGAGGGCGTGACTTTTGCTCCCCGGGAGGTCGCGAACATCAACACCGCCTCAGAAGTAGTGACCTTTAGCCCCGGGAACGTCGGCACCATCTCGGAGGTGGTGACCTTTATGCCCGGTAATGTCAGCGCGCGCTTGGAGGTGGTGACCTTTCCTTCTGGCACCGTCAGTCCGCTTCCGGAGGGCCTCCCGCGCGGCTACGCCCAGTTCCAGCGTCCGCTGTTCATCGCCGAGACGGTGTGCATCGGGTGGTTCACCCTGGAGTTCATCCTGCGCGCCCTAACCTGTCCCAGCAAGCGCAAATTCATCCGCGCTCCCCTGGAGATCATCGACGTCCTGGCCGTGATCCCCTACTACATCCACCTGATCATTATCCTGGCCGCGCTGCGCAACAGCCAGGACGCGGTGCGGGAGGGTGGGGTGCTGCTCATCCTGCGGATCTTGCGGCTGGTGCGGGTCTTCCGCATCTTCAAGTTGAGCCGGTACTCGCGGGGCCTGCAGATGTTGGGACAGACGTTCTGGATGTCCATCCGGGAGTTGGGGCTGTTGCTGCTGTTCCTGGGGATGGGCGTGATATTGTTCAGTTCGGCGGTGTATTACGCCGAACAGGGATATGAGGACACGCAGCTGACCAGTATTCCGGAGGCGTTCTGGTGGGCTATCGTCACCAGTAAGTAATTCATGGCGTATATATGGCATTTAACCCAAAGGTCACTTTTACATATGCCATTTAGCCGAAAAGTCAAACGCATATATATAATACATTTTTTCGTTTTTTTTTTATTTTGAAAAAAAATAAATATAAATTTTGTTATTAAAGCAGAACAGGTGAAACCTAGAAAAACTGTTTTCTTCAGTTTAAAAAACGTTGACCTTTTTTCGTTCCGACTTTAACCGGACTGTTTTGTTTCATGGGTCAATCCGCGAATTAACTGGAAAGGCGCGTTCTACTGTTTTTCTTAAGCAACGTTTTAGTTTGGCTGTCGTCAACGAAAATGGTACGACTTTTTGAAGTATTCTCCCTTTAGAACAACGGAGACCACAAATTCTGATGGCCTTTTAAATTTTTAAATTATAACGGTGAATTGCGCCTGTTAAAAACGATGAAAAATCGGGAAAAATAAATAAAAAAATCGTACATCCTGTTAGCGTTTATTTGTGATTGCAGTGACCACCGTGGGTTACGGTGACGTCTCCCCGAAAACGGTCTTCGGGAAGATCGTCGGCTCGGCATGCGCCATCTCCGGTTTAATCGTGGTGGCGCTGCCGGTGCCCATCATCGTCTCCAAGTTCAACACCGTCTACCAGCGTACGTAGATCTCCGCTCGCGGGGTTATTAAGAAAGCGTGTGCTTTGTCATATACTTGTATAAATCTCGGTTGAAAAGATACCGGATGCGCCTGTCACTGTAAAACAGCTGATTGTTGAAAAATGAAAACTCAATTGGTTTGTGGCTGCAGGCGAGGCCGATCGGGTACAGATGGAGGAGATCTTGGCGGACATTCTCAAGCCGCACGACGTCCCCGTGCTCAAAAGGCAGACCTACAAACCCACCTCCAACGGTCGGATCGCTGAATTCCACATTGAAATTGAGCCGATCATCGAGGAAAAATAAACAGAAAAAATTCGTTTAAATATTGATGAAGCATATTAGCAAAATGCTCTGATAAGCAACGATGAAAAAGAATTTGGCAAATATCCAATCTCAACTGCTTTGATAAAAACCACAGATCTTTCATTGTACACTTTCTCTCCCAGATTCTCTATTAATGCGTATGTCTTGCGTAACGGGTTGCCTATTGCATAACAATAAAAGTGCACATCGAAATCGAGCCGATCCTTAACGAAAAATAACTAAAAAATGGTCTACAAAACAGATAAGTAGTAACAAAATGCTCTGATGAGCAACGATGAAAAATATTAAATCTCAAAATGTTTTTCGCTATTAAAAATTGTAGAGCTTTCACTGTGCACTTTCTCTAACAGATTCTCAGTGAAATAAATGCTTATTGGTTACGCAACAGGTTGCACGGGGTGGCTGAATAAAATATTATAAGTATATTCACCGCGCTTTTTTATTGCGAAGTGTACACGAAAATTACCTGTTTGCCAATCATCAAATCCGCAGCATATTTACTCTTCTCACAATGCACAGCGCGTGTGAATTATCCGTTTCCATTTACCGCTTATCGTGTATATATTCTGCACAAACCTGTTCTTTCCGCCTTTATACCGTTTAAATACAGCGGATGACAATGCCCGCAGCGGCACAGCTGACAGCGCCGTTATATACGGCTGTTAATTTCAGGTACAAAGTACACCGAACAGATACCCATCGTGATCACGTACACGCACTCCAAAAGCGAAGGTTTTACCTTAAAGAAACCGAGGTCGGTAGCGGAAGTACGAGACAGCACTTGACACTACTTTTTTCCCGGCTCAAACAACATTATCATGTACATTGTTATGCTGGCGCAGCATGTCGCGGTATATGGCTGCAAGCCGTTAAGTAATAATCTTTTCATCCTTTCTCGTTTTTCAATCTTTTTATCTTGCACATGCTGCGAGCGTCTCCAGCTGCGTTAAGCGTTGCATACGTTTTTAGATACGGAATGTATGCATTCGAGCGGAAGTGACCATTGGAGCTTTCTAGACTCGTTCAGCATATAACAACCAACTCGGAACTGGCGCAAACCATCGGAGCTTTCTAGACACCGGCATTTTTTGGAAAATGGCGATGAGCGTGCGCAACGCCGTGCTGAGCACATCCAGCGACTGGAGCAATAAGAGCGGCAGTGTCCAGGATGTCCGCGGCGTAGGGGCAGTGGGCGCGCGGGCCTCGCTGCACAGCACCCACAGCGGTTTGCACCTGGCCAATCTCAGTGTGCCCAGTTTCCCGGCGCGCCGCAACAGCTCCTTCTTGCGCTACGAGGCCGCCATGCGCGAGGCGGAGGAGCGGGTGGTGCTGAATGTGGCCGGCATGAAGTATGATGTTCTGCTGGGGATGTTGTCCCGTTTCCCGGATACATTGCTGGGGAATACCCTGCGTCTGCACAAACACTACGATCCGGCGCGGGATGAGTATTACTTTAACCGGGATCGGATGTGCTTCGAAGCTATTCTGCAGTATTATCAGACAGGTGAGTGCAATGCAAAATTAATATTATAAGGATGGTGGATGCATCATATACAAAATGTAACGAATGTGCATGCATATTGTACATACGCATGCAGGGTATATTGTACATATGCAAGTATACAGATTATATTTGATATATATGCATATGTACAGAATATATTCAATATAAGTATATGCATGTTTGCGTAAAGTATGTACAGAATATATACTTTATTGTGCATTTTTATATATATATATATAAATGCATATATACAAAAATAACAAGATACCCTATGTATAGAACCTGCACACTTCTGTGCATATACACAGAATATTTACGATATCGTTATATGCATACATATTAATATCGTCATAGGCATATATCCAGGTGCAGAATATATGGTTGTTGGCCGTGGCTCCAAGGCATACTGGTAAAATGTATACGAAAACCTGAATATGTAGAGCACTTTTTGCCCATTTTCAAGCATTCAGTACTTAATTTTGTCAGCGGTATGGTGGGTGCTTCTATGACGATTTATCTGCAGCAATAATTTCGTGATGACAATCAAAACATGACCACCGTTTACAGTGTGCACAACGTGCAGTTATCTGTTGCACATGACTCTTTAGAATCACGATTACGTTGTTCAAGATCGATGCATATCTAACAATGAGCCCACTGTGGCCTTATCTTGCCTAAATTAAACCACTATACAGCTCTGTATGTACAATTTTTCTGAACTGCCTGCTTATTTAATGAAATCTAATCTACTTCATTAGGCAACAGCCGCCAGAATAACAGAAAGGTGCAATCGTGGTGTTATTACATCATAATAATTTTGATTAGCACGATTGGACCTTGTAACCTTTGTACCGTGGATTGGTTTTGCCAATCATAATACTGCATAAATAAAAGTTTCAGATAATGAAAAATTGGATACTGGAAAACCGGATTCCAGCTGAAATACGAAACCTTATAAAAAATATAGTACAGCATATAAAAATATATAGTATATAAAAAAAATTTATTTCTCAATATGTACAAAGCGAACTTCATAATCAAATGAAGAATTTTTCCCAATTTACATAAGAAGGGACTGTGCACATTACACTCCTAGCATTACCACGCATACATCTCCAAACTTAAACGTTGAAACAACAAAATATAGTGTAGTTTGGTATTAGCGGTACTATAAAACCGTACGCAATGACCACTTAATTCAGTTTGGGCGTGGCTTCCCATGCAGGTCTATTGCGGCGGCCGCCCAACGTCCGTCTGGACATCTTCGTGGAGGAGGCGCGCTTCTTCCAGCTGGGCGCCGACGCCTTCGCCCAGTTCTGCCAGGACGAGGGCTTCGAGCAAGAGAAACCCAAACCCCAACCCGCCAACCGCCTGCAGCGCGCCGTCTGGGACTTCGTCGAGCACCCGCAGTCCTCCGCCGCCGCCAAATTCTTCGCCGTCCTCTCCATGCTGGTCATCGTCACCTCCATCGTCATCTTCTGCCTGGAGACCCTCCCGCAGTTCGAGGAGCCCGCCAACCGCACCAACTACGTCCCCAGTAACCGCAGCGCCCTGGCGGTCAGCGTCAGTCGGGGCTACGCGCAGTTCCGGGAGCCGCTCTTCATCCTGGAGACGGTGTGCATCGCCTGGTTCACCCTGGAGTTTATATTACGGCTGGCAGCCTGCCCGGATAAGCGGCACTTTCTGAAACAGCCGCTAAACATCATCGACATGATCGCCATCCTCCCGTACTACGTCGACCTGGTGGTGGTGCTGGTGGCGTTGCGCCGCGGGACGGACGCGGCGCGGGAGGGCGGGGTGCTTACCGTGCTGCGGATCTTGCGGCTGGTGCGGGTCTTCCGGATTTTCAAGCTGAGCCGGCACTCGCGGGGTCTGCAGATCCTGGGACAGACGTTCTGGATGTCCATCCGGGAGTTGGGACTCCTCCTGCTGTTCCTGGGGATCGGGGTGATTTTGTTCAGCAGCGCGGTGTATTATGCCGAACAGGGATACGAGGAGACGCAGTTCTCTAGTATCCCCGAGGCCTTCTGGTGGGCCATCGTCACCAGTAAGTGTGCCGGTGGTGTGACCTTTCTGACGACATAAGAACACATAAGAAAACCTAAGAAAACATAAGAAGACTTCCTTTATGCGTTCAGTGTATAAGTTTAAGTGAACCGAAACCTCGATGACCTTTGCAGTGACCACCGTGGGGTACGGCGACGTGGCGCCCAAGGCGGTGTTCGGCAAGATGGTGGGGACGGCGTGCGCCGTGTCGGGACTGATCGCCGTGGCGCTGCCGGTGCCCATCATCGTGGCCAACTTCAACACCATCTACCAGAGTAAGTGCACAAGCTATCTGTAGGTCAGCTGTGCGGGAACGCTGATTGACACTAGGCATACTGGGGTAAAAAGAATGTCTGTGCGTATGAGTGAATGTTTTTCCCATACTTACTTTAGATGATTATTACAAATAATTGGTAACACTTACCGGAAAACAGGGGAACGCAGCCGGACGGAGATGGAGGAGGTGTTCGGGGACATCTTCCAGGTGCCGGAGGCGGCGCCGGGCGAGCAGCAGGAGCTGACCAAATCCGTCGACAAAGCGCAGTACACGCATGCCACCCATAACGGCCGCAAGGCCGACTTCCGCCGTGAGACGGCGCCCATTCTGGAGGAGAACTCCCGCTGAACGGAATTCCACCGGGATGTCGCCATTCCAACGAAATGAACAGCGCCCGGAATTCCGGGGATAGTGGGATATTTATAATGTATAATTCGACTCTGACAATTAAACGAGAATAACAGCCACAGCGTTCTGCATTAACACTGTGTCAGAAATGTCCAGTTAGTGATATAAAACAACCGGTTTCGCTGTACTGCTGATTAAATATGCCCGTTGAACGTGGGAAATCGTCTATTATGTTAGACACGTCTCGCAGTTTAATTTCAATGAAATTATTGCGATTATTTGTTGGTATTTTTGAAAATGCTCTGTGACTTCTTTTAGCTCTTCTTATTCTTAATAATATGTAGAGATTCTGGATTTTATAAACTATTTTGTCGGGATCCCAGTCGAGCTTTTAGCTGGCCTATCAAAGGTCATCATTAATGACGTTGTTAACAAACCAAACCAGTGCGATTGAGCAAAATGTTCAGTAAAAACAGAACAGATGTATTATATATACAATGCAGTCTTAGGAGAAAGGGCATATCCGTGCATGTTAGTGAGTGATCATCGTTGTTGCTGACTGTGGGTGTTTAATTGGGAAACTCGATGCCGTCGTCCAGCTGGTCCAGATTTTGCGCCACGGGGATGCCCTCCATGACCAGGGTGCCGCGTTTCTGTCGGTGTCCGCCGCCGTAGCTGTGTCCGTGTCCGCCGTAATGGTGTCCGCCGCCGTACTTGCGCGCCTCCACCGACTCCATCATGGAGACTAGAAAAATTCAGTATGAGTTGTTACACACTCCTTAGCTGGTTCCGACTTCCATGGCCAGTGTCCTGCTGTCTATACTCGAGGTTATGGAATTGAATCGGGCAAAACTATGATAACCTGCCACTTACCGGCGAACACGACGAGAAGGATCACGGCCCACAATCCAAAACACTTCATCTTGCTGATGTGTATTCCCGGAAAGAAAAAATCGTTAAAAAATCGATATTGTATGGTTGGAGAACGGAGAATGTGAGATGGGTATGGGTTCGGTGCAGTTGTTGGTGTTTTTATATGAACGTTACCGGCAATCGGGAGAAGTGTGCTGTTGAGATGTGCTTCCTTCGCAGTTTCGAATGAAGGGTCGTTTCGTAACGTTGTTACATGGGATCAACTTGAACTGTATGGTACTCGTACATTATACACGCGTGTATATGGGAAGTGGCCAATATTATAGCGTCGCTAATATCTATATGAGTGCCCGGAAATCTCCTCGGAGCATTGTATGCAACTACGACGAATAATACTTTTTGAGCGCAATATTACTTATTTTTTATTTCTCTTCTATTTTTCTATAAACTTGTTTTAATTTTTACTTATGTTAACCGTTTACCAGTACCGGTGTAGGTAGGCTGTATGCGTAGAATTAAATTATATTTGCGATATGCTTTTGCCGGAACTCTTCGTGTTCCAAGCAGTCAACAATCTCAACATGTGCGAACCTTGAAAAAGCAGTGCTTGCGCGCCTTGCAATTTCCAAGTGCCCACTCCAGGAGATTCTTCTCCGCAGCAGTGCTGAGAAATTGACCGGAAGTTATGTAACTGTGAAACGTAAATCAGGCATCGACCACATACTTTCCCTGAAGTACGAGTACAGCTTGTGCAAGCATGCAGTTTACTCATTATAATAATTATACCTGTGACGGGGACGTGTTTTTGCGCGTTTAATTTTTCAGGACTGCCAATTTAATTGTATCCCGATACTGTACCGTATGTTCTTATAGTATCCTTTGAAACTATGGGAAGTTGCGGCGGTAGTACCCGTCTTTTCATCAGTGAATTTGGCCGACGCATTAAAGAGCAAACAGGATAAGCGCGCGCCACCGAATTTTTGTGGCAGCGTCTAAGTGTGGAAATTCAGCGTGGGAACGCTGCTTCTGTTCTGGGAACGGTTGGGTGTTCTAAACAGCTTGAAGAATTGTTCTTTTTGTTCTAAATCGGTTTATCAAGTTCAAGTGTAAATGGCAATTTTAGCTTGTACAATTTGTCAATAAAATCCTCATCCTTCATGTGTCTTTCCAACTTTTCTGCACTCTCCACTGATTAATAAGAAATTACGATGACCCCATTATTCGATAGAATCGGACATTGCTTTATTGGCGGCCATTTAATGCGATCAACGGATTTCTCACTGAATTATGAGATTGAATTATAGAACAGCAAAACATTATTAAACCAGTTATACTGTATAAACCGTATATTTATATAAGGAACAAAAATTACGCACCGAAAAGCAGCTTTTACGAACGTATATGTATGTTGACCTTTCCCTTCAAGGAACACGCATGGTTTCGCTGCCTTCCGCATCAGCAGCTATGAATTACGTTAAGGAATAGTGGGAGTCCAGTGATCCACGCGATGGATGCCGTGATGCCATCCATGAAAGTTATTTCGCTAAGCAGTAACTGTTACATATTAGAACTGATCTGCGGATCAGTCGTGTTGTGTGGGGCGTAAAAAACTAGCAAGCGGAATGAGCACAAAAACCACGGCCATCAGAGAGAGAAACAGCCGGACACCCGTGGGGGCCCTGTGGGTCCCGGACAGCCTCCCGGCTGGAAATACACAGGCAGCTTCCGCCTTCTCATTGGGCACCACTGTGGTTGACGTCGTTGACAGGTCCTGCAGGGCTTCCTCTCGGACAAGCTGCTCCTAAACAGACATTTTCTCGGCTAACTCGACCAAGAATTTCTCCATGATACCGCCGTACCCGCCATGGAGACGGCAGTTCTCTAGACATTCGGCGCGCCAGCACCCGCAGGTGACTGGACACCTGGCCGGTGGTGCGAGTTTTTCCCGTTCGCGCTGTAATGTAGCGGGCGATAAGCTCGTTGCGGCCTATAAGTAAATAAAATTCCTGAAAGTTTGATGCCAAACAGGTGTACTGTACCAAAAGCCTCATTATGAACCGACCTTCTTCAAAAATATATGGAGTTCCCTCGCAACCGCACCAGAGTTCCACTATGACCAAACTTATTAAGCTTTAAAATCTAATATAACATTGTGAGATTCGGTTTACAGGCTTATAAAAACTTCTAGAGCCATTGTCCGGTGTACGAATTACTACTTAAGTGTGTTTGGTATCACTACCATGATGTACCAGGTTGCTTCCCTTAAACAGAGAAGTGCCGGTTTAATAGCGCTATGTGCGCAAAACGAAGAATCTGCATGCATGATTGTCTTAGTGCGCCGTTGCCTGGATCAACCGAGTTTCACCAGCACTCACCGTACATCGCGCCCGTGTCGCTCAAGATGATCTTGCAGCGTCCGCATGCCGCGTAGATCTGCAGCGCCTCCTGGAGGCACTGTTCCACATCCGGCGACCACACGCCTGTATCGCCATCACGGTTGACCAGTTCAGTCTCGGCGCTATCGTTGCCGTTTTGCAGACTTTCCATATCATCCATTACTATAAAAGTAATTATTTAAAACAAACTGGTAAGAAAGTGACTGCTTACAATATGCGGTGCAATTAAAAATCGGAATGTCTCAAATTATACCATAGTTATAAGTCCCCTGAATAAAAATATGTATTAAATCTTATGGACTACGTTTTTTTACAGCACGAGTAAAATCACGTTAAAGTTTTCCGGAAGTCTTACCGCTTGAAAATCAGTTTGCTCTTCTGCGCAAAACGGATTGGAAAGGTTTCACCGATACGTATCGGTGATTTCAGCAGTATACTGCTGAAATCTCGTGGGCATCTGCTGTTCTGGAAGTTCTTGAAACACACATAAACTACTATGCATTCCTAAAGAAAGAAATGCACGTTGACTGAGGGGTTGTTTGCATTCCTGACTGGTAGCCATTCCACAGCGGTCAGTGACCGCTGTGGAATGCGGCCGAATGTCCATCCCCTTTTATGGCGATAATGCGCTTGCTGAACTGACTGGTAGCACATGATCAGGCGCAGGTGACCGTTATTGCTCTAGCGCTTACTGCAGAAGGTTGCAAAAGAGAACAGCGAGACCAGCCGTGGACTGAAAGGGCGCATACACGTCTGGACCAAGAGAGTTGGGCGGCGCCTCCTGTCAAAATTAAATACGTACAGCCGTACAGGGACAGAACTAGACGATTTAACAGGAAGCCGGCCAAACTGTCTTCACCGTGGATAGGTATCATCGGAACTTGACATCAGGGTATCAATCAAATCCACATTGTACTAACGATTATTTATTATAACATTCGCGATTCCGCACTCTGCTTCCAGTGCCGGTGAGGCGCATAGAGTCGCTTTCACAGGCGTATTTCGAATGCGTAGGAGGGATTTCCTTCAAGCTGCCGCGTATTCCTGCGAAACTCTCTTTGCTGTGCGACTGCTATATTGCAACAGCAAGCTAGCTGGTATGACTACAGTTCTAGTGGGTTGGTTAATCCACCTTACCACGATGTGTCGGCTGTTAGTACGGGAAAGGCTGGCACGGTCGGCAGCGATGCTGACCGGAAGCTGACTACCGTTTATAGGGTGCAACACGAGGTCAGCGCAGATGTTTATTACAAGTACAACGTAGCAAGAATCAGCGAGCAACGCAAGCTGAGGAGCAAGAAGGGCATAAGCACGGGAGCAAGAAGCGCGGGAAGCGCATTTGCAAGAAGCGCGGACGGCGCGGAGCAAGTTCAGAGCAAGCTGCAGCAAGACCAAAATTCAAGATGTTTCTGACCGTGGGATGCGGTCGGTAAAAGTAGGAAAATAAGGATTCTGATCTTCGTAATACAACAACCAATAATCAGTAGAGAAAAGCAGTTAACACTCCTACTGGCGGTACATCTAATTTCTATCGCTACAAAGCCTACAATATAAAGTTTTCACGAAGACCTCAAAAGTTAAACTTGTTAAAGGAACCAGTTTTAGGGACTTCCGGCGTGTGACGCAGCTAGCACCGCCCATTGTGGCACGTACCATGATCTGGTACACATTTTGGGAGTTTTTAAATTCGGTCATTAAATCTTTATTTTTCGTGCGAAAAAATGGCTTCTTCTGGACAACTTTGGTTGCAAATTAAGGAACGAATTGCGGAAATAATTTTAAGCGGTAAAAGTGTCGTTTTGAACCAGATTTGTGCACACGGGAGCAGTACACGGAGGCGTATGGTCCGTATAATTATACGTACGTATATACGTACGGACGCGATACCTTTAACTCACCTTGCTTTAACGCACGCATCCTTCATACTTGTAGATAAAAATAATTATATATACTTAGTACAGATCAGACCTGGGCAGTTAATTTTAACTATTTAACTTAACGCGAGTTTTTTTCGAGTTAACGAGTTATAACTTAACTCTGAAGCTTAACTCGCGAGGACGAAAACTTAACTCTAGCGCAACTCAAAAATAATATAGAACAACTCGAGTTTAGCGTAACTCTGCAGATTTCAGTTGATGTTAAAAATGAAACTGAGTTTCAGAAATATCATCAGAAAGAATATTATTCTAACCGTGTATCGCATAAATTTTCGAAATTATAAAAGCATCTATGTTCAAAACTGTTCGTGCCAACGAACAGTACGACCGCCCAAGGCATTGGCTAGATGAATATAAGGGGAAAACCACTACACTCGAACCGTCTCCCTGTACTGCTGCCGTTACCTGGCTGGAGTTTCTACGTTGTAGGCTGTAGCTAAACACGGCACTTCTTTAGTGCGCCAGATTTAATCAGATGTACTGCGGTAACGCATCACTATCCAGGCGGGTGACAGCAGCAATAGAGGGAAACAGTCCGAGCAAAACGCTTCTCTTCTTCTACGTAAGTATTGTGGAGTGCGAGTGCAATCAGTGCATTCTGACTGTGATTGTAGTCTTTTACATCATTTGAGCTTTAATTAACATAATGCAGTAACACGTCCAGGCTCTAGCAGCGTGCAGAGAACAGACGGGGAGTTTTTAGAGAACAAACTTTGGTCAACGGTAGGAGGACGCCAATGTTCTGCAGCAAAACCACAAGGGAATTTGTTGTCTGTGTGTTTCTGCTACTTGTCCATTGGGAAAACAGTCCGAGCCGTGTAACGCCATGTTTGGCAGCCATGTACAGAGAACCATACTAATACACCATAGTGTAAAAGTCCAGCGTTGCCGGCGCTTCCCTGGGTCCCAGACGAGCTAATTGCACTGATGCGAGTTCTGAAAACACTTGCTCGAAAAATTTTAATTCTGAAATGTGTTTCAAATCTGGTAATAGTGATACTAGTACGCATAAGAGATTAGTTGAAAATGGTTAATAAAGTGCAGAATTTTTTTATTGAAAAGCGATTTTTTTTATTTTAACGCGAGTTAACTCGAGTTATTGTCGCTAACTCAACTCGTAACTTAACTCGCGAGCTGCGATTAACTATTAACTCTAACTATGAGTCCAAATTCCATAACTGCCCAGGTCTGGTACAGATCAACAGATTAGTAGTACAGATCAACAAATCAGCGACATGCGACGATGCTCCCGATGCATGTTGGTGCCAACGCCAATCCAGCTCCCGCACTGGCCCTTTTCCGAGCCTGCAGCATTCGAATGTGACTGGACACTTCGCTGAGGGTAATCGTTTAATTTCCGGTTCGCACGTTAATGTAGCGGATGATCAGCTCGTTTCGGGCTAGAAATATTACGAGGGCAATTCCTTATAATTATTATGTGCATTAAACGGGAAGAAAATCATGGAGGTCCATTCATTTCGGAAACATCAGAAATATTTTCTCCGGTTTTCTTATGCTTTCTTATTTTATTATTCAAGTGTTTTCTTATGTTATATTCTTATCTTCTGCTTAGGTTTCTTATTTTTGTTATTTGTTTCTTAGGTTTCCTTATGTTGTTCCTATATCTTATTAGGCTTCTTAGGTTTTTTGCATCTGTTATTTGTTTTTAGGTTTTCTTATGCTTTTTATAATTTCTTACGTTATCCGTATTTTCTACATGTTCTTATGCTATTTTTACATTTTCTTTTGTCTTCTTGATAGTTTTCGAAATGTTCGGTTTCCGACATGAATGGTTTACCGCGTAACTGCATATTTGCGCTATTTGTATGAAAACGTTAGGTTTCTTAGAACGAAGTTGGTTCAGCAGCACTTACTATACATACGGCCCTCCTCCGATAAGATTATCTTGCGACGTCCGCACGGCGGGTAAATCTGCAAGGCTTCTTGCAGGGCTCCTTCCACATCCGGCGACCAAACGTCCGATGCGGCATCACTGCTGCCCAATTCATTTCCGGCGTTATCATCGCCGTTCAGCGGATCTTCCATAGCATCCATTACTAACAATAATTACTAAAATCAAGCGCACTAAATCGCACACAGAACAAATTTGCTTCCCGCATTTGGTACGAAAGTAGCTGCTTAGCGTTGCAAAGGTGAGCTGTAGAATCAAGTTGCCTATAACTTATGATGAGGGATGACATGTATGAGGAATAACATACCGTAAAATTCAAATAAATCGAATTAATTTAAGCACTCAAGTTCTTTGTTTACCATTTAGGACAATATAAACAACCAGGCTCAAAATTTTACGGATTTCTTACCGCTTGAAAATCAATTTCGGTTCTGCGGAGAACACATTGCAAAGGTGACACCTGTGTTATTTAATTTCGAAATCCCGCGGGTAATAATACGAAGTTGTTTTTGATGCACACGGCACAGAAAGACTAATCTCACTAATCTGCATTCCTAAAGAACGAAATTCACCGCGTGGACTGTATGTTGGCATTCCTGCCTTGTTGGCATTCCACAACGGTCATTGACTATCATGGGATGTGACCGCAAGTCCATCCCCTTTTACTGCAATCTTGAGCTTACTAAACGCTGACTGGTAGCACATGGTCAAGCGCTGTTGCTCTTTGTGGTTACTCGCACAAGACCAAAGAAATTTCCAACCAAGACAGTGGGGCGGAGCCTTCTGTTCAGTAATAACCGAACTCGAAGAGTCAACAGGAAGCAGGCGAATATCTGCACCACGGATATCTGCTTAATTTTGCTTAATTTTGGAATTACTGTAGTGCTTCATAAAGATAAAATTGGCGGGTTTGGTGAAATTTTTTTAATTGTCAGCGAGTTAAAAACCGTTCAGACGGCGTTTTTTCTATCTAATTTTTGCAGAATCCGATTCCCCGCGTTCTTTTACATATGAAAACGTTTTTTGCTTAATTTTGGAATTAGTGCTTCATAAAGATAGAATTGGCGGGTTTGGTGAAATTTTTTTAATTGTCAGCGAGTTAAAAACCGTTCAGACGGCGTTTTTTCTATCTAATTTTTGCAGAATCCGATTCCCCGCGTTCTTTTACATATGAAAACGTTTTTTTCTTAATTTTGGAATTAGTGCTTCATAAAGATAGAATTGGCGGGTTTGGTGAAATTTTTTTATTTGTCAGCGAGTTAAAAACCGTTCAGACGGCGTTTTTCTATCTAATTTTGCAGAATCCGATTCCCGCGTTCTTTTACATATGAAAACGTTTTTTTCTTAATTTTGGAATTAGTGCTTCATAAAGATAGAATTGGCGGGTTTGGTGAAATTTTTTTATTTGTCAGCGAGTTAAAAACCGTTCAGACGGCGTTTTTTCTATCTAATTTTTGCAGAATCCGATTCCCCGCGTTCTTTTACATATGAAAACGTTTTTTGCATAATTTTGGAATTGGTGCTTCATAAAGATAAAATTGGCGGGTTTGGTGAAATTTTTTTAATTGTCAGCGAGTTAAAAACCGTTCAGACGGCGTTTTTTCTATCTAATTTTTGCAGAATCCGATTCCCCGCGTTTATTTACATATGAAAACGTTTTTTGCTTAATTTTGGAATTAGTGCTTCATAAAGATAGAATTGGCGGGTTTGGTGAAATTTTTTTATTTGTCAGCGAGTTAAAAACCGTTCAGACGGCGTTTTTTCTATCTAATTTTTGCAGAATCCGATTTCCCGCGTTCTTTTACATATGAAAACGTTTTTTGCTTAATTTTGGAATTAGTGCTTCATAAAGATAGAATTGGCGGGTTTGGTGAAATTTTTTTTTTGTCAGCGAGTTAAAACCGTTCAGACGGCGTTTTTCTATCTAATTTTTGCAGAATCCGATTTCCCGCGTTCTTTTACATATGAAAACGTTTTTTGCTTAATTTTGGAATTAGTGCTTCATAAAGATAGAATTGGCGGGTTTGGTGAAATTTTTTTTTTGTCAGCGAGTTAAAAACCGTTCAGACGGCGTTTTTTCTATTTAATTTTTGCAGAATCCGATTTCCCGCGTTCTTTTACATATGAAAACGTTTTTTGCTTAATTTTGGAATTAGTGCTTCATAAAGATAGAATTGGCGGGTTTGGTGAAATTTTTTTTTTGTCAGCGAGTTAAAAACCGTTCAGACGGCGTTTTTTCTATCTAATTTTTGCAGAATCCGATTCCCCGCGTTCTTTTACATATGAAAACGTTTTTTGCTTAATTTTGGAATTAGTGCTTCATAAAGATAGAATTGGCGGGTTTGGTGAAATTTTTTTATTTGTCAGCGAGTTAAAAACCGTTCAGACGGCGTTTTTTCTATCTAATTTTTGCAGAATCCGATTTCCCGCGTTCTTTTACATATGAAAACGTTTTTTGCTTAATTTTGGAATTAGTGCTTCATAAAGATAAAATTGGCGGGTTTGGTGAAATTTTTTTACTTGTTTTTACTTAAGCAAATCCGTCAGCGGAATCAGCATTTCAGTATAAGCTGCAATTTGCAAACCACATACTCCAAAGTATCAAAATTAATTGGAAACAATTAATTTGTACCTCAGTAATTCCACGACGATTAAAAATTACTGACAAGCAGATGTAGGCTGGTGTTTGTAATTTGTTCTTATTTACTGGGGGAGTAGACCTGATTTTTGGTTAAAATTATATTATTAATAATTCCCGATGCTCGTAAGTCGTACGGTACATTACAGTCAGCATCAGCGCAGATTATTTACCTATATTCTAATTTACTTTTAACACGCTTAAAATGGTTTCTGGGACATAAAATTCTTTAACAACGTAATAGCATCATAGAAATTATTAACTGCACCCTATATAATTATGAAATAATATTTGTATGTATGAAGATGTCTCTAAGCCGACCGCTCTCCATCCGACAGCTACGATGGCCCGTCATCCGCTGCACCGAGGCGGCAGCTGCTTGAGCACGAATCCTCCAACTTCACGTTGAAAATTCACAAAATCTATTTTCTGATTTCCTTCCTCATTCTTCAACAATCTCCTGCATCTGTTCACAGTCTCCTTGTCACACTTGTTGTGTACAGTAAAGTGGTACTATACATTATTAATTCGTGTGCGTGATTATCCGATCCCGTGTGGATATCCGGCGTGAGATACAAAATGCGGAAGAAGACCAACCTGAAATTAGCTGCTGTGCGTCGCGGCGTCAAACGCCAACTACAACCAACATCATCCAAACTCCACGCTTCTAGTATTTATCCCCACTATGACGCCGACCTGCCCCCGCTCAACTTCGACGTCCTGGCCGACGACGGCACGTACAACGACCTCCTGGACGCCTCCGTCGCCGAGGACACCATCCAGCGCAAAAACAAGAAAAAGCAGAAAACCGAGGACCCCGACGATCTCCGCAGCACCTTCCAGGCCTCCTCCAGCGCCAATGTGCGTTTCCTCTTGCCGACCAAGGGGAAGGATGGTCTGCAGATGCGCTACCAAGAGATGGAGGAGATCCCCGAGAAGAAGAAGGAGAAAGCTCAGGAACCCCGCGAGGACCCCCGCGAACCCGTCAAATTCCCGCCCTTCGCGGGGGATCCGCACTGGAAGCGGCGGATCGCGTCGTTGTGTCTGGATGTCATCGAGAATCCCGAGAAAAACTTGAAATCGCTGCGGGAGCTGTTGGCCGGGCTCGGGGAACCCGGGGTGGAGGGGAACGTGATTGGGGTGATTTTAGCTAGTCTCGTCGAGGTTTTCAAGGTAAGGCTAAAGTTTACACAGTTTTGGGTTGCTTCACAATGATTTAAAATCAGAATTTATTTTTTTAATTTTCGGAGTACTTTTGCTGTTATCGGCAGTGAGAATCAAATTAAAATTATTTTACCTTATTGTAGAATATAAAATTAAGTTAGACTGATTAATTTTAAAATACTTACTTTCCGAGTACTCGTATTTTTGATTTTGTAAACAGGAAAATAAAATTCAATATTTATAGTTATTGTGTTACTGATTTATCGTCATGTTTAAAACTTATTTCATTTAATTTTAATAAATGGGCATTTAATTCGACCATTTTCTCCATATACAATTAATAAAATAAAAACTAAATAAATCGATTTCCCGAGTATTTTAATTTTAAAAACAAGGAATTTAAATTGAAATTATCGTCATTTTTAAAAACTATTAGATTCAATTTTAATAAATCGGCATTTAATTTGCCCAGTGTCTCATATATAAAATTGTTGAAATTATAATTAAATAAATCAAAATTCTTTACTTAAAGGATATTCTGCCGGGCTACCGCATCACGTGGCGGGGGAGGTGGAGAAGGAGCAGCGCATGAAGAAGGAGACGCGGGAACTGCAGAGCTACGAGCAGGCCTTGTTGGGGCTGTACCAGCGCTATCTGCAGAAACTGGAGGGGCTGCTGGGGGCGCTGAAGGGGAAGGGGGCCCCGGTGGGGGCGGAGTGCGGGGTGGCCGTCAAGTGCCTGACGCAGTTGTTGTTGACGCAGATGCACTTTAATTTCCGCAAGAACCTCGTCTCCGCCGTCGTCACCATCGCCACGTGCCGCGTCCCGGAATTTCAGGTAAATTTAATTTATTTGTAATTTTTTGTAGATTTATTTGCAATTAGTTATTTCCCTTAGTGATTATTATTCCTTAGCCGGGACTTTTTTCGTTCAGTAGAGTAGTATTATTTTTAATTCTGTACATTTCTTTTTTGGGTTTTTGCTTAATTTTTAGACGGTAGTTTAATTTGTTTTAGCAAAATTTTGTCTTGAAATTTCGCCCAATTTGTTGCGAATTTTCACCCCTTTCAGGCTGTATTTTTGCCCACCAGTAAGATCTGCTTTTCTCTTCTCTGGCCATGAATTTTTTTAGTAGAACATTATTGTTTTTAATTTTGCAAATTTGTTATAAAAAAATTGTTTATAATTTTATTTTCATGTTGAACATTTTAAATTACGTGTACCGTATCATGTATGTGTTTTATAGAAGAAATTCCCTGGATTTTTTCGTCATTTGATTTTTAAAGTGTTCCTGCACATCTGCAGTATCTTCCGCTGTTTGTTTTTTAATTTGCCGTAAATTCTACTACAGTTAAATTTGTGCTAAAAAATGTTTTTTTTAAATATTGGTAAGGAATTGTATTTTATTATCAGAAAAATAATATTTTCCTCTCGATTTTTTCCGTCACTTCTCATTTTCTCAGTGTTGGATTATTTTTTTCCCCAGGAAACGGCGGCGGTGTGTCTGGAGACGGTGTTCCAGCAGGACAAGAGCGGCGACGCCAGCCTGGACGCGGTGGAGGCGGTGTCGAAGCTGGCCAAGAGCGGCGGGCAGCGGCTGACGCGGCGCTTATTGGAGACGCTGACGTCGATTCGGTTAAGTAAGCAGTTGATGGAGGAAGCGCGCGAGAAGAAGGCCAAACCCGACCGCAAAACCCTGAGCCACGCCGAGCGGAAACGGCAGAAGGAAGTCGCCAAGGTGGAGAAGGAGCTGCAGGCCTCCCAGGCCCAGGAGAACGTCCGCGTCAAGGCCCGATTGCAGTCGCAGGTGTTACGAAAAATTGAAAACATAATTTGAAAAATTAATAATTTTGTCTTTGTAATTTTCAGAATTTTTTTGAATCTAATAAAACAATTTATGAAATGGTTTTCTTACCGAATTTTATTACAGTTATATTGAGCACTTTATTCATCTTTTCAATGGTTTCCACTTTCCAGCACTAATTTTAATTTTAGTGTTTTCTTTAATTAATAAAAATTTTGTTTTTCTGGTTTCCATAGTTTTAATTAAAAGAATATTTTTCTTGTGGTTTATTGAATAAACTTGATTCTTGCCATTTTTTGGAAAATAAATGACAAATTTAATTTGTATGCATGATTTATTAAATTTATTTGTGATGCTTTTATTGTCAGTGGAATTGTTTTTGTTGATTCAGAAAATTTTTTCAGATTGTAACATTTTTTAATTTTTTAAAATTGTCAGTAAATTTGTTCTGGTTGATTTAAGGAATTTGTTATTGATTATTTTATTTTTGAATTTTTTATTGTCATTAATTGAATTTTTTGTATCTTGAATTTTTTATTTTCAGGTTAATGAATAATTTCTTCATGTAAATAATGGTTGAATTTGCGTAGATTCTGCAAGCGTTATTCGCGACGTATTTCCGCATTCTGCGGCTGGCCGACGAACGCACCCGCCGGAAGCTGCTGCCGGGCGTCCTGATGGGCGTGGCCAAGTTCGCCCACCTGATCAGCATCGATTTCATGGACGACCTGGTGGAGACGCTGCACAAGATCGTCCAGACGGAGGCCTGCTCGCTGCTGGAGGGGTTGTTGTGCGTGCGGACGGTGCTGACGTTGGTCTCGGGCCAGGGCACGGCGCTCAACATCGATCCGCACCGGTTTTATCATTATTTACTGCAGGCGCTGGCCGGGCTGCAGGGCACGGAGGAGCGGGCGGTGTTTGTGCAGATTGTCGAGTGTGTCCGCAAAGGTAAAGTTTTGTGCGAGGAAAAAAATGGAATTTTTCGGAAAAAAAATCAGATAAAATTAAACACAAAAATTGTCGTGCGGATTCTTTTATTTGTGGTTTAATCATAATTTGCCTGGAATAATAACATTATTTTTTTGTGGAATGTGTCAGTTAGCCTTTAGGTTTATAATAATTTCGTAATTTAAATAACCGGTTTAATTTTAATAATGATTTCTTAATGAGAACTTGGTAACGAAAATCAGAATTAGGTATAGAAAATTTCCTTTTTAATTAAAAAGTTCGAAGTTTGAAAAATGCTTGCGAATTACGAAATATACACTCGTAAACTGGAAATTTTTGATTAAAAATTGGCAAGAAAAAAGAAAATTAGGAACTGAAATTTGAATTGAAATTTTCGAAAATCGATAAATGCGTGCAAATTACGAAATACACACGTAAATTAAAATTTTTATCAGGAATTCCGAGTTTGAATTGAAATCTGAAATCTGAAAATCTGAAATAAAGATTCGGATTTTGAAATTAGAAAATATATGCGAAATATAAAATAAAAAACTGTATTTTTGAATTTAAAATCGGAATTTTCGGAAATAAAAATCCGAAAATAAATTTTAATTACGTGATTTTAATTTGGCTGCTTTATTTGCTGATGTAGGGTTCATCGAGCGTAAAAAGTTGATTTCGGTGGAGCGCGCCAGCCGGTGCGCCAAGGGCCTGGCCAGCGCGGCGCTGCGCAGTCCCCCGGTGGAATGCGTGGCCCTGTTACTCCTCCTCAAGTCCCTCCTGACCGCCCACCCCCGCCTGGACACCCTCCTAGACCCGGAGTTCGTCCAGCCGGCCCTCATCATCCCCACCGCCGCCGACGACGTCCTGGCGCCCGCCCCGCTGTGGGAACTGCAGATGCTGCGCCGCCACCATCACGCCGCGGTGCGGGCGTTGACGGAGAAGGTGCTGGGCCACGACCGCATCGCCAATCAGTGGGCGGGGCTCCTCAAGACCGATCCCCTGGAGGTGCTCCGGGATGGCGCGGCGTTCGGGCTGGCGGATGTGTGTTGAAGCGGGGAAGGTTGTGTTGTGGGAGAAACTGAATTAAAATCATGGGAAAATGTGCGCTGCGATTTGATGGAATATTTTACGAATTTAACTGCAGCAATTAATATTAAATTCTGTTAAATTCGGATTTAATTTGATTTTAAATTTCAGATTAACAAAACTTCGTGCACAAATTTTTCACAAAATTTAAAAAAAAAACTAAAAAATCGTTAGTAGATAATTACTAATAATAATATTTCAAAAAGAATTAGAATTAATTATTTAATCAAATGGAATTTTTGTTCGTAAACTAAAAATTTATTAATGAAGCTTTAATTTCAGTTAGCGGGTTTTATTAATTATCGTTTGATACAGGATATGTGCAGATGAACTGAGAAAACAAATAACAGATTACAAAAAAACAGAGCGGAAGAAAATAAGTTACAAGGGAAAAGTCGGGCTGCAGATGCAGAGCGCGGGTTTTTAGTGGGGAAACGGCGATGCCGGTGCAGCATCAGGATAACAGATAGGCAGATAGGAAATCGGGAACTACAGTCAATCGGAGGCTTCCTGCGGCTGCAGCTGGTTGGGATTGATGGAGACCTGCAGCTGGCTGCCGCCGCCGGTGGGCGCCTGGATGACGATCTGGTTGGAGGCCGACAGGGGGATGCCCAGGGTGGAGATGTACTGCCGGATGGCCTCAATCTGCTGCGCCGTCAAACTCAACTGCAAAACGCAACGCCAACGTCAATCATCATATTAAAATAATTAAAAAATTAATATTAAAATCGGCGCAATAAAAAATTATTTAATCATGGAGTGATCCATTAGTAAATTACGCAAAATTAAATCGACCCCAACCCCTACAAAAAAACGACTGAAATTGTGAAACTGATCCTTCAATTTATGCTAAAATTAAATCCAGAAAATCGGCGCCAGTCCTTACAAAAATAATTTAATTTTCAAAATTGCTGCTCAGAGCTTACTCCAACAAAAACTAATTCTCTTACATTGCCAAAATAATATATTCATGTTGCGAATGATAAATTCGAAAAAAAAGCTAAAATAAATGGGTACTCACGTTGGCTTGCTGGATCTCGCCGGCGGAGTTGTTGATGACGACGGGGAGCGTGGCGCCCTCTTGGACGCTGAGCGTCTGCTGCGCACTGCCCTGCACGGCCAACTGCAGCTGCGTCACGGGCACGCTGGGCAGGCCCTGCACCGCCGAGGTCACCTGCCCGCCCTGCTGCACGAAGTACTGCACCTCCGACACCGACCGCGGCTGAAAAACAACCCAGTTAATTTACTCATTTTTAACACTATGTATTTCTTAAATAAATCACTAAATTTCATTAAAATTACGTTTTTTATTTAATAACTTTTATTGCGCTATTTTTTCCCTTTTTTAATTTTTTTAAAATTATTTATTTTTAAGTAATAAATGTTAAAAAGCCCTCACCGTGCTTTTGGAAGGCGGTTTGGGCTTCACTTCATCGCGCGGGACAATGTCGATGAGGAAATCGAACTGGTCGCACTTGCTGACGGCCGTGGCGACGTCGTTGCGCTGCAGAGTGCGGCGCTTGTTCTCCTCCACATGCAGCCAGGCACGCAGTGTCAGCTCTTCGATGAACATCTCACAGGCTTTGGAAAGCACGACGGGCGCTTCGGAACTGATCATCTATCGCCAAATCACGTTTAGATCATTGCAAATTTTAATATTATTAGCAGGAAGATTTTTCCTACCCCCACGTCTTCGTCCAGTTTCATAATCTTCTTGATCCTGGCCAGGGGTAGCTCGGGATGGCGAAACTCATCCTGAAAATCAAACAAAAACAATTAGTACAGCGCAAGTCATGCGTCTCCGTGTACAACATCACGTAACTGTTAGTAATGAACGGGAAAGAAACCGGATGCGCCGCTATTAACGTACTGATTTACGAAAATCATAATACAGCGCAGGTTATTCGGCTTCCTGTACAGTACTATGCGATTCCTAGCAGTGAACAGGTAAGAGACCGCATGCGCCGCAACTAACGTACAGGTTTCATGGCACGAATCCGATGCATCTGGCGCTGCCAGAAATTCCGCAGGGACGCCTCCGCCGAGGATTCTTTCCCGGGGATCTCCTCGCTCCCGGAGGCCTGGATGACTAGCTGTTGATTGGCATCCAGGATGACGGGTGTCCCATCCGCCGTCATCAGACTGGTGCCCGGAGGAAAATTCGATAAACTGAAGGCCATTGTGCAACAGGGAAATTCCGATCGCCGCGAATTTCGGACGAAAAGTTGCAGAAGACGAGGGAGAAACGCTGCCGGAGAGTCTCGGCGCACCAAAACAGGAGAGTGGCGCCAATCCGAAAGGACTAATCAGACGTTACTGCAAATTCTGGTTCGCCAGCCAGGAAATCCAATCGACAGCGAGCGCGAGACTGCAATCATTGGCGCATTGAAAGACACGCCAGCTGTGATGGTTGGGTGGCTGCTAAGCCAACCAAATTCCTCGGTACATACCTTCCGTTCTGCTGCTCTCAGCTCGATTTACCACTGATCCTCCTAATCCTATTGTGTCTCTCCTTGATCTATGGATCATCCAGCAACAGTACACAGGATATTGGCTACAGTTCGATTATTTATCCCGTTGTTTTTCTCCTGACTTTTGAAAGTGAATAAACGTGCATTAACATGAATTAAATAACGGTCGATTTTGAATCTCCACTGCAGCTAAAAATGCGCTGCAATTCCATCCACGGTTGAATGTGAATTCCACTGGCGATTCGTGTACTTTGAGAATAACCACTTCCGCCATCGAGTGGAATGGAAAGCACATGGCCTGTCATTATTTGTTGCGAGTCATCTTGAAAACAATCAACTTTTTGAGTTTTCCAACTTTTCCATGTTTACGATTTGTATTTTTTCTAACTGAATCCAGAAGCAACACGATCGGATTATTATAAACTTTTATTCTTGTTGGAATACGTGAGGGATCGAGCATGGCCAGCAGGAAACCGCGCAGTTCGCAGCCCGCGCCGTCGCGTCCCAATCGAGCCAATGTTCCCTTCCAAATCGTAAGAAAAATCCTACTGCGTCGCTTCTGCAGCGTTGTATGTGAGTCTGTTGGTGTCATTCGCAGCCGTTCGGCATGCCCGACCTGTCGATGGACGCCGCCATGGACGACTTCCTGGGCGGGGACGACGGCGACATGAACGACGAGGACCTGGAAGCGGAGCTGAACGCCCTCATGAGTGGCAGCGACATCCGCAGCCGCCCGCCCCGGGGCGCGGGGGTCTCGCCCCAGCCGGCCAGGGGGGCGCCGTCTCCGCAGGGAAAAGGACCTCGTAAGTGCTGTCCCCAGTTAAGGGCACTTTTAATTAATTTTTTAGATTTTTTAAGGGTAATTTGAATTTTATTTGGAATTAAAGTGAAAATTAATTGATAATTTAATCAGTCAGTTATGTATCCAAATTTATTAAATTCGAACTTTTTTATTAAATTAAGTACATGAAAGGCAGTGTCAGTTAACTTAGCCACTAGGTAAGCTTTTTTTATTGATTTTTTTAATTTGTTGGATTGTTGGAGGGATTTTGAATTTTATTTGGAATTCAGTTTATACCGAATTTTTAATCTACCAGTTGTATTAAATTCGAACTGAATTGAAAATTTAATGTTTTAATCAGTTAAAAAAATTTAATCAACCTTGAGTATATTTGATTTTTCTTCGACAGATTTTTAAATTTTGCAATTTTATTTTTACTAAATGTTGGAGTGAATTTTTGGGATTTCCTTTGAAATTTTTCACATTATTTTCGATTTTTCATGCAGCGATGGCGCCCCCGCGACGCAGCAAGGGCAGCACCCCCAACCCGGCCCTTGTCCCGCCGGTGCTGCTCGGCCTGGACCTGAAGGATATCGAAAAAATCGGGATGGACGAGGGACACGACGACGATGAGGATATCGATGAGGACGACCCGGAATTACTGGTAAAATCCGTCTGCGCTGCGTTTTCAGGGGCGGAAGTGATTGTACAAAGGGGGTTGTAGGCGGAACTGGCGGATCTGACCCCGGACGAGGTGGACGACATGCCGGTGCCGGCGCGGACCGAGGTGAAGGTGTCGCCGGCACGGGCGGCTGCCGGACACTCGCCGCTGGTGACGCTGCTGTTGGAGCGGCTGGAGAATTACGAGGGCGCCAAGCAGGAGGCCGTGGACGGCAAGGAGGCGGGGAAGGTGCGCCGCTACGAGCGCGCCATTAAGGTACAACGCTAACGTAAAAATTCAAAACAGTCGGTTGCATAGATAGCCTGCGGCAGTGATTTTAACGAAATTCGCAGAGAAAAGATGTAAGTTAGTTTAATGCGAATGAATAAGATATCTTCAATAATTTGGTTGTATGCAGTTGATTAAATTGTTGAATATATTAAGCAGAAAAACCCAGCGATGGTAATAGTTGATTGATTCTGTAGAACAGTAGCTGGAAAGTAAATTAATGGTAATAATTGATATTAGTTTTGTCGATAAGTTGTAGAAGAAAATAACAAAAAAATTAAATTATGGCAATATTTGAATTATTGTTCAACAGGAAAATAAACCGTGTCAGTTAATTTTTGCTCACTAAATTAGGAAAATAAATAAAATAAAAGGGGCAATAAAATAAATTGAATTTGTTTCGATAATTTTAAAGAAAACCAGAGCCGGAAAATTAAATCGTCGGAATATTAAATTCGTCGTCGTCGGAAAATTAAATCGTCGAAAATGAAATAAATGGATTATTATTTAACAGGATAACAGCCGAAAAATAAATGGCAGTATTGGAGTCATTTTTTAAAACATTTATTTAGTGGAAAAATCGGAGGATACTTACCTCAGTATTCGCATAAAATCAGCGGCAGATTGTTGCCTTCGCGAAGTGATTTACCGCGGCGGTGACGGAAGTATGATTATTCGATAGACCATAAAAGAGCAGATCGGCGAGGCGAAGAAGGGCCAGCCGGTGGCCGAGGAGGACATTCCGCCGCCCATCTTCGTCAAATCCGTCCTGCAGAAGCCCCTGGCCGACAGCAAGCCCTTCCCCTCGGTCCCCTCCAACCTGGCCCAGCAGGGTCACCACCCGGCGGTCGCGGCCCCCAAGGAGGCCCCGCCCAGCGTCCCGCCGGTGCCCCCGCGGCCCTCCCCGCAGGCGCCGGCGGCCGCGCCCGTCAAGGAAGAGAACTTCGTCCTGTTGACGCTGAAATCGCGACGCGAAGAGTACCGGCACGCGGCGCTTGAGGCCAAGCGGGCGGAGAATAAAAAGGACGCCATGCGCTTCATGACCGTCGCCAAGGTGGGTGCACATTTACAGAAAACAGGAAAAAATAATAAAATAAATTATGAAAGCAAAAATAAAATTAACGAAAAATGGGACGGAAAATATAATCAACGGGTGATCGATGGGAAAAATAAAGAAAATAAAGAAAAAACTAATCGAAGGTAAATCGAACAAACTGCCTGTTTAAACCATTTATTTTTAACGACTAACGTTAAAAATTCATAACTTAAAAGTTAAATTTAATACTGTTTTAAAACTTTTTTTCAATTTTGATTTATAATTTTTTTGAATTTGGAGTTTGTTTAAATTTGATTTTCATGTCAAATTAAGCCAGAAATAGTCAGATCAAAGGAAAAAATAAAATAAAATGAAAATCAAATGGAATGAAAAATTATAATAACGAAAAACAGACATAAAATAAACCAGAAATAAAATGAACTGAAAAATAAAACATAAAGAGAAAATGGGCGAAAAATTGCCTGTTTGAATTAGCAATTCGACGTGGTGATCGAGGCGGCGGAGCGCGGCGAAGAGCTGGATTTATCGGAAATGCCGCCGCATCCCAGCGAGCTCCCTCCCGAGTCCCCCGGCCCGGTGAAAACCGCTCCGGAACCGCCACGGACCGTCCCGCCCCGGGCGCCGGCTCCTGTTGCCGGTGACGACGACATTCCGGAAATTGACCCCGGTAAATGAGCCGTAAATAAACATATTTTGTCATCAGTAAATTTGGAAATATATTTTGCCGTAAATTGGATTAATAAATTTAAAAATGCGCAGCGGATGCGAAGATGGCGTTCCATGCGCCGGACGCACCGAAGACCGTGTTGGAAGCGCTGCAGCAGCGGCTGCAGAAGTACAAATCCACGGCGGAGGAAGCGCAGAAGGCCGGGGATGCGTCGCGGGCGCGGCGCATGCAGCGCATCGTCAAGCAGTATCAGGACGCCATCAAGGACGTCCAGGCCAAACGCCCGGTGGATTTCGCCGAATTGCCCACGCCCCCGGGATTCGGGCCCATTCCCACGAGCGTCGCGGCCGGTGCGTACAGAATTCCATGCGCAATTAATTATTAGAATTTTCTCTCGGTATTTTCATAATTTTGTGAAGTACATTTTTTATCTTTTCTAATAAATCCTTTTGCATAATTTCGTTCAACGAGAAATGTTTTCCATATTTTATTTTATAGTTCACAATTGTTTTGATAGTTCGTCACACTTATTTTTGGGAATTAGTAAGTATTACAAATATTTAAAAATTGATTTTTTTATTTTTTCTTTAAAACGTTTTTAATGATATTTTCAGTTACTGTTCTTTCGATTGTTTTATTTTATTGTTTTGTAAATTTAGTTTTATACATTTCGTAATTTATGTTAAGCATTTTCGGCAATTTACGAAGTATTTTTCGGGAGGTGGATTTATTTTGATTTTTTATAAATACTTGCGAACATTTTTGCTTTCTTATCAGGTACGTAATAGTTTTGGAAGATGGATAATTTTTCTTTTTTTTATTTCAGCAATTCTTTCTTTTATTTGTAGGTCGGCCATCGGCTGCGCCGGCAGCTGCTGCCGCCGGCGTCAAACCCGCACCGAAGCCGGCCCTTCCCGCCGCCGCCCACGGCCGGCTGCCGCACGCGACAACGCGGGAATCGCGCAACGAGCAGCAGTATCAGCTGCTGAATGAGCGGCACAAGCAGCTGAAGTTGGCGGCGTTGAAGGCCAAGAAGGAGGGCGCCGTGGAGACGGCCAAGCACTATCTGCGCCAGGCCAAGGGCCTCGAACCCATGATCGAGGCTTCGGCTAACGGACTTCCGGTGGATTTGGCCGCCGTGCCCAAAGCGCCGCCGGGGTTCGCCAGCGCCACGGCCGGGCCCAGTGAACGCGACGGGTTCGAGGTCAGTCGGGGGAAATAACGAATAATAAAAGACATTAATTTAATATTCTTAAAGAATTCGATTTATCGCAGCCGATGGCCGACCTGCAAATGAGAAGAGAATTAATGCTAAATGAAAGAAAAATTATGCAGCACTCCATCCGATTAATAATGATAATGAATTGAATTTTATTCTTTAATGAAGAAAATTACAATTTATAAATGATGAACGCGACTCTGTTTCGGTGATCAGGAAAGTTTTCGAGAAATAAAATAACTGCAGTACACGTGCATGATTTTGTAAATTTGTGAAAATAAAATCTATCCATTTTAATTTATTCTAGACATTCTTTTGCACTTTCAGGGTTGTTCTGTTAGATACAAAATTAATAGAAATAATTTACTAATAAAAAATTAAATTTCTGGTAATTTTAGAAGAAAATATGGTAAAACAATTACTGAATTTGTATAATTTGAAGCCATAGTTGAAAGAGTGTTTTTGGGCGCCTGTGCAGGTGGTGGGGTACGAAGAGGCGGGCGCCCACCGGCCGGCCAACCAGCCGGGCAGTCGGGCGGAGGTGTTCGTGCAGCTGGAGAAGGAGCTGGTGGCGCAGGTGCAGATGTGTGTGCGCAACGCGGCGCACTTCCACAAATCCGGCGACATCCCCATGGCCGAGCGCTTCGACAAGTTCAACCAGCACGCCCGCAAGGATCTGGAGGCCCTGCGCAACGCCTTCAAGCACGCCCTGCCCGTGCCCAAGTTCCACTACGAGACGCGCGTCTTCTCCGTCGTCAAGTAAGAAAATCAATGAGCAAAATAAACAATCAAAATAATTATTGTAAATTCGATACGAACTGGATTACCGATTGTTGATTTTAAAATCGATGCAAATTAAATTCATTGATTTAAAAAGCCGGTAATATTTAAGGGTTTTTAAATAAACTGTCATATGTATGTTATTACAAAAATAAACTGTTATACGAGTTTATTTAAAAATGCAACAGTTATTTAAAAACCGTTAAATAGGAAAATGGATGAAAATATAGATTTAGAATGAATTAAAGGAATTTCTGGAAGCGAAGCGATAATGCAAGGTGGGTTGTTGTGTTGTGTCAGGTGCTGTCCGGAGTTGCCGGATAATGTGATGGAATTGACCATATTGCGCGGCTTCGGCTACTCGTTGCCGGGATTCGCGCCTGCGGATTTCACCAGCTATGTCAAATGGGATTTTCCCTTTCCGGCGGTACGAATTACACATAACTGGTTTCCTTTGAAAACGGGAATTTGGTGGATTTTGTAATTGTGGTTTTTATATTTTTTATTGTTGTAAAATTTTTTTCTTTCTTGGTTATTTCCGATGCTTAGCCAGTTGGTGGTTGTACGTATTATATGGCAAAAAAACAGGGAATTTGGTTGATTGGATAATTTGTGTAATGGCAGGAGGCGCCGCAGTCGAAAGCGACGACGTGGATCAAGGGGACGAACGAGCCGGAGTACAACGCCACGTTCCCGCTGCAGATTAACCGCAAGTCGCGCGCTCTGGCCCGCATCATGAAGTCCAAGGGCATCAACTGCGAAATCTACGTCAAAATGTTAGCAAAAACACCGCTGCTTTTTTCTTAACACTTCTTTAATATATTCAATTAATTCTCAGAGGAATTTATCGCGGAATTTGGAGTGTGGTTAGACAGTTCGGAAATCGAGAGTCATTCGTTTTATCAGAGTTACGAGCAGACAGAAACTGACAGAAAAATATTTTACAAAATAATAATAAGGTTATAATAAGAGAAACAATAAATAACAAGTACTACGAAGGAGATAATAATTATAAAAAAATGGAAAATTAAAAGACGGATTAAATAAAATCTCTTATAAAATTGAACCAATAAAAGAAAACGGAAAATAAAAAAAAACTTAGAAAAAAAAGGACCAGTAAAATAAAATAAAGAAGCTAACCAGTAAGATAAAAAAAAATAAAATAAGAAAGTAAAATAAGTACTTAACAGCAAGAATAAAGAGGATGATGACAAACGAAGCGTAAACATAGATTAAATAATATAAAACAAACAAAACCAGGAAATAAATTGAAGAAAATACGAATTCATTTAATTGTATTGATATTGGTATTTGTCAATAAGTCGTGGTGGTCGGCAGGGGCTTTCTGAAAGCGGATAAAGTGCTGGCGACGGTGCAGATCCCGCTGGAGGCGCTGGAGACGCACTGCGTCCTGCACGGCGCCTTCAACCTGATGAACGGGAAGCAGGCGGCCGGCGGCAAGCTGGAGGTGCGCGTGCGGTTGCGCGAACCCATCGTCAAGCCGGAAGTGGAGGAGCTGCGCGAGAAGTGGCTCGTCATCGACCAGTTCGTCCGCTGACACCGGTCGTCGCTTTGACGCAGCGTGTGATGTTTTCCTTGAGACTCGGGTGTGTTTTTTTTTGGGTTTGTGTCTGCTTTGTGATTTTTTTTTAAGGCTACAATATCCATTCAGCGCCAATTTTGTCGTTTTTATTCCGCAAATGTGTTGATTAATTTTGTCGAATTATGGGAAATTCATGACATAAATAAATAGAAAAATAAAAATTTAAAAGTGATTATGTTCAAATATATGGTTAATTAATAATACAAATAAAAAGGATTGAAACCGGATGACCAGCATCCAGGAACTTATTTTACAGAGAAACATTCGTCGAAATAAACCGAATAAAGTATAAATACTCGTATTGGTCAAATTTATTTATGCGACACTGTTGCGTTTGTCGTTGACGGCGCTGACATCGACGCCGGCGGGCGGTGTGCCGGCGACGGCCAGCCGGTTGGCCGGGTCATCCGGGAACGGGTTGGCCGGGACGCACTCGCATCCGCCTACGACACGGGCATTCAGATTAATACGCGGATTACAAATCAACGGATCAAAAATAAAAACAAGTATAAAATGAAAAGAAATAAAAATACGTAAAACAACTGAATATGCATTAATAAAATGACGAACAAATTGTGGAATTACTAAAAGTGAAATAAAAAAATGTACAAAACTCGGAAATTAATTGAGCAAAAAGAAGGATTATTTCCAGAGCATAGTGACAGCTTACTTTCGACGAGGAGATAATCCTGTCCGAAGAGCGATCCGAACTTGCCGCTGGGCGCCGAGAAGACGGCGTGCGGCACGTATTTCTGCGTGCAGTTCCCGTAGATCAAATTACACTGCGAACGCCTACAACCGGCACTTTCATTAATCCAAATCGACCAGAAATAAATATATGCAGCTGAATTTTTGTTTAATTTGAAAATAAAATGACAATCACATTACCCAGTGATACTCTTGATAATTTCCTATTATAATTAATCTTATCAAATTTAATTAGAACAACAATAAATAATTCAATGTAAATATGTATATAACATAAATAAGTAATAAAATAAACAAAAAATAATAAAATTATCGGATAAATAATAAAATGAATTCAATATAAATCTTTAAATAAAATATTTATTAATATAATTTATAACCTAATTATGCACTGGTCATTTGCTTACACGCAGACGCGTTTGAAAACGGGCTGGACGAAATCAGGAAAATCCTGGATGATGGTGAAGGTGTCCTCGGTGATGGCCGACTGGCCGAACTGCGGATAGGCCACCTCGGTGCGGACGGGGCAGCAGGATTCAGGCAGCAGCCGGCCGCTGGCGGCGCACCCGGCGACATTGCACACGCTGGTGTCGTCGCGGCCCAGCGCCCGCGGCTGCGGCTCACCGTTGTGCCGCTGCAGGCTGCGCACTAAGGCGCTGCTGATGTCCAGCGCCTCGCTGTCCAACCGCCGACCGGCGCGGCTGGCGTTCAGCGGCGCGTCGTCGGAGCGGGCGCGCACGCGGATGAAGCGACCGGCGTTGGCGATGGTCGACGACAGCAGGCGCATCGCCGTACTGGAAAATATTCGGCAATTGGCAATATTGTTAAATTACATTTTCCGCAGAATTAACATTTTCCCACGATTCCCGTTTCAAACCAAATCATTTCGAAATTGCAAGCCGGGCTTGGAGCATTTGCAACGGCTCGAAAATAAAGAATTATGTGTTTCTTTAAATTATTAGTCAAATATGAGTAATTTTACCCAGCCAAGTTCTGGTTGTGTACTCGTAAATAAATTACTGTTTAATAATGTTTAAATTAATAAAATTTTAACGGGTTAACTTACGGATTGATGGGTTTGCCGGCGGGATCGGCGCTGCAGCGCCACCGCTCGTCCACCGCGTCGCCCCACCCGAAGGCCATACTCTGCCGACACGGGGCGCTTTTATCGCCGGTGACCTTTGCCGTCTCGGCGCTTCCATGGCCAGGGAGCGCGACGCAGCAGACAGCGAGCAGGACGATAAAATACATTATATAAACTCCTGCTCCTTATGTTCCTTGATTAACAGATGGACGAAATGCCCGCAGTTCTTCAACGTTGAACATTAACGGCACGTAAATGTACTGCGTAGCTGCATCACTTACGAGCACGACGAGGACCAACAAGACTTGGCTAGCAATCGAACGAGCACACGCGCTACTTCGCAGTTTATATACTGTATATAAGCATTATGTGGTTTATATAGGCTGGCAGGAAAGCGTGATTACTGCCCAAGGAGACACCGGGCAGGGAGAAAGGAAAGCGAGAGTGAAGCAGCCTACAAGCAGAATGTGTGTCTATGAAGGCGCAAGGAAAGCGCGCCGGTGGATTATAATACAGGCAATGATGCAGTACCGGGTTGGACGCTGTCCAGTGGCTGTTATAGGCCAACGGGGTTTCTGGGCCGCGGCTGACAATTAACTGCATCCGGGACGTGGCTGATTATGACAGCCTTCTGCTTTTCTTCTCACTGCCTGCTAAAACACTCAACATCGCACTTTTCCTGCAACCAATGAGGAGCTAAAAATAACAACACACCCGTACTTTGCGATTGCTTTATTCGGCTAGTTCTTTCGAAAATCCGTCATGGGTTATCGTATGAAATTGATAATTTTTCTGGTCAGTACACGTATTAAGCGTGTTGTCAGCGTGTTTGTGCAATAGCCAGTAAGTACTCTAGTTACGAGAAAATGCGGCCCGTTGTTGCGAAATGGCTCGCTTAATCCGCACCAGCAATGTACCCTGATAATCTGATTATATTATTTTGTATGTACGACTAAAGAGAAGTTTAAGCAAAGAATTTAAACCGCCAACAGCCAGTTCGCGCTCTGTATAATGAACCTGCGCAAGTAGACCCTAATTAAACTGCTAAGCGCCGGACATATTCGTTTGTGGAAAATGGAAACTTTTTTTATCCTTTAGTGATTGAGACGTTGGGAGTATTTGGCCCCGCTTTCAGGGAACTGTTGCATTTCATGGGCTGTAAAATTCGAGACTTAACTGGGGAAGCGCGTTCTACTGCTTTCATTAAGCAGCGTTTTAGTCTCGCCGTTGTAAAAGGAAATGCTACGGCTGTTTTGAGCACGTTACCTTTTAACCCAAGAGAAGATAGAGATTTTGGTTGTTTTTTTAATGTTTAAATTTTTACTTTCACGTAGTGTACCGGCGCTTGCAATCATTGTTATCTTGGCGGCTATTGCCCAATAAAGATTAAACTGCGAGGAAATGTACACATTAACTAAACCAGCCATAATCGATCTTTTCTGGACTCTGGAACTGTACGTTGTGTACAACAAACGGGACATGATCCAAGGAAAGGATATGACTGTACGGAAGCCGGTCTGGTTCGAGGTTACACGGACAAAGAAAGTTATCGGACAGTAGACTATAGAAATGCGGCTGATGTGTCTTCCTGATAAAATTCTTGTTGTTAAACATAAATTCTTGAAATCAGTTCTGTACCTGCTTTCAAATTTCTACTAAAATCTGTCGATCTGTCCTAAATGTTTTTAAAGCAGAGAACCTGTTTCCGTTCGACCAGACTGGCAGTCCCTTTGGGGTTGTCTGCTCCTGTGCCGTAATAATAATAATAATATCGCTGTCGCACATGTATGGCCCTTCGAAGCGCTCGACATACATCTGTAGTAAACATAATACTGGTATTATATTATGGATATTATAACTCGACGACCTTGCGCGCCCGGAAGCAGAGCAGTATATTAAAGGCAACGCGGTGCAGTCTCCCTCCGGCGCAACAATGCAGTAGAAGTATGCGTAAATACAGTATTATACCGGGCACGGTGCACTGCTCCGTTTCAGCGGCAAGACAAGTGGACGCGTGGAGAAGGGGCTCCTCGAAAAGTGATTAATTAACGCACACGTATGCCGATCATGCTGTCCAAACCGGCAATCCGCATTGTCATCAACGCGCCTTAGTCATCGTAATCCCGAATTTCCGGTTAGAACCGCCGGTGCGTACTATACAGTACAGACAGCCGGTTAAAGGGGGGAATATCGTGTAATTATGTTGGCGCGGCAATACGGCACCGGCATGTGATGAGCACTCGAGCAGCAGTTGATTAAATGAATCATGACAAGCGTCCGTCCTAACCTGCTACACCGCGCTTAGCTTCCGGTAAATTCCAGTTTTCTCCATCGGCATCTGCGTCAAGGAGACGCGTGTGCGCCCGTGACCTTTACATATATATACATCTGCATAAACACTTTCCCGATTCTTGCCAGTTTAACGGGATAGTTTCCCGGAATATTCCACTCGCTGCAGAAATATTTGTCCAGTGTGTTGATCAAAATTAGCGGGAAACTTGATCTAATTAATTAAGCGTCGCACGTGGAATGGATTATGTCATATCGCGTGAAAGCGGGGAATACCGATGATTATTATTATTATTATTACGGCACAGGAGCAGACAACCGCGAAACTTCAGTCTGGTGGAAAAACTGGACCATCCCTACTTTTCTTTTCCCGTTGAATGATGGAGTTCAGTTTCGACGGCAGCGGGAATTATTACTGCGCGGTACGGTTGCTGCACAATGTGACCCTGCTGGGCACGTGTCCCTCGCTGAACGGCTCGGTGATCAATTCGCGTATCAACCAGTGGGCCACCACCGTCTTCATCAACATCGGCTACCCCCTCCTCCTCGTCATGGCCACCCTCGGCAACGGCGGCTACCTGGTTTTTCTTAGTTTCCAGAAGCGCAGCACCCGGACGCTGTATCTGGCCGTCACCGCGCTCTCCGGCATCATTCTCATGTACGTACAACTGTACAAGCCAGGTTCACGATTACTGTGCCTGTAGTGACAAAAAAAGGTACAGCCAAAAATACGAATTCAGGGGTTAAGGAAAATGGCCCGGTACATGGTGGCCAAAATGGGATGCACAGGCTGAAACATTCTCCTTCGCGCACTCTGGATCACTTTTTTGTAACGCTTTATGTCATTCTAAAGCCATATGATTTTGGTATGTCGTTCTGAAAACCGTTTACGCGCACAAAATCCGGTTGCCGACATATGGCGTAAAATGGGCGCGAAAAGTTTAAATGCATTGTTGTGTACCAAAAGCCTGGTTATTACCCGATCTTCTTGAAACTTTTCTGCAAAATAATTAGGGCCATAAAGTTGAAAATGAGCCAGTTACGACAAATACAATTCACGGGTTACGCCAAACTGCATATTACGGTGTATCACGCCACTCTGGTTACGCTGATGTATGCCAAATATCGGTCTAAATTACAAACCATCCATATAAGTTGCAAAATATTAACTTGTCTGCTTCATGGTGTAATCTAGAGGAAGTGGTAGACATTGCAATAAATTTAATGTATGTTTTTCTGTGTTTTATTTTATATATGACACTGTGATTACAGATGGTTGGAGCTGCCACGATTTCTCGTGACCTCGTCGGACAGCCTGCGCCGGCATCGCGACTTCATCGTCTACGTCCTGCACAGTATGGGTCTGCAGTTGTTCGCCGAGGATCTTTTCAGCCAGATTTCCAACTGGTACAGTACTGTCATAATATAGAGTACCTGCCTGACTTTCTCCCCATCTCCACTGTATGCACATGCACTCCATATGTACCGTATATACCGTACATATACCGTTAAGATATTTTTCGAAACAACTAGCCGAATAAAGCAATCGCAAAGTACGGCTGTGTTGTTTTTTCCATGTTGCATGTTTGCAGGACGATCATCGCGCTGTCGATGGAGCGCGTGCTGGTCATCTCCAAGCCCCTACAGTACCGCCACGGGGTGCCGCTACGCTACGGCTACCTGGTGGTCATGGGGATCGGGGTGCTGGCGCTGGCCGTGGCCATTCCCGGCATCGTCGTCTTCTACTGGTCCCTCAACGCCATCGGCATCTTCGCGGCCAACGAGTGCACCAACCACGCCATGGCCATCACGCTGCACGACGTGCGCAACCTGGCCAAGATCCTCGTTATCGTCGAGGTACTAGTGTAAAAGCTATATTCACAGCTTAGGTAGTGTAGTGGCTATTGCTTTAAGCGCCACTATTGCACTACCTGCATCTTTGACGCAAGTACAGTAATTTGGAATCCGGCTTGTACACACTAATACGTATACTGCAGTTCTGTATCGGCCTGCGAATTAAAATACCGGGTATTACAGCGGATTAATACCGTCGTTCAAGTGGCATGTTATTGCCGGCGCGTATTACGCACTCGGCGCCACTTGTGGCCCCGTTGCACTATCGCAATCCCGGCTAATATAATCAGCAGTATTACATAACAAATTAATATGATGGTATAACCCTCTGTAGTATAGTCTGTAGTACATTTTTTCATTTCTTTTCGCATTACCAATTATGAAAAAAGAAGCACCAATTCAGTAATATTTTTCCGATAGCCGAAATTTTAGAAAATAGATACCTTTCTTATCCTTGAGGAACTAAAACGTTGGGAGTTTTTGGCCAGTCTTTAAATGAATTGTTACATTTCACGGATCGTGAAATTCTGGGCTTAACTGGAGAAGTGCGTTCTGCTGCGTCTTCTCGAGCACCGTTTTATTCTTGTTATTGTCAAAGGAAACGCTACGATACGGGTTTTGAGCACGTGACCTTTTAACTTGAGAGAAGATAGTGACTTTGGTTGTTTTTTTCTGTATTTGAATTTTAACTATACCAGCGCCTATGACTGCTCTGTTACTTGCTGGCTACGGCTAAAATATACTATATTCTTTTCGCAGTAGCATTCCAAATAACAAAAATGCTAGCGCTGGTACACTACTTGACAGTTAAAATTCTTCAACCTTAAAAAAAACAGTCTCTGTCCTATCTCGGGTTGCGTACTGGAAACAGCCGTAGAATTTCCTTTTGAGAAAGCAGTAGAACGCGCTTCTCCAGATCAGTCCCGAATTTTACGACCCATAAAATGTTACGGCTCACTTAAGGGAAATGGCCCGGTACATCGCGCCAAAAATGGGATACATTCGCTAAAACTTTCGCGTTCGCGCACTGTGAATCACTTTCTTGTAATACTTTATGTCATTCTAAAGCTAAATGATTTGTATACACTATCCAGTGTTCTGAAAAAGGTCTGCGCGCGCAACATCCGGTTGCCGACATATGGCGTACTAAAATGGGTGGAAAGTTTGCGTATGCATCCCGTTTTTGACGCTATGTACCGGGCCATTTCCCTTAAAACCGGCCCGAAAACTCCCAGCCTTCCATCAGTACAGGATAAAAAACGGGATTCGTTTTCCAGAAACGTGAACACTTCCCACGTTGGGAATTTCCGGCGAGCTGGCTTAAAAAATTTTACATTAAATTGCACTGCAGGGTCTGTACGTGGCCATCGTGGTACCACTTGGTGACGTCGGTGATCATGTTCGTCACCAGCCTCGTTCTCGTCATCCAGATCCTGCGCAGCAGCGCCTACCGGAAGCGCCACCTGCAGTCGGCCGCCAGCAACGGAAGTAACTCCACCGATCCCGGCGCCGGCGCCCCGCCCTCCCGCTCCCTGGCCCTCAGCGGGCTGGGCGGCCACCGCACCCTCTTCCGCGCCATCCTCGGCTACTTCATCACGCAGCTGCCGCGCGTCATCCACTCCCTGTACACCATCGTCGTCACGCCGCGCTGCTACATCGTCATGACGCTGCAGCTGCACATGCAGAACCGCGCCGCCCCCGCCGTCTCCACGCTCTTCCTGCTCAACTACGCCGTGACCTTTCTCTACCACAACAACCTCCTTAAGCAGGTGCGCACGGCGTGGCGGGCGCGCAAGTACGGCGCGAAAGCCGCCGGATCCAAGATCGTCCTGATGAAGACGCTGACGCTCAAACCAACCAGCAGCCGGCCGTTGGACGGTTGATCATACGCCATAAAAATTGTATAACGCCCGAACCGGGTGAATACTAAATTATTCTATGTATGCCTAATTTATATTTGGGTGGTAATAAATTTTAACCTTGGCCTGTGTGAGATCGATAGATGTACAGACAGACAAATCCATAGATATAGTTTTGGAGGAAAAAGAAATGCAGAATTTGAGGAAGATCGGTTTATAATGAGATCGGTTTTATTTCGCCTACAACTACCCAACCGGATGATGCGCGTACAAACTGTTTTCACGCCAGTTTATATAAACCATTCGGCTACACAATGCCATAAAAACAAATGCAAAGCTGTGTTTGAGAGTGCGCGAAAGCCGAACTTTTCGTACATGTACTGATGTACACGAATTTGGTATCACGTACCGGCCCACTTCTCTTAACATACTGCACGTCTCTGGAAGACCCCGGTGCCGGCGAATTGTGCTCATTGCATTTGTTCCTGTTGCACGCTGTTTGTTGATTTTATTATTCAATTTTTGAATCACGCACCGAATGGCACAAGTCAAGTTTTTTTTAAGTCCTGGGATGTACGAGATATAAGTACACGAAGGGACCCCGCCGGCGCGTTACGATTCCCAGAAACGGCATCATACGGCTAAGTAACGGCTTGCCTGATTCTGAACCGGACGAAAATGTTCATCGGCGCAGACATGTTATAACACGAACTGGCGTTCAAGCTGAGTATACAAAAGGTTGATTATAGTTGCTAGATGCACTGATCGTTCACACCGGAAGTACACCGTATTACACTGAATATCGCGCTAGTCAAATGCGTGCGCAAACTGCTACAGTCTGTAGCCTACAGACGCAAATTTACACTTGGCTTCGACAACGACTTCCAGAAAAATCAAATTCCCAAACCGTTCCGCGAGGAAGCAAAAGGTTCTCTCGAATCCATACAACCCTCAGTATAAATATTCCAATGGAATTTACCTGTCACCCATCGGGAAAATGTAATTCAAGGAGACGGCATCACAACGGCCATGATTACAATATGATTTAAACCACGTAAATTAAATTAGATTTTGACTAGATTCAGCTAGACAGCTGCCGGACTAATTGTATTAGCGATTCCTGTATACTGTCAGTTCCAGGAGAGAGACAACGACACATTAATTAGAGTGAGGTGGAGGACGTCCCAGGTGTCACCAGGGCCTCTGCCTGCGAGTGTTTCTTGCGGGCCTTTAATCGTCGCCGAATATACTCGCCAATCTCCGTTAATAAATTATTGTGGATGAGAAAGGTCAGGGCGTAGTAGGCCAGGAAGATGAACTGGATGACCGGCGAGACCTTCTTCTCGGCGGACATACTGACCAGACCCTGGCATTTGGGGGGCATGGACAGCGTCAGCAGCAGCATGTACACGGCGTAGGGGATCTGCGTGAGGAAGTAGGCCGCCACGGCGCGCAGCAGACACGCCGTCGGGTTGGACAGGGCGCTAACGGTGTCCGGAGGTAATGCTTGACCTTTCTGCAGGACGTTCTTCCGGTGTAAACGGTGGCGGGTGAGGAGGAGGATCAAGAGGAAGCTGGTGGTCATCAGGATAAGGAAGGTGATCACCGGCACCACCACGCTCACGATCACGCCCTACACATTCCAAAAAACACGTGGTGACCTTCCGCAGATCGAACAATAGGTCAAAGGGGAAATATGTAATATGAACTTAGACAAGTACTAGTAAATAAACTATAGTGTAAGTAAATAAAAGGTCACTATAGCCTCCATAAAAACGTATACATATATATCGCGCGTAAAGGTCACGATGGTAATAACATATGCAGTGTGCGTACTTCGACGAGGATGAGGATCTGGGCGATACGCTGGATATTCTGCGCCATGGACAGCATGCCGGGACAGTGGTCCATCTCGTGCTGGAAGAAGCCCATACGCTGGCCCATTTTGTAGTAGATCACGGTGGCCGGCAGCGACAGCGCCACCGCTAGGACGGCGATTACCGCCATGACGATCAGGGCGAAACGCTGCCGCCGCCGGGCCTGGAACTGCAACGGCCGCCAGATGACGATTAACCGCTCCACCGAGAACGCCACCACCGTCCTGCAAGAAACCCAAGCTTTATTTACAGAATGTATAATTACAGTAATCCAAAATTAAGTATAGCAGAAGCAGTCTTGAACTGCTTGTAAAATTGAGAAAGAAATACGATTGGCGTAAATAAAAATTTGACTGAAATAACGTACCAGTTGGATATTTGTGTAAAAGTGTCTTCACCGAACATCTGTATGCCCAGGCTGTACAGCATGAAATCCCGCAGATCCCTATTGGAATGCATGGACGTTACGTATGTCGCGATGTATCCCGGAAACTCAAACAACCTGTCGCGCGCAGTCTTTTATTAGCGGCAAGAAAACTGTGTTACATTTTTCTAAGTAATGTATCTTACAGAACCAGCGAGTTGGACACGCAGATGGCCGTCATATACGCGAGGTAGGTGGTGCGCGGCTGTGTCTTCCAGAGAAATACCGGCAGTAAGGTATTCCCTATTAGGCCTATGGCCAGCAGGAAGGGGTAGCCGATAAAGTACAACTGCGACGCCGGGTTGAAGGTGTCGATGCGGGCGTGCAGGTCGGGCACATCGGGACCCCTGGTGGAGGGACGCGCCGGACACCCGAAGGCGTCGTGCCGGGTCAGGTTCACCATCATGGAGGCGGCGCGCCGGCACACTTCCGACTGGTTAAACAGCTCGATGGCGCTGGAGTTGGCCATTTCCGGTTAACGGGTTGCGTTGTTGCAACGGCGCCCAAGGCCCCAACCCAACCAGCAACGTGTGAATTAACAAACTGGACGTCCGACTACGAAATACAGACATAAATGCACTTGACCGGTCAGTATCTTCCTTCCGAAGCTACGTTGCAAGCGGGAGCTCCAAGCCGCTACATAATACGCATTTTAAGCCTTAATAGAAATATTCCCGGACATTATATGAGCTAGGCTAATCAAGTTATCACTCTTCGTCAAACACCAGTAATACGTACACTTCTTCCGGTTATCGGGACGTTCTTCCGGTTATCTTTCTAATAAATAAGACATCCACGACAGGATCAGAATCATTGTGTCATAATAAATTATTGTAATATGTTTAGTCCCATGAATGGTTTGTCTGCTCCAGGAAGATAATAATAATAATATAAATAGCCAGTAATAATACGTCTTCAATTATGCAGATGCTGATTTTTGTGAAAAGTCTCGTTTATGGATAACGAAAAGTGCTTGCGCATCGTAGACGGATCACTGCATAACTAATTCGCATCAAACACGGCAATAAACATTCAAAACACTGGTAATTACGTCGATCAAAGTGCCAATTTTCATTATTAACAGGAATTGTTGTAGCGCGTAATAACGGTGTTGTACCGGTTCCGCAGCGCCTGCACGCGTGCTGCGGCCGCGGGCTACTGTACATATATTGTGATTCTCACTGATTTAGACGGTGAACAGCACCACAACCGCTGCCGGACATCATTACCAGCGTTATTAGCGTCAATTATACCGGATATAAAAAATAACCACACCATGTACGTGCGTATAGTGTAGTTTATCTGCAAACACGGTTTGATACTCTTTCCTTATACAATATTTGTAGTATGCAGCAGCTGTGTAAATGGTGCGGTAATTACAGTTCAATACAACGCATTGGAACAGCTGCTAATCTTTTCGTAGTCACGTACAAGCGGAAATTATAATTATTATACGAGCACTGTACAAACAGAGTGTACTCCGTCCTGGGCATGTACACTACTCTGTATTTGGTTTTCTTTGATTAGCAAATACAGCATCTGAATTTTTACTTCACTACCACAAAGCCACATAGAATTAATCGCAATTAATTAAGGCAAGTAGCCCGGATACATGGTGCCAAATTCGTGTACATGTACAAGAACGTTCACTTTCGCGGAGTCCCAAACACTTTTTTGCATTGTCTCATGAAACTGTCTAGCCAACTGATTGGTGTACATGGACGTGAAAACCGTTTGGACTCGCAACATCCGGTTAGGGAGTTATGGACAAAATAAATTGCAACAGTTTAAATGCATTCAGGTGTACCAAAAGTTTTATTATGGACCAACAAATATAAAACCGTACTAATACTGTCATACAAAATCAATAGTCTCGCTTTTTGGAGCACATTTAAAGGAACCATCATTATCAAGGTCGAGTACGTGCAGGTTAACCTTTTGGATCTCCTGAAACATTTTCAAATTCTCTTCGCTTTCATGCAGGCGACGGTTCGTCGGCAGCCTCATTTGTTCGGGAAGCTGTCAACTTCCGCTTGCTCCAACGTTTTTCGTTTCGGGCTGAGCATCTGCGCAACTGGGCGCACGGTGCACAGAACGACTGGCGTGACCGTATCAACCCCTGACAACTCGCCACCGATTCCGCCGAAATTGTATTCTGGCAAACCGGAAGTGAGTGCAAACACCTAATGAACTCCTCCACATCCGGTACGGAGTAGTCGGGCGGGAGGCGCGGAAGGATCCCCGAGACGACATGCGGCGGCATGGACTTCCCGCGGATGAAAAGGTCACTGATCCCTTCCTCACCCAGGTGGGCTACTTTGAACGCCGGTGTGCCGGGGGCGTTGGAGTCCATGAAAACAATCCGCCGGTTGTTGCTTGGGGAGATTATGCAGCTCCAGCCATCGGGTAAGGTGACCGAATTGAGGTTGGCGAGGATAGATTCAAACGCGGACGGGTGCATGTTAGTATCCGCTGGTGTGGCACTCCGTGTGGGACTCGCAGGGAGATCAACAGGATCTACGAGTGAAATTACAATTTATTACATCACTGCAAAATCAAACCGGGCTGCGGACATTTAAAGCGGTTCGAAGGGAAAATTACAGTTTTGTATTTATTATTAATTAATTTTAGGAGAAAATATTAACCAAATATTAATGTATTTATTTCGACAACAGCCAGTGTACATAACAAAATGCCTGCGCTGATTTATACTAATAAAAATGATCGAACTTAAACATTAAAAAAACATCCAAAATCGTTAATCAAATTAAAGGGGATTAAAATAAGATACGCTGGAATGACTGTTAAAAATAATAATATATACTCGTACTGGCGAGCATTAACAACAAATTCATTTACTTGCTACGTTTATAGAAAAATAATTATTTTGGGAAAAAAAATTTTAAATAATTCTTTTACTGAAATTTATTTTCAAATAGCCCAAAATTATTTGAATTTCATCCTTTACCCGGTTCAGTAAATGGAACAGCTCCTTTGAACAGCTTCCATTTGGATAACGGTTCACCGCGCCTGCCGCCACTCGTGCTGCTGCGTTTCAAGAATGCCGGGTGAAAATGGTGATGACAAATGCAGTGGGATCGCGTTGGTGGGCGTTTGGAGAACTGCTGCAGCGCGCGGGACCAACTCGGCACCAGATCGTTACTGGCGTACGTAAAACGGAAGCTGAAAAAATGAGCCTGCTCTTCGGGCGGCAGCTGGGCGTTGGCCCGGCTTTTCTGGCTGAGACAACCCGGCACCCAGCACTGTCGGTAAATTTTGATTTTAGCACCTGCGAAATTTCCGCTTTATTATCAACTTGTGAACCGAACTGTTCTACACCATCTGGAAGCAAATAATCAGCCTTCACGGAAGTGAAGACGCCTGTTCGCGCGGCTTTGGAACTATGGGTGGAAAACGAGTCCAAAAAGTTTAAATGCATTCAGGTGTACCAAAAGTCTCATTATGAACCGATCTTCTTCGAATTTTGCACAGAAATGCGTATACTGCGCTCTTCTAACATTTTTATTAACAACTCACGCTTCAGCTTGCCGGAACCAGTAGCATCGCTCGCGGTGGCTGCCGCTAAAAGGCTCGTGGTGTCCGGTGTGTTGGCGATGACGGCCGCTGGTGTGCTCTTCTCGGACGATGGATTCCCGGTGATGGCGGCTGCCACTGCATCGGTGGGCTCGTTAGCTGGTGTTCCCGGGTCAACCGCAGCGGTTCCAGCATCCGCTACAATAACATAAAAATTATAAGATACCATAGTGGAAACGTATACTTCTATATACGAGTATGTCTGTTTATTAATGCCGCTTTGATTCCTTATGTAAACAAACAACCTGGACCAAGTGGGGTTTTACGAGGGTGGCAAAATGAACGCGCACCGTCCTGTACGCGAATACGCGATGCGCTTACCGTTATGCTGAGCGTTAAAACGTTAACGCTAGCGAGCGCCCACAGTCCGCATAACCTCGGGCATGTACCTTATTACTCAAACCAAGCCGTTTTCGTAACAACTAGCCGAATAAAGCAATGGCAAAATACGGCTGTTTTCTTCAGTACCGTAATAAAGTGGGAATACGAGTGCAACACCGGCAGCGGCGGAAGTAGGAATATTTTACAGCACAGGCAGACCATAAAGTTACGAGTAGTTACTGTATGTGACTATCGTTACAACAGTAAACGACTATTGTACTTATACCTGGTTCGTTATGCGAGATCCGGTGATGCTTCTTGCACTTGGCGCCCACTTTGGCTACACTCGAACACGAATCCGTCGTGCATAATTTGCGGAATCGTTGTCCATCAAACATATGGCGGACTTCTCTGCCGGACTTGATAGTTACTTTAAAGGGTGTGTCTGCCGGTAAGAGTGCTAATCTGTTCTATTTTGACTGACCGTGAATGCAAGCTGTTTAATTTGCCACCCGCCCTACCCCATCGGGCTTAAGTTTGCTAATGCGACTGCCCCTGTTAATATGCATGTATAAAATATGCAGTGCAGGTTTCACTGCACAATAAACTACGGTATTAACAGAAAATTTTAACCACCCCTCGAGCCCTACAACCGCAACTGACAAGTTGGATACATAAATAAAAACCCGTAACAAGCTTACCAGATGATTTGGCTGGGGTGCCTCCGTGCCCTTGAGTGTGACAGTATCCTCCTTTGCGCGCAATTTTCGAGCAGGACTCCACGGCACACAAGGTTCTCCATTGGTGCTTGGTAAAGATCTTCCGCTTTCCTGTTTCGCGATCCCGTATAATGCGTCCCTCCATGCCACCTCGCTCGACGGATGATGCAGTGGCGATTGCGATCGACTACACATCAAAACAACGGTATTATTAGAAGCAAAAGTATTTACGAATAAGATAACTTGCATAATATGCAAGTTAGTCACTGTTAGTGCAACGATCTCCGCAGTTTCAGGTTTCCTTTTACAATCCAACACTTCAAGCCCTTACCCTACGGTTGCTACTCTAGTTGGCTGTCCACTATCCAGTTGGGCCTGAAATACACTTACACGAATACGAAGCCAACGTCGTAGCACAAAGTTTGAAAAAAGAAAACAGCCTCGATGTGCAGGTCGACAGCGACAAATGCGTACGAACTTGTACGCTAAATTGCACGGTGTTATGCAGATCGGTTGCAACTTGCACTTACGAAGGCAAGTTATTCCGATCGTCGGTCTCGCACAACACAACAGATCAATAGGCGCTGAACTTCAAAACAACGGGCTCAAAAACTATTGCAAAATACAAAAAATAATAATGCTTATTGCCATAATGCTTGAAATATTGCTACTCAAAAACGTGTACATTACATACAGTACATACAGTAAAATTTATATTATGATGACGAGACTGATACTCTCGTACACTGTGTAGAACGGCCACCCGCCAAGGCAGGCACTCAACTGCAAGAATTTTCATGTTGTCGTGTTGCACTTTGCAGTTTGTTACTGTTTGTATGATGCTGATTTCAGTGGATTTTCAATAATTTTTCATCAACAGGACGTACCAGAACTTGTTTTTTATCATTCCCTGCCATTCTCCTCCCTGTTTAATTTAATTTATTTCTCATCATCACGATCCGCTGCACTCCACTGACCGTCTGATCCTCTCACAGGATCGCTCCCTCCCGCAGCATGGCCAGCCTGTGCAGCCAGCTGCTCCGTCGCAGCTCCTTCCTCTCAGTTTCGCTGCAGCGCAGTGTGCACACCTGCCCCGTCCTCAACAGCAAGTACCGTCTGGACTCGCACGTGCCCGCGCCCGCGCCCATCCAGGACGTCGACAGCAGGTGCTGGCGTGTTAATCGCCCGTCTCCCGAGCTGATTGACGCTGACACGGTGTTTCATTCTGCAGGGACCACTGGGTGGTGTGCGCCGATGAGGGTCGCACCTTGGTACTGTACCATCCCGAACGGCCCTTTCCCTACGAGCACTCCCTGCCCATCCCGCGGCAGGAGGCCCTGCTGAAGGAGGGCGACTCGGCCGTCAAGGTGCAGTTCCGGCTGGATGTCGTGCAGGCCGAGATGGCCAGGAATAAGCACGCCATCACGAAACAGTTGGCCGAGACCTTCTTCACCACACCCTACGCGCAGCAACCGCGGTACGTGCTGTTTCTTTTGTTTTCTTAGGTTTCTCCGATCTGTAGCTGTCACCTGCGTACGTTCCTAATTTTATTACCTTTTGGCTAAATTATTCACTATAAAATGAAGTTGATGCACTCACTGCGGTAGAAAAATCACCAATAAAATTAATTATGGTATGTAATATTGATTTTGATTTATTTTAATGAATGTATGTATTATTTGTAATGGCATTTTAGTAATTATTTTGTGCATATGGTTACTGTGAATAAGTACGTACCTTTAATATTAAATTCGATAAAAACTGAATAAGGTCTTATTTAAAATGATTAGAATTTTTTGTTATTATTTAAATAGTTGTATTAATATTTATAAGCGTTGATTATTATTTGAATGTTGTTTTGCGTAATGATTTCATTACAGTATCTATAAAACCGTTGGAGTTTGAAAGTGTTATTTTCGAAAAGTGGAAGAGCAGTTTGTTAGCGTGTGCTGTTGATGTAGCATCAACTCACAAATGTCAACACTGAACTGTGGAATTTTTCGTTGTATAATTTCATGCCCACGGTTGGTTGGTTATTCTTTACAGCGGCCAGTATCGGTGGACCCTAAAGAATCCGCCTAAGCGTCGGCAAGGAATTTGATTGTGCTCTGTTGGCGCCGTGTACACTTAATGTTTTTGCGAGCGTCGTGTCGATCGGAATTTTTTTATCAGCGCTGAGTTGGTTGCAACACGTCAACGAAAAGCATTTTAACACGAATTGTCATCCTGAGATCGTGATATTCCTACTGGATTATTACATTCTGTTTCGTTTCTTCCTTCTATGAAGTGTTCAAAATAAAAATATCTTCACGACTATAATCATCTGCCATTTTAATTTCTATTTTTATGACGGGAAAAAAATAGGCAGTGTCGAATTTCAAAATTTATTTCTTTAATTTCATATGAAATCAATCACTTCCAAATAAAGCCAGGCTTTGAAATTCTGAAACGACTGCAACGAAAATTTAATTTAATAATTTTTGTTTATTTTAACAATTTCTTGGTGCCGAAATTTAAAATTAAATGCCGATATCGATATAAATGAAATATTATGTTAGCCGGATTATTGTATGACTGGAATAGCCGTTACAAATAACGATAATATTTTTATTTTTTTTAGTAGCTGTTAATATTTAATTTCATTCTTTACAGCATGATAAAAATATTCTGGAAACCAAATGTTTAAGAATTCAATAATTTTAATTTCGAATCTGTTCCAATCATTTCTGATTGGACAATTAACGCAAATTCAAGGTAATTAACGCGGTTAAATTTACGTAGCAGCTGATTATCGTCGCTCATCTCTGAAACGACCTTTTTTAACTTTTAACAAGTACGTACCGAACGAATATTCACTTCCGTTAAATCACAAATCACTGGAAATCGCTTCAAATCAGATAAAAAACGTTCAATTTGACTGGTGACTTCCGGCGGCAATCGCACGTTTTCACGTAACCGCCGTCTCCGTGGCCAAAACAGCCTGGGCGTGTCTGCAGTGGCACGACGGCCGCGCGCCAATCACAGCGCTCGTTACCACAGCCCCACCCACCCACCGACCAATCACCGCGCAGCGATCGTGATCAGCCGATACGGCGTGCAGCAAATCGCAAGCACACTCAAAGCACACAGCGCGCAGAAACATGAATCATCCTGTTTGGAAATTGTTAGCCAACCTTTGCTTTTTTGACTTTTGTGGCCATCTTCCGATCTCCCGCGATGGCCAGATATCCGCCGCACCACAACGACAGGTCGAGCCGATTTTAAAAATGTGAAGCCCACCGTCGATTTCGTTATCGTATGCATAATCTGCTGGTGTTGTGATGACGAATGATGTACCTTCCAAAATCCTAATGGCCGTATTTGGCGGGATTTCCTCTCCCCCTTGATCCTCCCGGGATTGTGTATGTTGTGGAGAATTTTCCAGAGAGTCTTCTGCTTTCCTTGCTGCAGACATGGTGCTCAAATTCAGTGAGGCGCGACGGCGTATGTCGCGCAGCTCCGTGCCTATGCAGGCCTTACTTCGCCAATCTCAACGCTCCACCCTGGTCCGCACCCTGGTCCTCTTCGCCGTGGGTGTCGTCTTCGCGCTGGTGCTCAATCTCCTGCAGGTGCAGCGTAAAGTGACGCTGTTCCCCCCGGAAGTGCTGGCCAGCATCTTCTCCTCGGCGTGGTGGGTGCCGCCGTGTTGTGGCGCCGCAGCCGGTGAGTTCCCGGTAGCGCGGTATGCTGTGGCTGTATGCCTGTACAGGGAAATGGTTACTTATGTTGTGATCGAGCATTTAAAACAGCTGATTTTGATTTCGTAATCGTTACTTGATATGCCTGACGACTTTTTTTCAACTGTAGCATTTATCGGGTGGATTTATCCGTGTGTGGATGAGAAGTTGGGACGGCCGCACATGTTTAAACGCGAATGGTCCAGCGTGATGCGCTGTATCGCCGTGTTTGTGGGGATCAACCACGCCAGCGCGGTAAATTTGTGAATTTAAATTCAGAAAAATTTCAAAAAATTAGTCATGTAATAAAAATAAATTGGATATTAATTAACAAATAAAACGCGGTAAATTAGTAGTTTTTTAAATAATTTTTTCGCTTTAGGGGCTGTGGATTTTATTTATTTTCCCGAATTAATCCGGTATTTTTGTGTGTTGTAGAAAATTGTGTTTGCCAATAATCTGCAGTTGTCGATAACGCTGGGCGCCCTGTCCATCGGGCTGTGGTGGCTGTTCGACCGGTCGCGCAGCGGCCTGGGCCTCGGCCTGGCCATCGCCGTGCTGGCCACCTTCGTCACGCAGATCCTCGTCTACAGCGAAATCTTCCAGTCAGTATCAGTCCTCATTTACACAGAATTTCACTTAATTTGTCTGGCATTTTATTTTTTTCCAGTTTGTTTATATTTTTTCTCATCTTTTCAGACAATTTAGTTTCTTTATTTAAGAATTCTTTTAAACTGATCTCTAGTTTTTCATTTTTGCAAATAATTTTATTTCTCTATTGAATAATTTCTTTCGGTTTATCCTTATTTTTTCAAATGTAACTAACCTGTTAGCTCTGTTTATCTATCCCTATTTTTTTCATTTTCGCAGATAATTTTGTTTCTTTATTGAATAATTTTCTTTCGGTTGATCCGTATTTTTTCAAATTTTCATAGATAGTTTTGTCACTTTAGTTTATAATTGTCTGTGAATTAATACCCCTTTTTTTCTGATTTTTACAGAATATTTTGTTCCATGGTTTTCTGTCAATTCGTTTCTGTTTTTCTCATTTTTGCTGATAAGTTTGAATCTTTATTTAATAATCTTTTCTTCTAATTTTTGTTTTCCCTTGAGGAACATTTGTATGGTTGCGGAAAGATAAACTCTATCAGATGATGGTTATTTTGCGAATTAATTCGAATTAATTACATTCTCCCGGTGCAGATACTCGGAGCCGGATTTCCTGTACATCCGGTCGTGGGTGCCGTGCATCTTCTTCGCCGGCGGCATCACGATGGGCAGTCTGGGCCGGCAGTTGGCCTTCCAGGACGACGGGGATGCCGACGAGTCGGAGGGTCTGAAGCTGCACAAAGACTGACCGAATATTCGCCGGGATTCACGCGATTCTCGTCTGCACAACGACAATAATATTATTGAATATTTTGTTTCACATTATTGCTCTTCTCCTCCGACATCGTCTTCTCAACGGCTTCCTTTTCTACTGCATATTCTCTGTACGATATTTCTAATAACATAGCCAAAATAAAAGTTTGTTCGTGTTACGTAAACCAGTGTGCAGGTTTTGTTGATAACAGCTGTGATAATTTTCCATCGGTCGAAAAAAAATGCGGAATAAATCCCGAGTTTTTATTGTTAGTCGCCCGTCCATTCCAGTTTAAATACCACAGCAAAAAACAGGTGAATATACAAAACAAATGCAAAATTCAATCAATACCCCACGAAATGAGTTGCGGATTCCCAAACAAACCTTTCCATCCCCACATTTATGACAGCCGATTCGAAAGCGCCAAGAGATCACGCGATAAAATATGAATTTTCCTGTACATAAGTTAACGCTTGTAAAAAACACCCAACAGTATTCAAAAATATAGAAAAACCCGTGCAATTATTATTGGCCGGTTAGATGCCAGGCCGACCCCCCGAGGAAGCCATTGCGTGAGTATAAATGCAGCGACGGCATTTCGGGTTTAAAGGAAGCGACAGGCCAGCCGCCCTAGGAATCCATTACCTCGCCAGTGAATAGTAATTTTCCCATTGCGAGACGCCACGCCAACCGCCCTAGGAATCCAACACCTCCACATCATCGTCATCATCATCGTCCCCATTTCCCCCGTCCTCATCCCACATGATGAACGATCCCACCGGGCCAAACGTGACAATACAGGCCGGGGTGTCCTCGTCCACGTAGTGGAAGTCCATCTTCTGCAAATGGTCCTTCAGCCGCTCCACGCTCTTGCTCCGCAAATGACAGGGCGCCGTCAGCCCCGCGCCGTTACACGCCAGCCGCACCCGCCGCTCCCCCAGGGCGGTATGCGTGGCGTTGTCGAAGTGCGCGAGGAATTCCGTGCGGGAGTTGGAGAAGTGCGCGCAGATGAGGCACTGGAAGACGCCGAAGGCGGAACGCGGGGCGTCGGCCTCCCGCGGCGGCGGGAGGGGCGGCGGCCCCAGGGGGATGGTGGGGCGCGACGGGGGGCTGGTGCTGCTGGACGAGGAGGGGGAACTGGAGGATTGGCGGGGGGTGGGGGGCGAGGGGAGGGCCGGGGGGACGCGGGGGGTCGTGGTTTGGCAGGGGCGTTGGGTCTTGGAGGGGTTGCAGGGGGCCAGCCTGATTTTCCGGATGTGGGAATACATGGGTCGATACCGCACGCGAGGCATCGTGTGGAAGAAAAGTAATCAGCAACCAGAACCGTTCAACGCCCCAGTCATCGCCCCCCAACCAGGAAAAACACGGGGTCGTTAACGTGAATCAACATCCATACATAAAATGAATAAAACTTACAGGAAAAAAACACGTTAAAACATGAAATGCAGTGATGATTATCATGGGAAGAGCTGATGCCAAATACTTGCATTGGAGTACGACAATTCCGCAACGACCCACAACGGAACGCAATAAATCTCGGGTCCTTGTGTAAGATTCGATCCGCATCGGGATGGGACTGATTACAAAACAAGAGGGCCAGTTTCTAGTGCCAACGCACTGCATGCAATCGTGATTCATGCCTCGATATAGGTGCCGCAGCTGCTGTATGCATTCTGCAACGGCTACGTCACCGCCGCCGAGGCGTGTGCACCGTGCGCTGACTGGGTGACAACGGATAGCCACCGTCCAATCCGAATTGACCAGATCTCATCGGCCAATCAAAATTGAGCAAACACTGTAGCTGACCAATCAGAATTTGAGCTGGTCTCTACTGTGTATAACCGTGTGAACAAACGCTAATTATCGATCATTATCGATTAAAATTTAATCTGATTTCACAGATCATAAGTTTTTTATAAGTTTGAATTTTTATATAAATATTTTTTGGGGTTATCTTTTTTGTAAAATTATTTCAGATTGGTGATTCAAAAACACAACAAGAAAAATCTTTTCGTGAAAACCGGTTTCTCCGCGGAACTATTTGGACAAAAAATAAGTGCAGCGAACGAACGCAACCCCCTCACTCGCGCGTATTTTAAAAAAAAACCTTTACTTGTTAAACGTTTCTATACAAATAATCGATACTGCCCAGTGCGAAGTGAACGTGATGCCAAAACAAATCCGCCGCAATAAACACCACCATAATCTGCGCGAAAAATAAAACGGACGCGACACAGAAAAAACCAAATCTCTTGTAATCCTCGAAAATTCCTTTTTCTTCTGACTACCAGCTCCATCGGCCAACCAACATCCCCACACAAAAATTAACCAAAAAACGCGAGAGAAAAAGCGCCGAAAAAGAAAAAAACTCTGCGGAATACTCTGTCGCCCGCGGCGCCCGCCCGCGCGCGGCGGTTACACGCTGGACTCGTTTGCGGTGGTGGCGCCGTTCTCCGCGTCCACCTTGGCCTTCTTGACGCCGGCGTCGGCGGCTTCCTCGCGCTCCTCGGAGGCGGGACGTTTCAGCGTGCTCGCCGTGGCGGCGCCGTTGACGGTGGGCGTGGCGGTGGGTTGCTGGGCGTGGACGCCGTTGGTGGGGGCGGGCAGCGTGGTCAGGCCGTCGCCCGGCAGCTGGATGATGATGCAGGTCATGTTGTCCATCCCGGTGCCGTCGCCGCCCGAGTGCGGGGCCAGGATCGTGTCGAACAGCTGTCCGCCAGTTAATTCCATATTAATTTACCAATTTACTTTAATTTTCCACATTAATTCCGCATTTTTTACCCAATTTAATGATTTTAATTTTCCACATTAATTCCACAATAATTAATTAATTCCACCAATTTAAATTCCCGCATTAATTCCACATTAATTTACCAATTTATTTTAATAATTTAATTTTCCACATTACTTTACCAATTTATTTAATTTATTAATTTGATAATAATATTAAAATATAAGTACGTTTTATTTTTGATTTAATAATTTCATCTTAATCTGATTATTTCGCTTTCTGGTTTAACTGCATATTTTTATTTAATTCTGCTTTATCCTATGTTATTTTCCGAAGCACTTATGACATGAATTTGTTAATCATGCAAATTTTCCTGCATTGCTATTTGTAAAAACTGAATTACATGTATTTGGTAATTTGCGTGCGTGTACCTCTTCGCAGGTCTTGGACAAGTTGCGCTCTTTGTGCTCGAAGAGATGCTCGCCGACGAACTGCACGGCGGTCTGACTGCCCATGGAATTCCTGTTTAAACAACCAGCCATCACTCATCAGGCATCAGCGAGAACGCCAAGCGCACGATTCCAGCAACAACCCGCGCAAATTGCCGTGCTCACCAGATGCCGTCGCAGGCGATCATGATGTACTGGAACTCGCTGGTCAGCTCCAACTTGCGCACGTCCGGCTTGGCCGAGATCATCTGCTCGGCCAGAGACAGGCTCTCGTTCCGCTTGTAGCTGTGATCGCCTGCAGACAGAGACGATAAAACGGAAAACCCTTACAATCCAGCATTTTATTTCATTTTTCTCATTTTATTTCACGGCTATAATTTTATCCATTTAATTCTTACTTACCATATTCTTTATCAGTTTAATTCTTTCTTCTCACTTTGTTATTAAATTTACTGTTTTAAGGCGCTTAAACAACCTGCGTAACCACGGTATTTTAATAAGATTTGTTTATGTGTTTGGCTGTTTAGCTGCACAATTTATAGCTTACTTTTGCTTAATTTTATTTTCCATTACAATTAGCAAGTCGTTGATTTATTTCTCAATATGTACAAGGCGAGCTTCGCTCCACTAATAGGATCAAATGAAGAATTTGTCCCGATTAACATGGGAAGGGTATTTGTCCCAATCGGATAAAAACGTGAGCTGCTATTTTTAAATGTTTTAACTAAACATTAGTAAGTTATTAAATTACCGAGCGCCCGGCTGAGATTGAGACCATTGTTGACGCGGCCGTCGGCGGTGACCTTCCCTCCGGCGCGATTAATCCGCTCGGTCTCCAGGGCGTCCTCCGGCTTGTGGTCGTGCGACATCTCGATGGCCTCGCCCATCTTCGACACGACACACCGCGAGTCGCCCACGTTGGCCACGTACAGCACGTTGTCCACCACCAGCGCCACGCAGGCCGTCGCGCCACTATCGTAGCCCGGCTGCGACCAAAGCTCAGTCAAACGCTCAGATGAAATTGGAGTTTTAACTAAAAAAAAGGCTTACCACCGCGCGACCGCCGCCGCTCCACTCCAGAAATTCACTCTGCAACTGCAGACGACGCGCCACCGCCGGATGCCTGCGAAAACACCAACACAACACCCAATAGAAACCAGCCCAACAACTGACGCAAATTGTTCTGGACATTTTTACTGGATGAAAATGTGAGCTGCCATTTTTACCGATTAAAAACTGACGATAATTTGCCATGCAATTGTATATTAAGTTGGATAAAAAAGTGAGCTGCTATTTTTAACTCTTGAACTTCAAACATCAAAGTGCGGGGCATCTTTTAACAGTAAACATCCGCGCTAAATAAACCTCAATAAATTAAAGAATAAATTATCATAATGTTCAAATTTAACAGGACTGAAAAATGCGCACTAGCCTTTTGCAAAAATGCGTACCATGATAAATAAATTATGAATTAATAGCGTAAAACTCCGTAAATTAAAAATATTAAACTGAAGAAATATTAAATTAAATTGTCATTCAAATTTAAAACAACTCGTCCTAGCTCTACGTTTCTAACAGATTTCTTTAAACTGCGCGCTAATTTAAGACAGATTTGTACTCAAAAAATCTGTTGTTACTCGAATTTCGAATGGCCAAATAAAAAGGAAAATTCCGGAAAATACAATTTAAAAAAAGACTAATGCGTGGCAACATAGGAGGAATTTCCCACAAAATAATTATCAAAAATAACCATAATAACAGGAAACGGAACTGACATTTCCTCCTCCTCCTCGTCGTCCTCATCCTCCATCTCCTCGTCGCAATGCGGATCGTAATCATCGTCCGCGGTGTCGGCCTCGGCGTCCCCTTCACCCCCGGAACTGGACGGAGCCCCCGCTCCCGCAGCGGAGGACGACGAAGCGGCGGCGTCGTCGTCGATGATGCGCGAGTGCGGGATGACCGCCGGGCGGATGTTGGGCTTGTGCACGGGCGGCGGATTGCCCACGCTGACGATCACGCTCGTCTCCACCGATGAGATCAACGTCGGCCGGGCCGCGGCGGCCGCCGACACCGCCAAATCCCCGGACCCCCCGCCGGCCTGCACGTTCTCCAGATGCGGTGCGTCCACTTTCTCCGCGGATGGTTTAGCCGTCGCCGCGTCCACCTCATCCCGCGCTATTGATACAAATATATATTATTTCTTAAAATTTTGATATCTTTTAATAGGAAAAATATTTTAGTCAATAAAGTTTTCAAAGAAGATTTTCAAATAAATAAATACTAAATCATAAAATCAGAAACATTAGAAGAGTGCTAATTTATAGAACAGAAAACTGTAAAACAACGTCAGCTCCCGGGAAATGCGTGCAAAGACATATTTACCGCTTTTTTCATTTTCGTCTGTTTTCTTTTCCTCCGAGGTAGTGGGTCCGTTCACTTCATTCACAACTGAATAAAATTATAGTTCAAGCAAATAAATAAAGAAAAAGTGTTCCACACAAAAAGAAACCATATAAAAGCAGTAAACGAAGACAGATTTCTAAAGACTGACCAGTCTGTTTGTCATCTTCCTTTACAGCCGAAGTTGGACCATTCACTCCGCTGGCAGCTAAAATAAACCATGCAGATTTCAAATAAAAAAAAATTAAATAAGAAAAATCAGAAAATATTTATACAGAAATGACAAATCAACACCGAAAAATGATGAAATCAACACCGAAAAATGACGAAGACGACTATACAAATTAGAATTATTCATACAGAAAATAATTAATATAAAATATACATTAGGAGAAATTATAAATTAGAAGGTAGGAGTGGAAATAATAAAAAAAAACATCAGAAATTAACAAGAAGAAAACCGACAACAAAAACCGATAAAAATACAAACTGGATAAGAAATTAGATGAAAAATACCCACCAGTGTCGCCAGCTTCGCCGGCGCCCTCGTGGAGATGCTCCAGACGGACGTTGGCCTTCTTCTTGTTCTTGGCCGGCCCGTTCTTATCCTTGTCCTTGTGCTCCTCATCCTCTGACTGCGACTCGGTGAGCTCGGCCTGCGAATCCACGTCCTCCTTGGCGTCATCCTCACTGTCCTCGTCGTCCCCCTCCTCTTCCTCGCTGTCCTCGCTCTCCGACTCCTCCTCCTCCGTCATGCGCTCGGCCATGTTCTGCAGCAGACTGGTCACGTCCATGCGGCCCTGCAGCATGCGCTGCAGCGTCGCCGCCGGGTAGCGCAGCGCCAGCTCGTCGATCGGCGTGTCCGCGTCGTCAATCAGCCCGGCCAGGTCTTCGTCGTCCGAACTGCCCTCTGCACACAGAAAAAATTGGCAAAATTCATTTGTTAAAGATAGTAGATTTTTCACCAATTTTAATCGAAGAAGAAATCAGGACAAAATTAAAACCATTCAAATGAATGAGCAAAATGATTAAAATAAGCGAAAAATAATTATTGATCATTTTTTTCAATCAATCGCTAAAAAAACGAAAAGCGAGACAGCTTTCGCAGAAACAAAAAATTGCCGATATATCTAATAGCAATTTGACGAACAGCAGCGGATAAAATGACAAAAATGAAGGAAAAAATCACTAATTTTATTCATGCCATCGCTGAAAATCAATACTTTTCGAAAAAACGGAAGTTCTCTGCAACTTTTAAAAGGCTTTAACAGGAAACGATGGACAAAAACGAGCGGTAAAATTAGTTTTGATTCAGCCCATGACTTAAACTCGAAACGTTCTCGGAAAATTACCAATATCACAATATGTTTCAGAATAATTACTCAAAGGTTTCAAATTGAGTTTCCACTTTCTTTCAAATCAAATGCATTTAAAACAGCCAGGGATTTCAAGGCTCCATTGCTTACTAACCGGATGCGTGGGCCTCATTGTCGGAGTCGTCCTTGGAGAGGGCGCGCAGGATCTTCTGGACGTGGGGCTCCTTGAGGGTGGCGTCGAAGGAGAGGAAGGCCTCCTCCAGGGCCTCCTCGTACTTGCCCTCCTGATACTTGGCCAGGGACTTCAGATGGTTGGGCAGGTACTGCGCGGCGTACTTGGCCACTTCCGAGCCGCCGTGCCCGTCGAACACGGCGAACAGCATGGCGCGCCGCTCCCGGTCGAAGTCGGGAAGGGCCAGGTGAGCGTCCTATAAATCGCAGTCAATACCGTCATCGCTGTTCTTTTATCAACATTTCAATATTTTCTATAGCAAGTCGCGTTAATCACTGTGCTTTCTAAAACAAGAACGGTATGAAACACCACAGATTCGAATTAATAAAATCATTACAAAACTTCAAACGAGGCTCCGAGCATTCAAAATGTTCCGAATCGATCGTAATTTTTAAAATTGTTACTGCTATAAATAAGGTGAAAAAATTATACGTCTACTCAAGAAGATGCAATGATAAATGTTGAAAATGACGATGCATCGATAAGTAAATTCGGAAAATAAATGGCAAAAACCCCGCAAAATATTTTTTAAAATTCGGAAAAATAGTTTATGCAACTTGTTTAAACTCGGAAAATAAATTTGACAAATTCATTTCCTAAATTTCAAATATTCTTTAAAATTACTTCAGTTTTAAATCATGTGAAAAACGCCGAAAACGGCTAGAATTTTAGCCTAGCTAAAAAGGACGGGCAAAAAGGCGGGAAACCTCGATGGGTTCCCCGCCTTCTATGACGAACTCTGCGGTACACCGTCGAAAAACTAGTAGTTTTGATGGCTCAGAAACAGGAGGACCTCAAAGAGAAACTAACCTCTTGAGAAATCCGCCAGCCCTGCATCTCGCACGTGCCAATACGCAGTCCGCTGGCGCCCGTGGCGTCCTCGGAATGCTTGTCGCGAACGGGTGAAGACAGGTACGAACCCATCGCAGATCACTTTCAGGGGCAGTATAACTATACACGCTACGCTAGGGATGTTAGTTCAGACCAGCGATGGTGCAGGAATGTACAGAGTCCTCGCAGAACCCGCTTCCGCACGAATTCAACGATTCCTCACGCACAGACTGGGCTTTCGAAGGAAATCACCACAGACGAGCTCGTGATCATCCTTCAACGTTTCACTAGCAAAACCGTTCACTTTCGCAACAATTAACGCAGTATCAGATTATTACGTCACAAAGGTAGAGTGAAAATTAATCCTAGTGGTTGGATGACTAATAAATCAATTAGAACGCGGAATGCGGCGGGAACAGGAGAAAAGCGTGTTTTCCGGAATGTGGAAAAAAGATTCACGATAGAACGCGTTCAGATGGCGATGGATACGCTGTGGTGTGCCGCGCCGGACAAACGCCGATGCAGTGTGTCCAATTCGCGCGTGCTGATTGGCTGACGTCAGAATGCGGCTTGAACGGCCTGCCACAGACCATTGTTGCAACGTTTCTATGGCTTATCGATCGGCCTGTCAGACTGTGACGGAGAGTTTCGACGGACAACGGTTTTGCATGCTGCCTGGCCGAAAATTACGAAGAAGGGACGCAGTCACGCGTGGTTGTTTTTCCAGCACGTGCATGACATTTTATTACGTTGGGTTCGCTGTTCCTTAAACCGCGTTTGGGGGTTTCATGCATATTTTGGGGACCGGATCGTGATTTCTAGGAAGGATTTTTAGTTTTTAAGCGACGCGGGCAGAAAATAATCGTTAGCTGTGTCTGTATGGTGGTGTCTGGTTGACCCAGTTCGGTGTGACGCTGCTTATCTTGATCGCATAATTTCGGTCTCTGAGTTCATCGTCAATCAAGGCCGCGAGGACCTTGCTGCTTTCTGAACGGGGTTCCTGGATATTTGCCTCGGAAACGGGAAAACTTGATAGATACTTGCTCTATCTCAAAGCAGGTGCGTGCTGTGCATTTGGATACGTACAAGTTACTTTGTATACGAAGGAATCAAAGCGTAGAAGTATTCGGATTCAAAGCGCCCGACTGATTTTTGATGTACAGTACTTCGTCGTAGTGCATCAAAATTCATTCGGGCGCTCTCACTTTTCAGACTTTCTAAATTTAATGTTATTTTGGATTTTGGTGATTTAAATTTTATTTCAGTAAGTATTTTAATGTCATTCTAGCCGGGAATGGGCTATCGGCTCTGTTATGATAATTCAAAAACTTGAAAAGAGAATTTAATGCTAATAATTGAGAAGCCGTTATTTTAATTCAGTAACGGGTAAATTAAATCAAAATAAATTCGATAATTTAAAAAGCGACAATTTAAATCAACAAAACAAAATAAAAGCAAAAATATCACGCTAATTCAAAAGCCTTACGATAGTTCGACAAAGTAAAATGTAAAAATGAATACGATATTTAGAAAGCCGTGACGTTGTAATTTTATTCGATAAATTATTTTTATCGTATTAAAAACGAAGACCCGTATGATAAATTTCAAAATCGTTATGGTATAATTGCATAAAATGAAAAATAAATCATTCATGCAGTGCCTAACTTTTAAAAAATCGAATGGTTATTCGTATACAGTAACCGTTTAATTCTTTATAATTTATATGTTATTGTTAGGCACTGCGTGAATTATTTATAAAAAAGTCAGATGAATTGTCTTTTGTGTATGTTATTGTTAGGATTTCATTTTATTTTCTGTTTGATTTGTAATATTATTTGTAGTTCTCGTGTAGATGCGCGACGATGGGCGGCAGTAAGATCAGCCCCAGCACCCACACCCCCTCCTCCGCCGGCACCCTGCCCCCCGCGCCCCCGGGGGCCGACGCGTGTCCGCTGCTGTCCAGATTCAAGGAGGCCATCCGGCGCATCAAGGAGCAGAAGCAGCGGCCCGGCTTCGACCGCATGCTGCAGACGCTGAAGACGCACCACGAGGTGCACGACGCAAAGGAGGTGCGTCGCCAGCTGGAGCTGGCCGTCAGCACGGGGCTCTTGCTCACCGTGTACACGAAGGGCCTGCAGTGCTACAAGGACCCCGACAGTCTGCTCGGCCTGCGCCGCTTCAAGATCGACACCGTCAACACCCGCAGCCGGGTGCAGCGCGCCGTCAAGGCGGCTGTGCGGGAGATCGGCGATCCGGAGGGCTCATCGCCGGAGGAGATTGAGAATTACGTCCGCCTGTCGTTTACGTAAGGAACTCTGGTGTTATTTTACTCAAAATATAAAAATAAGAAATAAATCGAAAAATAAAAATACGCTTTCTAGAAAAATTCCCGCCAAAATTTGAATTTCTAGATTAAAATCCCACGTTTTTAGAAACATATCCCACTACATAGAATTTTTAGAAAAAACCCGTTTTTAAAAAAAAAATAGAATAAACAATAGAGGATAAAATCCCGCTTCTTTATCCCGACTCCCAAGTTGTCATAGCAACAGGGATTGTGTGTAGTGAAAACGGCGAATAGAACTAATCGTGTTCACACAGAAAGTACATGTTTATGATTAATCGATTTGAATTCTGCTGGCATTTTATTTGTCCAAAATTCAGCGTGATCTGTGTGTTTGTAGCGTGAGCATTCCCGCCTGGCCGGTGCCGACCGCGTCACGGCCCTCGCAAGTAGTCTGGTCTCCAAGGTGCAGCCTCGTGCGCGAGAAGGTGGCCGGGAAGATGGTGCAGTGCAACACGTGCAACTTCCGCACCAAGGTCCTGGAGAAGATGACGGCGCATCTGCAGCGGCACAACTGCCATGAGGGCCGATCCATTCCGTCGTGTCTGCTGTCCTGTAGCAACTTCCACAATGTCGTCGTCAAATAACAGGTTGGTTAGACCGATTTAAGACCTTTTTTTCTCAAATTATCGGAAATAAAATGGATTTTATTCAGATTTGCAATTACTACACCGAGTTTTGTTTTTTTAAAAAATACCTGCTTAGTTCTTGTTCTGCTATAAACAATGAAATTTAATAAAATAGACATTTACTAATAATATCGTTGTTTTCAGCAGCTACTCCAGTGTATGGTATTAGATCGACATTTAATTTGAACTATTCAAATAAATATTTAAATTTATTTATTTCAAATCGTGGCCAATACGCGAAGCCCGGTTTGCTTTTGGAATACAGTTTGTTTTGAAATAAATTGAAATGGAAAACTAATTTTTATTATTTATTGTCCGAATACCTTGGCTGCTATAAATAAAGAGATTAAATGATATAATAGTATTCCTTTTTCTTACACGGTTATTGAAGCGTAGTTTTTTTAAGCCAGAATTCTGATTAAATTCTCCGCCTAAAATTATCAAATAATAATTGTAAAAAATTGAGTTTCCAGTGCTCGGAGCTTCAGCTCGGTGTAATAAATTGGATTTCTTTTTAATTTGCAGCGTTGAAATGTTAATTTTAGCCTTAGAGGAAGGAAAACCGGATGGATCTGCACGCGCCGTTAATGGATCTGGACTGCGCTACGGTTTTGTTGTTCTTGGATTTTTTTGTGGCATTTCTCCTTGTTGGACCAGCACGGATGGTCGCTTGTGTTTGTAAACTCTGAGCCAAATGATGGGAGTGCATTTAATGAGAATTTCTTCCAGTCTGCCGTCTCTCGCTAATCCGGAATGAGCTGCTCGTCTCTGCATACGCACTGGATTTTCTTAATTTTTTAATCTTTCACTGTACAGGCCCCAATGATCCAATCCCTCTGCTGCATTTTGTTGTAATGGTTTTCACCTGGTTGACGCTACGGTACAGGCCCGTTTTATGCTGTATATCGGTGTTTAAAGTCTTAATGTATTCGTGCATTTTGTTAATGTTTGCATCGCGTGTTTGGTAATTGGAATTAAATTGACAAGGCAACGTCAAAGTTCGTTTTAGCAACGTCAAAGTGATATGTTCGCTAATGACACTGGGACATTTAAATATTGCTAATTAATTTAAACAATAACTATTCAATAAATAAATAATATTAAAATTTTTATTCATATTTATATTAAAAAATTCATTGAATATTTATTGTTCAAATTAATGTCAGAGGCGTACGACTGCGCCTGGTGCGTACGGTCCACACTGGACGTACTTGCACCATTGCTTGCCGTTATCACCTCTCTCGCTGTACGTACGTGTGCTGCTGCACTGCACTCATCCGCTGAGGCGGATATGCGCAGCGCATACACTGAGCCACACTTGCTCTCTCGTTCCTCTCTCGCAGTATGACTCAGCGTTCATACGCTCGCGTTGGATAGAGTCCAGTCTGCGCATCATCACACAGCTGATGGCACACAGCACGTGCTTGCCGCCGGTTGCTTCTTTTCACGCCATGGGACGCTCAAGAACCTTCCTGGCATCAACTTGCTAGATTTAGCCATCAGTGCTTTGTTCTGGCTTTCCTGCTATTACGCAGCATTGTTCCCACTTGATTGGTACAATAAAGCTCACTCGTGATCTCCTCGTGCTTGTCTGTTACATTAATTAACAATATTTTAGTGTATATATATATATATATATATATATATTCATAATATATGCCTTTTTTATTCATAATATAGGTTTTGTAAAAAATATTTACACCGCAGATTGTTTTCTAGACACTTATGTAACAGACAATTCTAATCGTATTAATTAAAAATTAACTTTATTAGTCATCGAAATAACAAGTGTATTTTGTGAATGATACTCGCATTTTTATGAATGTACGAGTATTTTCGAAGGTATTACCGATGCGCGAGTAGGTTGTACCGCCGTGGGTCCTTGTGAATAAAATAACTCGGAATAATAATACGTGACCGGCTATTACGAAGCAAACAGCCGAATTATTTTTGGCCGGTATGTTTATGCGCTCGGTAAAAACAAAAATTCTTCATTACTGTGCCAGCGAAAACAGCAATAATATTTAATTAATTAGCAGGTTTTCCGGCGAATCAAGCCGGTATTTTCCGGGCTCTGGGCGGATGTCTTCATTGACGAGTAAATAACCGGTCAACAACGCTGGGAAAACAATCAACAAAGCGCGTGTTTGTTGATGCCGGCGCAGCAGTATATAAGCGCCCCAACTGGTACACGCTTGTCAGATAAATTCCCACCAAATTATTACTACAGTTTGCTAATTTAATCGACAATGAACCGCAGCGTGATGCTTGTATGCTGTGTCGCCATGCTGGCCGCCCTGGTGGTCAGCACCGCGACGGCCAGCGGATCCCGGTGCGGCTCGGACGAGAGCATCCCCTCCAAATCCTGCCAGCAGTGCGGCAGCAACTGCAACAAGGGCGTCTGCGACCGCAAGATCGGCAATGACTTCAGCGCCGCCAACTGCCGCAATTTCTGCTGCACCAAGTGATAGAACCTACCTGCCGTAGTGTATCTATAGACTATAGTAGAATCATTTTGCTGTTATTTTTATATATAAAGATTTTGGTTGTTTCTTTCATGTGTAAACTGCTTCTTATTAATGTGTCTATGTGCGAGCCTGAATAAAGATTTGTATATATGTACTGATGTGAGTGATGTCAGTGTAACGGCGCAGGATGCTTGACCTTCTGTTTAGCTTTATCAATCAAGACTTCTGTCTAGCTTATCAAATGACCGATACCGTAACGTTGTTATCGACTCCATGCATGTCTGTCAGAACTGACTATTGCAATTAAGGGAAGTGGGTCGGTACATGGTAACAAATTCCTGTACAGGCACGAAAACTTGCACTTTCGCGCAATCCCGGAAACACATTGTTGCTTCGGTTTATGGCATTCTGTACTCGTAGCCAGAAGATTTGTATACGCTGGTGTGAAAACCGTTTGTGCGCGCAACATCCGATTCGGCAGTTATAGCCGTTAGGAAATCCCAAAAAGTGTAAAAGCATTCATTTGTACCAAAAGTCTCATTATGGACCGATCTCCCTCAAATTTTGCACGTAAATGCACATAACACGAAGATCGTTTTTACACCGATCCACTGTTCTAGCATGTTTTCAAATTTTAAAATGAATTTTCAAAAATTTTTAAAATTCATTTTCAAATTTGAAAAAAATGATGGAAGTCTGGATCGGTGTAAAAGCGATCTCGGACATGCGCATTTACGGTAGTAACGGTACGTGCAAATACATCTAAACTTTTTAGAGTTTTGTAACAGCTATAACTCCTGAACCGGATGTTGCGCGCACAAACGGTTTTATACAAATCTTCTGGCTACAGAATGTCATAAACCGAACAAAAATGTGTTTGGGAGTGCGCGAAAGTGTAAGTTTTCGTGCATGTGTACGAATAATAATTTGTTACCATGTACCGGCCCACTTCCCTAAAATGCGGAAATGATCGTTTGTGTGACTATGCAATACCTGTATTGTTTGCTGGCATGTACATGTACGTATTCGTTGTCTGATGGCAACGTTTTTATCAATCGCCGGTACGAGTACTGTATGCGTATGAACATTAAGCAGGGCAGGTAGACCGTGTACATGTACCGATTGTTAGCCGGTGTTAGCAATAGTCTACAGCCGGCTTCTGAATTTACGGAACAAACTCAGTTTATTTACGAGCCACTACGCAGTTCGTTCACGGGAAGAAAAAGTCTGCGCTGATATCGACCCTATTTAAAATGATCGACAATTAATTCCTGAAGAATCAACCACAATCAGTATTGGTATTAATGGTATATTATCTATATATATTATTTAAAGTCTCAAGGGAAATACAGTATACCGGTAATATAGCCCCGAATTCGGGTACATACACGGGAACTGTCGCTTTCCCGCACTCCCGAACACTTTTTTTTTTGCGCCGTTTTATGATATCCTGTAGCCAGATGATTTGTATACATCGGCGTGAACGCCGTTTTTGTTTCAGGGACAGGACAGGTGCATTAAGGGAAAGATTGAAAAATCGCAGGTACAGGTGTACCGGGCAGTGGAGGGCACACTTCTCTTAAGTCGCGCATTAAGCAAAAATTAACAAGCACTCGGCAGTATATGATTTCCCATTTCCCATAATAATAATTATGTGGTTGTACTTGTAAATTTCCGGTCAAGTCGGCTCGCGATGACAGACTTGGTCGGTTTTGTGGTCCAGACTGTCGAGCCGGCTAGCCGTCGTATCTCTCTGCTGTCGTGTTATAAAACTGTGTGATTCATCCCTAGCGGGTTAGTAGGTCAGCACGAGGCCAGTGTCTTGCACTGCGCGACACCATATGCTCCGCAACAGCTGATCATGAGCGAGTGTTCACTTCACAACATCAGCATGTTCTTGTTTGGTTCAAATTGATCTGGGCAATCGCAGTTCACATCGTGTATGTTTTGGGAGAACTTTGTAATTCGTGATCTATATTCCCATTTAACACGGCTATACCGGCATTATCGGCATATAATTATTTATACGAGTTCCAAGGGCCGCATTTTCCGACGGTGATATATAATTATTTTACTTGCGGATTTTGTGGATCACTCCCGCAGGATGCTGAGTGGGAATGACGTGTACCGCTGGAACGCGGTGGACGTCCGTGACGACCCGGACACCCCCGTCCGCCACGGTTTCGTCGTGGACACCGCCGCCGCCGGGTTCCTGGTCGACTTCACCACCACCCGGCAGCTGATCCCCTTCCCACACCTCCGCCTCTGCGTCGACGTCCAGCCCACCACCACCCTCCGCGCCATCAACACCGCCGCCGCCCGCACCACCTCCGACCTGCTGGAGGCCCTCCTGCGTACCCCCGCCGGTCCGCGGCAGTGGCGGCCGGCCACGCTCCTGTGCCACCGCACCCACCACTTCGCGTTTGTCGAGGTGCGGACGCCGGAGGGCGGCGTCGTCCGGGAGGTGGTGGCCAGTGATTGCGTGCGGACGCGGGTGGCGTGGATGGGGAATACCGTGCGGGCGTCGGATTTCGTCAAACAGCTGGTGATCCTCCCGGGCGATGTGGCGTGGCGGGAGGATGTGGTGGGGTTGTGGAACGCCGCCGCCCAGCAGTGCCGGTGTATGGCGGTGGGGCGGGTGGAGGGCCGCGGGGTCCTGGTGCTCCGGGGACGGAGACGGGACTGCTGGAATCACGTGGGTGATACACAGTTCTCATGTTTTCTTGTGTTTTCTCATGTTTTCTTATGGTTTCTTATACTTTTATATGTCGCTTCTTTATTGATGAAAACCGAAACACAAAAGAGCCAGTAAAAAAAACATTGAGAGCAAGCGAAAAAGCTACACTTTATAACATCCAGAGTTCATTTAACTTTTCCGCTTCCCCCATTGTACCCATGACTGACGCCGCATTGCCCCGTTGTATCTCCAGAGAAAGTCGCTGTCGGAGGAATTCATGCGAGCGTTTTTCTCCTGTGTGGTCCCGCAGGCGCTTTCCTAGCTCCTTGATAAGGGCGATAGCCGATGGTCCCCACGACCCCATTGTTTCGAAAGCTATCGGGGCGAAAATGTATCTGCCGTTCAAATACAAGTACGTTCTTGACTTCTTTTCTTCCGCCAGAATAGCGGCCGCTCCCGCCTTTGTCGAAGTGGACTTGACATGGGAAGCAGCGACAGTATCGACGCATGTGACATCCCACGCCAGGCACATTCCCCTTTTCCACGCGAAGGTTGTACAACCATCCGGACGTCGTTCACTCGTGTGAGAGGTGCCGCGTGGTTCAAGTTTAGCTGGGATGCCAGCCGAGACGAAGGCGCGGCATACAATACTGTTGAGAGCACCATGGCGCGGATGCCTGCCAGCCGAAAAAAGGCACGATAGGCCGTGATGCGCTTGTCCATCAACTGGTTTGTGGCACTTCATACATTCATGCGGATCACAGATCACAGCACCAAGTCTCAGTCCGACAGAGATTTTGAGCGTATCATCGTCAAGTAGGTTGCCAATATGAGCGGAGGGCAGCGCGTTGAGCCAGACACCAGCTTCCGGCGTTGACTGGGCAAGAAGGCGGGCTTTGTTGATCTCGTCGTCGTGAAACAACTCAAGTAGACTGGACAGAGACGTGTTACACAAAGGTAGATCCCAAGTTTTCTGCAATTTGCGAAAGCCAAGTTCGGGCAATTCGGCTTGGCGAGCTTTCGCCTTCCACATCTCCTGAGCTTCGGTGACATCCACCGCCGGTCGTTCGGGAAGCAGCAAGGATACTAAGCCGGTTACGGAATGAATCGAGGCCAGATAAGCCGGGAGCGCTAATTCTTCCGATCGACGTATACCAATACCACCTCTGCTAACCGGTAAGCTTGCTTGCCGCCAGCTCGGATAATCATCGTGATTGGTTCGGACATTGCACAGCAATTGGAAGCAAGAACGTAAAACTTCATCGATCTTGTACAGTTGATGCGGATACTTCCAGGCATTGCAGCACCTTAACATGTAAATGATCTTAGGCGCACCAAGGCAATGTCTCAATAAGTATAGGGCATGGTATATACTTTTATATATATACCAATGCCCGGTTTTATATATACCGATGCCTTTTATATATACCAGTGCCCGTTTTTTTAATCAGTTGCTAACTCGTAGGTGAACGATCTATATGGGAAACTGGCGGAATCACGTGACCGCAGCTGGTGTCTCACCACGTGCGCGCCGGAAGTTATGGAGCCGGTGTGCAGTATTAATCGCTTCCTGTCCAACGAGCTCTTCCTCCAGATCTTCGGTTTCCTGGATACCTACGAGCAGAGGCACCTCCGGCGCGTCTGTGACCTTTGGAACGCCCTCCTCACCTCCCCTTCCATCCTGCAGGACATCCACCTCCGGCTGTCAGACCTCCAGAGCGGATCCGCCGCGCACTACCACGACATGCGCCGTCTCGCCACCTGCGTGCACCGATGCGTTCTCCCTTCCGGAGGCCGGAGCCTCCTAGTCGAAGGCTGGGGCGTCATCACCTACGGGGACGCCGTCATCCCCATCCTGCAGATGATGCTGGAGGCCTGCGGCTACCAGGGCGTGCGCCGTCTGGTCCTCTCCACCATGATGCTGACCCTGGACCCCACCGACCTGTGGACGCGGGTGGGGGCGGTGTGCCGGGAGGGGGCGGTGCTGCGGAACGTCGTCCTGTGCTACTCCGCGGGAATGACCCAGTACGACTATTATCCCGTCGACGGGAGGGTCCCGGTGGGGCCGGACGTCGGGAGGGGGTTGTGGAAGGTCGTGGAGCGGAGTGTCGGGGGATTGAGCGGCGAGGAGATGGAACGGTTGACCGCGTGGGTCCGGAGTGATGCCGCAAGGGTCCGGGTTGTCGCGGTAAGGAGATGACTGACTTCCGGTTGGGTTGTATATATGAAATGAAGTGTTTATAGGTGTTGGAGGCGATGGAAAAGGGCGGGGTCATGAAAGGAAGGCGGTGGACGGCCAGTGACCTTAGGGAGTTGGACGTCCGGAAGCTGCCGAAAGTCATGCAGTACACGCTGATCAAAGAGATGGTCAAGGTGCCGGGTGCGGCCGGCAACCACCCGTTGCTGGCTGCGTACGCGTGACCGTTGCTCCTTATGCACCACTGGAATTGACCACTGTAGTCAATGTATAATTCTGCCGTTTTGTGTACTATATGTATAATAATTCTTTTGGTTGTACGTCTGTACTCTATATTGTACCTTTTAATGATAATTCTGTTACTTTGCACTTTTCATTCAAGGCAGTTAATAAAGTACTTTTAACTTTACTTTATAGTTCAGTTTTAAACATTAAAAAACAGCCAAAGTACGTACTCGTATATTGTCTGCTTTCGGGTTAAAACGTTTCGGAGTTTTACGATCTCTGTCCCAAAATAAGGAGGAATTAGTTAAAAAAAAACATAATATAAATAATGAAAACCCGGCGAATTTGACTTCGTTTATTAATATTTATTGTTTATTGCGACGGTAGGCAGGTAACCCATTAAAAACTAGAGGATCGTCATCTGGTGGGGGAATTTTAAACCTGACTCACAAAACATAAACTGTACATGGTGAGGAAGGTATAAGCATTAAATGGCAAACACAAAGTAATATTAATGCGAAAAACGGAAGCTATGCAGCAATTTTAACACGTTTCCATGCGTTACGATTAACAGTAAGCTGTGCGGTTCCCGTTTAATACGAAGGTTATATGAACGGGACGACTGCTTCACGACGGTCATCGCGCGGTAGTGCGGCACCCGCGGAACTTTTCAGGGTGCAAAATTTTATACAGCCAGGTTGCTTCCTGGTTTCCGTCGCTTGAACAGTGGCGAATTTCCATATTGTGCCATCAACTGGGCAGCGGATGTTTCCGGTAACGTTGCAATAGCCCGTATAGCTTTTTTTTGCGCGTCAGGCAATGGCTCCAGCGCGGACGCAGGCGCACCACTCCTTGCGATGGAGCAACGGTCCAGATATGACTGGACAAATGCGCGATAAAGTCCAACGCGTTGGGGTACCGACCGTGCGTCTTTAACACTGCTAGGCATTTTTTTGGCCTTTTTAATTTGATCAGTCCATTTAAGATGCTTATCAGTTATCACTCCCCAGTGTTTTACTAACTTTTCCGGTTCAAGCTTATGCCCATTCCAATCAACCGTTCACAATTGCCGGGCATACATTCGGGCTGCAGACAGTCCGCTTTCACCGTTTTCCTGGATGACTGCACCGCAACTGCCTGCCACTTCCGGTCGGTGTGTTGTTCCACGACCGCAGCGCGTACGCGTACGTAAACAAACACACACGCAACGTCAACACGCCGCCGCTTCCATTGACACGACGCTGCTGTAAGCCCCGCCCCGACTGTCTCGCTCCACGTCGCGTGCAGCCAATCAGCGCACGCCGCACTTTTCAACCCGGCTTTGGCTGCAGCGATACAGTTGCCGATCAGTTGTTCTTTGCGGCCGTTTTAATACGATAACACGCGTAGTCCTGAATAGCGCTGTGCTGGCTGATCATCAGCTGATGACGGATCACCATGCTAATCCCGCCGCGTAATGCACAGCCGGCGCTTAGTGCTGCGCTCTTGTCTTAATCAGCCATCGATCACCCCGCGCACTAATCTCCCCCCGATCAAGCCAGTTGCCCGAAAGGTCATGATCGCGCCAACGGGATTATCCTGACCTTGCCCTGGGGATTTATTATTTTTTATTTATTTTTTGAATTTTTATTGGGGTGAAGAAATTTTTATGTAATCTGAGAAAGAATTTTTATATAACTGAATTATTATTGGATGGAGGAATAATTATATATAATCTTGAAAGGAGTTATTATTATTGTCATTATTATTATTTCGGCACCAGAGCGGAAATAATCCCCCGGCTGCGCGCTGCACCGATGCCGGCGTGCCGGTCGTGCAGCGGCTGTGATTATGAAGGGTCGCGCCTACGATCACCGCTACTCGCCCGCATCCACCGCCTCCACGCCGCCCGCATCCCCCGCCAAGCCCCCGTCGCCCGCATCCAGCCGGCGGCGCTGCACGCAGCTGCTCCTGCGCATCCAGCTGCTGGGCCTGCTGCTCGTCAGTGTGGCCGCCGCCACCGGCTTCTTCCTCTTATACCGCGAGCTGACCGACAAAATCAGCAGTATGCTGAACAGTTGGCGGCGCTGACCGGCCAACTGGAGGGCCTGCAGCGCGATGTGCGCGCCTTCGCCAAGCAGGATTTCGTGGAGTTTGTCACCAGTGAAGTGGTGGAGGAGGGGGAGGAAGGGGAGGGTGGGGACGGGGCGGAGGGCGAGGGTGTCAAGCCCAAGAATACGCGCAGTGCCGGCTTCGGCGGGGGCCGGAAGAAGGGCGTGGCAAAAGGTCACGCGAAGGGTCATTATGTGGAGATGCTCAAGAAGGCTCCCCGGAAGCGCATCTCGCATCCGGTGGCTTATAAATACCGACAGGTCAGGTTTTACCGAAAAAATACGTTAATATAAAATTATTACCGCAGCGCATGCTGGCATACATCACTCGATGTCACCTTAATAATCTTTTCTACATTTGTAAGATGGCAAAAAATTGGCGAAAAATTATACTAAAATTGTTTTGATAAAAAATAGAAAATAATTTGTTATACGAAAACACATAATTATATTCTACGGTAAACAAGATTATCTCAGCGTGTGCTAGCACTCATCGCTCGATGTCACACTAAAAAAAATTGTTGGAAAATCATCTGTAAATTATATTTTGTCGAAAAACTGAATTAGTTTATTGATTTTATTTTTTGTTATAATTTATAGGAAACTACGACCGTGTCCGGGACGACGGATGTGGCGTACGATCCGCAGTCGAACGTGGTGCAGAGCGACACGGAGTATGTTTGGCTGACCAGCCACAGCAGGATACCGGTAATTACTGGGCTTGTAACACGCTGCGCGCACCTTCTGACAGCCGCGGCTTTTTATTTACGCTCATGGCCACAATCACCTGGCTAATCGCTTTTCCAGCTCTTTCTCGAGATTTATGGCTTTTCCGCTCTCCAATCGAAAAATCATCAACTCGATACACAACATTTTTCACGAAAAACTCCGGTTCAATGATTCCTGCGTTAGGGAAAAATTCATCAGGAAAATGGTGATTTTTTTGCCGGGGAATTTTTTTTGCCGGTTGGTAATATTCGCTGAGTGAAGTTGCGGGCGAAAGTGATTATCTGGGGAAAGTGAGCGACAGATGCGTTATGGTTATGTAATTGATTAGACGCGATACGTATCAGCGTCTCTAACCGGGGCTTCGGCTGATCTAGTTAGGTGGATGCGAAGAACACTGCGCGCGGATCAGCGTGATGAAATGGACTGTCAGACACGTCCAAGCGGCTCATCACCGCCCGCCCTTCGCAACGCCGAGTTCATCATCGGCTAAGCTCCGTTGTACAGATAAATGTCCCATTATCGACCGCGTCTAGCGACATTAATTATTGTAACATCCTCGTCTGCGGTTCCCACGAAGTGCGTACGTGGGAAAATATAGAAAAATTCTAAGTTAAAAATGTTACCGCAGTGTGTGCTGGCACACATCGCTCGATGTCACGTTAACCGTCCTTTTGTTTGGCACAAATGAAAAATCAAGGACAAAATATCAAAACCATAACGTATAGGTCTCTTTAGGCAAAAATTAAATGAATTTAAATAAGTGGAGTATTGCTGCAATAAATATCCGTGTTAAAACTGAATCTTTGCCAGGAAGTAAATACGTGGGAAAATCGGCAGAAAACTTATTAAATTAGGGATATCACCGCAGCGGCTGTTAGCACACATTGCTCGATGTTACGTTAGTTATTCTGCGTTTTCTGCATAATTCAGCCAAGAAAGTTAAGGAAAAATAAAAAAGAATCACAGGCATTTATTAGGTCGGCAGTTTATTTTTCGGCAGTGATTAAAACATTTTATTACGGAATTTATTTTTTTTATTGCCGGCGTATATGGCTATAATAATTTACTATTTTGCTATAACTTCTTGTGATTGATTGCCGGTTAATTATGCGGGAGAAACTAAGAGTAAGTGGCGCGAAGAAAGCGGGATCTGGTTGCGGCACTCGAATGCGTTCTGGTGCCTTTTGCGTGCTTGACGGCCGAAAATGGGTGTCAAGTAATATCGTTGTGATATTTATTGTCTGCCAAACAAGCCACTTGACGCGCTCACAAGTATTTATGCGCAACGGCCCAAACTATGCTACTGACACCTTCTCATTACACCTTTGATCGACGCACTACCTGCACGGCTGCACCTGTTGCCGGTTGCCAATTTCGGTTGCTTGTTGCGGCCAGGTTTAACCTTATTAAATTAACCCGTCAACTTCGCCAGCGACAACCGGTAAACAACGATGCGTCTTCATTTTGCGGCTAATCCTTGATTATTCTAATCTTTTTTCCGTGAGACGGTTGTCTATCACGTGCGGCAGCTGACGTGACCTTTAGGGTGACCTTCAAAATTATGACTGATTTATTTCGAATGTTTTTATCGTTTTTCTAAACAATTTTTTAAAAAAATTCACTAAGAAAAGCGTGCAATTTTGACAATATATTTTAAAAATTCAATATATATTCAAATTTTGTTTTTAGAATTTAAAAAAATATAATAAGTATGGTTAGTATATATGTATAATATTTTTAAAAAAATTATTTAAGGCTGGTTGACGTAAATTGGGCGCGTAAAAGGCCAGAGTGTTATTTAATAAAATGTGCGAACGATGGTCATAAAGCTTTGAAGAGTTAAATGTGTTCCGCCGGCAATAAAAGAGGAAGATTGCTGTTTTGACACTCGAGCGTCAAGCGGGAAAGAAAACAGCAAAGAACAGCTGTACATTTACGCTCCGCCGCGCCGGCTGTATGGGCCGCATTGTGGCATGCTGGTCGGCAAAAAATAACTCCCATTCACAGCAATTTGACGCCCTGTCACTGTTACCATCGTTCGACTAAATGCAGGCGTTCCAACTTTATTAAATTATTTTTTTATACGACGCTGGTTATTTGCCAATAACATCACCATTTGCCGGAAAAAAACAATTTTAATTAACTAATAAAAATTTACGATGTGCATGTTTATAAAGAATTTTATGGGCTGTGAAATAAATATTTTGAAAAAATCATTGTGGCGCCAGGAAAACCATAAATGTTTTAGTAATTAAATACGAAAATCATTAAATATTTATTTAGAAAAGCCATTAAATATTTTTATTAATTATGTAGAAAAAATTTAAAGGTCTTCAGTAATTATATAGAAAAATCATTAAATGCTTTATTAAATAAATAAAAAAAAATCGGGAATTTTTTCTGCTGGTATCCGTCGATTTTTTGCGTAAGAATATAGATCGGAAAACGAGCATTGGATTGTTAAGAAAACAGGGAAAATGTGGTCTTTTCTTGTCGGGGAAATCGATAGTTAATCAAAGACGCCGTTTACACAATGCCATCGCCGTTTTAATTTCCCGCAAATACAGATACACGTCGAACCGGCAACGCACTGCGCTAAACGCTGAAATGCCGGTTGGCGTTTTTTGCATACGCTTTGAGCGGCTAATGGCAGTGCTGAACTGCTGATCGTGGGAAACAATTAGAATGTGCATAATGTTGCTTAATCGCTTGACAATTGTGTGCAATTCCCAGCCGGAAGTGATGCGCGGCTTGAGAGCGGCGTGTGTGTGCCGGTTAGGGTAAAACGATCCCGGCGTTTTAAATTTAGACGACAGACCCAGCCGACCGTTTAGCATAGCAATGCGCGCAGCTATTACTCGACAGATCCCGTTGCAATGTGACCCGGCACAACGGAAAAGAGAGAGACGGAAGTTTCTTAGTTAATCAGCGATGGATGCCAGCGTCCCAACGCCAATTTGTCCGCGAACATTTATGCCGGGGAGTTGCGTAATGCTAACGAAGTTCAGCGTAATTATTCGGCTGTTAGGACGTTTAAGTGCACTGCTCTTATAAGCATCGTTTTACGCACTTTGCATTTCCATAACAGATCAATTTTAATGGAATTTAAAAGCCGAGTTTATGCCTCTGAATCAATAGCAATTCCTACAGATATAATATATATGTTTTGTATATAAATATTCTTATATTTACTGCATATGTATAATTTATTTTCCAATATATTTTTTTTGTATAATTTCCCTTTATTGCATGTATTATAGATTTTTATACATTTTTCGTAGAAAGGGCAGTTAAATATTTTTCTGCTTTTTAAAAATATAATTTTTTTTACAAAGTGTACATCAATATTTTCATATGTTTTACGTATATATTGCCATAGATAGTTTTTGTGTATAACGTAAGACATATATATTTTTATGTGTTTTGGTACACAGCGTTCATTAAATTTTTTACACACATAGTTTTGTATGTACCGGTATACGCATATATATAATGTATGTACATAATTTTTTATTTTCGTATTAAGTTATAAATTAAATATTTTGTGTTTTGACTGGATGCAGAATTCTGTCAAACAATATTCTTTTTAACTTGAACAATTATTATTGCTATTATTCAGTACCAAAGAAATTAGGTTGTGTTCGTCTTTCTATTTAAAGGAAAAAACATCTCGTAAATGAAAATGAATGGTAGTGTAGCAGATGGGGTATGTTAACGGGACAGGAAAGAGACAGTCCTGACAGATTCCTGAAATACTCCTGTCAGGCCTGTCGGTACGCTTACAAACTCGCTAATATTAATGCGGTACATGTGTATGTGGGAATAGCAGCGGAAGTCGTGCGGGCTGCTGGTTATTTCCGGCACAAGGCAATATTGCCCTGATGTCAATTATGCCGGCAATTAGCGGCGGCATCCCTACAACGTCTGCCGGCTGTGATTAGCCGCGTGCCGTCCACTGACGAGCCCAGCCAGATCCCCGCCAAACAAAACAAATTACCCACACGAAAGGTCAACACTGACAATTTTGACGGAAGGGGAGTTTTTTCAGTGCCGCTGTTCGTCGAAAAAAATTCTTAAAATATTGCGGGAAATTACTTTGTGTTTTCTACAGCTTTAATTTTACTGAATTTAAAAATGACATGCAGTAATTATTCCACTCATACAGTTTGATATGTTAAAAAAATTCAGTAACAATATTAAAAATTGAATAATAATGCAGATATTCCCAGCTAAATTAATAATTTTATAAAATAAAATTAAATAAAATTAATTTGTGAAAATATAAATTAAGAATAAAAGCGCTAAAAATATGTGAAAAAAATTCTGGCTGATACAAATCATGAGAAAAATGTGGAAAACGAGAGTGACAGTATTTGAGTGGTCTGATTGAGCCGCATCAAGTGGCGACACACTTGCAAGAATAATATAATACTTAACTACAGAGGATAATTATGGAGCTGTTGGAAAAGTCGTTTATCACGCCGCTCACTGATGATTTTTGCTCTACTTGCTAACCGGCTATCGCTTACTTACTTTCTTTATAATTTCCGTCAAATGACCAGTGGACAGTGGCCGGTGCTGAAACGGCAAAATTAATTAGCGAATTTGTTTTTGTTGCAGTTGTACGCGCTGAAAGAATTCTGCCAAGCGACCCGGGCACACTGTGTGCAGGATTTGGAGGCCTTCATTAAAAGCCCGGAAGGTCAGGCCAAAATCAATTATTAAATATTAAACCGAACTAAGAACAAAATCAGTAACAAAATATCTATAAAAACCGTATATCGATAGCGAAATATCAGCAATAAAATGTAATAAATAGTAAATTCTGTATGACTGATAAAAAAGCGAAAATTCAACCAAAAAATTAACTGTATTAACCAGTACGTTCTCAAGTCAAAAACCCCTCGAATAAAACGTGAAATATAATATTGTCCATGTGATTTTTAAAATTTTATTTCGGGAAAGAAAACTGCCAAAAACCAGTAATTTTAAAAATTATAGTAAGTAATCTGTATAAGCGCAAATATAATTTATTTCCCATTTCTATATCTAGTACACTGTTATATACACTGTTATACGTATATCTAATACACGTATTTTCCTGATTAAAATATTATTTAACAATTTTTATTTTTTTATTTTCCCACGAAAGAAATCCGTGAGAAAATCTGCAGACATAGATATTTTGCTTGTTTGATTACTGAATTATCATTGGGTGCGGCGGCGCATTTTCGATGTAGAAAAATCCGGGAAATTTGTTAAGAAAATGGGTAGAATGGTTTCTTTGGAGCGGAAGAGCGGGATGCTAATTAAAAAGTGCTTAGCGTGCAGCGCGCTGTCAAGTGAAGCGTTAGGTAGAGAGCAACCCGGCGCTGTGTTTGCGCATCCCATTGAGCAGCGGCCGGCGTTTGCGGCCACCGGCATTGATGGGAGTTTGATGGTTTTTTTAATGCTTTTCATTTCCGCCCCGGCACAATGCTCGCCGCTAACGTCCCGAGGAAATCCGATGAATGTCGCTATACGACACCGACGTCCTGCATCAAACCGGCTTTTTAAATCGCCCTTCGCAGACAGAAAATCACCTTGATCATTTTCGGTGACAGAAAGACAGGAGAATTGATTGTGATGGCACGTGCGGGCGGGTGGTGTGGCGGTTACGTGAATGGGGCGGCTAACGAGCGTCGGAACACCCGCTGTGCTCTTCGCGCCGTTGACTGTCAGAATTCTCTGGTATCGCAACAAGCCGCGATGAATTACGAAATCTGGTATTAAATTTTGAAAATTAAAATATATTTTGGAAATTGTATAATGTGCATTCCGGACTGGCAGGCGTCCGGAACTGCACGGCGCAGGGTTTCGCAAGCGTGGCGCCACATTTTCCCATCACAGAAATTCGTGGGAAAATTTGGGGATTTATTTTTCGGATTTTAAATTTTACTTTCTGATTTTTTTTCTCCGTTTTCCCAAGACAGAAATCCGTGGGAAATTTTTATTTTCGAGTTAGGTTTCTAGAATTAAGTTAATTTAAATTTTTCTCAATTTTTCCACACCTGAAATCTGTGAAAATTTAAATTTTCTGATTAGTCCGAGTTAAGATTTGATTTTCGGGTTTTTGTTTCTGTTTTCCCACAACAAAAATCAGAGAGAATTTTGTTTTACAATCTCTCCAGCGCAGAAATTTATAGGAAATTAATTTTCGAATTTAGGATTTTATTTCCCGAATTTTTTCGGTTTTCCCACAGCAGAATTTCGTGGGAAAATCTCGTATTAGTAAAACAATTAAATTATACAAATGCCAGCACGATGAAAAAACTACTGTTTTGTCAGCTCTTGGCCAAGTGGCATTGTCGGGTGGAAAATAAATGGCCGGTGTTTCTCTCTTGCTAACGATGCGCATTATTTTTTCCTGACAGTTTGGTGAAGCGACAGGTGCGACGATTGATCAGGGCAGCTTAGCGTTAAGTGGATTGATCAATTGCTGACGACGGTGTCTGTGTTACCGGTATCTGTTGCTGTTTGTGCTTAGAAAAAATCGGCTGTTTTTAATAAGCAGTGACAAGTCAACATTTGGGTTTATTGTGCCGCTTTAATTGTGCCGGGTATATTAAACGTGTGATCGTGTGAGCCGGGTTAATAACAGTGCCTATCAATACACTGTCAGATTTCTATAATAATAATATTGTCTGGTGTGTTTATGCCGTTGACTCGGTTGGTATTGTTGGCGCAATTTGGACGTGTCCAGATTGTTGGAGCAGCTAATCAATTACGCTGCCAATAAGCAGTTTTATTCACATTAATTCTACCGACGATTGTTCATTGCGTATTCAGTTTTTTTCTAGTTTTTACTGAGCTGAAAAAAATAACAACAAGCGCGACCTTTTTTCGGTATCGCCAGCAATATTTTATTTCGCTGCTGAAAAATCCGGCGGATTTAATTTTTTAATTTAGCATCATTATTTTGATATTTTATTTCCGTATTCTATTCTTCTTTATTAATGCTTACTTTTTGTAAAATCGTTCAACTGTAATTACTTGTTTTATGTAATAAATATTCGGTAATTTTGATGGCCGACAGCCTTTCTTTACATTTAAATTTGCTGCGAAATCGCAGGAGTTTTATGTTGCTATAACGTATTTATTACCTTTGGAAATTATTTTTGCAGTTGTAATTCTGCGGCAATTTTTAAAAATATTATTTTCATAAAATAATATTTATTTATTACAAATCTTATATTCCTAATATTCTATTTTATATTATTGTTTTATTCTTATATTTTTTTACATAATAAATAAGGCGTAATTATTAGCATTCACAACCGGCATTTTTGGTGCGCCGTTTACAGCGGCACGAGGCAAAACGCGAATACTGTCCGCGGCCGGAAGCGGCTATTTGACGCCGTGTGTCGCCCGAGCCCACTTCCGCTCCACATATATTGCCCCGATAATCGCTGCGTCTTCCACAAAAGAGGCTTCAATGTTTTTTGTCCACGACACAAGAGCACAAGAAAGGCTCTGCAGCGGTTACATAAGGCGCGTCAAGTGCGCGATTAGCGGAGAGTGGAAAATAATGAAAATTGATAGTTACTGTTTCTCCTGTCACCGCGCGCTCTCCATTGACCCACAAACGCACGCCGGCCATTAATTACTCTGTACTGATCTATACAGATACGGACCGTGTCCGTATATATCCGATCCCGGCCGTTGTAATTCAATTATCCAACCGGCGTTTAATAATCTTCCGCGGCGCGGTTTTAATTATCTCGTGTCACTGTCAGGATCAACAATAAACAGCCCGCGTTTATTGCAGCCCGGCTTTCTTACCGCCGACTAATTGTATATATAGAAAAAGGCAGGGTTGTGTAAGATAAACGCTGACGTGGCTTTCTTCGACTGACAGGGATTAAATACTCTTGAAAAGGCTCGTTTTTCGACAAGCTTACAACTCGGAATTTTTTAACGCCTATTAAATAATTTAATTCAATACATTATGTAACTAAAATTCTAACAATTTCTTGAGCAAATTACAATTTTTAAAATCTTAAGTAGAAAAACGTTTTCGTTGCCTTTTTACTAAATCAGTAAAGCGGAGTTAGGTTGCTTCGGCTCTGGAATTTTTTGGGAAGTGTGACATTAAGCGATTCCGAGTTATCACGAATAATAAATACACTAAACAAATGAATCTATAATATTTAAGCAGAAAGAAATTATATATGATTTAATTAGAAATCATAAAATTTAATTCTGATTTCTAAGCAGCAGTATCTTGTTGTAACCATGAAAATCGTAAAAATTAAATTAATAAAATCCCATAAATACCGGTCAAATGGAGAGTAAACAATTTTATTAAAATTAGACAAAAAAAAGCGGATTTCGTTTTTTACTAAATCAGTAAAGCGGAATTTGGCTGGCTTCGGTCTTCAAAAAATTCCGGCATGTTTTCGCGAAGGTTGCCGTTGAGGGATCCGGGGTCATAATGAACAGTTGATTAAGGAACGAGCGTTTGTAATAATGCGGGCCTGCTTTGACGGGGGCAATTGATATGCAAATATTGTATCGCTAAATCGATCCCGCTCAGCAGCCGGGTCAGCCGCGGTCCCGTGGGGCCACTTTGTGGAGCGGATCCGCCGCGGCGGAACTGCGCCGGCCGTCCGCGCCAGGAGTCACGCGGGCCCGCTGTGCGCGGCGCTTGTCGGCGCAGCGGGCGCTGTTGTGCCGAGCAGCGTCACTATGCATTATGCATATAATCAGCGCGGCAAAAAACACACTACACGACGACATTACAACATACCGAATTATTACGTGAATATTTTATCCAGTAGACCGGTATTTATTGTGGGATTTTTGAGTGACAACATGAAATTAAATTTAAATTTATTCGGTGTTTTATATAAGGCATTTCGTCTTGGCTCCCGTTACTGTCTGCATTATGTACCAAATATAATAATAAAAAATCACAAACCTAAATATTAAAATACTAAAATTAAAACAAAAATAAAACACGAAATAATTACAACGAAGAATAAATAACGGTCCTCAGTAATTTTTATCGCCACCAGAAAAATAATTATTGCCAGATAAATATAATTTTATTTTTGGATCTGGCCTTAAAGGAAATTCAGGAAATAAAAACAAAAAATTCCTGTTTGTTAAAAAAATTTTAAAAAATTATGGCAAAACCGAAAATAAATTATGGCAAATAAAAAAAAATTTCCGAAAAATTCCACGACGATGATCTTTTGTGACACGTGATTTTCTAGAGCGGCAGGAATGCCGAGTAATTCGGGCGTGTATATATCAGAAGGGATGATATCCAGAATGACGAAGGGGATTATATCAGAATAAGAATGACGATGGGGATGATATCAGAAAGCGGGGGAAACGGGAGCCGCTATCGGCTGTTGCTTATCGATCCGCGTCGCCGCTCGCCGCTGGAGCGGAACGGGACGCTTGATCAGCCAGGCCGATCATGATCAACTACAGTAACCGAGTAACATGCCCAAGTGATGCAGTAAAGCGCTATTCAATTGATTACGCATATTGTTATCATAATGCACGGCGATATATATTGAGAAACGGGGTTGGGCATAATCGTGAGGATATCGTGTATCCCGGCTGCCAATCATCCGGGCCCGCATTGAACGGCCGGATGCGGTAGCAGCCCCGACAAGGGCCCATTACGCCGAGATAACGAGCCGGCTGATTTCACCGCGATCAGGTTGCACGGGCAGTGTCCAGACCGGGCAATTTGTCATCCATTCAGCGCAGATTGACAATGGCTCCTTCAGAATGGTTTCGCTTTCAATGGGGAGTTATTGAGCTGCGCAAACACAATCTTCGAGTAAATCCTGTATTTTCACAAAGCACGGTGTTGGTATTTCTCCTAACACTTTCACAAGAAACCGGTGCATTTATTAAATCATAACAAATAGTAGAGAAGTGTGATATTCAGAGTTTTTAGTAGCATGGAGAGCTTTGACCACCGTTGACAAAGTGGCGGATGTTTGATGACCTTTACATGTACCTTTTTTATATATTCTTTGTACATATACAAGTACATAAAATATGTTAAATGACCTTTACATATATCCTTACATATATACGTGAATGAACACGTTAAGTGACTTTTACATGAATGTTATACATGTCTTTTATACTATATATTTAGGTTATATAAACACTATATCTGTATATCCTACATATAGATTCTTATACAAGTATATGAATTATCTGTTGTGTATAGACATCTGTTTATATACCCCCTGACCTTTCTTATACGTACATTTGTACGAGTATATCGTGCTGCGGTTGTCAGTGTTTAATAAAATATGTTTTGCAAATGTTGCAGTGATGAGAAAACTGCGTGGAGAGAAAGGCGAACGCGGCTACCCGGGACCGCCCGGACACTGCACCTGCGACGTCAGCACCGCGCTGCGGCGTTCGATTTCCGGTGAGTCAATGAATAGAGAAATTCTTCCTTTTCGCTCCCGTTAACACGTTTCAATGGTCCACCCGGCAGGCACCGATACGGTGATGGTGGGCCCGCGCGGACCTCCCGGACCCCGCGGCGCCAAGGGCGACCGCGGCCCTCCAGGTCCGCCGGGGGTGTGCGCCATCAAGTGCCTGGACGAGGACATCCTGCCCTACCCCTACCAGACCCGCGACCGTCTCCCGGCCACCGCGTCGCAGCAGGCCCTCATCCCCACCACGGAGAACCCCTACCTGGCCGTGCCCAGCACCACCTCCACCTACTACGACGTGGAGACCTCCACCGCCCGGGTCGTCGAGGGGTACGGCTGTCCGACCACCTCCAAGGTGTAAAGGTCACGGTTGACTGGTTGTAGGGAGATGCAGCTCCCGGAACCCCCGTCCATCTGGAGCCAGAAGGACATGACCAGCACGCCGCGTCACACTACCACGACGCCGACCACCACCACGGCGGAGGTGCACCCGACGCCGGCGCCGCGCGGTCCCAACGGGGGACTGGTGGAGGAGGTTGATCTGGACGAGGTGGAGCCCAGCCATGTCCACATTAAGAACGACATCCCGGCCCGGAAGCGGAGTACGTGCTTTTGGCTACTTCCGGTGTCCCAAATTTATATAAAAATATATACATAAAATTTATATATAGAAAAAATAAAAAAATATATATTTATTACTGGTTGTTTTATAGATTGTTTCATCGAGGCGATCGGGAAGCCGGTACTCCTGCGCAGTCCCCCGGAGAACGACCACATCGCGGCGTGGGGCGCCATTATGCGGGACGCCCACCCGCCGGGCGTCCGCGACGGCGACAAGTACTACATGACGGAGCAGTTCAGCGGACGGGAGCTGGTGGAGTACGGCTCGGCCGAGGACTTCAAGAGCTACACGCCGCGCATCAAGTACTCCCTGCCCAAACCGTTCCGCGGCGTCGGCCATGTGGTGTACAACGGCTCCTTCTACTACCACGTCGATGCGCAAGTAAGTCAAGCCGCACTCGTCGACGCGGTCAGCATTTGTCGAGGTCTCTCGACGCGCTACGCTAGCTAATTATAGAAGTACATATACAAAAATGCCGGTATTAACATAAGTTTATACGGCAGCATTTAATTACGTACGTTTATATAAAGATTTTTACACGGAAAGATTTTTTTATTTATGCTTATATTGATATCGGGAATATTAGTGTATTTCTTTGTAGCCGACAATCGTGAAATTTAATCTGGCCAAGGAGCGCATCGTGGCCAAGAAGAAGATGGAGGGCATCTCGCACCGCAACGGCCAGCACATCTACAACCTGCACAAACGCTACGACTACATGGACTTTGCCGTGGACGAGCACGGGCTCTGGCTCATCTTCTCCATGCAGCACAGCAACGCCACCATGGTGGCGCAGTTGGACCCGCAGACGCTCGACTTTATCTTCGTCCGCAACGTCTCCTACAGCCACTTAAACATGGGTACGTAATGTGAACCTAGTAAAATTGCTCTTTTACTACCGACTACCGACCGGCAAACTTTTAAAACTATTCCCTCGAGAACATTCAACTCGGAATTTCCGAAACAGGCACTTAATGACGCAACGTGGCCATTCTAGCCTGTGGTTTTCGACCTTTTTTATACAACGTACCATTTTATTTTGGTTTATGTACACATATAATTATGGTTTTTGAGTGACCTTTACATATAGTTACCTTATTAATTATTCTGTATATAAATCGAAACTTTATTGGAACTTTAATTTGAACCATATATATGTATGCTACAGTATGCATATGTGTAAGTGTTTGCTGTGAGTGACCTTTATATCTTTATATATCATTTGATTTATACGTGCATGTAACCATGTACTTACTTAATTATACATGCATTAATAATAAATGTAATTTTTTATAGTACATGCAGTTAGATATGTCGCTCTGTATGACCTTTATTAATAATTTGCGCCGCGTTATGACTGTTAACAGTTTTGAACAGTATGTCGTTATAAAAGCGTGATCTTTTGCACGATTATCGGCAGGCAACGCGTTCGTGGCGTGCGGCGTCTTATACGGCATCGGGACGGTGCACTTCCCCTACACGCACGTCGTCCTGGCCTACGACCTGCTGACCGACCAGCACTACGAGCCCCCCGCCGGCGCCCTCTTCACCAATCCCCGCCAGAAGACCGTCATGCTGGACTATAATCCGCGCGACCGCAAACTGTACAGCTGGGACGGCGGCTGGCAGCTGATGTATCCGCTCAAGTTCGGCACGCTCGAGCCGCCCAAACTCGACTAGGGGGACGCGCGTATCTGATTAACCGGCAAAGCAACGAATGACGCGATGGGTGATGATGACGACTGATAGGCGAGAAAGTGGAGTAACGGTTTTTATACGACGCCCCGCGATGGGATCGCGGGGCCCGGTTTATTTGATATGCCCGGCAGTACTTAACACGGTGGTTGCGTCGTTTGTGCTCTTTTTTATTGTCCGCGTGGTTACTTTGATATAACAATATACTATACTTATTTTTGTTGTACATGTCTTCCAGTTTTGGTTGTTCGTCGAACTCATATTTATGGCATTTTCTCTAGAGAATAAAACTATTATATTTAATTAGAAAGGTCATATAATCAGCTATGATTACGATTACCAGAATTGCGAAACACAGGATCACCATGCGAATTTAATTAGAACGTCCCATACAAACGAAGGAACCAAAACTAAAGTTCAGGTTTACAAACAGCTTGACCGGCTTCCGATAAATGAGCGCTCATGGTAATCTGGTCAGAACAGTTAGCCACAACATAGTGAACCGTTTTAATTTAATCTCGCCGGCAACCTCGTCTACATGTCGCGCGCGCCGGTCTTAGACTGGAACATGTGCACAAGATTCTGTAGCAGCGATGAATCGACGCCCTTCAGTGCGTCCATCAGCGACTGCAGGCGTTCCGCCGCGCGGGCCGTCTTATCGCCACCGCCGTTGCCGGGACCGCGGCCGTGGATGGCCTCGCAGTTATTGTTGCCTCTACCGTTGCCGGAGTTGTCGTCGGTGGGGTCGCGGTAGGCCGACATGGGGAAGCGGGCCACATACGCCTTGTAGATACTGCAGTTGCGGTGCAGTTTCATCAGCGTCGTGTTCAGCTTCTCCAGGATCGCCGGGTCCGCTGTTCATCAAAAAGTTGATCTTCTGAACGCGTAATGTAGCCGTTCATTATAACATATTCTATGCTCATGAACTTGTCTGGCTGATTACTGTGCTACTTCCCTTGTCATTCTCATATGCATGTACATGTATAATGTGCTCTTGTATTCGCTACATCATCTATCGTTCTAACTACGATACATCCGCGTTAACATGTGTTCGTAATAAAGCCTACGAAAAGCCCCGTTACAGGACTGTTAGTTAAGCAAGTGGACTGACCTTTGGCGCTCTTGCTGACACCGAAGCTGGAGACGGTGGTGTGGCCGAGGTTACTGATGCTAAGCAGCGGATACTTGAGCACCATCTTCTCCAGCACCGGCGTCCGGCCGACGAAGATGGACTTCTCGTTCTGCACGTCGTCCAGCGCCTTCTTCAGATCGGCCGGTTTACCGCCGGCGCCGGCCGCTCCGCTAGCCTGCTGGTCGGGCGGCAATTTCTTCACCTTGTCCGGATCATTCTGCAATCACAGGCATAAACATTCAATACTATATACAGAGTATATCACTATCTTCCAGTATATATATGTCATAAATAGTGCATTTTTTGATATGTACACTTTTAATTTCTCAATATGTACAAGGCAAAGCTCGCCTTGCTCAACAAATATGATCAAATGAAGAATTTGCCCCAATTAACATGGGAAGGGACTGTGTACAATACACTCATAGCATTACCACGCATAATCTCCAAACGTCAACGTTGAAACAAGTAGAGTGAATCTCGCCCGTCCTCAAAAACAACTTCTTACCGATCTCGTTATAACATTTTTAATTTTTACATATGCAATACATAATCATATACGTATATATGCATATACGTCGTCATATACAGAGTACAATATCCATGTATTGAAGCAGAGATTAAGCCTAGCCGTTGTAAAAAAAAACGCTGCTGCCGTTTTAGGCACAAGGAATATGCGTCCTAGAATGCCTGCCAGCGCGAACGAGTTTGGCTGTTTTTTTAACATTTAAATTGGAATATTTTTTAAGCAGTAATACGCGAATGCACCTTTTGTTATCTTGTTGGCGTTGTGCCCAAGTAAGAAATGTAATTTTGAAGAAAACGTACGAAAGTATAGCGCTACGAAATTCAGGAAAATGTCACCGCAGACCGGGGCGGGGTTACCCACCGCGATGGTATCCTGGGTGTTGGTGAAATTGAGCGTACTGATGCCCAGCTTCAGGCGGTTCTTCTCCGCCATGATGGGCTTAAACACCTGCACGTAGTCAGCGATCATGACCGGCACGGTGAAATTGATCTTGTCCTTGTAGACGCCGTCCTTCTCCACGGCGCCCAGGAAGATGCCGGTGCCCTGTGTGCAATACAGTGTCAGTTCTCTTTCCGTCGGAAATATATATATATATATATATATACACATGTATGTACGTATACATATACGTATACAGTGGCAGTAAGGTACATATAAATATACGTACGCTGTGTAGAATTGTTAGTTATCGTATAGGTAATATACTGCAAATTCGTTGTTTGTAGAATTGTTAGTTATCGTATAGGTAACATACTGCAAATTCGTTCATTTTCTTAATGGCATTGTCGAAGCTGTCTGGCTTGTCGACCTTATGCACGTCAAAGTCGTAGCCCCAGTCGTCGATGATCAGGTCCAGGATGTCGCGGAAGAAGCCGGCGTCCGAGTTGCCGCTCTCGTCATGATCGGCCCACAGCTCGTTAATCTAGCCGCAACACACAGTCATGTCAACAGCTGTATATGCATCGCCAGTGTAATCCAAGGTACAGCTAAGTAAAGTCGGAAAAATTGAACAATCACATCAACAAGCAAAGTGCAGCAGGAGCATAACCAGTGCACTTCAATTGCCGGCACTGAGTACGAACAGAGAAGCGCTTCTTGACGCACTATATGCGCAAAAAACGCAGCGTCTACTCTGTTGGTCGCCCGTTTTATATACACTTATGCTGAATAGGAAGTAAAGGTCACAAGTATACTTTGACGGTGAAGAAGCGGATATTGTCGGGCAACTTCTCCTGCTTGACCGGCGGAGGCTTGGGAGTGGGAGGATCCGGTTTGGGTGGAGAAGGATCTCCTGCGGTGCAGCTGCCCACCAGCAGGGCGCTGATAACACTCATGACCAATAACGCGACAGATCGGGCCATTGGATTCAATGTTGTGCGTGTTGAAACTAGAACTTGATGCTAATTTCTCCCCGCTGGACTACTGTATAATAATAATCCGTTATGTATACAGTTTTCTGTCTTTGTTAATAAAAGATGTGCAGCTTGCGAGAGGGAAGAAGCTGGTCAGCAGAAAAAGCTGTGGAGGTGGCACATTCTTTCCGGCGGCTAAGCAAATCGCCGCCAGCGTAATCGGGACCGGCACTCAAGTGCCACTCCACCAGGCAGATGACAGGAAGAGGGCTGCGCGTTACGCGTTACGCGCTCATCGCTGCTGCAGTCACGTGCACGTGACGGTGCCTGGGTGTGCGAGCCCCAATACCGCGGGATTGGGTAGAAGTTGGCCGCATTCGGGTAACCGCCATCTGAGTATGCGGTCGTCATGTAGCACTAGCAATATCGGTTGATATTTTCCTAGATGTAATTTTACTTCTCACATGTACAAAGCGATCTTCGCTCAACAATTATAATCAAATATTTTCCTTTTCTTCGAAGGTTTTCCTTAAAGCATTGCATTCTCAGACCTGGTGCATGATGCGCTGATTCATATCCGGCAAGGAATGTCCATGGTGTGGGAACGGAACAAGTGTTGTATCATGAATAATCACCGGTATTGCTACAGATACTCTTGTGAGTGATGTTGCCGGTTATGCAGTGGTTTGTTATTTGTATCACGCTTGAACTCGTATCTTTGCAATGATGAGTTTTTACGAGTATGTATAGTAATTTCATAGCTAGCTTGTATGTTCTTGCAAAACCACGACGATTCATTCGAGTTAGAAACATCTTGGCAGTAAAGTCTCATTAGGAATCGTTGTTTCTACGTTATGAGTATGTAGTAACACATAGACCCTATTAAGTACAAGATCTATACTACGCGCGGCGCCCCATAGTTTTCAGATCTCCATAACCAAACCGTTTTTTTGAAAAACTGACAACGCCAGTGGATCGGCCTTGGTCCAGAACTGGCCGACATGATTTTCTTTTTTAAATTCGTTCGACCAGAATCGTGCCGGCACGATGCCGAAAGCGATCTAACCCGCTTTCAAGGTGACCTTGGGACTTAGAAAAAATTTGCTTGGATACAATACAATACTTAACATAAACTGATAAATACACTAATTAAACCGAAAAATAATTCAATTGTACGAGTCTAAATAAATAAATTAATCTCGTACTTATTTTCGTGCACCACCACGCACAAAATTAATAAGAATTTATTTAGCCTTCCGGTTTTGGTTGTTGGCACTTTTATACGTTATTTCAACGTTCCAACTATACTAACAAGTTTCAAATAATACTAAGATGATCGGGATGTTTGATTTTGCTATAAGGTGAAGGGATGTTTGATTTAGATCGGGATGTTTGATTTTGATGATCGGGATGTTTGGTTTTGCCGTTAGGTGAACTAGTGACCGAGCTACGACTACTGTCCAGCGCACACAGCCCTTTAGTGGAACGATTGACTGAGCTACAATTACAGTCCAATGCTTAGATCCCGTTAGGTGAGCTAGTGACCGAGCAACCAATACTGTCCAGTGCACAGAGCCCGTTAGGTGAACTAGTGACCGAGCTACCACTACTGCCCAGTGCTTAGATCCCGTTAGGTAGATGGGTGACCGAGCTACAAATACTGTCCAGTGCACAGAGCCCGTTAGGTGAACTAGTGACCGAGCTACCACTACTGCCCAGTGCTTAGATCCCGTTAGGTAGATGGGTGACCGAGCTACAAATAATGTCCAGTGCACAGAGCCCGTTAGGTGAACTAGTGACCGAGCTACCGCTACAGCCCAGTGCACACAGACCATTAAGTGAACGCGTGACCGAGCTACCACCACTGTCCAGTGCACAGAACCCGTTAGGTGAAAGAGTGATTCGAGCTACCACTACTGTCCAGTGCACACAGCCCTTTAGTGGAACGAGTGACTGAGCTACAATTACTGTCCAATGCTTAGATCCCGTTAGGTGAGCTAGTGACCGAGCTACCACTACTGTCCAGTGCAAACAACCCTTAAGGAGAACGAGTGACTGAACTACCATTACTGTCCAGTGCTTAGATCCCGTTAGGTAGATGGGTGACCGAGCTACCAATAATGTCCAGTGCACAGAGCCCTTTAGTGGAACGCGTGACCGAGCTACCACTAATGTCCAGTGCACGGAGTCCATTAGATAGATGGGTGACCGAGCTACCAATACTGTCCACTGTCCAGTTCATAGAGCCCGTTAGGTGAACGTATAACCAAACTGCAATTACTGAAAAAATAGTATTGAGCTCGCTAAGTTGTTAGTTTGTGATCAAACTGGCACCAGTGTCCAAGTCTGAGCTTTCTTTTAGTTTGTAATGTAGTACTCTCGTGGTTGATTAGATTCGGATGGTTTACAAAAATACCTGTAAAAAACAAAGTACCTGTAACAAAAATACCTGTAAAGTCAAAGTAAATGCGCTCGAGTGCACGAAGCTAAAACATCTATTTTTTTATATAATTTTTGTTTTCGGGCTTTTCGGATTTATCCATTCTGTTTAAGGGGTTAGCTGATAAACTGATCCATTTTAAGTTAACAATCCGCAAACCGGCCGTGGAGTTTAGAACCCAAGAAACGCGGAGGCGAAGCCGAGGCTGTTTCTTGTAAATAATATAATTATCACAAGTTATCGCACTATTGCGGAGCTCTCGTGTGGTCACCGGAAGTTGGGAGAACTTCACCGGGAGTGTTGCCCACTTGGCAGAAAACGCCAAGCGACGGAATTACGCTCACTGGAAAATCGTTTTATCCATTAATCGTTGAAAAGTTGGGTGTTGTCGGCCCGGCTTCAAGCGAACGATCGCAATTCATGGGCCGGAAGATTTGTGATTTGACTGGAGAGGCGGACTAATGTTTAAGAGAAAGGCTAAATGACTGCCTCAACTGCAAGGGTTTGTCTGCTCAATGAATAAACTAAATTAAATTAAACTACTGATGTATTGAGTATTTTGCCGTTTAATCCGCAGGAAGATACCGGTTTTGGGTGTTTTTTTTCAGTTTTCAAATCTTTAAGTGTGAATTAGTGTGCCCAAGCCGGCAATTTTCGGAAAATTGGCGATTATTGCCTGCTGAAGTGCACATATACAAAGGGCGTACCAAAAGTAAGTTTCCCTCTTTTGCCTCCTTGCCATTTGAAGCAATAAACATGTGATATATTTTTTGTTGTATAAGTAATTATGTAAACTAACTAGGGAAATAAGAATCAGAAGATTCAATGAAGAACTGGGAAGAGGAAAAATAGAATAGCGAGACCACTTATACATCTCTCTCCACGGGTTTTTTTGAAGCTGTTTCTTTTTATTGCCACTTCCGTTCTTGTTATAATTTCGAAGTTAAATTTAAAGTGTTAGTTGCAAGTACTGTTCTCAATATTACTACGATGACAAAACGGTTTGAAAAATTCACGAAGTGGAGCAAATACATTTTTTCTTCATGACGCCAGAATTCCCCTTTTCTGCCTTCCTGCTGATATGAATCCCAGGTTCTTTGCATCAATAAAAAGAAAATTTCATGCGCAGTCATGCGCAACTTAGACACCAATAACTTCAAGTAATACCGACAATAATAATGTTTTAAAAGAAATTTTCGATTTTTTACCGTGTGGCACCTTGAGCAGCTCCGTGGTTTTTCCACCTAGTCATCGATAGTTTTTAATTCTTTGCAAAAGCATTATGAAAAAGTTATTTATGTCGTACTTGGAATTAGAACAGAAAAGAATTTCTGATTTGATAATATTTTGCGCTTTGCGAAAAGTAAACAGGAAGACTAAGAAAAATATTAAAAACTGTCTGGGTAAAACACGTGGCAACGTCCGGAACACCTTTGACGGTTTTCTCGGCAGTACTTTCCCATTTGATAGTAGTTAGGTACAGTTATATTTTACTTCGGTTCGTTAATGAAGGACGTTTCTAAAATATGGTTCATAAGAGCTAAAAGCATTCAGGCCGGGAGATACAAAATAGGGAAACTTACTTTTGGTACGCCCTTTGTAGTATAAACTATTACGATTATAATATAATGACAACATATGCTGTACACTTAAACTGAATACAGGTAAGAGACGTACGATGGTGAAGAAAAAACCTTGAAGAATGCCTCGCGTGTTAAGAGGCTGATTCATCGCCAGCCGGAAAACGGTGCGGCCAGGAGAATCCGGTTTAGCAGCCTTCAGAATTAAATTTCCTATGCATGCAACCGATCGTCTGACGAATACCTGTCACCTACGTATACGTTTCGACGAGGTGCGCGCTAAGAGTTTGGAGAAATATGCAGAGTTTTCACGCTGCCATGCGGCGCGATGATTCGCCAACAGGTGCGCGCCACTACGCTGCATATGTGATAAGGCAGGCAGTTAATATACAGCAACTGCTATAACGGGATGTGGTGCGGAAAATTATCGCTCCCGTCATATTAACAGTATTATTATCCACACTACAGTAATCCTTTAACTGGATATCTGCTGGAATTTACCCGCTGTGCCGGTGTATACATGGTTATTGCGCGGAGATCCTGCAGACTGCAACCAGGAGAATATCGCGGGATTGGTTTAGCTGACCGGTATTTATGAGGGACGAGCTGGTCTTCTGACCGACTGCCCACCGCGGCGGTTATTCTCATCCTTGTCGCCATGCCGGCCGCCTGCCTCTGCTGGTCAGCCGCAGGCACCACCCACTTCCTCCTCTCTCTCCTAATCGCTCTCCATGTATTCTCCTTCGCCTCTGCCGGCCTGTTCACCGCGCTTTTCGGCGGAGAAGATCCCAGGTACGATACACCTGAAGCACATCTGTCCTTATTCCTTATCCATTAAACAACTTCCAATTTGCTACGGTTTCGGTTGTTTTTTCAATGTAAAAATTTCAATCAGTTTGATTAGAGTACATCCGCGCATGTATACACATATACATATATAGACATAATTATATTAAATTATATATACATATATTAAATATATATACATATATACATATATTAAATTATATATACATATATTAAATATACATACATATATTATATATATACATATAGTTACATATACATATATATATACATATATACATATATATACATTATATATCTATATACATATATTTGTTACTAGAGCTCATAAGTCAACATGTTTAGTCAAGTCTTCCAGATTCATTGACGTAACATCCGGATAATGATACAGTATATAGGCAATCCCATGTAGCGCATATGCATATGTACAATTTGTTTGTTTTTTTTTTGCTTTGCGTATTAAGACACAGATGCACACTACTGCCAAGTTGGCATATTTACCGTCTGTTTTGTGTTCTTTGTACAGGTACTGCTCGTGGCACGGAACGGCTCCCTTCTGCAGTCCCTCGTGTCCCGCCGGGAAGGTTAAAGCGGAAGGCCGGGAGACAAAGTGCGGAAGCAGCAGCATCTTCTGCTGTCTGACCGGCCAGAAGATCGTCTGCTGTCCCAAGGACTTCGATTTCAACACACAGCCTGTCATCTTCGCCAAACTCCCGCCCGAAGCACCCACTGCCCCTTAAATTAAACGCCCCCTTCTTTGTTCCCATTTAACAATGCACACCCTTGCTGTTGGCTTAATTTATTACTATCGTTTATTAGAATTACTTTTATTCGCACAATGAACACAAATTAAACAGAAAATTGTGCCTCGACTGGTGGTTTGTCAGATGTGTACTTTAAATCCTTCATTTTTATTAGAGATTCGTGCTGGGAAATGTAATACAAGAGTATCAGTTAACAACAAAAAAACGCATAACAGTAATAACACCATTTCCGTTCAGCCAAAGGAAAGGCAAAGTGCACTTGTAAAATTTTCCAATAGCCTGATAAGATATCTCCGTTAATGCAATTTGACAACTGTAGTGAGATTATTATAATACTATCAATATTGTTGTTTAATTATATACAACATATATTTTATATACATTTACAATATATTTATATACATTTATTTTATACACATTTTTTATATACTGAGCCGATTTACATTAAATAAATTGATTTAATTTTAAACCATGAAAAAACACCCAAAATTGTCAGTGTCATTCGGGATCTTAGGACGTCAGTGTGACTAAAAAAAGCCCCTTTTTTCTCTAACAGCTAGATTGTTGAATTATACTGCGCTACACCGTTGACCGTTGTACGCTGAAATTTGTGCGTATCTTCATCTGATTGATTTTATTTATTATCGATAAAATTATTTAACACCGCACACCGCTGATTACAATCACCGAATCGGTATAAGCAAAACAATCTTGCCTTTTGCCACTATACACGATCTGATTAGCGTGCAGCGTCTACTTCGAGGAATTTCGGCTGTTTTTGGCAGTGGCTTCCCGTTAAATTAAGGTGTTGATATGACTGTCCAACATCAGCGGTATAAATATCTCAGCAATCGCAGAAACCGACAGCTGACTGCTGTTAATTATAGCGCCGATCGCCGTTGCGTACTTAGTTATTTTGTGAGGATTAGCGTATTTATTCCCCGCTGCACAATGAATAAGTTTGTCATGTTGACCTTTGTGGCGGTCTGCGTGCTGGTCACCGTGCTGGAGACGGAAGCCAAACCCAAGTAAGCGCACATTTTTCTACCTTTACATAATATATAGTTTCTACGTTATAATGTATTTTAACATCGGCATATGTATTTATTTTAAAGTAATTATGTAATCGTACTATCACGGTATTTCGTTTGTTTGCAGGCACTGCACATGGCACGGAACAGGTTAGTCTGCGTATGCAGTGCGATTATTAATAAATATTTATCCCAAATAAATACAAATAAATTCAAATAAATTATTATAGAAGCAAATAGACAATAATAAATGGTATAAACTGCAAATTGTGGCGCTTACATTTTACATAATACACATAAACATATACAATATATATTTACATACATACATAATACGTGTATACATGTTTGTAAACATATTTACATATATACTGGCTAATATAAAGTGTTATTGTTTTATTTGTTATTACGCGTAACTAACATTTATTAATTTTTGACTTTCGTATAAAATGAAATCTTTCAGTACTAGTCATTATACTGAAAACGTTGAATATTTTCCAGCGCCGCTGTGCATGCCGTCGTGTCCGAGCGGGAAGAAGAAGATCCCCGGCACAGAATCCAAGTGCGGCCCCAACACCGTGGCCTGCTGCGTGACCAACAAGAAGTTCGTCTGCTGTCCCAACGACTGGCAGGGTAACGCCGCCAACGCCATGGCCATCGCCAAGGAATAGCCGTTCACTCCTTAATCCCGCCACCGTTGTACGAACCACTGCTCCCATGCCTTTCTGTTTTGAACTGATTTGTAACGCGTCATACTACCATCAACATGTAACGATTGCATACCATAGCGCATTCTAACTGACGCTATTATCGCTTAATGTGTACCTAAAAAATCTATGTTTAATTTGCTGTGAAATGCGACGTGTACTGCAATTTGTGAATCGGGAAGCAAATTATGCATGTGCGCGTCCTGTGCTCTGAAATTGCGTAGATGAAATAAAAAAGGTCGAACATCGGTGCTGCGATGTGATGTTGTGGAAGAGTAATATTTCCCGACCAACAATCGGCGAGGTCATTTTTAATTGAATCTCACACTGGTAATATAAACAACAATAATGCTGATTATCCAAGCATCAACTACTCTGTGCAAGTTAAAAGGTCATGATCGATCACGAAGCGAGTAATCAAAACACAGCAGTATTGGCAAAAAAAGCCGTCTATTTCGCAGCAAACTAGAGTATGTATAGTAATTTTCGGAGATTTGCGTTTCCACAGCAGGTTGTTAAAAGGGCGTAATTACGTCTTGGCGATGGCGATGGCGTTGGCGGCGTTGCCCTCCCAGGCCTTGGGGCAGCAGACCAGCTTCTGGCCGGTGACGCAGCAGGCGATGCTGTTGGGGCCGCACTTGGACTCCGTGCCGGGCACCTTCTTCTTCCCGCTCGGACACGACGCCATGCAGCTACACACAGACACACACAATCAGTGACCTTTTAAATTAAGCATTTGTCTACGCGTGCGCGGGATGCACTTACAAGGGGCCGTTCCGTGCCATGTGCAGTGCCTGCAAAGGTCAACAAGCGATATACATAATTCATCTTCGTCAAGTTCTTATATAAGGACGTAGTTCGTATCGAACAGCGAACCACATAATTAAACAAGTGCACACTACGTCACAGTTCAAATTTTAAACATTGAAAAAACAACCAAAATCTCTATCCTCCCGTGGGTTAAAAAATAGCGTACTTGGCACACCCGTAGCGTATTATTTATGCCATCAAGTTTATATAGGTAGTATATTTATGTCAAGGTTGTATATTATTTGTATAAGTTTATATATGAATATTATTTATAAAATATATTAGTTGGTAAGAAAACAAATTACGAAAACAATATTAACTGATAATTAAATAATTAAACAATAATAATTAAATATTATAGAAAATCCATAATAAAATTGGTAAAATGCGTTCGTACTTGTTGCCCCAAGCGTCCGCGGTCCAGCTGCCTAACAACACCATCCCACCCACAAGAACCAGAAAATCAGCTTCTCCATAATAGCGTTCCGGATGGAAGATTCCAACGAGAAAAATAGAATGAGGAAATTAAAGGAGATTAAACTTGGCGCGTGATTTTGACTTTTGGACGTGGCAGCTACTCGTAAGTCGTACCGAAAGAATGGCCGTTATATAAAAACGCTGGAGCAAAGAAAATTAATGCACTACGCGTACGAGTAGTACGTTTTGATTAGTGCATACAAAGTGAATACTGAAGAGCGTCGCAACGATCCCTATCAGTCTTTTAAGCCGCCTTTGATGGCCATAGGAAAACGGGGCGGGATAAAGGTCAAGTGCAGGATGGAATTCGGTTAAGCCGCGCTTATCCGTCATCAGTCGTCTCATCCGATCTGCCATTTGCAAGAAGTGATGACTAATTACGTATACCCAGGCTGGATAATACATTACCGATTAGCGGTTGAAAGGTACAGCGGCGCCCTGATTTTGGCTGGAAATTACAGCCGTCTGATTACTTGCGCCAGCTTTCTTAGGTTTCTTAGGTTTTCTTATGCTTCTTATTTCATTTCCCGAAATTGCCCATAAACTGTCGGGAGATTATGAATGCGTCCCGACGCGTAGTATAGTGTATTAAGGTTTCGTGACTGTTTGCCGGTTTTTCAAGTGCAATTTGGACTTTTTAACGGCGTTCATAATAAACAGTTATCGACGTAATGTTTTTACGGCCAGTTGCTTGCAGTATAAATTCTGTGTATAAAGATTAATTCGGTATAATTCGGTATATACGCGGTAATTAAAGACACAAACCGCGTACGAAACTGTACGTACCGGCAAGTATTTTATCAAACTGGCGGCACAAGGTTCAACTGGCTTATCGCTGTCGCACAGCTGTGCATGCGTACGACGCATCATCCGCTCGGTTGTTTCCACAGCTGACTGGCACAAAGCTTAACAACTTCGTCAACAACTTTTGGCTGTTGCTCTGTTTATCACAACCATAACACTGATTTTCTCCTTACAAGGTACAATTTTTTGCTGAATTTATTTTAATTTTCGCGAAAATGGCGTGGAAATCGTGGACATGGCGGGATTGGTTGATCCACCTCCTGCGTTTATATATTGATTTTATTTCCGACCTCTTGTTCGGCGTGTACTACCGCTTCTTCGGCTCCCACCAGCGTCTGCCGCCCGTCCGCTCGGACCTCCTTCGTCTGAGCGCCACCGCCCTGGCGCGGCGCATCCGTGCCGGGCAGCTGTCCAGCGCCGACGTCGTCGACGCCTACATCCAGCGCATCCAGGAGGTCAACCCCGCCATCAACGCCGTCGTCGCCCAGCGCTTCGAGCAGGCGCGCCGCGAGGCCCGGGACCTCGACCGCCGCCTGCGGGACACCGGCTTCGAGGGCCTCGACGACGGGGAGTTCGCCGAGTCCCGGACGCCCCTCCTCGGCGTCCCCATCACCGTCAAGGAGTGCCTGCAGGTCCAGGGCATGCCGCAGACCTCCGGGGCGGTGGCGCGCCGGCATGTCGTGGCGGAGGCCGACGCCGAGGCCGTGCACCGGCTGCGACGGGCCGGGGCCATTGTCCTGGGGGTGACCAACATCTGCGAGGTGTGCATGTGGTGGGAGACGGATTGCAAGGTGTACGGGCGCACCCGGAACCCGTATGATGTCAACCGGACGGTGGGCGGGTCGTCCGGCGGGGAGGGCGCGATTATCGGGGCGGCGGGGTCACCATGCGGGATCGGGTCGGATATAGGCGGGAGTATCCGCATCCCGGCGTTCTTCTGCGGGGTGTTCGGGCATAAACCCACGCGAGGGCTGACACCGTTGACGGGGAAGTTCCCGGCTAGTAATGAGAATACGGCTCGGTTTAACACCGTCGGACCGCTGTGTCGGTACGCGGAGGACCTCCGACCTTTCTATAAAGTATGTATTTGAAAATAATAATCTTATGTACATAAATTATAGTAAAAAACTATTTACATATAAATAATTTATATATGCAATTATTTATATATAAACACATCCATAAAAAACATATATACATAAACATATATGCGTATTATCAAGTACTTACTATAGTGTGAGGAGGACTACCGTTTGACGTCATCATCTCGCATACACTGGAGGGCGGCTGCCATGGTGACAGATGCGCGTTTTTTACGGTTTTTGTTAGTTTTCTCAGCATATTTCTTTTCTCTTCTATTTCTAGCCCCTCATGCTTGGGTTTCTAAATTCAATATGATCTGTTAAAAATATCAGAAAGCTTCAGAGGAGAAAGGAACAATAAAAAATATCTTAAAAAGGGACAATAAAATCTGTGGGCCTATGGTAAGCAGTAGCACACCAGTGCATTCTGTATGCGACAGTGATGACGTAGTCGACCGTTGCAGAGTCGCTTCCCAGTCCTCTACCTATAGTAAGTTCTTGGTATTATATAAAAATTAATAACAAATGGAAATACACGTTTTTAGTAAATATTAGAAAATTTAAAAGCGAGCATTTTTATTTACTTTTACTTCTGTGGGTATTTTATATTTATATTTTTCTTTACAAATAATTATAATTTCAGGTTGTTTTGGGACCGGAAGCGAGGACTTTATCCCTGGATACCAAGGTGGACTTGTCGAGGTTGCGCGTCCACTACATCCTGCAGATCGAGCACCCCTTCATCACGCCGGTACGCAGCTACATCAAGGAGGCCGTGCAGAAGGCCGCGAACCACCTGGCCTCCAAGCACCGCGCCCAGATCGTCCCCGAGGCGCCGATCAAGGAGCGGCTGGCGGCCTTCCGCTACACCGGCGACTTCTGGACGTCGGAGATCATCCACGATCCGAGTCATTCCTTCTCGGCGGATATGCTCAACGGCGCCGGGGAACTACAGCCGCGGGCGGAAGCCCTCCGCTGGATTAGTGGGCGGTCGGAACACACGTTGCCGGCGATTCTCCTGGCCGCCATGGAACAGGCCACGCCCACCGACCAACAACGGTAGCTGTGAATGATTTTACCGTGTAGTTATCGAGATCTGAAAAGCATGTCAAAAAGTCGGTTTTCGGTAACTTCTCACGGTAAAATATTTAAAAAATTAAAAATAATAAAATAAAAAATACGCGTCAATGCATTTCAATTTCATTTCAAAATTAAAAATAATAAAATAAAAAATACGCGTCAATGCATTTCGTCAATGCATGCCTTGGCGTTTACACCGGAAACGGTTGCAGGAAACACTGGAGTAAAGTGCGCGATGAACTGGAGAACGAGATCGTGGATATTCTGGGCAACGACGGCATCCTCATCATGCCGACGCATCCCGCACGGCGCCCTATCAAAACCAGCCCAAAGTGATGCACCTCAATATTCTCTACACCGGTATGTACCGGTCGACTAAAAAAATCATAAACAAATTTACGCTGGTCTTCAGCAAAAATCACAATTTATTTTCTAGTAAATAATAAAACGTTTATATAATATCAGCGGAAGTTGTCCATTATATAGCGCTCTTCAACACCCTGGGCCTGCCGGTGACGCATGTGCCGATGGGCGTGGACGGGGCGGGGCTACCGTACGGCATCCAGATCATCAGCAGCCATTACAACGACCACCTGACGCTGGCGGTGGCCTGCGAGCTGGAGAAGGCCTTTGGCGGCTGGAGGGAGCCCAGTTAAGCCAGATGGAAAAGGTCATCGGATGCCGCTATGCCACCGTTATTTACATGAGGCGCTAAGTTGCCCCTGAATTGTTTTGCAGTAAAAAAAATAACATTTGTTATGGTGTGCTGTGTGTGCTAAACTGTATAGACTCTACGGTTTATGCCGGTTTTCCGTGTTGCCCACGTCCAGGGCCGTGTTTGTTGTTTGCCGTATGCCGGTGGGTGTTTTGGCACTCGCTGCTGTTTTAGTGTTTTTTTACCTCGATGCTGGTTTTTTACGACTTTTTTTCTGATCCTGCTCACCGCTAAAATCAGCAGCAGCCTGTGCTGTATTTCTAACACGGATTCGCGTTGGTGTTTAAAAAAGTAATGTTAACGTACGTTACAGAAAAATATTGCAAAATTTTGTGTTAAATAAAATTTACTGCGAGAACAAATAAAAAATTTTTAAAAAATAATGGAATTTTTAAATTACAGTTTATGATTAATTGAAGAAGTAAAACGTAGCGACCAATTAATATTAAATTTTTAATTACTTAAACGAAAATCGATTTAAAATCGAGCAATTTCAACCTTTTTTCGTAACTTAAGAGCGCGCATTCGTGAATGAATATGCGAGCTAAAAATTTGCTCGCATTTAAAAAACATTAACGCATCTTTTCTCAGAAAAATTACAAAAATTCTTGGGATCAGGTCCGTTGCTACTGCCTGATGATTTTGTCCGAAAAGCACTGATGCTACGATTCCCCATCAACGTCCGCAGCGCCGGAAAGAAGCTAAACTGCTTCGTCATGGTTAAAGTAAAAACAAAACAAGCAGGTTATAACTTATAAGGTAAGTAAATTTCGGCGTAGTTAAGAGTTTTATGTCACTTCTTGGCTAGCTGCAAGCGAGGAAGGATACCGCAGTGCGCTAGTGTATGTACACGTACTTAACAATCCGTATATATAAATGGCCCGGCACCGGCGCTAAGGGACAGTCAACCGTTGCCAGCTCTTACCGGAACACACCGCGTTTTTCACCGGATAATCGCCGAGCAAATAATTTTTAGCGAGAATGAACAAAATTCTGTGGGTGACCTTGGGCGCGCTGGTGCTGGCCGGTCTCATCTCCACCTCGGAAGCCCTTTTCAGCGGCAGCAAGTAAGCCATCATCTCCATGCTTTTCGCAAAATATTTTATAATAATTCTAGCGTATTTTAATTATTTTTCTATTTTCATATATCATAAACATCTTTTAATGCTTTATAATGTAAATAAATGCACTGGTGCAAATACGTCTAATTATTATTTCTAATTATGCAATTTCTTTTGCAGACACTGCACATGGCACGGTACGTAGCATCCCGTAAACGAGACACGCCTGACACTGGAATAACGCCTACTATGAATCCATTATACGTACATGTGAATCTATGCGGAAGTTGATTATACAATTAAATTTAAGCTTTTTTTTAATTTTTTATTTTTTTTTATTGCGCGTTTTTTTATTTTGGTTAAAAAACGCAGCGTCTGAGGCAGGTTTTTGCGTACTCAATTTTCTGATTGTCTAATTAAAGCAAAGCGTTGCGATGGCCGGTGATCGGTGTTGACGCAACAACAAATTTGCGAGATGACCATGGATGAATGTGCCGGTTTATGTGCACCGGAAGTGCAGCTGCATATTCCTGTCTAATTACAGGTACCGCCCCGATCTGCATGCCCTCGTGCCCGAAGGATAAGAAGAAGATTCCCGGCACGGAGTCCAAGTGTGGTCCCAACGCCGTGGCCTGCTGCATCACCAACAAGAAGTTCGTCTGCTGTCCCAACGAATGGCAGGGCAACGCCGCCAACGCCATGGCCGTCGCCAAGGAATAAACTGCCCTAACACACCGAACTCGATCCTGGATAACATGCAATCTCCTTTCTACTTCTCCTTCTCCGATAACCATGACCGGCGTACTTTGCGATTGCTTTATTCGGCTGGTTGTTTCGATGTCTTATATAATTATTGTGCTTTCTCGGTTACTCAATTGCATTGTCTTCATTAATGTCAACGGTTTGTACTACAATTTACCGCTCCTTGTTGGAGAGAAAGCGTAAAATAAATTTTCTCAGCAACAGGTTTATCAGGTTGGCTGTCGTCCGCGTGTATGTATATATTTAAGCCGGCTCGCGTAATTAACGCGGAATGAGTATGGTTGGTTAGGGGAAAGTGATATTAGTATGCAGCCGGAAGGGAAATACCGTCAGGTACTCGACAAGTAGCTCGTTCATAAAGTTATGCTACATGCCCGAATCCGGTATATAATTGCCGACTGCTACAAAACGGCGCTCTGTGCAGAGAGCTTTTTTACTTGGCGCCTTATTTGTTTGAAGTGAGATTTATTTTACCGCCGTCAAACTTCCTTATACACCGGTATAATGTGGAAATTCTGTTTGGCCGTGATTGTCGTGGCCGGGCTCATCGCCAGCTCGGAAGCGCTCTTCAGCGGCAGCAAGTAAGATTTTTAAAAATTAAATTTCATATTAAATCGGCCATCAGCCGGTATACCAGTAAACAAATATGTACATATAAAATCTATCAAAAATCAAATATTAAATTTTAATTTAGCCACCTATATTGATATGTCTCGTCTCAATTTTTCAAAAAGACGCTGATTTTGTTTTGCAGGCACTGCACATGGCACGGTAAGTAAACGTAACGGAAGACGGCGTTAGAGGAGAAATTCTTGGATCATCGCAAGATGAAACTGGTTGGCGCACACACTTTTACCAAGAGTCTTCTGGTTAATTTAAAATAAAATTGTTGTTGGAAACCCGGAAACCGGTTAGGTGGCTGTACGGTATCAGCCGGAAGAATACTTCTTAATGTAATGACCAGAATGGTTATCGATGTGTTTAATTAACCAAACAGGTACGGCGCCCTTCTGCATGCCGTCCTGCCCACGTGACAAGAAGATCATCCAGGGCACGCAGTCCAAGTGCGGACCCAACACCATCACCTGCTGTCTAACCGGCCAGAAGCTGGTCTGCTGTCCCAAGGAGTGGGAGGGCAACGCGGCCAACGCCATGGCCATCGCCAAGACATAAATCGATGTCTCCTGGAATTAGCGGATTAAATATATACAGTCAGATGCCTACGACGTTCGATGTATTCGAAAATAATAAGATTTTAATTGCATGCCTTTACTAGACGCTACTCTAGTGATGCATCGGTACATTCATTAGAATGCCTGTTCTTATAAATTACCGGAAGTATGCGTAACACCGGTATACCGGTATGGTTTTGCTACAGTGCCAAGTGCTATTAAAGCCGCAGGTTAATTAAACTAATGGTTGAAGGATTCTGCCGTATAATGCGCTGCCGTATCGTTTTTATAAGAGACCTAGCGCACCTAACCACAAAGAAACAGAAAACACTTAGTAAAGCTCCGAATCTTCCTATACCGATAGTATATACGGTTTATATATTTCCTATACGGTTTATATATTTTTGAAATGATACACAACAATGCGTTTAAACTTTTTGCCCATTTTAGTTCGCCATATCTCGGCAACCGGATGATGCGCGCGCAAACGATTCTCAGAACAATGTATACAAATCATTTAGCTTTAGAATGACATAAAGTATTGCAAAACAGTAATTCAGAGTGCGCGAAAGTGAAAGTTTTAGTGTATCGGTGTATGCATCCATTTTTGACACCAATATGTACCGGGTGTCAAAATATTGTACAAATCAATCTGGCGTAATGCTGAACGTCATTACGTGTGCCAAGCGCCGGCTGTAAATCGTGTACTTTCCTGATAATCAGGCGGGATGCGGCTCTGTGGCGGCGGCAACTAGTTAAATCCAGGAATATCGAAATCCAGAAAACAGACGGGAAAAATCATCCAGAGTGCTGTTGCGGTAGTTTTCGCTTAATGCGCTGCTCACCATATGATTAGTATAGAAAATTGTAGGTAGTTGATTTGTGAGCAGAACATAAAATTTATTTGTACCTGATAGGCAGATTCATATTTGCACCGATAGCTTTCGTAGTAGTGGCCCCACTGGGAAGACGACTGGAGTAACACACAGGCGAAACCCGTTCCCATGAATTTTTACGTCAAAGATTGTCACTGGAGATACAGCGCGGTAACCCGGCATCGGTTATGGGAACGATCGGAGGAGCGGAAAAGTTAATGAAATTCTGATGTTGTAAAAAATGCCGGTTAAACGCGTACTATACTACTCGAGTACAGATACATAGTCGGTGCTGAGTTTCTCGGTAGCTTTTTAATGCCTCGCTTTCCATCCCGTTAATTTACGTATACATTATGCAAAATTTTGTACATAAGAATTTTGTACAGTTTACATACAATGTGTAACAGTCTGAGCGGGGTACTGTTTGATGGCAGCAATCGGACTGCGTTGTAATAATGTACTGCTATCAGTCGTGCGAGTGCTCTTTAAGGAAACTGGAAACCGGCAAAGTACGAGCGTATTTGCGTCAACGGATCAGCATCGAAATCCCGCGAGGAAAACGCAGCATCTACATATATAATGCGAGCAGCATCACCGACGGCGAATTTATACGAAATTTTTTCGATTATTCTACCGCGCTTTGTGTGCAGATGTCGCTGTGTATCCTGTCATACCGTTTCCAACGAGATCAGAACGTGGAAAAATCGGTTATCGAAAATTAATTAAAACAATGGTTCTTTTCCACGGTGAAATTAAATCTATTAATAAGCCCAAGTGTAAATTACAACGGCTGTGCAACTATTGTAAACTGGCAGCATCTGCGACGGTTGTAAGTTGTAATTGAAAATATTTATACGGATTGTACCGAAGTTACACTTAGCTAGAAAATAAAGTTAGCAGTTAAATCAACCAATGTTACAATTGCAATTAGTTTATACCAGCGCAGTCTGTCTGTTATGTGAAATGGATATTGGCCGAATAAAAATATATGTCATAATGTCAATACACGTCGTAGGTTTCTGCGGCGAAACTTTCGCCGGTTTCCTGGTATCTACACTCATCAATTCCATCGAATAACGAAAACCACAATATTTTGGACCGAAGCACGCTTCATCTCCCGTACACAAACATCTGCATACCGGGAGTTTTACTTGAAATTCCAAGGCGGCCGTTGTAAATATGCAAAGTCCAAATTGAAACCACAGCATTACAGATCGTACACATGGTTATTTAATAGTCCATTTTTGGCGGAATTCGGCGGGTGGGGAGACCGGTTTTTTCCTCACTCAGCGTACTTGGAGTATCGTGTGTCGTTATTGGCCGGCGCACGCGCACACCTTTCCCGTGAAAGCTCTTATTAATGAATCATCTCTTTCTACTTGAAACGACGCAATTTCCTTGGGCATTGTATGCACAACGCACGCCGCACTAAGGAGGAAAACAACGGTGATCTGTGCATGTCGGTGTGTCAAGTACGCGGGGCGATCAGCTGGGGCTATATAAACCGATGGAACCGCGATAACCCGGCATTACTACAAATGCTTTTACCGGAAACAGTGGTTTTACTTGCCATCATTCCTGCAAATTATTTGAATTAGTTTCACTTATCAGATTGAGAAATGGAGGCCAAGATTGTTGTATTTCTCTGTGTGCTGGGATTCTTGTGTTCCGTGGAGGCGTGGGGCAACAAGTAAGCGAGTAGCAAATTAACTTACTGTTAGCAGCGTTCAGATAACAATAATTATGTGCAAAATATTTACATATACTGTAGTCTCGTATAACTTGGGAGTTGTTTGTTGACTTTATAATTCAATTTTCTTTAAGAAAGCAAAGTGCAAAAATGACCTCGTACCCAACACGCCAGTTTCTTTACCGCAGTTTATTAAATTTTTTTTGCAGAAAATGCGCATTATAATTTTTATTGTGAAATTAATCGGCGACGACGGTTTTTGTTCCAGTTTTTTTCCGGTATTGATTTTTCAAACCTGTCAGGTGGGCTTTCGCCGAAAACCCATTTATTATTATTTCGACTTTATTATGAACACAGGTTAACGCGGACGTATCGTAGATAAAAGGAGAGATGATCTGGCTGTTAATACAGCTAATAATAACATACGTAGAGTATCGACACATATAAAGGTGATCGTGATATAGTTCATGGAGATAAATGTGTATGGTACTCGTATAGTACACACTAATATTCAGTTTCGGAACTGCAAGCCATTTTTTGGTCCTACAATGTAAAATAAAAATATAGACGAATTAACTGCATGCGTTGTAAATTAATAGCATATTTATTAACTGCAGGCACTGCGTGTGGCATGGATCGGCGCCGTTCTGTATGGCCAGTTGTCCCAGCGGGAAATTCAAAGTGGAGGGCACGCAGTCCAAATGCGGACCCAACACTATTACCTGTTGCATAACCGGCGAGAAGTTCGTCTGCTGTCCCAACGGCTGGGAGGGCACCGCCGCCAACGCCATGGCCATCGCCAAGACCAAATTCTTCAACTCCCTCCACTAAACCATGACAATTACGTGCCGACTCATCGTGCTCAAGAAGAATGACAATCGATCTGAAGCGTAGGATCCGGAAGCTGGATATTGTAGTAATTCCACGTTTTGCTACAATGTTCAGTTCACACTGCAACAGTATTGTACATTATTTTTTACAGTGCACACTTGTAGAAATGGGTGGCTATACGCATGTTGGTGTTGTTAATGTTTGTTTGTTGTTGGAATACAATGTCATAGTGCTGCTATACATGTATGGATGGTTGGTGAACCTTGAATGGGACTCGATGTAAATTAAATTTACACAACATTTACCGGCATTGAGCATCGTCCTCGTATCTGCACTTATAGTGCACTTCAAAATTATTCCGGGAAGATAGCAAATTAGCGTAGATTGGTGCACCGGTCCACAGGAAGGCTCTGTCGGGTGAAAATTTCATTTTCAGCATTATCATGGCTACCTTTCCGTCCTTTCTTCTAAATTATACTTAATGCACACTTGTACACAAGTATTATGAGTTGCAGTACATATTTTGCTCGCAACGATACTATCTAACCACCATATATAACCACGTCGGCGCACCCAATTTTAATGTCAACTGATCGGTTTCTCCGGCGTTCGGCGTGATCTTCCCGGGAGGGGGAATAAACAACACGTGCCAACAAGACAGACAATTTGCAATTCGTGTCCTAACCATGTGGTCTGCACAGTAGTCAGAATAATAGCAGTTAGGGCAGGTAATTAATGTGGTTGAGCGAAGGAAGAATCCGGCATTACCGGATGGCATGCCTGCAGGCTGGTCATACACCGGCTGGCCAGACGCCGCGTCCAGTAATTATACTGTCATTCCCATAAATCATTAGAATTAATATAATACAGTCAACCGTTTTCTGCAGAATATCCAGGGCTTATTTGACAGTCAAACTGGTTGGCCTGTCGTACAAGGACGGCCGGGCAGCAATGTGTGAAAGAACGGGGAACGGCGTCCGTGCGCATTATGTGAACATGTACAACACCGTTATACATAATTATGCGCAGGTACGTGCATACCATCTGAATTCCGCCCTGTTCGGTTTTCGGCTTCGACTACTTAACTAATTTTATGCAGGGCCGGCGTTCCGGAAGCGGTACTTGTGGATGCGACGATCCTGTAATATCCGTAGAAATAACGGGATCCCGCTGTATAGTTATGTACTGCATTGCGCATTTCCGGTTTCGGATATGAGAGTCACTTTAATGGGTAAGAGCCACCAAGGTAGAATAACGGCAGATTCAATACGGGTGTATGCGCATACCAAATACAGAAACATGCGAGAAACAAACAAAATAATTTCACAAGTAATATGTATGTAAACATATTACTTGTGAAATTATTTTGTAAAATTTCCCGGCCGGTCGCCAGCAAAACTGTCCAACATTCTGGCAACCTACCCCCATCGTGTTGGCCGAAGAGGCCCCATCTTTATAATCCTGAAGTGCAGTGGTATCACTCAGATGGAGATGGGCCAATCATGAACCGGTTAGCTATTTACTAGATCGTCACTTCAAAACAATAATGGAATGCTAGTTGTTCTATCGAAAGGATGTACATACATATTGTGCACTTTTACTTTTCGAGTAAATTTACAGTTTACTTGTGTAGGTAAGCTACGATTTATCGGTCTTACAAATTCGAAATAAAAAGTGTGCTAATAATACTTAAGCACCATTTCCGATGCCAATCAATGTCCAATAGTACGTAGAGTGTGGCGAGGACCGATTGGTACATTACTCAGCGGAATCAGCTGTTGGACGCCGATTGGGAAAAACGGGCCGTGTAGCACTGCAGAGATATATAAACCGATGGAACCGCGATATCTTTGTCAAAACAGCACATACCAATCTGTTGCAAACACTTCACCGAAAGTAGCAATTTATTCACTGGCTATCAGTTGTGCAGTGTAATTATTGTTGAGCGAGGTCATATTCTTCATATAAAATGCATATTAAAATTGTTGTATTTCTATGCGTTCTTGGATCCTTATGTTCCGTGCAAGCGACAGGCAACAAGTAAGTTTACAGAGAAATTAGTGAAATTAACCGGTATTAAGGGAAATGGCCCGTTGTACATGGGGTGTCAGAAATGGGATACATACACCAAAACTTTCGCTTTCGCGCACTCTGAATCACTTTTTCGTAATACTTTATGTCATTCTAAAGCTAAATGACTTGTTTGCAGTGTTCTGAAAACCATTTGCGCGCGCAAAATCCGGTTGCCGAGATATCGCGTACCAAAATGGGCTAAAAGTTTAAATGCATTGCTGTGTACCAAAAGTCTGGTCATTACCCGATCTTCTTGAAGCTTTGCTGTAAAAGACACAGGGCCATAAAGTCGAAAGTGAACCAATTTCAGATCCATAGCATTTTTTTCCGATTTTAAAATGAATTTCAAAAATTCTAAAATTCATTTTTAAATTATGGAAAAGTGCTATGAACCAGAAATTGGTTCACTTTCAAGTTTCAACTTCATGGTCATGATTGTGTCTTTTACAGCAAAGTTTCAAGAAGATCGGGTAATAACCAGACTTTTGGTACACAAATATACATTTAAACTTTTCGCCCATTTTAGTTTGCCATATCTCGGCAACCCGACGTTCCGCGCGCAAACGGTGATTCGGTGTGCGCGTATTCAGTAATCAGCGGTAATAATTTGTGCAGGCACTGCGTGTGGCACGGGTCGGCGCCGATCTGCATGGCCAGTTGTCCGGCCGGTAAATTCAAGGTGGAGGGCACCGCCTCCAAGTGCGGTCCGAACACCATCGCCTGCTGCGTCACCGGCGAGAAGTTTGTCTGCTGTCCCAACGGCTGGGAAGGAACGGCGGCCGACGCCATGGCCATCGCCAAGACCAAGATCCTCAACTCTCTCCACTGATCGCGAAATACCTTTCCCCTCGCAGCATAGCAGGCCGGTAACCAGCGTCCCGCGGGATAATGCGGGCAGATGATGGGCAAAGCATTATTTATGCTGATTCTTTGCACTGTTTACGCCGTTCTTGATTTCATTGCACTGGTTCAAATGTAAACATATCCAACAGTATTTTGTTGTTATTTTGTACATGCTACGTGTGCCGGATTGTATAAGTGTGCTAGTTGATACTTATGAGATGAAGAAGGCTAAAACATTTTGCAGGACTTCCGGTAGAATTCTTTTGAGAAACATATCGGCATTTGAGAGCTACAGGCGATCAGTACAGAATGATATCTGAACGTTCTGAGATTCGGCCCGGTACATAGCACCAAATTCGTGTACATTCCACGGAAACTTCCGCTGTCGCGCACTAACAGACACTTTTTTGCATTGCTTTATGATATTTTGTAGCCAAAAGATGTGTGTACGTAGGCGTGAAATCCGTTTGCGCGCGCAACATCCGGTTCGGGAGTTATGGCTGCTAGAAAATTCCAAAAAGTTTAAATGCATTCAGGTGTGCCAAAAGTCTCATTACAAACCGACATTCTTCAAATTGTGCACGTAAATGCGCATTAGTACTGTATATAAAGATCGTTTTTACACCGAACCAAATTTTTCCATCATTGTATTCAAATTTTAAAATAAATTGCAAAATTTGTCAAATTCATTTTAAAAGATATTGGAAAAATTTATTTCTTTCTGGTTCGGTATAAAAACGATCTTCATGGGTACATGCGTTTCCGCTGTATAAATGGTCGAACTTGGAACATTTAGCAGCTAATAATACTCCCTACCGTGGAATTTTTACCACGCTTCCTCTAATCAAAACGAAACTGCTGATAGTACTGCTGTGTATCGATCCTAATCAGCGTCCAATAGCAACACGTGGCCATTAGGAAACAGAATAATTTTCCTACTAGAAGGAAACAACAAGTTCAGTTGTATAAAAGCCGACGGAACCGCACTTATCAAAACTGTCCAACCTACATATTCCGAAAGCTTTACCGGAAACTGCAGTTTGTTTTCTTTTTACCCTGTACTTTGCGCTCCATCGAGGTCATACTCTTCATTAAAAAAAATGCAGACGAAAATTGTCATATTTTGCTGTGTCCTTGGAGTCTTATGCTCCGTAGAAGCCTACGGCAACAAGTAAGTTGACCAAGAATCTGCCGAAATTAACCGATCTTACGTATACGCCATACGTCCTGGGATATGACGTGCACAGATTAATTATTATACCTGCAGCTTTACTGCATAGTTTTACGTTAGTAAACACTTTTTAGAAGGGATAAGCGTAATACTCGTACATTCGTACTAATCATTATTTTATGCCGTTGCTTCAGAATCTTACCAAATTCTAACCATCGGCAGAAATTCAAGTTATTCAAACCAATATTTGTACATTTGGAAGAGCGGTTGATCTGCATTACAGTACATCCGGCCCAGATTCGTATTCCTCATTATATTTTTCTTGTGGGAATTAATCGGTGTTATACTGCAGAATCCTTGAGCGACGTTTAAATATTCTAACTATATTCGTTTCCAGTAATGTTTTTAATCCTGGCAATAGAAAATCAGCAAATAAAGCAAGCCTGCGCTGACAGACACTAATTAAAATTTTCGAATTTTTTTTACGGTATTTTGCACCCAGTGACCAATACATATAATATATAAAACTAATCCTTAATTACGCATTTTTTTCCTCAGTAATTTCAGTTCGATTCGACCAATAAAAGCATCCACATATATAAAAATGTGTACTGTATCTAAAGCGGCCACAATATGCGGAAAATAAAGTATCGTTGAAGAAGAAAACGGCAGCATAATTAGTAAACATTCGGTCAATTGCAGGCACTGCGTGTGGCATGGATCGGCGCCGTTCTGCATGGCCAGCTGCCCGGCCGGTAAATTCAAGGTGGAGGGTACCCAGTCCAAATGCGGGCCCAACACCATCGCCTGCTGCGTCACCGGTGAGAAATTCGTCTGCTGTCCAAACGGCTGGGAGGGCACCACGGTCCAGGCCATGGCCATCGCCAAAACCAAGATCTTCAACTCCCTCCACTGAACGCCGACACGCTTTCCCAGCCGCGCCCTGATTATGCTTGTCGGTCGGTCTCAGAGAAAGCCACAGATGTACACATGTTATTCGTCGTTCGTGCGGTTTCGTATAAGCAAGTTTAGGAAAAATTTATTTTTTTCCTGTGCCCCGTGGTGCAAGTGACGCTGGCCTGCTGTTAACGTAACTGCTGCTGTTTATCTTCTTGTTAATAATATTGATAATAAATTTTATTGGACACGATACCGGTAAAAACAGGATATATGCTTAATTTGTGCTGTCTGTGATTTTTCAAATTGCCATCTGCACCGTGTATTACAAAATGTCGTCCCAATTGCTAATGCACACTGATGATAATTTTTAATTAATGTAGCAAAGCACGCATAGCACTTCCGGCTTAATCCGGGCTTCGTTATGTAATTCGGCATTCAATAAATTAGCAACTGTAGCCTGTAGTGTAAATATCGGATCTGATAAACGCCGAAGAACACTGAAATATATGGCAAAATCAAGATAAGGACACCGTCGATGGTGGATCGGAAAATGTGGGTAGCACCACCGTATAATGACCTTTACCCGGGCAGATTCTTGTAATTGCGTTTCTTGAGAAAGCATCGTACGAATACAGTGCATGCCGGTGTTATTACTGACTTCGTTTAGTTCGTTATGAGTTTCCAGTAATCGCGGCAAACTACAAACCAACCTAAAAACAGACATTTCCGCCATAGTACAGCTAGGACAAAGCGCTTGTTATTTTGGCGGGATTTCTGTGTTCTCTTGCACGTGAACTCAGCTGCTGCGTTTAAAATAAATCAATTTAGAAATAAAATACAGCCATTATGAAAAAATAAATAATTTAGTTACTTAATAAAAAAATTTCTGTACGTTAAAGCAAAATTAGGCATGCGGCTGTAGATGCTAAATTTATTGGGCTTGAAAACATATGAACTCCTGACTTGTCCGCTCGAGGAAAATGACCCGATACATGGTGTCAAAAATGGTCAAAAATTCGACTTTACGGCCATGTTCCTTTTACAGCAAAGTTTCCTGAAGATCGGGTAATAACCAGACTTTTGGTACACACCAATGCATTTAAACTTTTTACCCATTTTTTTTCGACAGCAGCCAGTACATATAATAATGCGCCTGCGCGGGTTTACACTAATAAAAATTTTTACCCATTTTAATACGCTATATCTCGGCAACCGAATGTTGCGCGCGCAATCGGTTTTCAGAACAATGTATACAAATTATTTAGCTTTAGAATGACATCAAATATTACCAAAAAGTGATTCGGAGTACGCGAAAGCAAAAGTTAAGTGTATGTATCCCCTTTTTGACACCATGTACCGGGCCGTTTTCCTTCAATGAACCGACAACGAAGGCATCCTTAATATTTTGCCGGTATATCCGCATTGTTCCTTGAGTCAGAGTTTGTTGGCCGCGCGAAGCACTTGAGAATTACGCTAAACCGAACCACGCGGCCAACCTGGTTTCGCGCTGAATATCTTCTTCGAAAAACAGTGACCAAGGCGGCAAACCCGGCCGGATATAACGGTGATTATTCGAGAAGTGGTGTGGTATGATAATATTAGAAGAAAACGGCTCATTTGCCGGCGGTGCGGTGTCATGTTGAAAATCCACTTGAGCCGGCACTTTCCGCCGGGATTACAAACACACCCGGCCATTCTTCCGCCGGTGTGAGTAAACGCTGACCGGGGCGCGATTTCTGTTTGCCAGAGGCATTCATTCAGGTGACGCCTCACTGCCAAAATCCCCTATATCAACATTCCACCTTGGTGCCATTTTTTTTAACAAAATCCTTTCCAGTCTGAACCGTCACCTGCTGCACTGCATTTGCGTTGCGTTTCCGGCTGGGATATTCGCTGAGATATTTTTTCCCTTAATTCCGCGGCGGCAGTTTCCGGTTGTGTAATTTTTCATAATTTTTAAAGTTGCGAAAATGAATAAACTTGTGGTTATCGCTGCTGTCTGTGTGATGTTCCTGGTTGCCGTGGATGCCGCTTCCAATATGTAAGCCGTTAATTAAAATTTCGCTCCCATATTTTTTTTAAAAAAATTTTTCTTGTAGTCACTGCACTTGGCACGGAACCGCCCCCTTCTGCATGGTACGTTAACAATTATGTACTCTGATGTTTTAGCATTCGAAACGGTTCGGAAAAAAACATAGATTCGTAGACTTAGCTGTACCATATTGAGATTATCAGCTCATGCTCTGCCGTTGAGTAAGGTCGGTAGGATAGATTATTACGGTAATTATTCCTCGTACTGATCTCTCCGTCATACTTTAAATATATTGACCGGTCAATTGTATGTGTGCAGCCGTCGTGTCCGAAAGGCAAGAAGGCGGTGGACGGGACCAAGTCGAACTGCGGCCCCAACAAGATCGCCTGCTGTATAACCGGCAAGAAGCTGGTCTGCTGCCCCAACGACTGGCAGGGCAACGCTGCCAACGCCATGGCCATCGCCAAGACCTAAATCTCCCCGCCATCATCGCGTTAATTTTCGTTTTCGCTATACATTTATTACCGGTTCGACGGGCAACCGGCTGGCTAACCGGCAGCACCGGCTTTTTTGTGGGCGGTCATGAAATGTGCGCATGCCGCGTCTTCCTTGTAAAGTATTGCTAAACGGGTTATTTCCTATACTTTGAAGCACAGACACTGGTGTGGACCAAGCTTCGGATTATACTTGTTTGACTGTATTTTTCCTGTGTTTTTGTCATTATTCGCGCTTTATTGAAACGGTCGATATCGTCTTCGGGTGTATTTCGCGGATAAAGAGACTCGTAATTTTCCACACTTGAAAAATAATGTTTCCGGAATGTGAGTGTTAATATACTGCCGGTGTTTGTTATCACAAAAGTGCTAAGTAAAAAAAATATGCACACCCACAGAAAACTTTCCATGCTTCGCCGAACGGTATCCACACCGGAATACACAAATGCGGCAATATCAACAGTGCGGCGATATTTACATAATTGGTCAGCAGTTTTCCGTTACAAACGATCGACAAGCAACGTCAACGTCGGTGTGTAGATACATGCATCAGGCTTTCGCTGAAGCTGCTCGAGCGGGTAATAACAACGTTCAACCGGCGAACAATGGGACACGCTGTATAACCAATGCGTGTCCCTTCCGCGGGAAAACGCTACAAGCATGACTGGCAAACAAATTACCTGTTGACACGCAGCCTACGCTGCCTTATAAACCGACGTGCTGCGTTCGTAATAAATCATATACAGTGTCAAGCATCATAATATTCTGTGTCGCAACACGTGTACTTCATGATTTTCTTGTACAAACTGTAAAACGTTCTCTTGCCAAAATGATGGTAATAACGGGAGTACTCCTTTTAGGTAAGATACCGTGACCTTTAGTTTTTTTTTTCGATTAGCGGATTGTGTAATTGGTCTGTGAAATAGTGGCATCGGTGACATGGGCTCAAACGACAACGACAACGAGCACAACGACACCGACGACATCCGCACAGCCGCTGACTCCGCCTAACTGTGACTGCGGTGACCAGGATCAGAGCGACAAGATGCAGGCGTCGTCCGGTAAAAGTAATTGATGCCCGCACTTTTCTGCACGCGGATACCATTTGAGCGGTGGTTTCTAGGTTTCGGTTGGTTTCACCGGCGCCCCATGATGCCGCACAACAAGACCATCTGTGGAACGAACGGCCAGACCTACGCCAACCAGTGTCTCTTTATCAACGCTCAAGCGCAGGATGACAGTACGCTATCCCTATCTTTCGGTTGCAATGCCGGGCGTTTACGCTTTTTTTTAAAAAAAAAACAGGTTTGGGAATGCGACCATGTTTCAATGACACCGCGGATAACAGTTGGTCGTCCAAGATGGAGCAGTGGAACGAGGACCGCGACGGATGGGGACGGGGACGCGGCCGCTTCGCTGGACGCTACCGTACGCTGAAAATAAATTTCTTTTAATGATCTGCATAGTTTATATAACCTGACATTGTAACCGCAAGAGTCTTATGTGGTTTATTACTCTGTCTGCAGAGATGATGCAGAAGAGCTTCTGTATGTCCGACGGCAGCACATTCAACGGCACCATGACCGACAAGCAGCAGTACCTCCAGCAGAATCCCAGTACGTCTTTCCGTCGGTTATCGTTCGTATTAATTTTCATGTTAATGTCTGCGTCGTGTAATACAGATGTGGGCGTTCGCTGCCACGGCAGCTGTCCCTGCCAACTGCAGTGTCCGCAGCCGCGCGGATACATCCAGGAGTTCATCCTGTTCCTCTGGAGATAATGCCTCTCACCGCACCTTAACGAATGGAATCTCACCGAAATTCTGCACATTTATTATTTATGATTTCTGTTTTCACAAATGCTTGGTGTACGTGCAATGCACCGAATGACTGTACAGATTTACAAGCACTGCTCTTAACGCTTCCGTCCTTCCTGAATGAAATTCGCCGATTATGTACCTGGTACATATACAGTACATAAAACAGTTGGCTAAAAATGTCATTATTTCTGCGCGTAAAAGCCGTGCATTCGTTCACTGTTAGGGTTTCTGTGAAAATGACGCATATATCCTTTGAATACTTTAATAAGGTTAAACAGCGCCAATGTAGTCAGGCCCATTAGGGCGGCATATCCATGTAGCCGTAGGCTTAATTAGCTGTAAGTCTTTTTATTAAGTGCACGTAATGGAGTGCCGACGCCCACGCAGACACTTTCCTATCCTTTCTGCTCGTTTCTTCATCCGCTACAGAGCAAATTAAAGGTACACAGCGCAGAAGTCTATTGGCTTCGTGACCTTTATCTTCGACGGCGAATCTGCATCTCCAACATAGTTCGACCAGGCTTGAAGCTTCGGGGTTATCTGTTCTTGTGCCGTAATAATAATAATAATGAATGTGACTACTCCGCGGTTCAACCAAACCCTCCCGCCGTTCCCGCCGCTGCCCAAACCGCCCTACCCCGTCCTCCTCACCTGGCTCATCCTGGGCGTGACCCTGGCCATCCTCTCCGCCCTGCTCAGCGGCCTCCTGATCCTGGTCATCCTGCGCTCGCCGGCGCTCCGCCGCGGCGCCGGCGCCATCATCGCCTTCTCCCTCACCATCAACGCCGTCCTCTCCGGCATCCTCCAGCCTGTTTATTTCCTGCAGGTCTTCTTCGTCCAGACCGACCGCCCACTGAATTTACACTGTGGAGTCTATATGCTGCTGCGACTGAGTTTTATTTACACCGAATACTGGACATCGTTGGTGCTGGCGCTTAACCGGCTGGTGGCCATTGCCGTGCCGCATATGTACCGGCGGTTAATCCGCCCGCCGGTGCTGGTGGTCGCCATGGGTGCGTAAAATATTTGCCCATATTTGCACCGTCGGTCATAACGATACTTTTTTATACATACGATGATACGTTGTTATATTTTGTGCCAGTTGTACTATAACTTGTCCCGTAATTTCTATCGGGAAGTTGCATTTAACACGTATTTAAGAGATTTGGCCTGGTGCCGTACGTGGCACCAAATTCGTGTATATGTCTTACGCGCACTCCAAAGCACTTCTCTGCCTTGTTTCATGACATTCTGTAGCTACCGGTTCGGTCGGGAATTATGGTTCAGTTCGGCTCGGTTCGGGAATTATGACTGTTAGAAAATTCCAAAAAGTTTAAATGCATTCAGGTGCACCAAAAGCCTCGTTACAAACCGGTCTCGTCTAAAATCTACACATAAATGCACATAACTTTGAAGATCGTTTTTACCCCGAACCAGAGTGGCACCATTTTTTTCCAAATTTTAAAATGAATTTCGAAGATTTTAAGACTCATTTTAAAATTTGAAAAAAATGGTAGAACCGTGACTCTGTGTAAAAACGCTCGTCATGCATCTTTGTGTTTCCATTCTCAGTACCAAAAGTCTACCTTGCAGGTGTCAGTGTGACAGTGCCGCTGCTGGTCAACATGCCCACGCTATACAACACTATCTACTTATCCGGCCGCTTCCCGCCGTTGATGGCGTGTACGATGAAACCGTTGAACGACACGCTGATGATCATAAACGCGACGGTCGGGACGTACTTTCCCATCACGTCCCTAGGCGTGATATATGTCTTCATCGCGGGTTACGTGTTACTCCGAAAGGTCACGGATGCCGGGCGGCGGATGGCGCGGCGGGTGGCCGTCGCCAAGATGCTCTTCATCTCGTATCTGATCTACGTGGTGTGCTTTCTACCGGTGACGATCTTAGCCACCTTTTACCCCTTCATCCTCTTCCGTAGTCCCCAGATGATGATGTGGATGGTGATGATACAACTGGTTGGATTCGCCGCGGCACCGGTAAAAAATTCTTCGATGTTGTTCGTTAGTTTTGTAGCGCGCTTATGTGCTATTTGCATGTCCATTGATTGCTACCTGGTTGATCTTGCCAGTAATCATATGCTTGTCTGAAGGTGCGGCTTTTGTAGGTGATCTATCTGGTAATGAACGAAGAGTACCGGAACTGCATCAGCGTATTGTGCGGTAAAGTGCGCACCGCGCCGGAAGTGTCCGCTACCATTAGCTACAGCAACACCCGCTTCGCGACCACCAAGAAGATGACGAAAGCAGTCGATTCAAATTTTGATGATTGAATGCTGTTTACTAACCTTAGTAGCAGTGTTCGTGCATGAGCAAAAAAAACTAGTGTATGGCATATTTGCGCAAGAACTGAAGTGTTTCGTGTTTATTGATCTTATATAGAATTACTAGTATAGCATGCCGATGTCAGTCTTTTGCAGTATGTTTCGCGGTTCTTTTTTTCACCGATTATACAAGTAAATGGAGCACAATTATACATGTTACTGAACGATACGTCCGAATAAATACAGATACAGATACATATAATTTGCTTGGTACATTATACCATTTCTTAATTTGATGGTATTTTACAGAGCGACGCGAATAATTAAACTTTATCAGACGTTATCAGACACGTACGGGTTATTCACGCTAACTTAGGTTAAACGCAAAATTACGCAGTTCATTATTTCAAAATACACTTCATCCACTGTCTTACCGATACAAACCGATTCCTGAATACAAGCAGCGTTACCTCGCATTAAAGCAACACTATTAAGATCTGCTAACATCCGATCCCTGTACACTGGGTGACGATGAAGAGGAACCCGGCGTAAGTGGGGTAATTCATTTCGTAGAGATGGGCAAAGTCCACATTCTGCAAATGTCCGTGCATATACGGTTAACCTCCTCAACCAGCATCAGCGTTAACAAGACCATTATCAGGCGGCAATTGGAACACCGTGGACTGTCAGGGTTGTTGATCGCTGCTAGACAGCTATCAGCTTACCGCAACATTGCCGCTTGTCGTGATGGTAGCGGGCGCATTGATGTTGTTGGCACTGGTGGTCGGCGGGTTGCAGTATTTAACACTGTTGATCGCCACGTAGTCGAAATCGCAGACCAAGGCGGTACTACCCTGTCAATTGACAATGCGCTAAACACGGGCTCGCACTAGTACAGGCATTTTCACGGTCTGTAGCTAAAAGGTCAATAATTACTTAAAGGTCATTAATTAATTTGACTACCTAAAAGGTCAATAATTACTTAAAGGTCGTTAATTAATTCCGCTACGTACAGTAGAAGGTCAATAATTTTATCCTTTGGGACCCACAATAATAATTGCCATGATAGCAATGTTCTGGAAACCTTGGCTCGGAGTATATACATGCCGTACGCACCTGTCTGATGTAGAAGAATTTGGTAGTAAACTGCAACAAGAGCGTTAATTAGTCAGACAAGTCTGTACATGATGCAGCGCGCTGTTCTAGATTCGCATCCCAATTTAAGACACTGACTAACAGCGATCGCGACGCACCTTAATACGCGTTCCCGGGTCGCTGACAAACTGCAGGTGGCAGATATCGGAACTGGACGTGAACTTGCCAGGCAGGCCGAGCGTTCTGAAGTAGAAGCTGTTGCGTGCGCCCACGTACAGGCTGCCCGTCGTTCTGCACACTAAGGGAAGAAAGCAAGCACGTATGGCTAATATATAGAAGATAATGTAGAATAATTACGGCTCTGCCACTGCAGCAGGGTTATACGGTATACGAGGTCATCAACCGGAAATGATTACAGTACGAGAACAGCCGGTTACGAGATCGTGACCCGGCCAGCGTTGCGCAGGTCCGGTAGCCGCTTACTGGTGGCGGTGGACACGAAGGGCACTGCGCAGCCGCCCGCTGTGCAGCTGCCGCCGCCGGGAAGGGTGACGGGGCAGGGCGGGCAGGCCGGGCAGGCCGGAATCGTCGGACACGCAGGCGGGGTCGGACAGGCAGGCGGGGCTGGACAAGCCGGCGGTGTTGGACAGGCCGGCGGGGTCGGACAGGCCGGCGGGGTCGGACAGGCAGGCGGGGTCGGACAGGCAGGCGGGGTCGGACAGGCAGGCGGGGCTTGACAGGTGACGGGGGTGCAGGTTACTTCGGGACAGGCCGGCGGGGTTGGACAGGCAGGCGGGCTTTCACAGGTAACGGGGGTGCAGGTGACTGGGGTACAGGTAACGGGGGTGCAGGTAACGGGGGTGCAGGTTACTTCGGGGCAAGCCGGCGCAGCGGGACAGTTGCCCGCCGGCGGACAGGGCGGACAGCTGACGGAAGAACAGGTCACTTCCGGGCAGGCCGGCGGGGACGGCGGATTGGGGCAGGCGGGGATGATGGGCGGCGCCGGGCAGGTCAAGGTCAGCGGCTGCTCTTCCCGCTGCCAGCCGGAATAGGCGCGGCGGGATTGGTCTCCACCATCGTACGATTCGTATCTGCATAAGACAGCCCAAACCGCGTCACAAGTGCCGCTTACACACACGAAGCTCTGTATTCATTGCAGTGCAGGTAACTGTGACCTGTCTCGAGCCAGGGATGTGGAATTGCGGAGGGAGGACCGGGCTGTACAGCTCTGTGGGCTCCTGGGCCGAAAGAAACAATACATTCTTGCGTGCGATAATGTTTAATAAGACCTGCTATGAGAACGAGGTATGAGAATAAGTACTGTAGCGCACATAGTTTGTCTTGATGGGATAGATAGATCCCGGGTAGGGAAGTGACCCGGTACATGGTACCAAATTCATATACATCAATCTGTACTTGTACGCATGCGTTTGGGCGCGCAATATTCGCTTCGGGAGTTATGGCTGCAAGAAAATTTCAAAAAGTTTATATGCATTGTGTTATACCAAGTCTCATTATAAGCGGATCTCCTTTAAATTTTTCATGTACATGTAAATGCACGTAAATTGTAAAGATCGGTTTCACACCGAATCAAAGTTGCACCACTTTTTTTAAATGTTAAAATGATTATTAATTTGTAAAAAAATGTAATAACCGTGGTTTTTTTGTAAAAGATCTTCATGCATATGTTGGGTTTGCAAGAAAAATTTGTAGGAGATCAGTCCATAAGGAGGCGTTTGGTACAACAGAATGCATTTTAACTTTCTGGAATTTTCTTACAGCCAAAACCCCCGATCTGGGTGCTGCGTGTATAAACAGTTTTCGCGCCTATATATTATAAATCATCTAGCTACAAAATGCCATAAAACAAAGCAAAAAAACTGTTTAAGACTGCACGAAAGTGAAAGTTTTCGTGCATTTACATGTACACGACGTTGGTATCGTGTTGGTACCAACGACGTGTACCGGGTGACGCTGGAACCGGGTCACTTCCCATAATAAGACATAAAGAAAGTAGCGAGTTTTTTTTTCTTATAGCAGTGAATCGTTGCTAGAACTTAGTATATAATTAATTTTATCGTTAGTAAATAACTGTACGATCTTATACTTTTTTTCGATAACTTGGTATTTACTGATGAGCGAATACATCTACACAGACAGCCACAAAAGAAACATTGCATTACAAAGTTAACAAGCAGCGGAAACAAGCATATGATGTACTTATGTATGTACTATTTATATTAATATTATGATAATATGCATATATAGTTATATTATTTATCTGCATGAATACAAATATCTGCAGAGTGCATTGATGAAAATGTACCAATATGAATTAACTGTCTGCTCCTGATGTAATAATAATAATAATAATAATAATAACATATATATACCGTAAATGCCGGATGCAAGTGTGCGAGTATGTACATCAGCCAACATGTGCGCTGATTGTTCTCACGTCAATGTTTACCACTTACAAGAGCAGCCAGATTGCAGCAGGCCAAAAAAAAATTCTGAACTGGCAACGAGGTTCCATTCTTTCTGCAGAAAATTACAGAAATGCTTATGCAAAAACACTACCAAGTACCAAACACTTTTTTGGCATTGTTTCATGTTTTCTATAGCCAAATGATTTGTACAAGTACACTTCGGCGTAAAATCCATTTGTGCGTGCCACACCCGGTTGGGGAATTCTGGAGAAAATAACATTCGATAATTTTGAACGCAAAAAAGTGTACCAAAAGTCTCTTTATAAAGAGATGCTCGAGGTGGAGCTGCAGACGATATCCGCTAAGTTAGTAATAAAGTATCTTCCGTTGACTACCAAAATGCGCTATGATACTACAGATAAAGTGGATGAATGTTGTCTAAGCGGTTCACCATGTATGACTACCTGTTCTGACCAGCTTGCCATGAGCGTAGCATGGCGGGGCGGATTTATAATTTTATCGAACCCTTACCATTTTCTTTCTAAACCTGAAGACAGTAAGAAAAATCTAAGAATCTAAAAAAAGCGATCTAAGAAAATTTAGAGAAAATGTTGCCCATTGCAGCAAAAAAAACGGGTGCACAATGTGGAGACGTACCCATCCGATAACTGCCTCGATTGCGTGGTCGCCATAATAATTATTAAGAAAGCTGATGGTTGTAGAAAACGCTTTAGAAAGTACAGCAGTGATTGGTAAATCCGTCATTGTATGGCATTCAACGGCACAGCTTATTATTTAAACTTTTTTAATAAACATGTACGACGAAAATTCTCTTTGCAGTTCTGTAATGCAGTGGTCCAATACAGAATTGTCCCTGCTACGTTGGACGGACGGTGCGTGTTCACTGTTACACATACGAGCTCCCATCAGCGACATACCGTTTTACAAGATCGATGTTCCGATTGCGCAGTGTCTGGTGTTACTTCAATGACAAAATCGGCGTAATAATTCAGAAAGACATATATCCATCCGATTGCCAAAGGTATGTAATAGCACAAAGTTTATGTGAATTGCGAATAACGATACGTAATAACGTTACGTAATAACGTAAAAACATGTAGGAGAAATACTGTGGTGCAATATATTAATTTCACCGTAATTATTGTAACATATGCGTAATTTGCATTGAATATTACGTTCTATAAATGAACTATCTGTACACAGCGATTATGAGTTATACTGCGTACATGGGATGATCGGATACGTGCTGGGTGCAGTTTGTACTACCAGTAGACATTTTTAGGTTTCTGGTTCTGGCGCATTGTAAGTTTTTCATACCATCTGACGGCATGGGGAAAAAGTCCAGCCCTTGTACGGCAAAGCAAAAAACTGGATTTAACCCTGTAACGGCACGCAAAATCGGCGGCAAGCGTGCAAATGACCGCTCTATCGGCGGTGTTATCTGAATAATCTAGCTGATATCAAAGGAACCTTGTTGCCACTGACCCATAAGCGTTGTAGATGACAAGTCCACAACCTGAAAATGCCCGGCTTCCATGTGCAACATGATTCAGCATCAGTGGGACTGATCATCCGGCGCTACGCTGTACGAGTGAATTTGCCGACGACACCGTCTTATTTTACATTTCCTCCGCATTGTTAATTCCAGTGTATTTATACGTATACATTAAAAGGGATCATTGCATGTATTAATGTGTAAGTGAAACAGCATATGATTTTACTGTATCCCATCTGCATGCATATACGATAAATTACAGACTTTTGGCACTTGGTGTGAGGCCGGCATTGTCACGTTAAAGGAGATTGGTAAAAAATTGTTTTTGAGAACGGGCGAGAGTCGCTCGACTTGTTTCTTGTTTCAACGTTTAAGTTTGGAGATTATGCGCGGTAATGCTATGAGTGTGTTGTGCACAGTCCCTTCTCACGTTAATTGGGACAAATTCTTCATTTGATTATAACTGCTGAGCGAAGCTCACTTTGTACATATTGAGAAATAAATTCTTATGATATCGTTGTGTGTACATATCATATAATTATCATGGTGCATCACTGTATGTATGGCATATACTAGCCTACTAGGTATATTTATATATACATTTCGGTTCTAGTTATGTATCAGTATTTTAATCTATTTACGCCTCATTATACATTTTATTACAGATAAAGTGTTCCTGCTGAGGAAGCACGTACACGGCCCGATTAATCCGCAAACGCCGGTGTTTCTGGTAGCGACATGCTGGTGTTGTGGTTGCTGGTGCTGATATCGGTGGTGTCGGGAGTGACCCCGACCGTGCCGACGGTCACGTCGGCCTCGTTCACCATCAGCCAATGCACACAGGGGACGGTCGTCGGAACGGTCCAGGCGACCAATTCTCCCACCAGCTTCAGCATCTCCGACCCCACTGACTTCAGCATCTCGGCGGGCGGCCAGATCACGCTGGCCACGACGATTGCGCCGGGAACGTATACGCCGACCGTCACCGCGACGAACAGCGTCGGAACATCCACGCCGGTGACGGTGACCATAACGGCTACCGGCTGTCCTGCGGCAACGCCGGGACCCTGTCCCACTCTCGTCCCGGGCCAAGCCACAAGTAAGATTCAGACTGACGTGTCAGCCAATTATAAAATCACGTTCGCATCATACTGATACAGAGTTCTTTTTATCATTTATTTGATACTTCTCCATATTTGATATTAATTACTTTTTATCGGAATTCTTTTGCTTTATCTACATACTAACTCAGTAGCATCGTAAAATTCTTCTTCGCATAGAAATTGTCGGTACTGATAACTGGGCAGACTAATCAAAGGTTAATTACAAATTATTAAGAATCATTATTAAGAATCTAAGAATAATTATGTACTGTACACATACACGAAAAAATGCAACAGATTTTGCGGACAACTCAGAAACAGTGGAAAAAACTTCTAAAAGCAGATAGCGAACGTAGAATTAACTTTCCCGTTAAAAGAAAGTAATAAAAACAGTAAAAGTAGAAATATAAAATTTGTAACTGCAATTTTTTGGGCGCATAGCAAATTAACTATGCGCCCCAAAATTTTGGGGCGCATAGCACTTTCGTTAATTATAATAGACGAAGAATTTTTCGCTTTTAAGTTGTAATACATGTACAAAAGAACTAAACTAGTAGACGAAGATTAATTACTGTAAAAATTATTACTTGTGCAATCGCGGAATGGGGTTTGTTAGAGCAAATGCTGCAGCCCGTACTGGAAACGCTGAATACGCGTCCTAGGATCAGGAATAACGATTTCAGCTGTTTTCCCATGATTAAAATGTAAATATCATTTTATTTAGTCGTGACCTGACTGGAGAAGCGCGCTCTGCTTTTTTTAAACAACGTTTCAGTTTGGCTGTTATTAAGGGAAACGCTACGGCTGTATTAAGTACGCTACCCTTTAAGGCTTTAACGTACCCACGGGTGGATAGAGATTTTGGTTGTTTTTTCAATGTTTAAAATTTTAACAGTGACGTATCTGTAGTGTGCCTGCGCTTGCACTTCTTGTTACTTTATATAAATAATTATGTATTTTATTTAGTATAATCTAGCGCAGGCTGTTTTGTATGGTACTGGTTTTGTATAGTAAGAGTACATTCCTAGATTTACATAGGATGGCCATTGTGTTTGCTGCAGTGTGCGTGAGTGCCGGTCCCATCAGCGTCGGACCCAATGACGTCATCTTCTTCACCAGTCAGAATTTTCCCCGGGAATACGTGCAATCCGACACTACGGACTGCACGCTGCAGTTTGTCAGTACGTTGCCGCAAGCCAGAATCCAGGTGCACTACGTAGCCGAACAAACGGCTTAGTTATTAATGCGAGTACATTTGTACGTAGCTGAATATGTACAGTAAGTTAACTACTCGTATAATTATTGTATAAGGCCAGCGCCATGCCGGCATATATGCACGTAATCAATCCAAAAATTATTACAATCGGAAAGGCTAGATAAAATAAACAAGGGGCACCGCTGTCCCGTCTAGAGAAACAAAATCTGACCAGTTGAGAAGAGGTCAGAATGTGTTCTCCGTCCACTACGGCGTAGTTGGCGTTTCGTGTCGAACTTCTAATTCCCACTTGTACAAGCCAGTGCTATTTAAATTTAACTTTAAAAAAATCCAGTAATTAGAACAAGTAAAACAACTTTTCTAACTCTCGAGAACATCCGACCGTCATCAAGACAGAAGCCGCATTTCCGCGCTGAATTTCGACGCTTATACGTATCGTGTATCGTGTCTGTATCGTACTCTTTTTTTATTGCAGTTTACAAATGAATATTTCCACATTAAAGAGGTAAGTTGGCCACGACACATGCAGCGACAGTTGTTAATATGTTGAATAATACCAAAACTGCATTAACAATTATTGTTTTTGTTTCGTTTACATGTACATGGGCATGTTTCGTTTACTTGCCCATGTACATTTATACGTAAAAGGCATAAATACAGGATATTCTAGTTACATGATATTAGTATCATACGATTTATATCAGCGAATTTATTATTATTGCCTGTGCGAAGGCGACGCAAGTAGCCCGGTACGTGGTGCAAATTTCGTGTACATTCACGAAAACTTTCACTTTCGCGCACTCCCGAACACGATTTTGCTTTATTTTCGGCATTCTGTAGCTAGATGAATTGTCGTAACGTTTGTGCGCGCATTTTTGTAAATTTAAAAAATAGTTTTTACAATGTTAAACTACATTTCAAAAAATGAAAAATATGGCGGAACCGTGGTTCGGTGTAAAAGTGATCTTCATGTACATATTCGTTTACTGCATGCGAAATTTAAAGAAGGTCCGTACATAATGAGGCTTTTGGTACACCTGAATGCATTTAAACTTTGCGGGATTTTCCTTAGAGCCATAACTCCCGAATGGGATGTTGCGCGCACACATGATTTTCACGCCAACGTATACAAAACATCATGGCACAGAATGTCAAAAAACAAAGCAAAAAAGAGTTTGGGAGAGCGCGAAAGTGAAAGTATTGACGCCTATACACAAATTTGATACGGTGTGGGTTACTGTGTGCATTATTACAGGGCTATGATGCCGGCTCGTGCGATCACGACTACCTGTCGTTCGACGGGATGAAGTACTGCGACGGCTCATCCGATCCCTTACCCATTCCTTTAGTAACCACTGGCAGCTCGGTGGTAAGAATCAGCCGAAAATTAATTAGGGCTCCTCTTCCGGTGGACATTGTAGCCAGCGCGTTCAACATGCAGTACTGCAGTTTAATCGTCTGTTCGTTGTGTAGACGGTGGCGCAGCATCACGCATACCTGAAGAGCGAAAACAATCCCTACCAATTTGCCTTCATGGTCACACTGGTCTACTGAGTCCCGATATGGCCGGTCCATACCCCTTCGAACAAGATTCCCAGTCCAGTGAAATTATACCGATCGGGATCGCCGGTGATTTATGTACAGTGCCTGTGTTCTTGTTGCACACTGTTCGGTCATTTTCTCATGCTGTTTCTTAGCCGCGAACACACTGCAGCCGATCCTTTTTTTAGTCTTAAATACTGACATTTTTTACTTCATACCGTCATGTACGTACTGACTCGCCAGAAATTACAGGGTCTTCTTGCGCGTTATCGAAGACTGGAAGTTGACGCACAAACAAAAATTTAATATGGGAAAACGCTTTGAAAACGTTAGCCATGGGATTATGTATGTAATTTTAAGAAATTCCCATTAAATGTTTTCCGCTTCCTCCGGTGCTCCAGAAACGGACGCCGCATTCGTCTTTGAATTTTCCCCCATGGGCATTATAGGCAGAAAGTTTTTTTGCACTGCCGTTATGCTCTATATACAACGACAGATGAATCAATATTTATCAATCACCAAAATCACAGCGCAAAACTTATGCGAATAATAAATAATATCATATAATTATTATTACGCCAATAAGACCGAATCCAGTACAAAGCAAAACATGTCGTCATAGCAGTTAGCGGCACGATAACGCGGTCGTAAACGTGCAGCTGCAATCAGTGGTCTATAAATGGTGTTATCCGAGTAATCTATCTGTACATGGCAAAAGAACCATCATGCCAACGACCCCAACAGTACTGTGTAGATCACAAGTCCACAACCTGCAGTTATTATCCAGGCGTCCATGCGCAGTACGAATGGGCAGTATAAGGTCCTTATGAAGTTACGCTACACCGACATCCACATTTTCATATGCACGTATTTTAATATTTATATGTAACGGATATACATACGTACAGATGCATCGACGACGTTATACTAAAATGTGCCACAAAATCATGCAACACAATTCATTTTTTGATATTTATACGTATTTTATTAGGGAACAGCACCAATATCAGCTAATTGGGATGAAATGTTCTGTGTGATTAGACCGCCAATTTCCGTATAGTATTTGGCTGATCGAGACTGTCTAAGCACTAATCAGTACAAATATAGGGGGCAAAACTAAACGTGTTCCACCGCTCCCCTGTACTGCTGCCGTCACCCGGCTGGAGTTTGACGTTGTGGCTGAACATGGCGCTTATAATTATGTACATGTGGCTGAACATGGCGCTGGCTTCGAGTTCACCACCAGCCAGTGCACCGCGGAAACGTTGGCGGGAGATGTCTCGGCGCTCGAGGCCCTCGACTACTATATCGATTATTCAGACTTCTGCACGAGCGGGAGCGGCATTTTTCTGACCTACACGCTGCCCCCGGGGACGTATTATGCGAACCTGGTCGCGCATTACTCATGACGGATCCAGTCCGCCGATTCCGGTGAGCATCACGGAATGTGCAGCGCGTCGGCTACGATCCGGATAACCCTGACCGGTCCGCCGGAGTTCGCGCCCATCTCCAGTTTCTCCATCATCCGGTGCACCGCGGGAACCCCCGTGGGAATGGTCACAGCCGTCGATGACCCCACCTACAGCATCTCCGACCCCGCCCACTTCAGCATCTCGCCATTGGGCGTCATTACGCTGGTCGATGCGATCCCGCCCGGGACGTATACGCCGACCGTGACCGCGACTAACACCGGCGGGTCGACGTCTCTTCAGGTGACTTTAACGGCCGCGTGTACGGTGTTCACGCCACCCTTCAGTTTCTCCACCAGCCAGTGCACCGCCGGTACCAGCGTGGGAAGTGTCTCGGCGTCCACCTTCCCCACCTATTCCATCACCGCCTCCATTCCTTTAGTCATAACTGTGACGGGAGGCGACATTACGTTGGGCGCGGTGGTCACCCCGGGGACGTATTCGGCGACGGTGAGCGCGCTGAGCAGCTTCGGGACCGGGTCGGCGTCGGTGACCATCACGGTGGTCTGTGCACCGGCGCCGGTGTTCTCGTCGACTCCCTACAGTTTCACTACGAGCCAGTGTACCGAGGGGACAAGCGTGGGAAAGGTCACGGCATCCGGTTCCCCCACCGGCTACACCATCTCCGACGCCGCCCACTTTAGCATCTCGCCGACGGGCGACATTACTCTGGCCACTGCGGTCACCTCGGGGACCCATAATCCCATGGTGACGGCGACTAACGCTGGCGGCAGCACGTCGGCGACAATCCAGATAAAGGTGACCTGTCCGCCGGTGTTCATCTCGTCGCCCTCCACCTTCTCCATCCGGCAGTGCACCGCGGAGACGAGCGTCGGAAGTGTCTCGGCCAACAATAACCCCATTTACACCATTTCCAACCCCGCCCGTTTTAGCATCTCGTCGTCGGGCGCCATTGCGCTCGTCCGTGCCACCCCGTCGGGGACGCATCAGTTGACCGTGACCGCGACTAACGCTGGCGGGTCAACGTCCCTTCAGCTAAGTGTAGTGGCGGCGTGCACTAAGCACCCCGTGTTCACGTCGTCCAGCTACGCATTTTCCACCAGGCAGTGCACCGCGGGGACGAGCGTGGGAAAAGTCACGGCTACTGGTTCTCCGACTTACAGGATATCCGACACCGCCCGCTTCAGCATCTCGTCGTCGGGCGCCATTACGTTGGCCACGGGGCTCGGAGCGGGGACGTATCGGGCGGCGGTGAAGGCGACCAACGCTGGCGGAGCAGTGTCGGCGACAGTGAGCATCACGGTGGCCTGTGCTCCGACAACGCCCATGCCGCGTCCCACCCTCCTACCGGGTCAAGCAACCAGTAAGGTGTAGCGCATTGTATATACAGTAGTATAAGTCGTATTTATGTATAACGTACAGAATCTGGTAAAGTTGGCACCACATGGAGACAGCTTTCCATGTAAACAGCTGTTGTGAGTGCGCGAATGCGAAGGTTTCCGTGCAATGTGCATATGCTGTACATTATATGCATTTTATATACGATAATACGAACATAAATATACAACGGGATTTGTGTAATGGGTACGATCCCCGATCAGGATAGCATAAGGAAGTGTTTCTGTTATGATAATTATTTGTTTTTGGTACTTAGTTTGTACCCGATGTCCGATACTTATTAAAGGTACATAACATAAACATTAATAAATATGTACATAAATATGTGCCGGCACAGTTCCCCTAACAATTGTTAGTCATAGTGCGGCATCTATCCTGGGAACGGCACCGATGGGTGCAAATTTAGATCAAATGTTCTCTGTGATTAGACCGCATGAGTCAGTTGATGCTGTGTAATAAGTGAAGTCTCTTGAGACTGTGTAAGAAATGTATGTTTAAGTGCAATATAATTATGTACAAATAATAAAAAAGTCATAGGAGTATACGAGTACAAGTATCGGTCGCGCTAGCGCGCGACCAGTTGTGTTTGAGGTATGGAAGAATGAAAGAAATACAAAATATACTTCGTAAAGCAATAAAAAAGATTTTGAGAAATATTTCAAATATAAAACCCAGCGAGGCCAGCTACAAAAATATTTTAAACATTTGAAAATGCGGAATTTTTTCAAGCTTTCCGGTTAAATTCGACCATTTTCTGAAAACTGTGAAAGCCCCCATAAGTTTTTCTTTTTTCATGGTTCTATATCGCGTTTTTAATGTAACTTTATATTACCGATCTAACGAACTGAAGACTTGAACTTTTTGGTACCACAGAAAATATTTTAACGGTGATAAAATGGATTGAGTGGGGTTATATATCTGCACACGATGCCCATAAAATACCATTTTTTTAGCGCAGAATTAATGGAAACTTGCGGGGAACAGTTAACGGTCGCCCAAGGTGTCCTTGCAGGCTGCATCTGTAGATACTAATTGTAAGATTTTGTCAGCCATCAGTCAAGCTCTCTAGTATTTATTAAAATAAAATTAATACATGTTTATTAGATTTCGAGGTTAGTGAATGCCCAAGCTACCACCAGTACCACAGAGCCGCCATGTGATTGAATACGGTAAACGGGCCGCGGGCCGGCTTTTAGATATTTAAATGCTTCGTCCCTTTTCTAAAGCGTATCTCGTTGCAATACAGCACCGTATCTAGTTTCGCTACAGTACAAAAATGGGACACTATTTGGTGCGCACCACCAAGATGCAGCACAGGCTACGCATATCGAAACTGGGCTCGCTCTCCGTTTCCTGTATCGAACCTTCAGCTTTGGCTCCGTATCGCTGTATTTGCGTCCCATCGCGTCGATCACATATCGCTTTGTTTACCAGTTTTTTTGTGCTCTCGTGGGTTGTTGGAAGAATTCTTGTGCTGCTTTTATGCCCTCATTCTAGTTAGTTCCTAGTCTGAATTGCAAAATGTTGTTCCCTGGATTGAAAGTTTTTGGCATCATTGTTCTTACTTTTTAGCTGGTGATGAGTCAGATCAGTCGCACCACCCGCGCAATTATTTATTTTGACCAGCATGCTGCAGTATAGTAATAGCGTTAGAGCAGCCACATAAGTACGTAGTACATACGGATCAAAATTTGCAAATTTAGATCTTTATTTTCCGAGCGCTCCTATTCAGTATTTAATGTGGTAAAGAATAGAAACTAATTTCGTATTCGAAAACACACTCGGTCTGAATAATAGTTTTTCGAAACCATTGTTTTTCGAAACCATTCCACTTCTCTGTAGCCGCATGATGTTGTAGTACTTAATTGTAGTTATATGGTATTTTTTTTATTGTTTTGAGCTGGTCACATTTCCTGTTTCAATTTTTTGTGCATTCAGTTGGGTTTTAAAATAATTAGAAATTTCATAAAACTTAAATAACTCACGAAAAGAAATCGTCACACAATGGCAATACTAAAAAATGCTTGCTCATCAACAAAAAGATACCAGGGAAAGCCATCTCTGGAGGTGGCTTCGCGTACCGTATCGTTTTTCTTTGTACAAAGGACATTCCAAAAGTTTCTTTCCCTATTTTGCCTGCGTGCCATTTCAAGTGATATGCAAACGATATATTTTTTATTACGTAACATGTTCTCTGAGTTATCGAAGAAAAGAAAATTTTTAACTGTCGATGAAGAACTGCCCAGGTGAAAAATCATTTAGCCGGTGGTACTTCTGGCAGCCTAACCACTATCCTTCCAAAATTTCAGCTGTAATGTTGTCACTTCTCTCCTTCTCGATGGTTTTGAATAAAATTTATAATAGTCAAGGCTTACTATGTACTTGTTATTATCATGATCATGAATCATTTCCAAACTTTCACAAATTAAAATAATAAAATTGTTTTTACAGACATCCGTTTTTTTTGGTTTTACGCTTTCCTGCTATTCCAAACTTCCAATTCTTTTCCACAATAAAAACTGTATCCTTGACCCACCTCAGCACATACTGGCTATGATTCAGTTTATCGCTAACCTGTTTGCAACAAATTGTTTTCTGGATTTTTTAATATTTTTGCCGTCTGGAAACTGGCAAGCCTCATGTTTTGACAACTGGTCACTAACACTTCCGATTTCCTTCTAAAAGCAGAAAGGGGCGAATCTTTTTGATCTCGATTTGCACTGTAAAAGGGAAGACTTCTGAACAAAAACGTTTTGTGCTTCTTGAAGTTCGAACGGGGAGAATGCTAAAAATGTTACAATCTTGCGAGGAACCCGGAAGACAGGCTGCCAGACACCGCTAAAAGTCTTTTGGCGAATTTTCCTCTTCCTCTTTGAACAAGACCAAGTTTAAATTTTTTAATATTTAGTTAGTAACTGGCATTAGTAAAAATATGGGTGAAAAGGGCTAAGTGAGTTTGTGGGGGTAGATAAAAAATAGGGAAAGGAACTTTTGGAATCGCCTTTGTATTTCAGGGTATGCGTAAAAAGCGCGCGTAAAATTTTTGGTTGATGTGAGACGCGGGGTTGGTACGGGTTCTGAGATGCGGTTCGCAGGATACCGTATCCGAGAGTTGTGGAAACGGGACGCATTCGGATACGCAGCATACCCCCGTCCCGAATCTTTGCACTGATAACCAGATACGCGAAGCGAGAACCGACATACCGTATCGCGTATCTCCTATTATGGGACGGTGGTGTCCTGTACCGTAGCTAGATTCGTTACAGATTGGGGACGAGGCCTAATATTTAGAAATTACATATAAATTAGACAATTAAGGGATTTGGCCCGGCATATAGTACCAAATTCGGGTACATACACGGGAACTTTCGCTGTCGCGCAATCCTATACACTTTTTTGCATGGCTAGGTATGTACCTAATATTCATAACGGCTCTCATACTCATACTCATAAGTCATAACCCTACTCCTTTAATTCCGAATCCATACTCATAACGGCCCACATAATCATAATCATACTTTGGTCCTACCGGTCCTCAGATTAATTTATTCATAATTATAGCTCATATCTTAACCATTACTCATGCTGGTGTGTCAAAATGTAATATGCAATTACAACTATGTGTTCATGTAAGTCTACTCAACCGCCCGCTTTCGTCCACTCGTAAAAATTATTTCATCTTAATTAGTAACGAAAAAATATTTATTAGAAAATGGCTTCATTACAAAATGACTTCAGCAAACTTGAACTGAGTAACGAAAGCTAAGTAGTTTAATCTGCATATAAAAACTGAACAAGAAAATCTACCATTGTCCACTTTCGTCCATTTTTTAAACTAGTGCTAATGATAAAAAAACCTGAAAAGTTAATGGGCTTACTACGTAGCTTCCACCAAACAGAAAGTGAACGGGCTGTTAACTTTTTATTTCCACAAAACTAATTTTCGACAAAAGCATCGTGTACACTGTACAGCAATAGAACACAGGAAGAGTAATAACGCAGTTTAATCGTTGCTAGCCAGGACAAAAGCAGATATCAAAAAAAATTTTTAAAAAAATCCAAGAACGGTGCACAATTTGCGCAACAGCTATTACTACTTAGTGTCAATAATACGGTTTTTACGATTAATAAACAATATATAATGTTTTTACTAATAACATTAAGCGCAGTACCGCACTGGTATGAGTAGCGGTAAAGGTTTGAGTTATGATTATGAACAAAAATATGATGACCGGTAGGATCAAAGTATGATTATGATTATGAAAGCCGTTTTGAGTATGAATTCTGAATTAGGAATAGGGTTATGAGTATGAGGACCGTTATGAGAATTAGGGTTTGGGAGCGCGCGACAGCGGAAGTTGCCGTGGATACATACAAATTTGGTGCTATGTACCGGGCCAAACCCCTTAAGACCGCGAGATATTGAGGTACTCAGACATTTCTAGACATTTTAAAAATTCGAAACTCTGGAGGCTCAGAAAATTAGAGGTAACGGCCCCGCTGCGCGGGGCCGAGTCGAAATATTTAGAAATTCTGGAAATGTAAAAGCTTTGGAGCCGACTTTGGAAAAATTAATAGTTATTTTGAGGTATTCAAACATGTTTTAAAAACATCTTAAAGGTTTCAAAAATTTAAGAAAGTTATAATTTTGATGGAATTGACAATTTAAATAACATACACAGATCTGTAGTTTAGGTTGCTAAGCTGCGAAACAGACTACAACAGTACTACAACAATACAGTACAGTACAGTACTACAACTGTAATACAGTACAGTATACAGTACTGTAATACAGCTTTTATATTGTATTAATACGCTGGCGATGAAGTGATAGTAGTACTACATTTAATTGCTACAACTTACGTACTGAGTACTGTAAAGTACTCATTCATTGCCAAAATAAGTAATTTAATTAGTAGTACAGTACCTTTAAGTACTAACAACATTTTAAGTACTGTACTGCAACATTTAAAAATTTTTTAAGAACTGCTTTAAAACTGATAATTTTTTTAAAGATAAAGGTAGGAACGTTTGTGTGATGCTCAATTTTATAAAAATAATAACTTTTTGAAAAGGTCAATGTTGATTTAGGAGATAATTTCCAAAACTAACAACTTTTAAGTACTAAAAACCCTTAAGTACTACAACTTTTAAAAATTTTATTTAGACTTTCTCCAACACTTAAGATTTTTTTAAAGATAATGGTAGGAACGTTTGTGTGATGCTGTATTTTATGAAATTAATAACTTCTTGAAAAAATCAATGTTCATTTAGGAGATAATTTCCAAAAAATAAGGACAGGACGTAAGGATATATGAATCTATTGATATCCCTAGTCCTACTGCGGGTAATTAAACCAATTTATCAGGCATACTGTACTTGTACCAAAACGAAAAACAGTGTTTGTTTGTTAATCTAAATAAATTATGTGTAATGCAGTAACTAATAATATTTGAGGAATATACAACCGGCGTGCTCCGCTTGCCAGTGGTAATGGACTAATGGTTAATAAGCAAACTGCACACAGTACAATTTCGAATTCACAATTTGAATTAATCAGGAGCATTGAGCTTTGCGTGGTTGCAGTGTGCGTGGACGCCGGTCCCCTCAGCGTCGGCCCCAGTGACGTCATCTTCTTCACCAGCCAGCATTATCAACGGGGATACATCCAATCCGCCACCACTCCCTGCACGTTGCAATTCGTCAGCACGCTCCCGCAGGCCAAAATCCAGGCGCCACTAATATCTGTACATGATATATGTACAAGCTTGCCCCGTAATTTCGATCGATCATCACTAGCGTCACCTCACTATGGTTATACAGATATACAGAATATCTGTATCTACAGACTATCGTGAAGACAAAATTCAATATTTAACGCGAAAGTTGCGCTATCAGTGACTGCTGTTGCGATGCTTACATAAAATTTACTTTGTACAATCATATATGTAGTTTATTACGTAGCTGGACAAATCAGATGTTCCACCAGCGCCATGGAGTCACTCGTGATCAATAAATTAATGCAACCGGAAAATTTATATCAGACCACAACTGGCTGCAAGGATAGGTTGAAAATCTGAGTGAAAATGTATTAATTCGGTGGTAATTTACAGTACTAGTTTGCTTCTGTATTCGGCTAGTCAGGTGAGCCAGTACACAATGACAATTAGCCGGCGCCGATTTACACTAATGAAAATGATTAAATTTAAATTTGCTAGTTCAAGATCGTGGCTGTACCGTATGTTCCTTTATTGCAGTTCACAAATGAACATTTCCACAATACAGAGGTGAGTCCGCGGACGGCACACGTAGCGATGGCTAATTTTTGAGCAGTGGAATAATTATAATATGAACACTGTATCATAATTATTTCACGGAAATAGACATATAAAATTAATATCTATGTACGTGGTGTAAGCGTGCGGTACTGTTTTTAGGGCTGGTGCGATGACGACTATATGTACCTATCGTTTGACGGGATGAGTTACTGCGACTGTTCATCCGGTCCGCTGCCCATTACCTTGATATCCACAGGCACCTCCGTGGTGAGTGACCCTTTCATTAATTAAGGAAAATGGCCCGATACTGGCAGTCGGTGTTATATACTAATTATTGTATTTCTCCATAGAAACTTTCGAATTAGCGCACTGCGTTTTGACATGGGCCAATGTTTGTGCGTATACTTTATACTCGTACTTATACACTGGCCGGAAAAGATTAAAATGTCAGGGAGTGCGAAAATGCTCAACAATTATAGCGGATGTAAACGGAATATCAAAACACCACGCATTGGGTCCTTTCAGTTAGGAAGTTTGGTCAGCGCCAGTATGTACTGCATTTGTCACTGAATCGTCTTTTCCTGGTGTAGACGGTGGTGCAGCAACGCGCATACCGGAAGAGCGGAAGCAGTCCCTACTCGTACGGATTTGCATTCTTGGTTACACTCGTCTACTGAACTGATTGATGCCGGTATACTTGTACACCAAACTAGTCAAGTCCATCAGCATGACCATCTTGCACAACTCTCACTCCAGATGTAATACGTATATGAATACGTACCTAATATTTACACATTGTTGTATCTCAAATATTAAAAGTGTCCTTCAAATGATTGCGCGTATGTTCCAGTATTAGAAGTATCCAATATCAAATTTATAACAGAATAATGTGACCTTTGCTGTGTGAATTCGTTTTGCGAGGCTCAGCTAAGTGTGAACTGTTTAACTCACAATCGAAAACTCTCACATATTTGTATTATTTTGTTTTACTACAGTATACGTATACCGGACACCCGATAGCCTGTACTTGTCAAGCATTTAATACCAGACATGCACAACAATAAAGTGTAAAACAGTCAGTGAAACCGCTGGTGCTACAGTATACCGACTAGACAATGAAGTCCTGTTTACCGGGTTGTCTGCTCCTGATACATGAATGAATGAATGAATGAATGAATGAATGAATGAATGAATGAATGAATGAACGTAAGGTTGATTATTCGATAGTGTAATACTGGACGTGTAGAATACACGGCGTTAAAGGTCGGTCAGTTGGGCGGTGGAGGCCACTGTGGACTGGGCGTGGCTCAGCCCGGTCCCCGTTGTCCGTCGTGCCATGCCCCGCCCCGTCCTCTTCTCCCACAACGCCTCCTGGATCTCGCTGAACGAGCGGCCCTTCGTCTCCAGCACATCGTACCATATGTAAACAATAAAAGCTGCCGCAGCGATGGCGTACGGCAGGAAAGTCCAGTGGCCCATGCCGGCCTGCATCGGCGGGTACAGCGCCGTCACCAGCATCGTTGAGGCGTGGCATGCAAAGGACACCAGGGTCATGGCGGCACCCCGCGACTCCTTGCCGAACATCTCCGCCGGGAGGATCCAGGGCACGATGCCCGGGCCCAGGTTATAAGATACGATAAAGGTCAACAGCGCTGCCAAGCCGCCGTATGGACACCAGCGGCAGTTCTGCTGGACCAGGCCGGAAAAGGTCACCATTGCGATGCAGGCCACGCAGCAGCCGATATTCCCTGTTAATACAACAAAATTCGGTGCTTCACGGTAGCGATTAGTTTTTGTCTTAAAAAGTGGGATTCGGAGATCCGGTTTGCGGTGGAAAAATTGAATAATAAAATCAACAAACAATGTGCAACAGGAACGCATCCAATGCGCAGTCACAGGCACCGAGTTCATATGTGCGAAACAGGTATCTCCTTTTTTTAAAAAGAACAGTTTCTTATCTGAGCCACAAGTTATGGTGTAATCGGCTTACCGGAAATCAGCAAGACCTTTCGCCCGGCTTTATCAATAAGCACCATCCCTGCCGCGATGGCCAGCATCTGCAGTCCCATCACCCCGATACTCCCGTACAGGGACTCCAGCGGCGGCAGCCCCACACTGCTGAAAATCGCGCTGGAGTACGGATACACCGCCGCGTATCCACTAAACCGCTGGTTCATCATCACCAGCCCGCACGTGACAATGTTCTGCCGGAGAAACGGATCCCGGAACAACCCCACCACCGAGATGACCTTTTCCCCTTCCACGGCCTTCCGTTCCAGTTCTATCTGTTGCAGTTCATATGTGATGTTACTACGCTGTCGCAGCCAGGTTAGTGCTTTAGCTGCGGCTTGGTGATCGCCGTTGGTCAGCAACAGGTAGCGCGGGCTTTCCGGGCAGAACAGCAAGGAAAAGGATAAAATCAGGGAGGGGATAAAGCGCAGCCAGGACATGACCGTCCAAAGGTCACCGGTGCCGAGCACTTGCGGGAGGCCCAGGACGACCGACACTAACATCCCGAAGACGTAGAGAAAGGTCGGGATGGTGCCCATGGCGCCGCGCAGCCGTACCGGGCTGATTTCGGCGATGTACAGCGGAAGGATGGAGCTGGACAATCCCATGTTGACACCTACAATGCAGGACTGAATTAATGGAAATTAATGGGAGCCAGCCAGTCGGTCCGCGGTTAAAAAAAACTGCATATTAAAACGATACTCTTAAAGCATCCCAACTGGGGCTGCATATTCAGCGCTTCCAGGGAGCTAACGACTGTTGAAGGTTGGAAAAGGATGCGAGGTCACGAAGCAGCTATGATTACGATTACCAGAATCGAGAAACACCAGTTCACTGTGCGGAAAGGTCACGGTTTTCAGGCTCACGTGCCAACCAACCTAAAAGTATCCGTCCAATAAACAGCATTTCATAAGAATCGGCCATAACACACGCTCCCGACAGGATAGTCCCCAAGACAGCGGGAATATTGGTGACATGCAGAGCGTTCTTATATCCGCACCGGCTGATCAACCAGCCGGTGCCCCATAAACCCAGACAGGCGCCCAGCGACATGGACGCCCCGATCAGCGCCCATAACCCGTTAATAACCGCATCCGTCTGCAGCAGTTGCAGTGAGGAGTTCACAGCGATGCAAAAATCCGTGTTGTTGGTGACCTTTCGAGCGCAACGCACATCATGCAGCCAGTCGACAATCACGGCTTGCGGCGCATTAATCTGGCAGAGACTGTAGCCAATGGGGAACCAGGCGCCCAGCGACAACGAGGTCACCACCGCCAACAACGTCCCGGTGACCCCGTCCTCATGACCCATAGATGCGCCGACTGATTACGATGATCAAGGCAACCATTTAATCGCCGTCTACATATTCCACATCGATCATACATTGTTGCGACGAGTTTTCTTATATAAACAAATGAAGCCGGAAAAAGATTTTTCCAAGTAGCGGATTCATTGTGTATGTAGCGAATTTTCTCGTTTCATTGATGTGTATTATTATGTTGCTGTGATAAGTGGCTCGTGTTTGTCGCACGATGGCCGTTGAGGACAACGTGACCGTTTGTTGACCATTGTGGCAACATTTTGTATCGTTGCCGAGTATCAAGGTTGGAGACAACACGGCGTTTAGCTGTGGGCACTGATCGGACTGATTTCAATGGCTGGTGTGCACATTAGCATTGTTGTCACCTTCAGCAGTTCCTCGTTATGCATAATGTGGCAGTTTCTTATTCGACACCATACTTCGCTGAATGAAGAACGGAATGGCATCTCGAGTGGTGTGCTGTCTGTCTGACAGCCACCTCGTCATGCTAATCATGTTGTCGTCTGGTCCGGCGCGCTGATTGACAGCTGATGTAAAGCTTTGTTGACATACGTGTCGGATGTCTGCAACCGGCACGCGTGGCACGATGTACACTGTATTGTATTGTACACTGCACTCTTGTACCTAGGATTATCAGCGAGATTTCAGAGCACGTCTGTGGACCGGTTTTACATCAAACCAGACAGACACAATTTTTTCAAATTTTAAAATATGAAAAGAATCATAGAACCGTGGTTTGGTGTAAAAACGATCTTCATGCATACGCCATACAGTATGTACGTTTACCACTTTACGTTCGAAATTTGTGTTATAGGAGATTGGTCCATAATCTGGTACACAATACACATGAATGATGAATGTATGTTATTACACATTTTGTAGGAATTTTCTTATAGCCATAACTCCCGAACCACATGTTCAGTAGTTATGGTTTTCGTGCTTATGGTTACTAGTACATGGCTACACAGTGCAAGTACTTACAATTCACGAATTTGGTACCAACTACCATGTACCGGTACCGGCGGTACGTAACTTCCCTTAACACGATCATACTGCGGTACAATCTAATTGCGATCGCAAGAGAGCGCCTCGACACGGAACCAACTTCTCACCAAGCTTTAAAATAAATTTCGAAATGCAGACATTCATTCTACAGTTTAAAAGAATGCCTTTTGTATGACGTTAGAAGAATGCCAACTGTACGCAGTTCCTTCCTCACTCAGTGATGATATTGTACGTGACTACGCGCCAACCGCACAGCGGCCGACTGTCAAGTAGATCGGTAGCGCAGATGCATCATGCAGGTTGCAAGTTGCAACATGAAAGCACGGCAGTTTGCAACTGTTGGTTTGAGGTTGCAAGATTCTTTCAAATTTTTGTTTTTTTCAATACTTTCTCCATTTGTTTAACAGCATCAACTTAAATTTAGGAACAGCCATTTATAAACATCGTGTAGGTCCTTCTAATGTGCTGCAAACAGCTCGGGGAGACTGGAAAGCATCCCTGACACTACTGCGTCATAAAACGCGTTTGCTGACGAAGCTCCCAAACGCGATGACGGAGAACGGTAAACTCTCATTCCCACATTCTTCCCCGTGATCGCTCTGACAAACCTGCGCTTGCAGGCCATTCCGCGGACCCTGTGGCAGAAAGTAGCGATGCCGTCGTGTCGCGGGCCGCTGTCTACGCGCTGCTGGAGCGCGTGCGCAGCGAACTGTCCGAAGCTGAGGAGCCCTTGGGGGATGCGTTGCGGAGTAGTTGTGCGCGCATGAACTGCGCCGCCCTCATGGACGACGACGAGGAGTGGGATCCCCGCAGCGCCCCCAAGGCCTTCGCCTACCAACCGGGTGATGTGGTCGTGGAGGAGACGCCGTTCGCTGCCGTGGTGCATAGTGAGGTGGCCGCGGTGGTTTGCCATCACTGCTGGCGACGGTGAGTCTTGTTTTCATCATTTTTTTCCATTTATTTATTATAATTTTGCCTTGTACTTTGTGTTTTCTAGTTTTTAATTCTTCCTACATTTTTCGCGCATTTATTCGTCGTTTAATATTTTTTTTCGGAATTTTTATGTATTTTGTATTCTCTTTGTGTCTTGATTTGGTTCTATTTTTGTTTTCTGTAATTTTTGCGCATTGTTTTGAGGTTTTTTCGTGCCCACTTATTGCTGGTGTATTTACTGTAATTTGTCTGTGTTTTGCCGTTTATTTTTGCTTTCTGGATTTTTATTTTCCCATATTTTTTAATTTTTTTTTTGTTTTTGCATTTTCCGCATACTCTGTAGTTTTTCCTGGCTCAATTATGATTAATTTTTGTAATGATGTGTTCTGGCTTTTTTTCCAGTTTTTGTTTGTTTTAATTTTTGTTTCTGGCAGTTTTGGCGTAACTGTTAATGGTGGTTATTTATTTCGGTGATTTGTTGGGAATTTTTTAGGAAAATTCTGAGGAAAATAGGAGATATTGAAAAATTCTTTGATAACTGAAATTGATGGTTGAAAAATATTGGTTGCAGGGAGAATGATGCGGGTTTGTTGAAGCGGTGCACGCGGTGCCACTTTGCCCGCTACTGCGGCGAGCAGTGCGCCAAGGCGGCCTGGAAGACGCACAAGCTGGAGTGCGGCCGGCTGGCGGAGTACTGCAAGGACACCGGCCTCCTCCCCGACGGCCTCATTCGCCTGCTCAATCTCGTCCTCATGAAGGTGCAGGCCGGTCAGACCAGCAGTCCCCGCGGGGCCTGCCACCCGCCCACCGAGCGCAGCTTCCATTCCCTCTGCTCACACACCGCCGAGGTTCGTTGAAAGTATATTCTGGGACTGAAACGTTAAGACGCATAGCTCGTCGGACAGGCGAGCGATTTTCTTGAGAGTAACTTGAATTTCTGTGGAAATCAATTTTATACCGAGCATGCTGTTTGTCTCACGAAAACCTGTCGGCTGAAAATTGCAAACGAAGGAAATTCAAGGACTTCGTTTGGCGCAGTTGCAGCCGCCCGGTGCGGCAGTGCATAGTCAATTTATCTGGAAAATTTCTGAATATTCCCATGCGTTTCCTTTTTTGATTTTCGTCACCAGAATTGACTCTCTTAGCGCTACTTCGATAAAAAAATTAAGAATTAGGAGTAAAAAAATTGTAAGTTGAAAATTTGAAAATTAAATAATTAAAAATACCAAGAAATTGTTAAAAAATTCCCAGTTGTAAATCCGTTTTTTGTAAATGTGACGTAAATTGAACAGAAAATAAGCCAGGTGTTGGTGTCCCATTTGACCGACGAGGGTGGCTTTGACAGCGTGTTTTAACAGATCGACAAGGAGCTGAAGTCGTCGGACAAATTCCAGCGCAACATGCTGGAGATTAAACGCTTCCTCGGACCGACGCCCGCCGCGGCGCCACTGGACCCGGCACTGCTAGCGGAGACGTACAGCCGCGTCCTCACCAACACCATCTCCATTCCCGACCGTTTAGGCAACACCCTCGGCCTGGGCCTGTACCTGGGCGTCTCGCAGTTCGACCACAGCTGCCTGCCCAACGCCGTGTATTTCTGTCGCAACGGCGCGCCGAAACTGTGCGTCGTGGCCACCAATCACATTCATTCCGTTAAAGAGGTGCATTTCGCGTTATAAAAACGGTTTTATATACGAACTTAACACGGATAAAATTTTAAAAAATTCCTTTATGTTCTTTTTAATTAGTTTCTAATTTTCTTGATCATGTAAACGCACTTTTGAAATTAATTAGTTTAGCTGGCTGTTATAGTAAAATTTTAAAAAAAATCCTTGTTGAAATTTACCTTGTTTTTGATCAGTTTCTAATTTTCTTTCTCATGTAAAGTCGTTTTTAAAAATAATTATGCAAGCTGGCTGTTATAGCAAAATTTTAAAAAAAATCGCTGTTGAAATTTCACCTTATTTTTAATCAGTTTATAATGTTCTTACTCATGTAGATTTGAAGATTAGATTATTATTTATTTTAAAAAATTATTATTATTATTTGAAATCTTTACTGTTTTTAAAATTTATTCAAATTGCTGTTATAAATTGTGGGTCATTTTTTAATTTTTTGCTGTTTAGGTGCGTATCAGCTACGTGAACCCGATGAAGCCGACGACGGAGCGGCGCGCGGAGCTGAAAGAGTCGTACTATTTCGTGTGCCAGTGCGGCCGGTGTCAGGGCGTGGAGAACGACGGGATGGGCCGGGCGTTGACGTGCAAGAAAGCGGGCTGCGACGGGTACATCCTGCTGGGGAAGGACTGGAAGCCCATGGGGCCCTGTCCGCTCTGCGAGGAGAAGATGGGCGCGCGCGATGTCGGCGTGAAGCAGGGCCAGGAGCTGATGCTGACCGTCGTGGAGTTTATTAAGCAGCACGAGGCCAACTTCACCGGTAAGGCGAAGTTTGATTATTTTGCCCGTCTGTTATTGAAATTCTACTTTTGAAATGATTAGAAATGGAATTGGAAACTTGACAAAATTATTTTTTAACATTTTCACCGAAAATTTCTCGCTTAATAAGCTTTGAATTTTAAAATAAAAAATACTCGTCCGATTCTTCGTGTAATCTTCATTTAAAAAACCCATGGTTTTTCTGCTCAGATTTGTTTAAATACCATTTTATTAACTATCTCAAATTTTTTTGTAGTAGACTAGTATTTTGTATATTTATAAAAATCCTGCTTTTGCACGCGTCCAAAAAGTAAACATTTTTTATCTAAAATTAATTATTGTATAATTATTCTTATATTTATAAGTTTTTTTTAAAATTAAAAATAAGGAGAATTAATTGCATTTTAAATTTTGGAAATTTAGTTTTTATTGTACTGACTCGGCAGGTGAAATCAACGGTAAACGCCCGACCGCCGAGGAAGTGCACATGCTCCTATCGCTCTCGACGGAATGCGGCATCCATTTATTCCGCTTGAACTACTACCGCAGCCGCTTACACATGCTGCTGGCCAACTACTATCTCCTGATCCATCCCGACGCGGAGAAGGCCCTCCCCGTCCTGGACATCCTCGTCGACGTGTACGAATTCTACCTGGGTCCGGTGTCGATGGCGCTCTGCGAGACGCTGATGAAATCGGCCAAAGCGCATCTCAGCCTCGAACAGTGGGCGACAGCGGCGGAAAAAGCCGGGAAAGCGTGGCCGATTATTAAATTACTGTATGCCGAAGGGGATCCTTTCGTGCGGGAGGTGCAGAGTATTTTGGAGATCTGTTTGGAGCGGGGAAAACGGCCGGGGAGGAGGCGTGATCGAGGGTACCGTGCTTCCGTATTTTTTATTTATTTTTCGTTGTAATTGGATTTATTTACTAAGGGATTTTTTTGCTGGTTTCTTTAATCGGTTTTAGTTGTTTGACATGCACAACATTGCAGTACGACATATTTCTCTTTAGATAATGAAATCTGGAAATATACAGTAAATAAAATACACCGGAAAAAAATAAGAACAATTGTCCGTTTAATCATTAATTTATTATGACGGAATAATTGACAATGATAAAAAAATTCACGGCGGTATGAATGATGCAACGTTGAAAAATAGCGAAAGAGTGTAGCTGAAAAATTTAGTCGTAGTTTATTTGTAAAAACACCGAAAGCAGAATACTATATCATAGCTTAAGCAGCTTATTAGCGTAAGCATCGGCGGTTGCAGTTAGGTAGTGATTCGCCGTGTTTGCCGGATTCCTTTGTAAAATAATTGGATTATTTTTTGGAATAGACCATCTCCTCCGGTTGGACATTGGCGTAGTGGTGTACGCGTTCAATCGTCATGGGCGTGTCTGCAAAAAACGTTAACCATTAATATATTATTATTATTAATTATAATTAGTAAATAAGGTTGATATTAAGAATAAATATAATATGTAAATAATTATAATTAAGTCGGGAACGTACCAATGCGGAACCAGTCGTTGGAGTGTCCCTTCTCCTTGAGACTGGCGCCGATGGCGTCGCGCAGCGCAAAGACCACCGAGGCCGACATGCAGAAGGGCGGCTCACCCACAACTGTAAACATTATCGTTTTAGCAGCCGATTAATAAAATTAGAAGCCCCAGGGGCGTACATTTGCCGCGGGTGACCCCCAGGGGGTTGGGGGCGTCGCGCAGCATGGCCACGCGGAAGTCGACGGGGATGTCCTTGTCGGTGGGGGGCTTGTAGCGCCAGGTGCTCGGGCACAGGTTGGCGCCCGTCTTGGCGTCGTAGAGCACCTCCTCCGAGGTGTAGTAGCCCAGCCCCATCAGCACCGAGCCCTCAATCTGGCCCATATCTGAAACGGGAGGTTCACAAGATGCATCAATTATTATTATCATTATTATTATTATTATTATCCCGGCCGCGTACCGACATAAGGAGACTGCGATTCGCCGCAGTCGTACAGGACGTCCATCCGGTTGACCTGGTACTCGCCGGTCAGCGCGTCCACCTCCACTTCCGTGCACACTGCGATATTAACATTTTTGCCGTTAAATTCCATGTGTATATATGCCGGTTGCAGTTATACGCACTGGCTCCGAAGGTGTGGTAGGCCGACGGCGACGGCATGAAGCCGATGGGTGCGGCGCTAAATTAGCAAGGTGTACCGGTCAAAATGAACGTCCTGAAAGGTTGTATCGGCAGCGGAAATTGCACCGGAAGTTGATTGCCCTTACCGGGCGCGAGCCGACAGGTCCATGTTGGACCAGTGGCAGGCCTCCACCAGCTGCCGCCACGGAACGGCGTCGCCCAGCTTCTGCCGCACCGGCGCCATGCGCTCTTTTAGCTGCTTGCAGCAGTCGATGGCCGCCTGCAATGCCGGCATATATTATTATTATTATTACATCAAGAACAGACAACCCGATTAACGGGACTTCAACGTCTGGTCGGGAGAAAAGTTACAGATCAACTTGAACGCAGGAACGAATGTAAAAAAAACCCTCTCCATCAACACTGAGTATCTGCATGTTAACTTTCTGTATGCGCTCAAAGATGTCCCATGTATAAAGAAGGCACGGTACATAAATGTTTACTCTAGAATGTATTTGCCTCGTTGTTGTACTCTGTGCTATGTTATACTGACCAAGCAGCAGATCTCGCTGGTGAAGCTGCCGCCCGTGGGGCCGCAGTTGGCACTGGTCAGCGTCTCCGTCGGCAGGATCTTCACATTCTCCACCTCGATGCCCAGTTCATAGGCCACCGTTTGCGCCACCTATAAAACAATTTCTCTTAATCAAACCTTCAACTTGACTAGCCTAGCATATTTGATGTTCTTCAATGGACAAGGATATAAGGATATATATAAAGATATACATATATATAAAAGCAGTCAATCAGATTAATTGCCGGTGACCTTTGTATTGATGCCCTGGCCGATCTCGATGCCGCCGTGCGACACCGCCACCGAACCATCATCATGGTAGATGGAAACGAAGCAGTTCAGCATGGCGAAGGTGTAACCGCACGGATAGCGCAGCGGCACCACGTTCAGTCCGCGTTTGCGCCAGCGGTGCTCGGCGTTAAACTGCTGCGTCTGCTTCAAGCGCTCGTAGTAGTCGGAGGATTTCAGCAGCTGCTCGGTGATGGTCGGCAGATGGTTGTGTTCGATGGGCTCGTCGGCGATGTTCTTGTCGCCTTCCTGCAGGAAGTTCAGCTGCTTGACGGAGATGGACGGCTGTTTCAAATAGTTGGCGATGTGCTCCAGCATGTACTCCATGAAGTACAGACCCTCAGTGCTTCCTGTTTAATTATGACAGAAAACTCCTTCATTAGTTCCGCATTGTAAATTAGTTGGCTACTCAGCAGGCTAGAGTTTCGTTCGTTATCGGAATTAACCAGACCACCAATGTCGGAATAAAAAAGTGGAAATAATCAAATGTGATCGCTTAGTCAACGTAATATTACTTTTTTAATTGAAAATAATTTTTAAAAATGTTTTTTTATTTAGTTAGACGCTACGTATTTATCGTCGTAAAGGTCACGTACCGGGTGCACGCGTCGCCGTGTTGGGCGGCAGGTTGGTCTTGCAGTTGTACAGCGTAAAGTGCCAGTTTTCCGATTTGTACCCTAGAACAGCACGACGGTGTTATCGTTAAAAAGTACCGGTGAGATTTTGCAGTAATTATACGATTAAATAGTGCACAGTAAATATAAGTACGGTAGTCCTACCGGAATCGCCGAATTCCTTCCACATCATGGTGGGCGCCATGATGTTGAGGGTGCCGGTATTGCAGTAGACTTCGTAACGGACGCTGAGCAGACGACCCTTGTCGTCGAAGCCCACTTCGTATTTGCCGTAGTACGGGAAACGCTTTCCCACGAATTTCGACTGCTCGAACAAGGACGCGTGGATCTTCGCCGGTCTGGTGAATAAATCAGTACTTAATTATATATATAATGCAAGTGACCTTTAAGCCGAACAAAATTTAGTGATCAATCAGTAATAATTAATAAAAATAGTAATAGTTAGTAAATAAATCAGCTGGTAAAATTCGGTCTACCGTTTGAGAATCCAGGCGGCCATGGCCGCCGCAGCCGTGTAGTGGACGTGACGGGCGGCTTTGGCGCCAAAGCCGCCACCGTTGCGCCGGCAGGTCACCCGGATGCTGTCAAAAATTTAATAAAAAATATTGGCAGCCGGTATCCGGAATTAAATAATTAATTTCGGACGAACCAGTTTTTGGGAATTCCCAGGACTTGCGCGACGCCGGCCTGCTCATAGTCCAGCCACTGCGTGCCGGCCTCCACGTCCAGGCCGTCCTCGTTGGGCACTGCCAGCGCCGTCTAGAAAGGTGACACACCGGTCGTTATTATTATTCTATTTTTACATTTTTTTATATTTTTTTCATTTTATTTCTGTATTTTTGATACAGTATTTTGTATTTTTATAACTTTTTATTCTATATTTTTTTCTGTTCACATTTTTGTATCTTTTTGGATTTTAATGGGTTTATATTTTTTTATGATGGCGCGGTCTCACCAGAATGCTGAAACATTTGTTGGAATGTTGAAAAGTCAAAAAAATTAATTTTCAAAATTTTTCTAATTTTTTTAAACAATTATCTTTACAATTAAAGGTCACCCACCATGGTCTCCATGTGGTAGTGCGCCTGCGTCCCCATCTCGAAATCGCCGGAGATTTTGTGCGGCGCACTGGCCAGCCCCGCTTGCGCGTCACCGATCTTAATCTCAATCGGCTCACCGTGGAATGATTTGGCGGCGATGGCGTCGCTGAAGGTCAGGATGGGCTTCTGAATATTGCTGTAGGTGATCTTGACCAGGGCGGCCGCCGCTTCCGCTTGGTCGCGCGTTTCTAAGAGCAGCGCATCGGACTGCCGGTTGTGTGGAGTTTAATTAGAAGGGGAGGCGGTTACCTGCGACGACGAAGGCCACCGGCTGCCCGGCGTAGTCCGAGTGCTTGTCGGTGAGGAACTGCTCGGGCGGGGCGATGGGCGACACCTGCAACGGGTTGTTCACACCGGGAATGTCGGCAGCTAGGAACACCCGCACGACGCCGGCGGCTTTCTACAAAACAGAATTAAATAATTATAATAATTATAATTTATTATAATAATATTAGGTGACTGTTTTTCATGACTGACCACGGCGGCGCTGATGTCGATGTTGTGGATGTCGGCGTTGGCCTGCTCCGTCAAGGCGAAAGCGCAGTGCAGCAATCCGTCCTGCTCGATGTCGCTGATGAACTTGGCCTCGCCGGTGCACTGCGCCATAGCCTCCAGCTTGGGGATGGGCTTGGTCAGCGGCCACTTGTCCTTGTTCGTCTGCCAGTGCTGCGTCCCGTGCGACACCGGCCGGTGGATGTATCCCACGGCGCTGCGGTACCGGCTGTCCGCCAGCTCGCCCACCGCTTCCAACGCGAACTAAACAATCACAAATTACAACATACGGTTGGCACAGCATATTTCTCACTACTATAAACCACAGAAAGTAGAAAACATATATTTAAAGGTCACTAAACATACTATATATAAAGCTATATAATATATTAGTACATGTAAAGGTCACGGAGTATATGTACTTATCTAAACACATATTTATTCGTGATATGTATAAAGGTCACTCGGTATGTGGATCACAATATGCACATCTGTGTTATATGTAAAGGTCACTCAGTATATAACTAAACACATATGCATCTGTGATATATGTAATCACTAAATCTAATATATATAAAGCCATATACAGTATTTTGTAATTTATGTAGAGGTCACTCAGGTTATATATCCATATACATATTCGTCTGTGATATAAGTAAAGGTCACTCAAATTTTAAACTTTTTAGCAACTTTAACCGGCGTCGTTCGATACCTTGTAGAAGAGCGAGAGACTGAGCGCCTGTTTGTACTCCGTCGACGGCTCGGCCGGGTCGTATTCCGGCTGGATTTCCGCTTTGAGAACGCGCAGCGTCTCCTGCAGCACGGCCGGATCGGCCAGGTCCTTCCCATGGTGACCTTTGATGATGCAGCCGTCTTTGCCGGCCAAGAAGGCTTCCGTTTTGTGGGCACGCGCCTGCACAAACAAAAGGTCACGGCGTCTATATATGCGGCATAATTATATGTAATTTTGACTGTCCACGTACAAAGTGCGGTCCGATGCTGCCGTAGACGATGATGGGTTTATCGGCGATGACCACTTTACCGGCCTTGCTGCGGTCCACTTTCACGCGGAAACCGGCATTGACCACGGCGTGGGCGTTCTGTATAGCAAAGTCCATATCAATCATATCATCAAATTTATTGAAAAACTGCAAATAAGTTATTCATATTCAATAAGAATAATTTCATATAAGCCAATAATAATCCACTAATAATAATAGTAAAAACAATTATGAATCATTAGGAGTACTAAATAGTCAATAAATCAAAAAACAATGTACTGTAGGTTTGTAATTTAGTCAACCATCAATAATGAATAAATGAATATAAACTGTTAGTAATCCGCCCATTAATAATTATAATGAATAAAATTTGCTCTTAATAATAAACAGTCATCGAAATAACAGAGCATGCAAGCGCGGACAAACTACTTTGCGTTAAACTTTAAATGAAATTGGTTGCATTATTTTTGTGCATTTGATCGATTTAGTTGATTACCTGATAGCGCGGCATGATCTTGTAAGCCGCGAAGAAATAGTCGCGCGAAGAATACACCGGCAATTCGGCGCCCAGGATGACCTTTCCGGTGAGGTCCTCCTTCATGAAATCCGGGATCGACAGCCGTTTCCCACCGGGACCTGTTTAAAGCAAGCTCACTGTAACTGTTACGGAAATTCCATCTAATTTAACTTGTTTACCCAAAACGATGGTAGCATCGGCGATGGCCAGCGCGATAAAGGTCTCCGACTGGAAATCCGGATGCCGGTGCTTCATGGCCAGGTTGCCGCCCCACGAGCCCGCCTGAGCAAAAAATATAAAGCTGCTTAGAACGATTCTGAAATTTGGGAAAAAGGGAATATTTTAACGTACATTTCGGACGGGCGGTTGCGCCGTGCGACGCAGCAATCCGGCCAATTTGGCTAAATACTGGAAACCCTCGTTTTTGCTCTCCGCATCGAATGTGTTGATGACGTCCGTCAGCGACACGGCGGCTCCCATAAACAGACTTTTTCTGTCCGTATAAATTTCATTTCAATTTATTAACAAACTTTAACACTTATTTTGTGCCTAATAGTATTGCCTATTAATATTCATTTTTTTATGAATTTAATAAATAATTTACCCTTCGGTTTTGTAGAGACTGTGTAGATGCTTGATCCCCTTGAGGTCCACATAGACCCCGTAGGGCGCGTCGTTATAGACGCCCACCCCGGTGCGGCCGACGACGTAATACGGGTTGCGCTTGGCCACTTCCGGCAGCAGTTTGTATAGCTCGTCCAGGGACTTGGGGACTGTGCCACTGCGGCGCGGTCTCGCGCACACTGTCCAGGATCTTCTTGACGTACACCGGCTGCCCGTTGGCCTTGCGGTGGCAGGCGTTGGTGCACAGTTCGCCGTTGGTCAGACACGGCGTGCAGTTGGCCTCCTGTAATGTATTGCAAATAACCTAAGAATAACCTAAGAAACCTAAGAAAATAATATAACCGGGCAACTGTTTTTACCGCATTTCTGTTTCAGTTTATTTATGTGTTTATTTTGTTTATTTACTTCTGCGCGTTTAGTCGGCCGTCAGTAAAAAAAACCAGTGGATAATATTTTCAAAAATACTATCAAAGAAAATTTTATATTGTATATATTAATATAAAAAATATTTCTTATATAAATATTTTTTAATAAAATTAATGTGTATTTCAAAAATTATTCTCAAACTTCCGGTCGACAATTTCCGGTTATATACCTCGACGTCCTTCACGCCGTCCTTCGTGAAGGTCTTAAACGCGTCAAGGATAGGCCGGTAGCCGGTACAGCGGCAGATGTTGCCGCCCAGGGCGGTCTCCACATCCGCCGCGCTGGGTTTCCCATCGGGGTGCTCCTTCAGCAGACTGCCGACCGGTGCGGATATTGATACTACGTCTGGGAATTTTTGGAAAATAGAAAGCAGTTGTGTACCTGTACATGCTCATGACCATCCCCGGGGAGCAGTAGCCGCACTGCGTCCCGTAGTGGTCGGTTAAGCGTTGCTGGATGGGGTGCGGGTGCTTCTGCGTGCCGACGCCCTCCACCGTGGTGATGCTCCAGCCGTCGCACGATAAAATCGGACACAGACACTGTAAAAAAGAATAATTAAGCGTTTATTAACACCACCGGTTGTATATATGAAAAATACATTTTATGGTTACGGACCGAGTTGATGGCGCGCGAGACGGTCTGACCGGAAGTGGAGTGGGCGTCCGGGTAGGTGGCCGTCACCACGCAGGCGCCTACGTATATATAACGTCACATCAGTAAGAATAATAATAATGATAATAATAATAATAACAAATGGGGAAAAATCGTACCGCATCCGCCTTCGCGGCAGAAGACCTTGGTGCCGCCCAACTGCAGATAACTGCGCAGGTACTCGTTCAGCGTCACTTCCGACAGCGCCCGCGGCACTACGGTAATCAATCGCAATAAATAATAAATCATAATTATCACGTCTAACTGCACACCATAATTAATGACCGCTGCCGTAAATGTACATAGTAATAATAACATCATTAGCTACAAAATTATTACAAGCGAATTAATTCGACAATTAATTACGACACCGTTAATCGGGTCAATACTGGAGGTACCTTGGTAGCGGGTGCCGTTAATGGTGACGCTGATATCGTCATCCTTGGCGAAATGTCCCATTCTTCCCGGTTGGCTTTCCACAAATTGTCACAAACAATTCAGGAAAGAAAATAATTACGCTTGTATACGATAGGAAATCTATAAAGCTTGGAGGAAATTAATGTATGAACGCATATATTCCTGTTCGTTAGTTCCCACTAAAGAAAAATTGTCTTCGATCGGTTAGTCGCCGTCTGACAGCTGCTCCTGATGCAGCACTTTCTCCGTTTCCCTTCCGCTGAACAAATGTTTGCCCGTGCACTGCCAATACCCAACACAAACAGCCCACAACCGGTTCCAGCGCTAACGTGCAGTCCGCTGTGTATAGCAGCGTATCGTGCTGTTTCCGGCGGTACTGCATCTGTACATGAATATGCCACATGACACGCCGAACGCCGAACAAAGCGTGTTGATGCGGCTTATCGCGGCGGCAGTCGACGGAAAAGACGTCCCACCGGCGACCCTGGACCGGATTACATTCACCCATTACAACAGCACTAGCTGTATTATCGATTTTTCCATTGCCAACACAAACACTCGTTTGCTAATTATCGCCGGAATTATATTATCGCCGCTCGGCGCATAAGCATTCGTATGTAAAACAGTCAATTCTTTAATAAACACGAATACGAGTTGTTATACGTGTACAATACACAAATGTTACGCGTGGGAAAGCTGGACGCATTCATTTATACGTACATTATTGATTTATATTAATCGTACAAGATTGACCGACTTGTTGTGTTTAAAATACAGCAACTGTTATCGTCTCGCAGCACTGTTTAAACACAACATGATGACGCTGGCAAACGCCATGTTGCCTTTTCGCGATCCAGTTTCGCATTTAAGCCAGCCGGGCTCCTCACCCATTTAAACTTTGAGAATAAATTTACAAAACATGGCAATCGGGGAATCGGTGCCCTTTATTTATGCATTACATACGAATACAATTACGGTGTAAAATACAGGAATTAACAAAACGATGACCTTTAATACATTTTGATATATACGGCGCAAAGCACAGGATCTAACAAAATGAAGACCTTTTTATTTTTATATATATACGGTGTAAAAGACAAATAACCAAAGGATGACCTTTTATTTTTATATATACGGTGTAAAAGACAGAAATAACATGACGATGACCTCTTTATTTATATATATTTACGGCGCAAAATACAGGATCTAACAAAATGATGACCTTTTTAATTACATATATATACGGCCGTGCAAAAGATCGACAGGAATAACAAAATGATGGCCTTTATTTCTCGCTGTCCTCATATTGGTCGCACATCCCGTCCTCGTCCGCATCGGTACAATCATCATCATCGTCCGGATCCACGTTGACGTTGATGTTAATGGGACTGCCGGTCGGGGCGGGCGCGTAGTTATAAGCGGGCGTGGCGCCGTAATAACTCCCGTATCCGTCGTACGGATAGTAGTTGTCGTAGCCGCCGTAATAGGACGGCAGCCCGCCGTATCCGTACAGGTAGGACGGGGAGTAGTAGGCGGGACGCCGGGTGTGATAGCGGTGGCGCCGGTGCCGGCGGCCGTAGAAGCCGCGGTAACGGTGCCCGCGCCGGTACCGTCCGAAACCGTAGCCGCGCAGACCGCCGCGGTAGCTGCTGCGGTAGCGCGAGCCGCTTCGCAGCCGGGAGGAGCCGCGCCGGATACTGCGACTGTCCGCCCCGGGTCGGGAGGAGGAAGGCCAACAGGAAGATACCGGTGACCAGCCACAGTAGCTGCGCAATTAATGTAACCGCAATTACGTACAAAAATAAACGCAAATAAGGAACAAATTACATGCGAATGAAAAAGTAAAATAAATATGGAAAGAACGAATAAGAATATATAAATAAATAAATGAAAAGAATATATACAGTATACAATACATAAATAAAAATATTTATTCCTTTATTTTAAACTTGTACAAGCAAATGCCATTTACACTTAAACTCAAATATCGAATAGCTAGAACAAGTAAAACAACTCTTCAAGCTCTTTTGAACAACCAACAGTTCCGAGGACAGAAGCGGCATTTCCACGCTGAATTTCAACACTAATACGCTGCCACAAAAAATCGGTAGCGCGCACTTCTCCTGTTTGATCTTTTATGCGTCGGCCAACTTCATTTATGAACTGACGGGTACTGGCGCCGCAACTTCCCATAGTCTCCAAGGACACCGGTTGGAAAAAAATAACGATCAGTCAATTCCTCGTAATTGCGCCTCTTTCGTTCTTCCGCGTCTTCTGCTGCCGAACCCGCTGTTTCTGATGAGCCGGCGATGTACGATATAGCAAATGTGTCGCACACCGTCACATCCCAAATCAAAGGAAGACCGTTCTTCCAAGGAAAAGAGACAAACCGTCTGGGCGCTTCCCATTTGACCTGCACAGTCCAGGAGGCTCCAAAATAGTCGGGACTTTTGCCGATCCCAAGCTGCGCTGAATAAGGCTGTTCAGGCTTGCGTGACGCCTGAATCTCCCCTGACTTTTTAAACATGACAAACCATGCAAACCTTGGGCGTCAACTGTTTCACCGCATCGACACTTGTGCTGCTTACAAATCGGAGCTCCCATACGTAAAGCGACTGCGACTCGTAGTCCAGTATCGTCTAAAAGCGTGCCAAATAAAAATTATATGAAAAATGAAAGTATATCAATAAAAGAAATTATACAAATGAAATAAACATATAATAATAAATACGGTGCTGGTCGCTAAAACCCAGCCGTGACCTTTTTCTTAACCTTATATATACTATTATATTTGAAAATTATTCATATTTATATTTGCACCCAACACTAATGTGCGCTCACCAGTTTGTAGATATTCATTGCAGCCGAGGAAATTTCAAAATGGACGACAACTAACAAGAACGACAGGATTTGTACATAAACCAGAAATTATTTTTGCAGCGGTACAACGCACGCGCGGTGAACTTTGCGGCAATTCGACGAAATGTGCCGGATATACAGACTCTTGCGCGTCACGTATTATTTCTTTATTTGTAGCTGCGAAAATCGCATCCGTTTGGCGCCGGTGTCCGCCGAGAATGCAGTGATATCTGCCGGACAGGATGCAGTTGCGACCAGTGCTCAGTATTCGAGCAGTTTTTGCAATCCACTACACGTGCACGGTGACTGCGCAGTTTAATTTGTCTGCGTTTACATAGAATAGTGTTTTTCTGCTACAGGCAGTTTTATTCCTCTGCGTACATATTATACGTATAATTTTGAATTTCTCTCTATATTTTTATTAATTTACCTTCAGCGGCGGAAATGAAGCTTCTAGGATTGGTAAGCCGGTTCAGACAGAACGAATTAATAGTAGAACAAGTATTATATTTTTTTTATTATTATACTTATTTGTTATATTAATTTTGTTATCATTTTATTAATCTACTTTTATTAACTGATCCATCAACTACTATTTATTTAATATTATTATTAATTTCATTGAATAATTTAGTGGGCGCTGGTGACCCTGGGATTCCTGCTCGTTGCCCTGCTGAGCGCTTCTGTGGACGCACGGCGTGTCCGCAAGATCTGCCGGCGACACCACGGCCCCCGCCACTGCCGGCGCTTCATCATCGTCCGCGGCCACGGACACGGCCACCACCACGGTCATGGCCACGGGCATGGCCAGCGCAACCGCCAACCCGTGGAGATCATCGAGGAAAACGAGAGCCCCGCCCCGGCCGCGGCGGCGGCCCCCGCCGGCGGGACCACCGACCAACCGGAAGTCGAGGAGTCCACCGACAGCCCCGACGCCCCGGAGGCGGGCGCTGCGCCCACCGAGGGAGACGGGGACTCCGCCGGGGCGGACGATAAGGGCGACGCGGCGGGCGGTGATGATAAGGGCGGGAAGAAGGGCAAGGGGGCCAAGAAGGGCGGCAGGGGCAAGGGGAAATCCAAGGGCGGGGATGCGGATAAGGGCGGGCAGTCGGACGAGGAGGCCGATCTGGACGACCAGCGCGACTGAATACTACTGTGACCTTTCCAGTTATATAGAAGATATTACATGTGCGTTTTTCCCTGTTGAACTGACGTTACTGGGCGGTGTCAACTTGGCCGTTTTAATTATGACCGACATCTTTAATGCTTAGAACGTCAGTCACGAGATCTGTGCATTAGTGAGGATTTTTGCCGCCTCGGGAGTTTCACTGTGCAACTATGACGCGTCATTAATTTTCGCATTTTTATTCGGCCATAAAAGAGTGAGCTGGCATTTGTATGGAAAGTTGAGTAAAATTTAGTAATTTACGTAATTATTTTGTAGAAGCTAATGAGAAGACAGGGGACCCAACAATGCCGGTTATTCCGTGTCCGCTTTGTTGCTTGTCCAGCAAAAATTGCGCACAAAACCACAAATACACAGACATGAGTGACATAACCGGCTTCTGTCGGATCCGCTTGACCATTACGCAGCGATTTTTCTTTTCCATTTAGCTAACCGTAAGTGCCACCACAAACCGGCAGGTCATTATTTTTTCGCTGAGGTTAATCGCGAGTCGTCGATTTAGCTTTGGTTTCGTGTAGTACAGATTTTTTTATATACCGAGTGTTTCGTATTCCTACTGATATAGTAACGCCGGCAGGATGAAAGCTTTCAATCTGGTAAGGCAATCATTTTAGCTATGCATTTCTTGCTGATTTTTCTTATATACCAGATAACCAGACCATTTTAATTGTGGAGTATTAAATAAAATTATTATTGTGATGTCTTAAATATATTGCATTAGAAAAACTATTAATGTATATAAATATACGTAAATAAGACTGAGTAAAATAAATTATACTAAGCTAGTTTTATAAGAAAAATCTGGCTCAGATAAATAGAACAACTGTTTGTTGTTATAGTTATTTTTGTTGTCGGTAGCATTGCTGCTACTAGCCTTGTTAGCCGGCGTGGAGGGCGCACGCCGCGGGTCGGTGGGGCGCAGTCGCGGCCGACTGCGCTCCGTCCGCCGCCGGGTGGTGGGCGGGGCGCGGAGGGTCATTCGACGGCGAGTGCGGCGCCCCATTCGCCGGCGCCCCGTCGTGGACATCGACGAGCCGGACATCATCGAACCGGAAGTGATCGAGGAGCCGGAGCTCGTCGAGGAAGTGGAGGACCAGGTGGCCGCCGACCCCGTCGCCGACGACGACGACCGGGAGGAGGACGCCGTGTACGGCGACAACGGGATCCGGGTGCGGCGCGTGCGCAACCAACTGCAGCGTTTTGCCTTCTCCTCATAAAACCACGATGTGTGTTCGTCTAGTTGTCAGATTCGAGCGTTGTTAATGAGATTGTTATTTGTATATTAAAGCGGATGAATGTTGTCTAATACTTTGTATATAAGATCTCGTACATCGGTTTATTATGGGCGAGAATTAATAAAACAATAATCCACAAGGCGCTACATTAAAGGTAGGAATAAAACGGGAGGTGCTTCGTTTTAACGCATACTGCGCAAATAAATGCTTCTCTGTTCGAAGCCGGTGCTGGCGATTTTATACGCGATATTCTGTTCCTGTTGCACACTGTTTGTTGAATTTATTATTCAATTTTTTAATTTTTTTTCGCGGACCGGCTGTCGCTTTCCGCTTTGTCATCCTACGAGTACATTAACCTTGTATATACAGAACAACGCTGAGTCCTTAAGTAAAAGCAGGCATTACTGGAACTGCAGGCGGACCAGGCGGTGGTCGCTGACCAGTTTGGCCTGCGCCGGCGTTAAACTGAATTTCTGCGGGAAATTCGGCGCCTCCACGGAGCCGGGTACGAGCGTGGAGTTGAAGACGTTGCCGATGTTGACCGCTCTGCAGACAGTTAGTTTATTATTATTACATCAAGAGCAGACAAGCGGGAATTGTGGAGACAGCCACTGACCGGTCGTAGGTGCAGTGCGTCGTCATGGAGGTGGTGTCGGTGCCGGTGGGGACCAGCCAGGCGAAGCGCGCCTGCGTCCACAGCGGGATGCGCGGCCAGTCGCGGGCGCGCACGTACTGGCAGTCGCCGTTGTAGTCCCCCAGGATCATCACGTTCTACACGACCCATGTTTAACTTGTGAATCATTTTAAGCGGCTTTAACATTTCATGGATGCGTACCGAGGTCCGGTAGGTCTGCGCCGCCCAGTCGAAAGCCGCCACGAGACTGCTGATCTCCTCCACGGCGCGGGCTAAATAACGGTAACTAAATCAACACGATTATCGGGCGTGAAAAGGTCACGAATGGCTAACGATTTTGGATGCTTTTTCAATGTTAAAAATTTAATCAATTTAATGAGTGTAAACCTACGCAGGCGACGTATTGATATACGTACTGGTCAACGCCGAATAAAACAGTTGATAAAGAGAAGTCATTTTCCTTACTGGGCACGGTGTGGACGGTCCCGATGACGAAGCTGCGCAGAGCGCCGCGAAGCAGCCGTAACTGCTTGCCTTGCGCTTTCGCTGTAAAATTCGTGAAATAAGGCTGCCGGTGGAAGAGACGCTGCGCCGGATCGGGGGCGTCCGGGAAGACCGCGGAGACGCCGGCAGTCAGCAGATCATCCCTACCATCGCAACACTCAGTTGAATAATAATGAAAAAATTCTATAAACAAATTAATTCCTCATCTCTAGAACGACAAAAAAAGAGAAAAAATTAAAAAACAGAACTAAGCAAAAAATTTTCTAACAGCATGGTAAGATATCTCCAGTAAAATGAGTCCGGCTACTGTAGTTGGATAATAATAATAAAATTGAAAACGCACCGATGATCGTGCGTATCGTACCGGTAAAGAAAGAGATACTGCTCCAGATTACGGATGCCCAAGCGCGGACTGACGATGGCCGAGAACGGATTGCCGGTGCGCTTCTGCAGCTCCATCCGCAGCCGTTCCGCCACGCTGCCGGTCTTATCGTCCAGCTCCTGGATGACGGCCAGGTGGCAGTCGCGCAGTTGCTGATTACACAATTAATTCTTATTAAAATCACCCTGCAATACTTTTTATTATAATTATTTTTTTCCTGATCTAATCGCAGACCTACGTCGACAATGATGTCCAGACGGGTGACGTTCTTCCCGGCGACAATCAGCGGATCCGGCACGGAGAATTTATTCGGTCCGAAGCGGAAGATATTCCACGTGCAGATGGTCAACGTGTCCAGCGTCACCGGCGTCGGCCGGACTGCCGGTGGTTGGACAAATTCCGGGGGATCGGGTTTACGACGGAATAATTTGCTGATGGAGCGGCCGATGTAGGAGAAAAAGGAGGGCGCCGTCGTCACCGTCTCGGGCGCCGAGACGCGCTCGTAATCCCGCTTGCTGATCAGCAGCGGGGCGATGGCGCTGCCGGGCTGCAGGTGGAGCAGCAAGGTTAACAGGAAGCTAACCGGGATGTGGGGATGCATGGCGTGCCGGTAACAAGAGGGATTACGGGATCAGGAGATGCAAACAGCAATCCACATCATGCTGGGTGCGTTAATTTGATGAAATAACGCGCACCGGCATTCTCACCCATTTAAAGTTTGAGAATAGGTTAAGGACGGTTCGAACCCAAGGCTTTACCGGCAGAGATTGCGTTCCCCGGGTGTCAGCTATCCTGAGGGAAACTTCGGAAGGAACCAGCTACTAGATGACTTGATACTGTAATCTATTGAATTAACATGACAGTGCTTTCGTCAGCCCAAAAGAATGCTGATTGCCCACTGATCACAGCAGCGGCCAGGAATGCTAACTGTCCCGGCGTTGCTGTCTGCAGCCGTGCCGTTGGGGGGTGGCTAATCAGCTATCAGCGCGGCCATCTGACGCTCTGACACGAGACTGACACAAAGTCAACCCGGACGCAAATGAGGCGCTGACGGAAAATTAGAACATGCTGCGAGAAATAACACTGCTTGCTTTCTTCGTCGATATCAGCGCAAGTCGACGGATAGGAAAATATTTTTTCCTCTGACTGACTAATCCTAAGGACAAACAAGTGAGACAACGTATCGGCAGTCTACACGTATGATTCAACACAACAAAATTTATTACCGATTATAAAACAGTTTTACGACGCTTCGTAGAATATCAAATAGGTACTCGTACCACGGTAAATACAGTGAACCTACGAAGATTACGTAAATTACGAGCTACGTATTTTTCCAGTCAGCATGAAAGCGGCAGTTATACCTGGTATTCTGCAGCACTAAAATTAATAAGTAATTATTTTCGAGTAGCATGCTTTATTACGATCGACCATAGTAACGATAATGCGGTGAAAGGCGGTAGAATTAAATGCCATTTATCTGACACATCACAGAAATTGAGGACAAATTTCCAATTTACGTTACGTTTTCGGTAGACTAATAATTAATTTTGTCAAAAATACCATGCGTAACAAACAATTAACGACTAACAACAATACTGAATAAAACGCGAGGACACAGGTCAAATTCATCCGTCAGCCGGCTGTTATAAGAATACATCCATCCTTCACCTGGTTTTCGCCTTCATTTTCCGGTGCGCTTTATCCCGGCTGCGAATGCAGTGGCTCTTGATTAAGTGCTGCGACAGACGCGAGGGAAAAAAGTTCTTCAACAGCCAATTCTACAACGAAAACCAAAGGGTAAACAACCGAAAATTGTTATTAAAATGGCTAGAGGGATTGGAAATCTGTCAGCCACTGTTCTACGCCACTCTCTGCGTACCGTCTGTAAGTATACTTCGACTGTAATATTCTGCCGGTCAATCATTGTCACATCGTCAAAATAGTATCAGAATTTAGGAACATATCCGCAAAATATTACTCGGCAATTGTATCATAACGGACACAGAGAATAACCACTTTAATAGGATCTGAAAACTGCTTAAAGGCACATGTTTCCCCACGCAACGGCTTGTGACTGACCTGCAGCGCGTGCGCCGGATGGCCGTGGGTGCGCGTGAAGAAGCCCACGGTATTCAAGCAGGCGCGCGCGTACAGTTTGGCATCCAGCACCAGAAAACTCAGTCGGGCGTTGTTGGTCATGTTGGTGGAGACGATCCACGGCAGCACCGACTACACAACGCACAGCGTATACTAAAGGAAAACTATGGAAGAAACAAGAAGACGCACCTGGAAAATGAGACCGCGGTCGGCGTACTCCTGCTGCAGGGCGCGCGACAAAAAGTCGTTGTAGGCCTTGGTGGCGCTGTACACCGACAGCAGCGGGATGGGGATGTCGCCGCACGCCGACGACAGACTGATCACCGCGCCGCTCCGCCGCGCCAACATCCCCGGCAGCACGATGCTCGTCATCTGCAATAATCAGCGCTTTTAGTAAGGACTACGGTTGCACAATTCGACGCGGATCCATTTTAACGGTTCAGCGGAACATAGCAGTAAAAAAATATTTATACTAACGTGCGTCTGCGAGAGAACGTTGCAGTTGATCATGGCGTTGAGGAATTCCGTCCCGCCCGGCAGATCGGCGAGGAATTCCGGATTGGGATACGTCACTCCCACGTTGTTCACTGCAATCAACATACGCCATTAATTGTTAGAAAACTGCGATGAAAATTAATTTTGATTCAGTTTTAATTATTTTTAAATTTTTATCAGGTTTAGAATTAATTCATCGTGATTTTTAAATTAATTTTGCGAAGCCTGGCAATTTGGAAACCAATTATAGAACCTTCCGCAGGAACCGGAAGTCCGATTTGCGACTCTCCATAGTTTTCCTAACTCACCCAAAACTCCGATTTCCAGTCCGTCCAGCTCCCGTTTGATGTGCTCATACACTCCCTCGACATGACTGAAGTTCGCCACGATGATCTTGGTCTTCACTCCATGCACCGATTCTGTCCCAACACGAAAAACGTCAACCAGTGGCAAGTTAAACGCGCCAAACACCTCACCGATCTCCTTGGCGACTTTCTGCAGTTTCTCCTCACTCCGACTGATCAGGATGATGTTGCAGCCCCGCCGCGCCAGCTAAGACACAGCACAATCAACCGTCAACGCGTTGCAAGAGAAAGCAAGCTGCAGGATTTAGCCTCACGTCAAATGCGTAAGCTTTCCCGATTCCGTCCGTCGCTCCCGTGATCACTGTAAAACACGCAGTCTGACTGATAAAAATTCCAACGAAAATTCAACGCCTGCGCAGGATGCATTGCTGCATAGTGCAATGGACGCAGGCACGTACCAGCCCATTCTCCCAATTTTGCAAAAGGCACCGTGAAGCCCAGCGGCTCGGCTAGGATGTAGACGAAGAGATTCTTCCCGATCCAGTACAGCATTTCCAGCAGCAAGACAACCGCGGTTAGCGTTCCGACGCCTGTTATCAGTTGCCAGCAACTTCCCGCCGCGTCCATTTCTTCCAGAGAAAACGCTAAAAAATTATAAAGAAAACCTTAACAATCCTTCTGTAAGCCAAAAAACCAGAACGGGAAGGAATTTAGAAACTGGAAGATATTTTTGCAGAAATTATCTTGTTCTGTCTTTTTGAAAAAATTCGTTCCAACCTTATAATTCCATTTCCACATATGCTCGGAGATTCCATTACCAAATTCTGAACGCGCATTCTCGGTGTGGAATTCGGAATTTCCATTTTTAAGTGGAATTGGAAAAGGAAGTCGCAGCTTAGCTCGCCACGCCGTGCCTGCGCTTTATCGTGCCCTGCGATCTCGCGTGTTTAAACGTGTTTGGCAAAGCAGGCAAAGTGCATCGTCTGCAGTTGTGTTTCATTCATTTTGACAACATTTTGATGATGCCCAGCAGCCAACACGTTTTTTGAGAAAGTCTGATGTTCAACAGTGATTGCTGCTAATTATTCCGCCATTGTTTAAGGATCTTCTAAGTAAATGCTGACGCGCAGTTAGCTGTGATAATGGCTGCGTCGCCAGCTTTCTTAACCAGCCTCTTGACTTTGCTGAAGAACGCGTGAATCATTCATCGCGAATTTCGTGGTAAGAAGAGTAGAAGACCGTTATAATATTACCTGTCGCTGGCGCTTATCGCACCGTATTTACTGTTTCATAATAATATAATATTTACGTAGTTGGCGGATTGTTTTGATCATTCCCCTGTGCTAATCAGATCGACCTGTTTGCCTGTCGCTGATAACGTGAAGGCTGTTGATTTCGGCGTGTCTGGTTTTGCCAGGAAAATCGGAGCTGTATTTTGGCCTGGATCGATCCGGAATTTTATCCGTTATTTTTTACATTTATCTGGATTGCTAATCCGACGTTTTAACAAAGTGTGATCGGATTGGGACGCACAGAATGCGCTGAATCGCGATGAGGTGAGATTTGCAGATTACGGCGTTGTGTTATGCAACGCGGGTTCGTCCACGAGCTTTCTGCTTGGTTTAACGGTTTCCGCTAGCGAATTAATCCTGTTAAGTGTTATGTAAAAGAACAACATGTGCATCCTAATGCATCCTAATGGCGTCGATGCTTCCGCCGTAAAATCGATAGAATTTAATTTTGAGGATTACTTCCCTTTCGCTGATTGCATTTGGTCGCGGTTGTGATGTGCCGTTTTTATTCTTGATTAATTTGATAATAATTTGCGGAATTTTTCTGGCCGTTATAAATGTGGTGTGTACATTATCGATGCCGCCATAAATCGATAAAATTTAATTTTACGGATTTTTCCCATTTGTTGATTGCATTTTGCCCTGGTTGTGCTTTGCATTTTTTTTGCGTTTTTGGTTTTGCATATAATTCGCGGATATTTTTTGAAGTTTATAAATTTTCATCTTGAATAATTTGGAAAGTTTTAATTGGCTGCTCAAAAACTTTTTCTCGTTTGATTTGCAAATAATATGCGAATAGTTTTTTGTGATTGCAATTTTTTTCCTCCTAATTTGGAAATAATTGACTGGTAGTTTTTGGCCATTACCTTACACGTGATGCAATCCGCTGTGAGGCGATTGCATATTTCTGCAGCAGCAATTAAGCGAGGTAGGCCGATCCGTCGCGATCGCGCAGCACATTGCAAATCGCATTCTCCGCGCGGAATGCCGTGAGACAGCGTGGCGCGGCTGCTTGTTCGTTGGGTTTTTTTGCACTGAACACTACTTGGCGTATTAGCGTTGGAATGCATATTTCTGATCCTACTAAGCCTGACAAATTGCCGACATGCCAGTTGAGCGTTTTTGTCCGTGTAAATCGTAACGTCGTCAGCTAAGCGCCGATACAGGTCAGTGGAAGTGTAACACTAAGCGGCCACTATCACCCTGCGTTTTATTGACAAAAACATCACATCATCCGCCAGTGATCTGATCGGCGCCGGAAGCGACACTGCTGTCGCTGCGATCAGTTATGAAACATTTCCTTCTCATCTCACGAGGCACTTTGCCGTGTTTTGCATAGTGTCGATACATTGCGATCGCCCTAGGAAAAATCCCGTTAATTCGTTTGTGCTGGTGAATTCTGCAGTGCTTGAGGAATTTATTGGAAATTGAATGATCAATTTTGTATGACAGGGAGGAAATTAGCGGTGATTTGTATGTGATGCGGATGAATACAAACAGGTTTGTTAAAATTCATCCAAGTGGCGCGCATTGTTGGTTGATGAACATATCGGCGTTGTTTTCGGCTGCACCTTTGCGTGCTTTTTGCTAATGCTTTATGTAGAAAATGGCATTATTTCGCGGGTGCCTTTTCGCGCCAGTTATTCGCCATAATATGCCCTGTCAGCTGGTGCGCGGTGCGTGCAGCGGCAGTAATATTTTCCCGGTAGAGGTTTTCACGAAATGAATACATCACGGAATGCTTGTTCGACTCGTGTAGTTTTCCGATTATGATCAGTCGCTGTTTGGTAAATGCCGATTGTCGATAAAATTGGCGCGCGCACGGTGCAAAGTACAACGGGTGATTTTTATGTTTTCATCCGGTTTCGCTGCGCTTCAAACATGTAATGAATGTTTTGGGTATTGTTCGTATTTTTCCGGGAGAATGTTATTGAACTATTTAACATTATTTATATTTTTTGCGGAAGTCTGTGATTTAATTTAGTATTTAATATTATTCGTATTTGGAGTTTGTTATTTACTGATTTAATATTATTCGTATTTTTTGCGGGAGGAAATTGCAGCAAGCGTTTCCCCTTACAAGTTAGGTAATTAGTGCTGCTCAGCGTTTCGGAGTATTCGTCGACATAATTGCGTCTGCGTTTGCAGTGGTCGAGCTGGTTTCGTCTGGGTCGTGTTGGTTAAGTGAGAGCCGGGGCCGTTGTGTGTTGTTGTAACGCGGAATGGCCAGCGGAAGCGCGGCGCCGCCCTCCTCATCCGGCGTGGATCCGGATACGCCGCGTAAGGAGGATTTGGAGCTGCTGGCCATGCTGGAGGCGCAGAACCGGTTGATCGAGCAGGACGCCAAAGCCAAGGCCTCCATCCGGCCGCCCTGCGCCCCCAAGGGCCACTCGCGCCAGCACAGCACCGCCAGCGCCGGCATGGGCAGTCTCGGCAGCGGGACCACCGGGACGACGGCGGCCGGGCCGCCCAATCGCTCCAGCGGCAGCTCGCCCGTCGAGCATCTCCAGGATGAGCATTTTGTGCAGTGGGGCCAGATTGTCTCCGACTGGGATATGTATGTCAAGCGGAAGAATCATATTCTCAAGGTACGCTGCATTCTCGTTTAATTTTTCACCAGTCTGCTTCAATTTCACAAGAGAATAAATATTTAACAATATCTGCATTATTAATTCTTAATATTATTCGTATTGTTGCGGGAGAATGTTTTGATTATTTAATATTTTGCATATTTTCCAGGAGAATATTGTTTAAGTATTTAAAATTATCATAATTTTGTGGGAAAATATTATTGAATCATTCAAAATTATTCGCATTTTTACGGGGTGTATTATTAGTATTGTTCAAGGTTATTCGCATTTTTACGGGTATTCATTTAGAGCATATATTCATGGTTTTTGTTCATTATTTACTGTTTTTTTGCGCATTAATTCGGTTGTTTATTTGGTCGTATAACGACTCGTATTGGTTTCGTCTTTATTTACAGTAGTTTTGTCTGTTGGTGTGTTTTTGTTTGTATTTGCTTTGTAAACACGGTAACACGTGTTCTGGTTGAGCGGGAAAGTGGGAACGGGCAAAGACGATTGTTTTCTTGGCAGGAAATGGTGCGGCAAGGTATTCCCGCGGCGTACCGTCCCATTGTGTGGCAGTTGATGTGCCAGACGTACATTTCGCCAGTGCGGGAATTATACTACGGTTATTTGTCACAAGCGTCGCCTTTTGAAAAGCTCATCGGCCGGGACATTGCCCGCACCTATCCCAACCACGAGTACTTCAAGGAGACCAACGGGATCGGCCAGGAAGGCCTCTTCAACGTCATGAAGGCCTATTCGTTGCATGACCGGGAAGTCGGGTCAGTGACGTTTAATATTGCCGGCTTTTTAAGCGTTGTGATTTGAAATTGGTTTAACAACAAAAATGTCACGGATCGCTTTGGAATCGTCCACTGAATAATTTGGAATTATTGAGCATTTATACTCGTATTGGTAAAGTTTGGAATTATTGAGCATTTATACCTTGCAGATAATTTATTAATTTCGAAAACATAATAGTGGTTGAATGAATATGAGTTGTTCGGGCAGTTTTTAGTTTTTACTGTGTAAAATTTTTAGAAAATTAGCGAAATAAACGGGAAAACTGGAAATTATCGAGTATTTGTTCTGGATAAATTTGCAGTAATTGAAAATAAAGTTTAATGATAATGAGCGATGCTTGCAGATACTGCCAGGGCAGCGCGTTCATCGTGGGATTACTGCTGACGATCATGTCGGAGGAGGAGACCTTCTGCATCCTGGTGAAATTGATGACGGACTACCGGCTGCGCGAGCTCTTCAAGCCCAACATGACGGAGCTGGGCCTGTGCATGTACCAGCTGGAATGCCTCATACAGGTCGGTCAAATTCAAATACACTCGCTTTGTGCCGTCGCCGGACCGCCGGCACCGGCGACGGCATTGTCGCGCACTCGGCAGCGCGTCGCACTTTGACACCCACTTGACAAACACACCGGCGCACTGAGCGCCCTCCTGTTTTTAAGCGTTGGAAAATTTATTTATTTTTGGGAAAGTTCTGATTGGGCGCCGTGAAAATCTTGCGAAAGGGGTGGTTGATTACGCAACAATTTGGTGCGATTTTATGGGGAGCGATCGAGTCGGTGGTGCGAAAAGGCAAATAGGTCGTCAAGGCGGTTTATGACTGTGTCGAACTCGGCAAGGCAAACACATAAACATGGTTTAAATACGGTTTTTATTCTGCGGAGGCGCTTTATCGTTTGGAAATGTTTCCCCGCTTCAAAACACTGCTGTTAATTTTCGCTAAATTTTTTAAATAAAATTATTATTTATAAAATAGAATTATTATCCTTTAAATAAAAATACGTTTATTATTGAAGTTTCAATTAATTAAATTAAACAAATTAACTTGCGGAAATTATGTTTCGTTGAAGATGTTTTTGAAGGTCCGCTTGCAGAAGGCGTCCTTTTCTCGATAAATATGTAATTAAAATTGAATTAATTTTGAAATTATTTTTCGGAGATCCTGTAGCGTTGAAAATTCCTTCAGTTTCGAATTGAAAAAAATTGCAGTCAATTTTCGCCGAATGTTTTACATTGAATTATGATACAATTTATTTTGCGGAGAAGCTGTTTTGTTGGAAGCTTGCTTTTCCGCTTGGAGAAATTGCAGTTAATTCTCGGTAGAATTTAATGCGTGGAAAAGTGTGATATGTGGAAAGGGAAATGGAGCGGCGCTTTCGCCGATCTGAACGATGAAACGATTGTGTCTGGCGGGCATTGGTCTAGTTGCGTTAATGGAGTAGTGAATCTAGTGCTGTCTGCTAATGCAGTTATCCATCACGCAGTCGGTTAAGCCGACCGGCCTTGAACTTGCGTCGGCAATGTGGGTCGGCGTGTTATGAGAAGAAATATGGGCGGTTATTATTTATTAGCGTGTTTCTCCATTTGTGTGTCAATATGTGCACATTGCGCAGCTGACCATGTACGGCAGATTTTACTATAGTACACACGACCCAATTACGCTCACGTTGGGAGGCGTGTGAGAAAAAATGCAAACAGATTAGGCGAATTAAGGAGAAATTTATCTAGCATTAAAACAAAAACAAAAACACACGTCAAGGTGAGAAAGACGTTGTTGGGTGATTGCAGGAGATGATTCCGGATTTGTACATCCACTTCCAGTCGCAGAGCTTCCACACGTCCACCTACGCGTCCTCCTGGTTCCTGACGCTGTTCTCCACGAATCTGCCCATGGAGCAGGCGTGCCGGGTCATGGATGTGTTCATCTCCGAGGTCCGTTGGCCGAATACATTTTGAATGATTTTTATTGTGAATTATTTTTGGAAAATTTTGAATCGATGTTCGGCAGGGTATGGACGCCATATTTCGCATCGCCATTGCCATTCTGCAGCATTTCCGGGCGCACTTGCTCCAGCAGGACATGGAAGGTACGGACCATTTTTTTTTGTTTGCATTGGAGATTTTGGCCGTTTTTTTACGTTTTTTAAAAATGTTTTTGTAGTAAATTTTTATTTTATATATTTATTGGTCGATTTTTTCTTTTTCGTTCTTTCGTTAATGTTTGGTACTGTGTTCTCAGGTGTACTGGTTTGTCTATTTATTTGTTGGACTTTGCTTTTTTTAATGGTATTTTATTTCAGTTTTTAAGATTTATTTTATTTTAGTTTTTCATTGTTACGATGCGTGGCATTTATTTTTTAATGTTTCGTAAATGCGTGCGGTTGTGTTCTTATGTTTGTTTGTTTATTTGTTCGTTTTGCATTGAATTGTAAATTTGATCTACAGTATCATCTTGTTTGGTTTTCTATTATATTTTTTATTTGTAGTTGGATTTTTCGGTTTAATTGATTTTTAATGGAATTTTATGTAGGTATGCTAAAGTGCCTGCAGAAAGACTTGCCGGTGCTGTTCGAGACGAACCCTCACGGCATCATGAACGCGTCGTACGTGGTGAAGCTGAACGTGAAGAAGATGAAGAAGCTGGAGAAGGAGTACATGGCGCTGAAGAGCCGCGAGCAGGAGGACATGGTGGAGCTGCGCCGACTGCGCACCGAGAACAATCTGCTGCGGCAGCGCGTGGGGAATCTGGAGCAGGAGACGAGTGAGCTGGCCGACCGGCTGGTCAAGGAGCAGATCGAGCGCCAGCACGAGAACGACGAGGCGGGCCGGGTCAGACGGGAGATGGAGCGGATGCGGCGTGACAAGGAGGAGCTGGAAGCGAAGCTGGCGCGCGCCAACCACGCCGTCAAGGCCATGCAAGATGTAATTTACACAACTTTATTTACAGTAAACTTTCCGATTTAACGATAAAATTGTCAAATTGAACCATACAAATTTATCAGCAATAAGATTCGTGATTTTTTTATGGATTCTCGCAGCAAGTATCGTTGAAAATCACTTCTAAAAATGTTTAAAATCATCTGTGTGATTTTTGAAATTAATTTTAAAGTATTCAAAGTTGCGGTATCTGTAGTATTAAAAAAAATGTTTTGAATTTTGAAAATGTCCGTAGAATTTTCAAAATTGCTTCTAATTATTCCTAATTTTTTTTAATATCTTTAGATTTTTTTAAAATGATTTTTTAAATTTAAGGTCTGTGGAATTTTTGAAATTAATTCTGCTCTGTAATGTTTTCAAGGTTATATGTAGTATTTTGCAAAATATTTTTTATATTTTGGATATGTCCATAGAATTTGCAAAATTGCTTGGTTATTTGTAAATTTTTTAAAAATATCTTGAGAATTTTTCAAATTTATTTCTAAAATTTCCAGAACGTCTGTAGGATTTGAGAAATTGATTGTAAAATGGTCAAAATGTGTTTGTATAGCAAATGTGCGGCACGGCCGGGACGCCGGGCTTCAACATGTACCAGAAGGACGCGGAGATCTCCAAGCTGCAGAAGGAGCTGCGCGCGGTGCGCGTGCGCGAGGTGGACTGGCAGAAGACGATGCGCGAGCTGAAGGAGCGCGTGCAGGAACTGGAGGAGAGCAACCGGCGCATGCGCGACGCCCGCCCCGAGCACGGCGTGGCCCGCATGCAGGAGGAGCTCACCGCCGTCAGGATGCGTGAGGCCGAGGCCAACCTCTCCATGCGCGAACTGCGCAAACGCGTCGCCGACCTCGAGACCGAATGGCAGGTAAATTCGCAATTTTCTTATTAATATTAAATCATTTAATAATTGTTTGTATTTTTATTAAGCGATAAATCACATAATAATTCATTTTATAATCATCTATATTTAACTTAATTTTATTTACTCGTAGTATTATTTTGTAATTTTATAATTTATCTATCGCGAGCATTTTTCGTCGCAAAAAATAAACAGTGGAAGGCATGAAATTGCTAAATTAACTGGAATTTTGTTGAGTGATAAATCATATATCATCCGCTCTTTTTTTTTTATAATCCACGTTTCACTTATATTTTATTACTTGTTTTATTTTTCATCATGCTTTATATTTGATCTTTCGAGTCAATTTTTTTATAAAAGAATTTAGCAATGAAAAGAAAGAAAATCGTTAAAATTATGTAATTAAAAAATTGGCTGCTGTAGTTGGATAATTTTTTAATTTCTTTGCAATAATAAATAATAATTTCTGGATGCCGGTGAATTTATTTCCGACGTTGCGGCGCTTCGTAGCGGCATCTGGCGCGCCATCACACGCCCAACGGCCCGACACAGTCCGGCTCGTTAAGCAAGAGCGCCGCGTCGAGCAGCGTGGCGGCGTTGAGCAGTCTGAGCGTGCAGCAGCTGCAGGAGGAGCTGATGACGGTGCGGCTGCGCGAGGCGGAATCCCTTGCCGACGCCAAGGAGATCCGGCAGAAGCTGATGCAGGTGGAGAGCCACAACAGCTTCCTGCACAACCAGCTGCGCCGCGCCGAGGACGACCAGCGCAGCGTCAAGAAGGCGCACGAGCAGCTGGAGGAGGCCGTTCACGCGCTGGAGGATCGACTGAAGGAGGAGCTCAACAAGCGCGAGGATCTCGAGGCCGAAGTCAGTCGAATTGTTTTAGTTCAGGGAGAAATGTTTGAAACTCATGAGAAAAACGAATATTAAAAGCTTCTTTATGAAATTTATTTATAAATACTTTGAATGCTTCTTTTCAGTAATTCTTCGTGATATCTATTTTAAAAGCGTTTTTGAATAGTCCTTTTAAATTTTCTTTATGATATTTGTTGCAGATCTTTCTTTAAATGTTTTTTTATATAAAGCATGAATTCATTTATTTCAAAAGAACGCACGAATCTGAAATATTGTTTGCTGGAAAAAAATGGAAAATATTTCCCTTCTAAATAAATTTTGCTTAATATGTTGTTTTGTATTAATAAATAAACGGCTGTTCCCTTGCGAAAAATGATTTTAGGCATAAAAGACCGCGAAAAAGCGTCTTACGTATAGCGAAATGAAATGTAAGAAATTTCAACCGATTAGATTAATTTCTTGGTGTTTTTTACTTGTAGTTGCGGACGTGCACGGCCATCTCGGAGTTGTGCGAGGCCGACAAGAACCAGACGATCGCCGTGCTGGAGGCCCGCCTGGCCGAGCTGGAGATCCGCAACGAGGAGCTGCGGACGCTGGAAGCCCTCCGGGAGACCGAGGTGAGCGGAACGTGTCCGGATGATATTTTGCAGTGGTTTAAAATGATCATTTTTGCAGGACAGTTAGCGGCAGCGTTACTGTTGTAATTTGTTTATTTTATTTAATTTAGTTTTATTTTTTTGTTATTTTCTGATTATCATTTTGGTTTGCAGGGAGTGTGAGTTATTAGCAATGATTTCCGGCTCAAGTTTTTTGGCAATGATTTTGTGATGATCTTTGTTTAATATTTTACATGTGATCAGATTTATTTAATATCGTTTTATTATGGTTTTATATGATTAATTTGTTCTTTTTATTTTTAATTATAATATTTTTAATAATCCGTTTTCTTAACTTCTTGTTTCAAGTGTGTGATTAGTGATTACTGTGGGAACAATTATATATTTCCGGTTGAAGATTTCTTGCAGCTGTTTTTGTGGTGCAAATTATTTTAATTTAATTTTGTTTTGATTTTTGGTTGTCTTTTATTTGACCTTGGTTTATTTGTTTGGCGGCGCTCGTGCAGAAGAACGTGCGGCGCTACCGGGAATCCTTGTCGGTATCGAGTTCGGAGGGCGACGCGGCGCCGCTGGAGACCGCCGGCACGGAAGTCCGCTCGGCGCCCAACGCCAGCCAATAATAACTGAACGGTGCCTTTTCCACGGACTGATACGCTCCGGAATTTGTTCTCAAGGAGGAAGATTATCAAAAGCGGATTTTCTACGGATTTATTGTTACAGCGAGGGTGTATACAGTGTGTACAGCCGGTTTCGGGGGCGGTTGGCCCTTTCGCTCGGGGGAAAACGGGGTGCGGGGGGCTGTTTTTCTGTTCTTAACTGTGATTTCGCATGGTTTTCTGTACGAAGAATGAATAGCAATAATAATATAAAAAAGAGCCTTTTTATGTGTCATTTTTAAATAGATTTATTAACAGGAAATGCTGGCGGGGAATAAATTGTTTTTATTTAAAGGCACGCATGGAATTTATGGAAATAAAGGGAATAAAAAATCAATAAATGGAAAAAATAAAAAATAAATGGAAAAAGGAAAGAAAAACTGTATTTAATAAGAAAAATCTGTAGAATAATTAAGTTTTTTCTGTATAGTGTCGCGTGGTTGGTTTTAGTAGGAGCGGGTGCGGCCGGCGCCCTGGGCGGTAGCGGCGTGCACCCAGAAGGTCTGCATGTGTCCTTTCCCCTGTTAACGACAAAATCGCCGCACTGATAGCGAACGCGTTAAAAATTGTTGATCGGGATGTACGGACCTTGACGATGACGTCGCCGCGCGGCAGACAGACAAAGTCGACGCAGTTCTGGATGAGGTGGGCGGTGGCGGCGCTGACGTGCAGTTTGCCGCCGGCGCCGTAGCTCTCCATGCGCGAGGCCACGTTGACCGTGTCGCCGAATCTGCAGACGTTCATTTTATTAACAGAATACTGCTCGGAGTATCGTTTAAAATTCGGCTTACATGCAATATCGCGGCACTTTGGTCCCGATGACCCCGGCGGCGCACGGTCCTGTAGAACAACAACTGGCCGATGCGAAATATTATTTAATGATTAATTTATTAATATTAATATCATTTAAAAAATAAATATAATATGCCAATAATTACGTATGATATTGATCAATATTTCATATGTACTCGCTTACCGGAATGGATGCCGCAGCGCATCTGACAGCGGCTGAGACTGGTGGTCACCGGGAAGAAACAGCGCTCCAGTAACACGCTGGCCAGCCGGCATAATTCAATGGCGTGCTGGATGCCGGCGCACTGCGGAATCCCGCTGACCACCTGCCAAATCAGCGCTAATTTATCAAAATGATTAATTTTATGTATAAATCTGTATGGATAAATGGGCAACATTAACACATAAATCGATACAACAAAATACGTAAAAATATGCAAATGGATAATAACTAAGTCCGGCTGACCAGGGAGCAGTCGTTGACGGCCTCCAGTTTCTGGACGAAGTAGTTGGACATGACGCTGTCGAGGACGGCGTGGATGCGCGTCAGCGTCTCCAGGATGGCCGCCGGCGGCACATGCTGCGTCCAGTGCGCGAAGCCCTCCAGACTGGTGAAGCAGATGCTCACCTGCTCGAAGCACTCCGCCTCCACCGTCAGGTGGTTGCGCAGCCGCTCCACCACGTACCTGCAAGCACTCCACACTTATTTACATTAGCGGCAGACGTCCGCTTGACCCGGACACGTGACGCGCGTCTGACGATAAAAAACCTGCAGTACATCGCCAAACGACACAAAAAATGCGGAAAATGTACTTTTACATATAAAGGTCACGGATTACATATCTATGTCACGCAATATATATTACGGTAACAGGTCATATATAAAGATCACGGGTTACATATAAAGGGCACGAGTCATATATAAAGGTCACGACTTGTATATAGAGGTCGCGAGTTATATGTGAAGGTCACGAGTCATATATATAAAGGTATACAAACTTACTGCGGCAGCATCTGATTAAGCAGGCTGTCGCACTTGGCCCGCTCGGTGTCCATCTCGCGGGTGCGCTCATAGACGGCGGCCTCCAGGACCCCGGCGTACTTCCCCAAACGCAGCAGCACCCGGTCGATGACGGTGGTGGTGGGCGTGATGCCGACGGCCCGCGTGGCCTCCATCTGGTAGAAGGCCTCCAGGAAGCGGCGGGCTGTGGGGCGGGGCGCCGGGAGGCGTTGTCCGCAGCGTCGCAGGAGCTCCTCCAGTGCCGCCGGCGTCCCGACTGGGAGGGTCAGCCCGTCCTGGAGGGGCGCCGGCGCCCCGGTAAGGATGGTGTAGACGATGACCCCGGCGGCGTACATGTCGGCCGCCGGGGTGCGGAGCGGGGCGGGGTGGCCGGCGGTCTCCGGGGGGTCCCAGACGGTGCGCTCGGGAGAGGTGAAGAGGCGCTTGTTGATGCAGCGGATGATGGAGCCGTAGCCGTGCTGGCCGATTTTTAACGTGAAGTGCTCGTCAATCAGGCAGGAGGTGCCGCGGAGACGGCCGTGCGCCCCCGCCACCCAGTGCAAATACGTTAAGCCCTATATATAAAAACTTTAAAAATATGAAAGTGAGTAAATACTAATAAATAGTAACAAGTAATGATTTTATTTGTTTTGTATTTTTAAAAATTGTACAGTGTTTGATATTAATTCTTTTATCTGTTTTTAAAATATCAATAAATAAGAAAAGGTATTGATAATAATTTAGTGTGGTTAACTGTAATTACCTGGAATAAATCGGCAATAAATGAGTAATGGAAACTGCTATCCAGGGTCATCGTTTCCAGGAGATCGATTAAGGAGCCGCGCGAACAGTAGTGGCTGATCAGGAGAATTTCTTGATGGGTGAAGCCGACGCCGTGAAACCGGTTGACATTCTGGTGCTGTAAAGCATACAATCCGCTCTTTACAGTATAATCCGCTCTTTACAGATGCTCTTTACAGTATAATACTTTTTTATTGAGCGAAGCTCGCCAAGACACATAATGCGATTGAATACATACATACTTCTACATATGTAAATTTTGTTCTACTCTATATTTTAAAGTGTCAATAAAATCATACCAAGAACAGTTTTTGTTTAATTTCGTATGCATTAGTAATGGTACCTCCAGCAGCTGGATGGTGCTGCACAGCTGTCGAAACACCGGCTTCCCGTGCAGCGGCACCGGCTTGATCCACACTGGTTGACCTTTCCAGATGGCGTACTTCTTGCCCGAGATCATGCTCAGACTGGCGGTGGAGTCGCGGGCGAAATCGTCCGCCGAGATGAGCCACCAGGGCCGCGTATTAGCCAGCAGGCGGCGCGCGTACCTACGGATCATTTCAGTAATCTACCAACATGATAGATGCACGTGCGCCGCTTACTGTGTGATGATGAGCATGAAGAAGGCCAGGATCGTGCCACAGACCACGGCGATGACAATGGTCAGCGGACTGACGCCTGCAACGGAAATAGTCACGCTAAAGGTCACGGGGAAGAGGCACACGGTGTGTATACCGGGACTGCCGGTAACGGCGCAGGGTCCTTCGGCGTCGGAGTAGCCGCAGACCGGCACATCCGGGGGGACGCCGCCCGCCAGCCAGCTGATGTTCACGGCGTCCGTTAGGTTCAGGCCGCGCGATTGCGAATCGTACAGCGCGTACTGCTGCAATGTCCATGACTTTAGGCGATTAAGTAGGGACTATTTAGCAGGCTAGAGTCTCGTTCGTTATCGGAATTAGCCACTCTACAATATCGGAATCAAAAAAAGCGGAAACAAAGCGCAGTATATACCTGCATAGTCAGACTATCAAGGTCGAATGCATACACGTCCACGTCTAAACTGTGCGTGCGTTGGGCGTCAATGTGCACCTGGCCCAAGGAGGTGGTGAAGGTCTTATTGGCGGCGGCGGCGCGCGTGAACCCGGTCTGGCGACAGGCGTGGACGCCGTCCGTCACCAGCGACTCCGTGACCATTTTGGCGTACACTTCCACCGCGTTGACCGAGTTCTGCGCGGCGAAGGCGTCCAACGGCTGTGCAGCAGATGCGACCGTTACGCCGTCGGCAACACTAATTCACACATATATTTCCGCGTCTGACCTTTTCGTCGTCGGGAAAGGTGAAATTGGAGACCCGCTTGGCGTAGGCGATGAGGTAGTCGTTGGTGGTGTGCTTTCCCTTGCTTTCCGTGTGGCTCACCAGGAAGAACGTCGAGCGACTGATGTTCAGCAGCTGCAACCTTTTCTCAATTAAATACGGATCTATTTCGACGAATGGGAAATCACCTCGGGTGATGGATTGTCGAAATCGGAGAAGCGCCCGTACGACCCGGCTTGCTGCATGCCCTGCACGTTGAGAAACACCTGCATGACGCAACAAGGCAAAGGTCACCTTTAATGCTGCTTGCTACCTAGCTGCTGCTTTACTAACATATTGGCCGTTGTCAAATCCGCGCGCTGCTGCCAACGCCTGTTGAAAAATTAAGCCGACTATGTACAGTTATGCACAATCGGTTACAAAATGCGGTTGACCTTACCAAAACTCGCCGCGCCACCGATGTATCGCACATGAGGATGATCACTATAAACAGTACAATGTATTTCGACGTTTTTCGTTTCCGGACATTATAAACGTCGGGTAAGGATTAAAATACATCTAATGCGCATAAATCGCCGGCACCGGGTTCGAACAGAGAAGCGCTGGTTTGCACAGTATGCGTTACAACGAAGCATCAACGTTTTTTCAGCAACGTACAAAACGGTGGACGTACCTCGACTGCGGCGTCTGGCGCTGATAAGCGCCACCTCGATGGAGTCGTTGTCGGTGCCATTAAAGAGCAGTGTCTCCAGCCGGAAGCCGGTATCCTCGCCGCGCGGCTGCTGTCCGGCCTGCTCGTGCATGCCCTTGTCGAAGAGCGAGTAGAGCACCGTGAAGGTGGCGTTGTCGCGCAGGATGGACAGGTGGCGCCAGGCGAAGTGCCCGGCCACGCCCAGCACCGCCTCCGCCACGGCGCCGTACGTGCCGCCGATCATGATGGAGCTGGGGTACGCCTGCTCGTCCACGTAATCCGGGAAGCCGATGCCGCTGCACAACGTAAGGTTTCGCAGGATTACAGGTGCGTTCTGCCGAAACATGATTAATTTCTTGACTGACTGCTTACTTGACGAACAACGTCATCCCAAACTCTGTCGACAAGAAAGAACCATCAACGTCAGGATTTAAAAAAAATTTCATGTTTATGTTCCTATTCCATTACATTATGACATATTGCAGTCAGGCGATTGGATTTCTTATACAGTTCAGGTGCACTTACAGAGTATACGAATTCAGTGCTACGTGCCAAGTTGCAGTACGTATAACTTCCTTTAGGAGATACAGGATCGGGGCGTTAATTACGTTAGCGGCTTACCTCTAGCTAAGCTGGCAATGTTCTGGATCTGCAGGCTGGAACAGGCTGCAATGGAGCGCGGCACATATAGAGTTATATTAATGATTATTTTTTAATAAATGTTATCGGCCGCAGTGTACGGTAGTTCGGGCGCCATACCCTACCCTACTCCGGGCTACTCGTACGGTAGTTGAAGTGAAACAGTATGATAAGTGAATTAGCGATGGTCGCTTAAGTGAAACACCCGAACATGAAATTCCACAAACCAATTTTCGGGCGGGGACTAATCCGATTTTACAGGATATACTCTTTACAGAGTACTTGAAATTTTTAAAAAATCGGGAACCGTTTTCTTGCACTTGCGTCGCAGAGAAATCAGTTCAAGTTTTTTTTAAAAAATTCAAGTACTCTGTAAAGTCCACGCCCAGCATAATCGGCCGGTAACGAAAAGAACCAGAAAGAAATCGGTTTGTGGAATTCATCATTTCGGGTGTTTCACTTAAACGACCATGCGGGTAATTTATAACGTAGTATGTTAACGGCATATGACCGCATACATACCAGCCATGATGACCGCGTGGCACATGACCCCGTCCGATTTCACCTGGTCCCGGAAATAATGCTCGGCCAGTAGTCGCGGCGACGCGCCGTTCAAGTACCCGCAGGTACTGCGTGCCGGTTCCGCCAGGTACAGCGCCGTAAAGCGGATATCGTATAAGCCGCCGTATTTCCGGTTGACCAGCTGCAGACTATAGTTCAACGCGCCGCCCGTCCGCGGGATGGACGGCCCGAAACTGGGGTCATTGGGCAGGATGACCAGGTACTGCACCTGGAGACCGGCAGCGTCCGAGGTTATAAATACAGCGCCGAGAAGAACCACGCTACACCAGTACTGCATCATGCTGAACGCTATAGTCGAACATCGAAGACTGTTGGATTTTCTGTGAGGCGGCATTTCAGTGCCGGGTTGGCGCACACATTATACCAACAATCCCGCGGATGGGGATTAATACGGCCGCTTACCGGGAAATGTTGGCGCGTTTCCGGAGCGGGATTATGCGGCGGGTACGTAAATACCGGGCGGTATTAATTGTCGCGCTGGGACCGTTGGCGGGATTCAGCAACGGGGAAGAAAGACAGGGATCACTTGGGGGGCTTTAATCGGCCGGTGGTGGATGGATGGCGCTGTGAGCGGTGTTAGATAAGCGCCTGTATCAGCGCTGCTTATTGGAACAAACAGCGGCTGCGCATTTAATTACGTGGGAGGGCATTTTGCCGATGGTGTTGTTTATTGATTGGACCGGTGTGCGTGATTTGACAGTTTCATTGTTGATTTCGGAAATGCCGGTCAGGCGCGGTGAGATTAACCGGCGCCCGTGCCGGTAAACAATGCGGGAAACGTTTCCCGTTTGAAGCAAATGGAATCGTTACCGTAATGATCGTGTTTTTGCAGTTTTATTCTAATACATGTAACTGGTATTTTATTTTTGCTTTTTTATTCGGCAAAAATTGGTAGTTCTAACAAGCCTACGCAGGTACACGCTGATTAAAAAAATGCCAGAAATACGGCGCTAATGATTTTGGTTGTTTTTAAAGTTTAAATTTGAATCATTCTAAGTAGTATCACGCGAACGCCTTTTTTTGACTATTAATGGCAATTACCCAATAAATTCAATAGGATATGAATTTATTTTGCCAGTTTTATTCAGTTCGCTAATGGAGCTCGAAATATGGGCATAAATTCACGATGAAGAAAAACATTATTCGACATTTAATCTGAAAGTTGTATTATCATTTACACGCTTATGAAAAAAAGATCACAGACAATTTGGAGGCAGTGCACACTCAACGGTACATTACTCATGATGCTGTATAGTCTACACACAGCATAATCGGGCTTAATGTAAGCCGAGCCGTTTTCGAAACAATTAGCCGAGTAAAGCAATCGCAAAGTACGGCTGTCTTTTTCACTGGAACGGAACGTGGCAATTATTTAGCGTATTTATCCGGTGAGAGCGCCGAAGCCGAGGGCGGAGACCGGCGAGGAAATGCCCTTATAGCAGCGGCCGGCCGTCTTGGGGTTCATGACGTTGCTGCAGGTGCAGGGCGCCGGGCAGGGCTTGTACATGTTGCAGACGGCGCCGATGTCGCACTGCGGCGCCGCCGTGGTGGTCCAGGCGCTCAGGAGGAGGGAGGTACTGTTCATCGCCACACTGCTGTTCACCGGGGCCGGAGCTATGAAAACATTACACTGCGATAAGTGGCCAATCTTAATGGTATTTAGAAAATTCAATTTGTCGTATATATGTTGTGTTTAATTTAAAAATAAATTCCACGTCAGTTAAACATCGGATATCTAAGATTTTTTTACTACTCGTGCAGTGTGTTCTTAGAAAAAGTAGAAGCTGCGTTTGAACGTATACTGCGCAAACCAGCGCTTCTCTGTTCGAACCCGGTGCCGGCGATTTATGCGCGTTGGATGTGTTCCTGTTGCCCACTGTTTGTTGATTTATTATTACATTTTTCAACCGCGAATCGATTGACCGGTTTCCTGATTTTGGTGTCCTACATTGTATATTATGTGACCTTTCGCGGTGTTCTTACCGGGCGCGGGTGTCCCGACGAGGCTGGCGCTGGCGATCTGTCCCAGCAACGCGATGACGGCAGTGACTTCCGGTTTGTTGAGGGTCGTGGCGTTGGAGGCGGTGGCATTGATGATCTGCTGCACGACGCCCGTCAGCAGGTTGCCGGCGCTGACGGCCGGGGAGGGTCCGGTGGCGTTGCTGGCGTTCCCGGCAGCGGCGTGGGAGACGTCCAGCACCGTGGCCGCTGATGTATTGGTCACCGTGACCACGGAGGCGTTGACAGCGGAAGCCGGGAGGACGTCGCTCTCGCTGGATTTCGTTTCGACAGCCACCGGCAGTTTCCCCTGGTCCGGCGTTGAAATACTGCCGTTGCCATCCAGCATCGCTTCCACAATATAAAAGGTATACAGTCCCAAAAAACCAACAACAATTCCTTGCATTTTTATTAATGAAGAAAAAAGAACTGCAATGAAATCTGCGATCTAAGAATAACCTAAGAATAACCTAAGAAACCTTAGAAGCAACAACGAAGCAGATGCAAATCACAGCAAAACACTGCTGTAATCAGTTGCGTAAGGGAGTTGGTTGTGCAGCTTTTTTGTCAATAATTATTATTATTATGCCGGAGTAAATTTGCAGTCAAACAGAAATGAGGCCGGTGACGCTGGAAGCAATCGGGGCAATTTCCGAATTTCTTCTACTAGTCTGCTTTGTTCCGTTGTTTACACTCTCACCTGCTCATTGTTTTTACTACCGATTAATTTCTCCTTTAACGGCGTGAACCGCGCTGCAACGCAGCCGGCACGTGCCGATACAAATCAATACGGGCCGCTGCCGGGCGCAGCTACTTTAGTACAGCAGTTTCTGCGATGAAAATCGGAAGGAAATTCAGAATGGGTAGTTGGTCTAGTGTGCCTGCAGCAATACCACTTTCTCTTTCAAAGAATTCCCGTGCACACAGACGGATCAACTCTTTTTAAATTTTTTTTCTGTTTATTCTTTAACTATGTGTCAAATTTGGTTTCTTCTCGAGATTTTATTTGGTAATAAACATTTTGGCATGCGTTTCAATTACAGTTTTGCGGTTGTGATAGTAATACATTTATCTACGCGACAATTTACGGACCGCTGTCGCGGGCAGCTACTTTATTACAGCCGCTGCTTCGATGCAAATCCGTGTTAATTACTTTTTATGACTTGTGCTCGCGATTTCTGGGCATGTGTACTAGTCCGGTTGCTTATCGCAAATCAGGTAATGTATTTTGTTCTACAAAACGCTTTTCCCGGCACGCAGACGGATCAACTCTTTTTATTTCTTTTTGCTTGCGTTTCTTGCTCTATCAAGCAGATTCGATTTTTCCCACAATATTAGTGTAATTTACATTTATATTTCGGCAGCTGTTTTCTCTACGAATTATTTCAGTACACGAAAATGAATTTGTATACACATTTTATTTTTTGTCCTAGCCCGGTTAAAGGCAAAGTCCAACATACCGAATGTCGCTTAAAATGAATACTTCTACTGCAATAGGCAGAAAAATCGTTTAATTCACATATATATGTGAGATAGTTGGTCGAGTGTGCTTGCAGCAAATCCATTGAATGTGCAGACTAATACGGTTTACCATACCGGCACACCGCAAGATCAACTCTTTATAATTTTTTTTACTTTCGATATACTGCTTAACATCCAAATACATTTCTGCTTGCAACATATCTTATCCTTCTACAGCATTACTGATTAAGTGATCATTGTATCGCGCGGCATAAAGGAAAGATAACGGGGAATTTTACAGGATCAATCGCGGACAATTGAACGGATAACATATTAAAAATTTAAATGTATGGAGGAGATATGCCACACACTGCCACAATGAACAGTAAATGTACAGAACGATAAGACAACCAGGCGAAAGGTCATCTGAACAGCCGGAAGTCCAACGCGGCTGCTTTGAAGTGATAATTCTGTAGATAATTAGCGTGGCTTACAGTTAGTCGTGCAGCTGCGTGGTCCACCGGAAAGTAACCGCACTTTTCCAGTTGCTGTAATTAATTTCACCAATAATTACCGCTCGACTGTTCCTCGGAAGATCTTGCGTTATTCATTTCTCCTGCTGGACAATGAAGAGCCTAATATTCCTCGCAGCGTGCGGTGCTTTACTGGCTGGCGTCAGCGCATTTTCTCTTCAAGGTAAGTACGTTATGCAGTCTCTATAAAAAATATACAGTATGTACCATTGTCAAAATACCTAACTGATAACAGATTTTGCAATAATTGCTAGTAGTTCTTTAATATTTTTTCTTGTGTTTGTTTCTCATCGTTTATTATTGGTACGTTATTGCTTTATATGTATTTTCAGTATTCTTTTTTTCCCCTTATTCAGGCAACAGCCAAATAACATAACAACAAGCCTGCGCATATAGACACTATTCACACTAATAAGAAATTCCAGTTTACACGTTAAAGAAACATTTCAGTATGTTGACTAGCTGTAATTAAAGTAAAAGCAGCCACTGTAACTGCAGATGGGCAGAAATAGGCAGTAATTGTGCGTTGACAGGAGGTGCGGAGGCGCGGTTGCCGGATTGGATGCTGGCCAACCAGACGGCGTACGTGTACACGACGACGATGGAGGGCCTGATGCTGGCGGCGACGAACCTGGTGGTGAACGACATGTGCAACAGCTACGAGTGGGGCGCCTGGGGCCAGCCGCTGGCCGCGCACGTGGCCGGCAACATGAAGGCCTTCTTCCCCAACTACCACTGGCACGTCTTCATGCTGGACAACAAGCAGGGCGGCGGCAAGTTCGGCTACGACGTAAGTACCCTGCCATTAACCGTTCGTCACCCGGATAAATTAATACCTGTGTTTGTGCCGGCAGATCGACCCGGCCGTCGGCGCGCAGTACAGCGCCGAGTGCAAGTACAACCGCATCTACGTCTGGGGCAATCTGGTCGTGCCCTTCTGAGTGGATCCTTCCTTCTCCATGTTTCAACTCCGTTCACTGTACACAGCAACCATCAAGCGGATAAAACTGCTAGATGGTTTAAGAGAATAAGCAGTTTCGACCGACTAAAGGTCATTGTGGGGAAATAAAAATGAATACACCGGCACAGATGGCGTTATGCAATGATTTGCCCTTGGGCTTTGTGCTTGAACGTTGTACAGACGAGTGTGCTCGTCAGACATAAAGTACCGCACTGTAATTTACAAATGGCGTTTGCACACGAAACGCTTGGACAGCAAGCAACAAACCAGATAATAAATGAAAAGACAATATAATAACACATTTGCCCAAACGTACATCGCCAAGACGTCCAGTGTTCCGGGAAGCGCAGCGGAGATACGGGAAAACCGGAAGTTAGGAAAGTATAGCGGGCTGGCAGACCGCTACATTGTTCAACCGCTAGCGTTCGAAACTACGGGGAACATTTGGGCCGCTGACGAAGAAGTTCTTCAAAGATTTGTCGCGAAAGATTTGTGACTGTACAGGCAACCCTCGCTCGGTGTCCCATTTGAGATGGGATTTATCGCCGCCGGAGTGATGTGCCAGCAGCATTCGAAGGAGATGCTGAGGTGTTCCGTCATGCAGGAACTGTTCAGCAGCAAATGCCATAAGGCGCACACCCTATCAGACGCACACTGATCCGTAATGAAAAAAAACGAAACCTTTAATACGTATCATGTCATAAGTACAAACTTAGTACTAGAAAACATATGTATAACAGAAACACTTCCTCAATGCTATCCTGATCGGGAACTGAACCCATTACACAAATCGCATTCCCCCGTTGTATCTGGATAGAAAGTCGCTGTCTAAAAACCTCTTTGCGCACGTTCCTGGCCGGTAACGTAATTAACGTATGTAAATTGCAAAGGTCACAAACAGTCAGACTAGTGCCACCTGACAGCGCAGACTGGTGTTGGGAAAAGAGCGTTAGCACAGACATCCCGTACCGTTTGGCTGCCATGCGCGAGTGCAAATCCAAATGCGACAAGATATAGCGCAGCAACGACGGCGTCAGAACACGGACGCCGACATCCAACCCCAATGTATCAACTTCTCCATCTAAGAGTGGAATAATTATTATAGTGTAAGCCAGTGCCACAGCAAACCAAATAAAGGTCCCCATAGTGTCTATTTACAAGAGTTTAAGTTTGCTTAGCTTCTGCGCAGTTCTTCCCTTTCAAACTTCCACTATAGCTGCACAACATGCGGTGCGAAGCCTAAGAGCAGTTTCGAACAATCCCATTTCAAAAAAGGATAAATTTAAAGAAAAAAAAACGTTGCTGAGGTTTTCTTAGGTTTTCGCCGGGTATCGTAGGATTTCTTAGGTCTTCTTAAGTTTCTTGGGTTTTCCCAGTGTATCATGTATCTTGATGTTTATTTATTTCGCGACTGATGAAAGCTAGAACCTGTAGGATAAGTATGTTGCTAACCAATTTCAGTTGGGACATCATAACTGACGCGAAGCTCCCGATTATGGATCGGTGGTAGGTGGGCGCGGCTAGCTAAATGGGTCTCCAGGATTTTCGGCAGGATTTCCGCCATCGAGTGCGTTAGCCTTGCGTCGGTTTCCGGACTGACGAAAACAAACATGCAACCCTCGTTTTCGACGCGCAGATCGGCAGCAGTCCGGCAACCAGTCCCGGCTTAGCCGAAGTTTGGCTTCCACCGCCTCGTGAACTTGCTTTATGATGCGACATTTATCGGCCGGGGCTCACTGAGCACGGCGTTCGCTTGATCGAACGGTACGAAGTGTTTGGCGTACCTGCAACGCTCCAACAAGGAGGGTCCGCTGGGCGGGAGTTCACTGGCCATTTGGCGCAGATGCACCACCTGAAAACCAGCCTGGTACGCAGGGACATCGGTGTTGACAAGGTCGGTTTTGATGCACAACATCTGACAACACGGCGCCTGGTTACAGCCGACAATTGGGCTGAGCATGACGGCTGGCCGGAACCGGAACGGTCCGTTATCTTCATCACGCAGTGCCGCAAATACGGCAACGCTTCCCTGTATAGTTTCTGGGTAACCTAGTAGGATGGCAGCGGCCAGACGTCTTTTAAGTGCATCCAGTGCGCTTCGGTTGTTGTGGAGTCGAAGTGGATCAAGGCGCGGTCGTCGTTAAAATCCTGGATGTATCCCAGCCACCACGGGTCGTCAGCGTTGCGGACAACAACCGTGTTGTCATATTTCATTTGAGTATCAGTTACCAGCAGCGTCCGAAACAGCGGCATTGCTCCCAGCGAATTTACAGGGGCCTAAGGATAATAAATTCATCATTACAAGTAATAAAAAAATGATGAGATGTTGTGTCAGAGATCGGTTGCTGGACTTACCTTTTTAAGCCGTTTTACAGGCTGCATAATAGGTAATCTCCGGAAAGCTCAGCTGAATTTTTCAGCGATATATAAAATCCAACGAAAATACATAAGGCAAAACAGTATGCGATTTTCGAAAATTTGTGCGAAGACTTTTTGTGCGATTTTCGAAAATTTAAGCATATAATAAAGTATCCATGTGTGGTGATGTATAAGTCTGCACAGTCTGTGGCGTTGAAATATTGTGTATTCAAGCAGACGCAGTGCAAATCAGCGCATGTATACTGCGCTAAGTTTACTGGCGCTGCTTGTGACCAAAGTGGCCTCTATCCTACTGCCGGCCGGGTCTACCTACCCACCGGCATTAGTGCCGCCTCGACGGTTAGTTTTTTATGGTGTAATGGGTTTTATTATGCTAAGCCAGTTTAAACATCCAAACACACACAAGCGTCACACAGCATCAAAAGACAGCGGAGACATGCGGCTGAATCACAGAGAACATTTGATCTAAATTAGCCGAGGCTGGCGTCGTTCCCAGGATGGATGCCGCATTTCCACGTTGAATTTCGATGCTGAACCTCTGGCGCAGATACTCCGTTGCGCGTATCTCGCCCGTTTCCTGCCATATCATCCTGCCTGCTTCGCTGAGCAGCCGGGAGGCTTCCGGTCCGAGTGGTCCCACTGTCTCCACACCTGTACCTGTACCTGTCCTGGTACTTCACGGTTTTTTTCCGTTCGGCCTGTGCAGCTGCTGCTCCAGCTTGGGTTGATGTTGCTGCAACATGTGAAAGGGCCATCGTACACACACAAGTTACATCCCATGTTAACATTTTGCCTCGTTCCCATGGCACTAGGGTGACTCCGTCCGGGCGTATACCGTTGATACGCGATATTCCCAGTGGCTCGAGTTCTGTCTCGATGGTGGCTAAGGCGAATGCTCGTTTAAGCGTGGCGTTTAAACTACTGTGTCTTGATTTCCGGCCGTAAACAAAGCGCCGCCCCATACTGCTATCCGGTACCGGCATTGGTACATTGCTCGATTAGTAACATCCAAAAAGGATACTTCTACCCTATATTGTTGATTGTACACCGGACTTGTGATTGCGGTGGCTCGAAGGGATTGTTGTTATGAGCGGTCCTTTGCTGTGACTGCTAATCCTGACCGTAGATGATCCTGATTGTAGATGTTAAAGTAACTAAACAAACAGACCGCAGTTTTAAAAATTGGATCGGCTAATTTTTTACGTAATTCGCAGTCGTTTTTGAATGGTATTAACAGAGTGAATTACATTTTGTTTTTAAAATAAAGTGTGTGCCTTATGGCAGTTGGTTGAGCAGCTTCCAAATGACGGAGCGCACCAGCATCTCCTACGAAAGCTGGTGGCAAACTGAGCCCAAAGGCGAGAAGTTCATCCTTACAAGGGACACCGACAACTGTTTCAAGACGGCCGCTCTCCTCAGTCGCGTAATCAGCGCAAATACTAACCGTCTCACTGTCTTGAGAGTCTTCCCGCCAACCCACTCCGGATTTTTGCGTCCGATTTTCGAGGCCATGGAAATTCGCTTACCGATTCTGGTGGTCAAAGACCACGTTAACGTCGAACCACGCGGATTCACTGCCGGAAAGCATCCGCGTTCCAGGCACAGGGCAGCGCGTGAATTAAGGTTCTACCAGCGCACTTGCAGCGTCGTTCTCCTGTACAACTGGACGGTGTCCAGTCTTTTTGGCTCGCAAGCGTACAACGTCTTTCTAAATAATTCCTACTATGGGCGTACGGGCGGGCCACTATTCGTACGATCTCTGCCGGCGGACGAGCGGGAGTGGAAGCTGCCTTTCACGTGGGAGTCGCACGAACTGGCCATCGACAAACTGCAGATCAGAATTCTCAAGCTCCTGCTTCCCTGCAGGGAAGACTGGTTCCACATGACGGATCGCGTGATGTGTGCGCTCAACGACAGCTTCCCGCCGGTCACGCCGGACATGCTGGCAAAGGTCACGGCGGTCCACGCGCGCTGATCGCGTATCCTGGCCCCGCTGGACTGTGAGAGCATTCGCAACTGCCTGTGACTGTTAGTAGTACTAAGTAGCAAGTATTTAGCACCTCGTACTGTTGAAAACGCATATTAATGGTAATTTTGGAAGTGCATCTATCACGTGCCGTTTATCGTGTTGTGCAGTTCCGTACACCTGGAGCAAAATGGCCATTTACGGAATTAACGAGGTGTTGCGAGTGTGAAACCCCGAACATCCAGATTATTCTTGCCAAGTAAATTCCAGCATCATGCAGCCCCAGATATCAGGACGCAGAAAGTACAAGCGTCCTGGCATACCGCTGTTACGTTAGTTGTCTATCTTGGCTGTGCTCGGATGGCAGCTGCTACTTAAAGGGCGATCAGTGTATCGAGAAGTATCTACTTCTTTTCCTGTTGTTTTCCGCTAATATCTCTTGATTTCTGAGCTGGGAAGTCTTCTAATAATTATCTTCTTGTTCCCAGTTCAGCGCTTCGAATTGGATAATGCTCCTTATTTTGCGTATAGTCCGTGAGGAATAGGAAGAAGGCAGATAAATGCCGGTGGGAAGGTTCGGATCGACGATGACCAGACAGGTGATGGCGGCGCCACTGTCGTCCCACGCAGTAAATGCTGCGCAGCACTAATGCGCTCGATCTATCGCGGCTACTTGCACACGGATCCCACACCATAGTTACGAAGCTTACACACACCACACGGATTCTTTATAAATGTTGTTTGCAGCAATCGCACAAAGAAAGAAACATTTCTGCTG